ATCATCATTCGGTCATCACCATCCTCTTCACCTTCCAAGGATCGACAAACCCTTCCTAGCCTCTACGATCGCAAAGAGCACTCGTATCTCCGCCTCAAAAGAGCATCCATACACACCTCAGGAAACCTCCTAACGCAGCACAACCTCACAACCTCGACGCCAAAATGGTAAGTCGATCACCTCTCCTTTCCAACGCTACCATCATCTCGCTCGACTCACTGACATTCCTTCTTCCCACCCGAAAATAGGATTTTTGCTTCTTTCTCCCCGTCATCTTCGGCTGTCCGACCAAGATCAAGCAGGAGGGTGACGGCAGTGCTCGCGTCTGTCCGCGATGCCAAAACGCCCAAGTCGTCCAAGCCAAAGCTCGCACCTGGTTCGAACTCTGCTGGATTCCCCTGATTCCGATGAAGTCGAAACACATCTACTACTGCAACATCTGCCAGTGGCAGGCTGCGCAGGATGGCGGCTTCCAGCCCCAGGTGGCAGGAGGTGGATTCGGCGGTCATCAGGGTCATCAACAGCCGCAGCAGTATGGATATGGTCCGCCGCAGGGTGGTCAGGGTGGTTATGGTCCGCCGCAGGGATACGGTTACCCACCACCGAAGCACTGAACCCCAGACGAAGGAGTGTAAATATGCAGATGACTTTTGCGTTGACATTCTGTGTGTGCGATGTGCAAGGATGAAAAGTGCGAATGGATCGAGATCTCAAGAGGAAGCCAGATCGTCGGGTCGCAAGTTCCTCTTCTTCCTACCTTTATGTCCCTTGGCCGCAGTCCCCGGTCCCCAATTGGCCTGCGGATTGCTCTGGTACCGCACGATCTTCTCTCCCTTCCCCAACACCTCTTGCACCTCTTTCCGCTTCACGTCGTCAAAATCGTACTCCCTCGTCGGTTCCTTGGCCAGCAGTACGCGCGCAAAGTCCTTCTCCTTCATATTCTCCATCTTGACCGGCTGAACGGTCTTGACCCAGTAGCGGAGGATGTCGAAGATCTGCCCCCTTGTGGCAGTCGTCTTCAGCGATCCTGCTGACGCATGTGACCGACTCACCTTGTGGCCTGCCGACAGCAAGGCGGAGACCATCTTATCGAGCGGGGGCGAGACGCAGTGGAACAACCCACTCGCCTTAGGCGGGGTGAAGTAGAACAGCCCTTCACTGCCCAATTCTTGAGCGGCGAGGCTGACCATGCCGTGAATGCGTGCGCTTGTATGGAACGCCCCTGGGTTCTCCTCCAAATTCGCCAATACCGATTGGCAGAACTCGCCATCGTGCAGGTCACCCAACCACATCGGCCCACCCAAATGCATCCGATTGCCGCACTCACCACACCTCTCCCCCACCGGCGGACCCTGCGCCGAATGATACCTGTGATTCACATTCTCCTGTCCCGTCTTACCCGTGCTCCTCGCCTCCGTAGTCCGCCCGAACCGCTGCACATGAAAGTCCTGACAGTGCGTACATACGTACACAGTCCCCGTCGTCGACGCAACGTTCTTCACCTCCACAGGTCCCGTCCACACCCGCACAAACGTGCGCAGGTAAAAATCGATCGACAAACTCAGCATCGGCTGGATGTACCGACCGTACCTCGCGGCGGACGTGGCGATCGTGTGCAGCACCAGTCGCAGGGCGACTTCGTGCGAAAACTCGGCTTTGACCGACACACCGCCGTATTGGGAGAAGCACTTTTCAGGGTAGTTGTGACCGGCGAGGACGGCAAGGTCGGTGCAGGTGACGCAGAGGAGACCGCCGTCCGAGACGGATTGCACGCCGCCGTCGATGAAGGGGGCTGCGGAACCGTACGGGTCCAGATCGACCACGTCGAAGCGTTGGGAGGGATCGCGATGAGTGTACATGAGCGTGATGGCGTCGCCGGCGTTGAGACGCACTTTGCAGTCGGGGTGGATGGCGGCGGATGCGGCGGCGTCGGCTGCTGGTGTCGCTGCAGGCTGTCCAGATGCTAAGAGATGTTGGTTTGCTAGTGTTGCTGCGGTGCGCGAACGCGCTTCGTCCTCCCTCTCGGCAAGCGCATCCTCGTCCATAGCCTCCTCTGTGACTGCCTCGCTGCTACTCGCCTGGTCAACCTCGGACACGATCCACTCGTCGATCGGACGGTCTGGTGGGAAGTTGAGCGCGACATTGCGCTTCATCATCTCCACCGCGGTCGGCGACAGGTCGTTGGCCAACACCCATCGCAGCAAAGGGATCTCCTTGGCGTATCGAATACTCCGCAGACCTGTCGCACTGAGTGCCTCGAGCAGGGTGAATCTGTAGCTGCGGTATGCGTCCTCTGCAGACGGCACGACTGCTGCGCTCGATGAGGCTCCCTGCGTGGCTTCAGCTTCCGTGGCCTCGGCCATGGCAGTGCCGGTCGCGTTGCCGTTCTCGTCGATCCTCGACTTCTTTGCGTCTGGTTTCTGTGCTTCTGCTGCAGCCCCTTCTGCGCTGGTCGACCCGTTGACATCCTTGCGCTTTCCTTTGCCTTTTCCAGCAGACGTCGTCTTTCGCTGTGAAGCACGAACGAAGCGCGCCTTCTTCTCGGCATCGAGCCTCTCGCTCCACGTGCGGATAGCAAGCGTCGACAGATCGCGGTTGAACTCCTGGACGGGGTTGAGAAACGCTGCTTCCGCCGAGGGCATCACGATGGTGGCCGAGTTTTCGCGAAAGGCAGACTCGTGATCGGCGAGTGTGATGCCGGAGGCTCGTGCTCGCTCTGGGGCGAGGAGGATGGGTGTCGGTGCCATGCTGCTGAACTTCCTCGTCGAGGTGCTGAGTCGTTGAAGTGGGTTGGGAAGGAGCGACCTGACGTTGGGGTCAAGGAGGATCGCTCGAGCTCGACGAGCGACTGCCATGCACTGCTGTTCGGCGGTGACGCTCCGATTTGTCCCTCGAGCGAGTGTCTTGCTGTGCGTGTCTGTGATGTCGTCAAGAAGATCAACCTTGAAAAGACGTTGAACCCTGGCCAAATTTTCCCCTCTCGACCAAAAAAAAGGGCGAGAAGAAACCTCGTCCGCAACCCGAGGTTTCAGCTTTGCTGACCGTTTCACGTCCCGCCAGAAGACCGATTGGGAGGGTGCATGTTCGGTATGCGCGGCTGACGAGATTTCAGGGTTCTGTTGTGTTTGCCGCGACAGCTGACGGCTATCGATGTCCGCTTCGCACCTTCGCATCCTTTCCTTTCCCCCCACCTCTCGCCATCCCTCCGTCCTCAGGAAGACCTCTCGCGCCATGGCAGAAGTCACCACTTCGGCCTCGAAGCCGTCGCTATCGCGCCTCAGCTCCACCTCCTCCACGCCGGTCAAGCTTCGCACCAAGAAGGTCATCATCATTGGCGCGGGCGCCGGCGGCACCGCTCTCGCCGCGCGTCTCGGTCGTCGCGGCTACACCGTCACCGTTCTCGAAAAGAACACCTTCGGTGGTGGTCGTTGCTCTCTCATCCACCACGACGGTCATCGTTGGGACCAAGGCCCATCGCTCTACCTCATGCCCGAGATCTTCGAGTCCTGCTTTCGCGATCTCGGCGAGGACATCCGTTCGCACATCCGCTTGCACCAATGCAACCCCGCCTACCGAATCCATTTCGCGGATGGCGAAAAGATGCTCCTGTCGAGCAACTTGAGTCAGATGGGCGAGACGTTGAATTTCTTCGAAAAGCGAGCGGGGAACAAGGCCGACCCCCTGACCAACTTCCTCACATTCCTAAAAGAGGCGGGGGAGAACTACGAGGAGTCGATCACACACGTCTTGACCAAAGACTGGAGTGCTTGGTGGGCGTTTTTTCGACCGGAGCTCTTTCCGATGCTGTGGAAGACCAAAGGGTTGCGCATCTACACGACGCTGTACGACCGCACGACCAAGTACTTCAAGTCGCGGCATGTGAGGAGGGCGCTGACGTTTTCGGCCATGTACATGGGCATGAGCCCGTTTGATGCGCCGGCGACGTACAGTCTGTTGCAGTATGCAGAGTACGCAAAGGGAATCTGGTACCCTATTGGAGGATTCTACAAGGTCGTAGAGGCCATGGAGACCATTGCGCGGGACAAGTTCGGTGTGGATTTCCGCTACGATACCACTGTCAAACGGATCATTGTCGACGAGCGAAAGGGTACCACCTCTGGAGTGGAGCTCGCGTCAGGGGAAGTATTGGAAGCAGACGTGGTGGTGAGCAACGCCGACCTCGTATGGACGTACAACAACCTCCTACCTCCGTCGTCATACGCACACAAGCTGAGGGGCAAAGACCAAACGTGCTCCTCCATCTCGTTCTACTGGTCCCTCTCTTCGATCGTCGAAGAGTTGGGTGGACACAACATCTTCCTTGCCGACGCATATCAAGAATCGTTCGACGAGATCTTTCGCGATGGGGATACACCCACGGAGCCGTCGTTCTACGTCAACGTCCCCTCGCGCCTCGACCCGTCCGCTGCACCACCAGGCAAGGACACGCTAGTGATCCTCGTCCCCTGTGGACCCATCTCCATTCCCGAAAAACCCTGCGCAGATCCATCCAAAGGCGCACGCACGCGCGAGCAGTTTGCATCCACCATCACCCGCGCCCGACGACAGGTCATCGAAACGCTCTCCAAACGACTCAACCGACCCGATTTTGAGTCGCTCATATCCCACGAGATCGTCAACGACCCCTTCGACTGGGAGGACAAATTCAACCTTTTCCGGGGTTCCATCCTCGGTCTGTCCCACACCATCCCCCAGGTGCTCTGGTTCCGACCGTCGATCCAACATGCCAAGTACAACAACTTGTTTTTTGTAGGGGCGAGTACGCAACCCGGGACGGGCGTGCCGGTTGTCGTAGCGGGCAGTGGGGTCGTGGCCGAGAGGGTGAGTGCGTTTTTGGAGGGAAGGGAGAAGGGCTGGTTGAGCTGGGAAGCTATTCGGGGGAGCATCTTTTTGGCCGGGTTGGCGATGGTCGGCGTGATGGCGGCCGGGTTTGCCGCTGGGTTTGTCGTGCTAGGGCTGGTCATTGCGGTGGGCGTGCACGTGTTGGGCGTCGCGGATGTGCCTGGGTTGGTCCGAGGGAAGGTCATGCCCGAGTAGAATGGCGATACCAACGATTGCTCATAGATGCAATTGCAATGCAACCCTTTCCACTCATCGTTCATTCACGCACACCTTGAGCACAGCGAAGAATACGAGGCAGTAGGATTACATCTGAATACACACTTTTCTAGCCTTCTAGAAGCCAGGTTCGACGCCAGCCACGCCGGATCCGCCTCGAGGCACGGTATCAAATCATAAAGTCAAAGTTCTCGGATCGAAAGCGGTCATAAAATCATAGTCCATGGGTATGCCTCGGCTTGTGGCCCAAGCGCTTGCTTAGTTCTGCCTATACGTCGCGGCAGGCGGAGCATCCTTATGGTTATGCGCCGGCCTCCTGCTCGGCCCACCCCTGCTGCTCTCATCGCTAACATCTGGCTCAGCATTGGTCAGATGCAATCTCCTGGGCTGCTCGTCCATCTCCTCGAGCGCGTCTTGTGCATCGACATACGCAGGAGGGGCGTTGGCGTTGTATGCGCCATTCTCCGCCACAGGGCTGCCGAGGTTGCTCGACGGCCTCCTGCTCTGCCTCCTCGGCGAGGTAGCATTGTACGAGTTCTGGCGACTTCTCGAAGTATTGCCGCGGAGGGCGGCACCGGCTGCTTCGCGTGCACGCGCATCGCGCACCTCGGGAGGGTCAAAGTGGCTGTAGTCCGGACCGGGCGAGCGGGTCTGGGCGGGTGCAGCACGAGCAGCACGAGCCGCCGCAGCAACGTTGGCTTCCGAAGGCGAGACCATGAATTGAGCCTGAGGACCCGCACCGGCGCCCATGCCAGCAAGGTTCTGACCAACTCCAGCGACCGAGTAAGGACCGTGGGTGTCTTGCCAGCCCATCATGGGCAGCGTCCAGGGAGCAGGCGCCAGCTCGCTCGACATGGTGTTGGGCGACATCTGCGCAGTATTGTAGCCATCGTTCGAGGTGTTGTACGACCCGTGGCCATGGGAAGAGCGTCGGTTGGTTTCCCTGCCTGGACTGGTGTTGTTATAGAGATACGAAGTGGCACCACCAGCCGCAGCACCAGCAGCGAGAGCAGTAGCACCGTTGCGCGCAGGACGCTCCTGCATGTCGGGGTAGCCGTTGCCAGCATAGCCATTGTAAGCGTCGTAGTCCTGGTAGTTGTTGGCGGCTGTGTTGTTGTAAGCTGTGCCGTGAGCTTGGGACGAGCCGTTATAGCCGTACCTCTCCGGGTCATCGTCGTTGGCGAACTGGGCAGGAAGGGTCGCACTGGTCTGGTCGCGACGCTTGCGGCTCCTGCGAGAGTCGGCAGCCGCAGCACCAGCCAAAGCACCCATGCCAGCAGCCGCGCCTCCAACACCAGCAGCGGTATGTGAAGCACCGACGTGGTCATTCTGGGGAGAGAAGCTAGGCCAGGCACCATCGCTGTGACTGTAATCGCCGGCGCCGCCCTTACGCGAATTGCGTCTCTTGGCAAAGACGCAGAGGGCGATCAAGAGGGCGAGCAGCAAAAGACCGCCTACGACGCCACCTACAATCCCGCCAATGAGACCGCCATTGGAGCTGGAGCGATTGGCGTCGGCTCGATTGGGAGAGGAAGTGGTGGTGACCACGGGGGTAACAACGGTGGTGACGACGACTTGAGAGGTGCTCGTACCCGAGACAGAGAGGGACGTGGAGACAAGTGTGGTGGGCGAGGAGGTGGTGATGATGATGGAGGAAGTGGAAGAGGTGGAAGTCGAGGTGGGCGTGCTCGAAGTCGTGGAAGAGGTAGTAGTGGAAGTGGTGGTGGGTGCAGCAGCTGTTGGTGTAGGCAGGCCATTTGAGGTAGCTATGGAGGTCAGTATCGCGCATTGAAGAAGCAAGAGAGAAAGAGAGATTTGGGAAGCAAGAAATCAGAGTGTGCACCACAATACCAGCATACAGCTGTCTCCTGCTCGAGGTGCGGTATGGGAAGCGGTGAGACTTACATGTGGTAGCAGTGGTTCGACGAGTAGTGGCAGTGGTAGTGGGCGCGACCCTGGTAGTTGTGGTTCTTCCCGACGCGGTGGAGACGATGGAATCGGTGTTGTCAGCGCCGCCGAAGAGGTCAGAGGTGAAGCTATCAAAGGCGTCCTGGGTGGTGGTGGTCGCGCCCGCCCCGCCGCCGGGCCCTTGCCGTTCCCACAGTGCGGGAGCACGGGGCATCATAGAGGGTTGTAGGAGCATATTGGATTTGCGAACGCCCGAGATGGATGGGCTTAGATGCCTTGAACGATGTTAGATGGTGGGAGGTGCGTCGAGGAGGATGGATGGCGATGGTTGAGAATCAAGCGGGATCTTTGGGCAGGGCCATCCACGCAGGAACCCAATCTAGTGAAAAGGCGGGGGAAGGCGCACATTGGTTCTGTTTGCTATAGCTGATACTGCTGTTACTGCACCCTCTCTCTCTCTCTCTGTCCCTCTCTTGTCAGGCTTGGCGGCGATCCTGGAATCTAATGCAGGAGCTTGAACCCTTTCCGCCCTCGAAACAAGGCTGCGATCTGCGACCTGCAAAGAGAATCAAGAAAATCTTTTTTAGGCAGGAAATCCACTGCACAAGCAGCGTTGAAAGCGCAGTTTGCCGTCATCTTGCGCTGCCCTGTCTCGCCACGAGCCCACCAGATAGAACCCCCTTTTTGGCCATTCTTTCCCCTTTCACAGTGGTTCGCTCTCTTGCGACGATTCGATGATTTCCGTTGAACACAGCCAAGAAGCCAAAAGCGCTCCCGTGTTCCGTGTTGGAGGCTGACTCTGAGATAGAGAGAGACAGAGATAGGATGGATGGCTCTCGCAACTCCGGAGACGGCCACTGATGACAGCCTAGGCTAACCTGGCTTGGCTTGGCAACGTGGTGAGCGCATCCGCAGGCGAGGAAAAGCGCAGCAAGCCGATTCCACCCAATTCAACCGGAGCGAGAAATGGGCTTGGCTCTCTTGGCTCCAACTGGGGTGAAAAATTCAACGCCCGTTCCGCCAGCTCGGTGCATTTTGTTCCTCACAGAACCCTGCAGCAGTTGATGAGCTTTCTACAGGGTCGTTCTCCAGAGCCCTTTTGAGATGTTACCCCACACCTCCATCTCGGGGGGCATACAGCAGGGAGCAAGCCAACTCTTGACGTTCTCATTTGGAAGAGCACTCGAAATGACACTGCACGATGTGCACTCACTGTGGCTTGGATCCGATTCGGCTGGCTGACCCACATCTGCCGCAGTCGGTTGAGCGATGCGAGAGGCCAAGAGGTTCTTCGAGGTCGCTTCCCACTCGTGACTGGGCGCGCGCTTCCATTCAAAACCCAACTCACTGCGGGCCGATGGCTTGCCGAGATTTCCTTCAGTTCGGCAGGCGATACAGTCACCACCCCGAACTTGCTCCTCTGCAAGCTCAGCGCACCACAAGAGGCTACGCCGGTCTGTGTCAAGCTTGCCAGCTTCGATTCAACACAACCTAGCAATTTCACCATCGAGCCACCGTCTGAGTCTGAATGCTCACCCAGCGCGATCTCTGCCCGCTCTGGATTCCATGAGCAGCCGTAAAACCGCACAACTCGATAGTCGCTTGCCTCGATCAAGCTCATTACTCATATCCTCAGTCCATTGCGCTCTGTCATGAAGGAGAGCAGTCGATGAAGCCCAAAGCGAGCATTCTCGCCGTCTTGTCAGAAGGTCGCTGTGATACCGCCGTCTCAGGGGCTGATGGCAGGCTGCAGCTGTAGCGCCGCATAGCGGTGCATTGAGAGGGCCAAGCGGAATTTGTACTGCTCGATCCGACCTCTTCATCTTTGAAATACGGGACAAGCAAGCCGGCTTCGGTTTGAATACATTTTACCCGGAAGGAAATCGTCGAGCACTGAAATCACCAATTCAAAGTCCAAGTTCGAATTCGAAATAAGTTAAGCAAGAAAATCTCAAACGTTGGTTCCGTTTGAAAAACGACTGAGCATCCTCTGCCTTGCTCAGCTCTGCCTGCGCCTCGCTGCAAATTCGATCCCGCACAAAGCATCGAACCCATCACGGGATGGCATCATTTTTCCCAACTGGCTCAGCGCGGTGCCTTGCCCAACCTGAAATTTCCGCTTCTCAGTTGCAAGTCGAGACAGCTGACTGACTTCGCAGGCTGACTCGCAGGCATGTGTGTGGGTGTGTTAACTTTCTGGCACAGCACAGCGCACTCGAAACTGCGGGCAAATGCTGACAGACGTCCCTGCCGCTGCTGCTGCGATTTTAGGGTTCTGGTTCAGCCCAACTTGCGCGACACTCTGTCGACTGCGGCTCAGAACCTCAAATCTGCAGCCCTGACCTGCTACACCTTTCCTACCTTCTCGTCACCATCCACCCCTCTTCTCGTCACCACCCTTCCTTTCTTCTTTGCTTGGTTCCTCTTCAAGTGTTGGGCATTCGTTCGCGGCGGGACTTTTCTCCCTCTCCTGAGCAGGCTCATCCGCTCTCTTTCGCTAACCACTGCTCCTGTTCGTCACACGAATTGGCAGCTCTGTGTCCGCGTAGAGAAGAAGAAGACAAAGAAGACGGCTTCTCGACCAGTCCAAAGCGCAGCATCGTCAACAGACCTTGCTGGCTTTCCTGTCGTTTCGTCGATCGAAGCTCACGTCGCATCTGCGGTAGTCCGACTCGGCCAGCTTGGACCCTACTAGCACCGCTGCCCAACCACGGTGCATCTCAGTCGACGCAGTCTCTACGGCCTCAACTTTGGTTGATCCCGACATTGCGGCCTGGCCTCACTCGGATCACTCGTCCGTCCTTGACCTGGCATTCTCGATCGAAGCTCGTAGCTGACGTAGCTCACGCGTTCGCTGTCCGCTACCACCAAGCCAGCGGCCAGCTCTCCTTCGCTGCCGACGTCGCTAGCCGCATCTTTGCCGCGCATCCATCCGGCTCTCCATCAGGCTCGACCCTTCCGTAACGACTCTTCATATGCCCGTCTTCTTCGCATCTAGGTGATCTTTCGACCTATCACCTCGGGCTCTGCTCAGGGACGCCTTCATTGTGCTGCTCTCTCGACTTTGTCCTCTCCTGTCTTCCCATCGCTCGTCATTCGACACGTTGGTACTCCACACATCCCGCAGCCAACCTTTTCCGACATCATCCAGAGTGCAATCGCGCCTCGGTCATCCATTTGGCTCTTCCTTCCCGCATAGTCAAGCTTTGGTCCGCTTGCCTTTCGTTCGTATTCGGTCGCCGTTCACAACTCAGCTTCGAGTTCCCCCTTTGGTAAGGCACGAGTGCACTTCAGCACCTCAGGCCTTGCAAAGATCCAAAAGCGTCCACTTCGGTCCCTCGACTGTCGTGCTCGCACCTCCTGCCCTCGTTCAACATGTCCTTCTTCCACGATGGGCAGCCCTCTACGGGCGATTATGCCATCAACTCCTACCCTGCCCATGAACAGCCGTCTCACTTCGCTGCGTTCCCACCAGCCGGAGCTCCTGTGTATCCCTTCGTGGATCCAACGACTCAATCGCAGATGTACGGCCGCCCATCCTACACCGACATGGCGCCTGCGTCCATGGGTGGCGGCATGGAGCACCCCGTCTGGCAAGCGCCTCAGGCTCCCAGGCTCACCGCAGCTGCTGCGCGAGCTGGCCGACAGCCCATGATGGGCTACGCCGCTGCTGGATATGCTCCCGCACACGGTGCCAACCCTTGGTATGCCCCGTATCAACAGCCGCGAACCCATCAGCAACTCGAGCACCAGCTTTTGGTGCAACATCATCTTGCCAAGGTGCAAGAGAGGCAGAATGGTGCCTACCCGTACCAGCCTGCCTATGGCCCTGGTCCCGTCGCGTATCCTCAGCAGCAGCAGCCTGCTCAGTCGCGCTCTCAACATCACTACCACCACCCTCAACATGCCTATCAAGCCGCCCCTGCCGCTAGCCAGAATGGCTACAGCGACAGGCAGCACCGCTATCACGACAACTGGGCATCGGCAAGCTCTCAACGCGAAGAGCGTGTTCCAAATGCGTCTCACGATTGGTCAGGCTGGCATCAAGGCTCGACTACCCATCGAGGCTCGGTTGGCTACCTTCCTCAGCCCGACCACACGTACTCGAGGGATCTTGCGCACGTCTCCCACCGCCACTCGGAAGACGCCGCTTCTCACGGCTCGGCAGCTTGGGGACTGCCCAGCCATGCCAGAGCTTCTCAAGCGCACGCCTGGAATCAGCCGCAGCATTACACTCAGCAGGCCTACGCCAACGATCGCCGCTCGCAGTCGGACTACCGCGATGTAGCTGCTTCGCATCGCTCACGCCACGATCACCATGACGAGCGTGCCCAGTTCACAAGATCGCAAGAGCGCTTGCACGATTATGCTGAGCATTCACAGCGACATGGTCACAGCCAGATGCGTTCTGGTCACCCCGACGCCTGGCGCCAACACGCTGAAGAGGCCCAAGCTCACTCCGAGGCGACGCACTGGCAAGCGCAGGTGGAGGAGCCTCGCGGCATGCAGACGGACACCGCTGCCCCTGTCGTCGACGAGCGCGAGCGTGAATCTGTCGATGAGGCTGCGGACCAAGCTCCTGCTCCCGCGCCGTGCTCGCCTGGCTCCCTCGAGAAGTCTGCTTTGCCCATTGCAGCGATTGGTGCTCAGCTCATCTGGAACGCGTGCGCCGCCCTCTTCGATCCCGAGCTCCTCATCGAAGCCCACGAGACGGCGGACGAGGCCATGGAGGAGGACTGCGACGATGCCATGTCACCCGCTGCGGCATCGATGCCCTCTTCCTCCTCCACGCCATCGCTCAACACGCCCGACATTTCGCCCTGGGCCTCCACCGTGCTCGATCGTGCTGCGGTCGATTCGGCGAGTTCCGGCGACTGGAACGCCTTCCGATCGCCCTTCGGTCCTGAGCGATTGCCGCAGATGCGTCCACAAGCCCACTCTTTCACCTTTGGCAGCGACCACACATCTTCGCAGCACGATCTGCATCGCATGGCCGTCGGTGCCGAGCGAGCTCGATCTGCGATGACGCGAGACGTCTCGCCGAGCAAACGATCTCGCGAGGGCTCTGGTGACTCTGCGACCGCCGCAGGCCACAGCTCTGGCGCGAGCACAGCGAGCAGCTCCGAGCCAGGCACACCCGCCTCGCTGGCCCACAACAGCCCAGCGCTCAGCTCGACCGTGTCCGCACACTCTGTCGAGACAGCGCGCAGTCCTCTGCGTGCTGGCCTGGGTATGTCGCTGGATGGCTCGCGATCCGAGTCTGCGATTCGCCCTCGACGCAGCTCTTCCAAGGTCTCGCCCAAGCTGCCGTCGTCCAAGTGGTCTGGACGAATCCGCGACAATGTGCTCGCGGTTCTCCGTCTCGTCTCGCCCGAGTGGCGCTGGAGCAACAACGACCACCTCTTCGTTTCGCTTAGCGAGACGCTGCCCACCGCCACCGCCAAAGCGAGTCACAGTCCCAACCAGGGCCGATCCGGCGGTCGAGACTCTGTCACGAGCATTGTCACCTCGTACGCCAACGAGCCTAGTCCAGCCTTCAGGAGGTTTGTCCACCAGGTGCTCGCTCAGACTTTGCTTTCGCCTCCGGCGTTCCTCCTCGGCATTCTCAACGCGCTTCGGCTGCTTGTCATGTCGCAGCTGCCCGACGGATCGATCGACCCTGTTGTGCTCGAGCTGTTCGCTCAGCCCACATCTGCTGCGCCGTTCAAGCTGTTCACCCTCGGCATGATGATCGCCAACAAGCACCTCGACGACAACACGTTCCTCAACAAGACCTGGAACGAGGTCACGGGCATCCCGCTCGCCGAGCTCAACCAGACCGAGGCTTGGTTCTTGAAGAAGTGCAACTACGAAGTCACTGTCCCCGACGAGACGTGGATCGGCTTCCTGAACCGCCTGCAGTCGTGGGAGGCGAAGCGTTCCAGTCGTGGTATGCACCGCGATCAGGACTCCTCCAAGCGACTGCTGCTCGTCCTCGACGAGGCCCTCAGCCACTTTGACGCGATCCCAGCTTTCCAGCTGGACGGTGATGCGATGCACGGGAATACTCGCTCCGAAGCGACGTCACCCATGGACATGTGGAGCAAGTCGTATCATCGCGCTAGCCCACTGGCCATGATGGACGACGAACAGCACTGCCGCTCGGCACCTGCCGTCGCCACGCTGCTCTCCCACGAGTCGAACGCAGGCCCGCAAAGGTCAGGTCATGCGTCGCGAGCGAGTCTTGCGATCGACAACCCGTCGGCGACACTGCTGCGCACTGGCTCCGACTTTGTCACGGCCAACGGCTCGTTCAAGGACATCAGCCCGCTGAGCGAATCTGGCAAGAGCCAGAGCGGCAACATGTCCGGTCCACTGATGCCTTCGGCGCTGCTGAATGGTCCACGTGGGTTGTTCCACCACAGCAGCATGTTCGGACCTCTGGCGACGTCGGGCTGATCGGAACCGGCCGGCGTCACCTTGGTTCCGACGATCGCACCCGGCTCGCGATTCGCCTTCATACCCCTTTCTTTCCCTTGTAGATACATTTGGCTTCCACTTTGTCTCCTTTGCGGGCTGCCCTGTCGGCAGCACCCTTCTCGCGCTGCTCTGCCCCATCACACAAGCATACCAAAAAATCTGCATACATCAGACTACTGCCCATCGATTCTTCTCAGTTCTTCGTCATCTTCCTCATGGCGCGATCCGGCGCCACTCGCTTCAACCGCACCCCAATCTCAGTTTCATGGTCACGTTTCGCTCTAGAAACGTCTCACATCCTTTTGCACTTTGTGTGACTGTCTGCCATTTCTTTTCTGTGAGACAAGCATCAGTTCTTGTTCTGGGCGGCGCTGACGAGGGAATCGAGGTTATCGAGCATCTTTCTTGTCGAGTCGTGACCTGTCGATTGTCTCTTACCCGGCTGGAGCTGACCTGGTTGGCGACCGACCTTTCTCTGTTTCTGCAGTTCGTTTTTCCTCGCCGTCCCAGCATACAGCGCATTGAGTGCGCCCAATCCGGTCCTCTTCGGCTCGACGCCACCCAAGGCGCGCCTCACCGGTCGAGTCGGATCCTTGACCACCTCGCCGACATAACTCGCACTACCGATCGGTGCGATTTTCCCCACAGGCAAACCCTGCGCATCCTGCTTAACCAGTTCGAGGTTGGACCGGAGGTACCCGAGATCGTTGCGCGGGGCAAGCATGTCTTTGTGCATCCCCGAGGCGAGGGTAAGTGCCGAAGAGCGGTAGGCGTCTACGATGCGGAAGAGTGCACTTCCCCGCGTGGGTTCTTGACGACTCCAATCGATTGTAGGGGGTGCATTGGATCGCAACGGCGCATGGAGGTAGGAGACGTGTCCACCAAGAAGGACAGACCGTCCATCGGCAATCAGCAGCGACTTGCGCACGTTCCGATCGGAGCGGGAGGAGACTTCGTGCACCACTCGACCAGGCAACGGTTCGGCGAGCAGGGAGGTGTAGATCGGATCGGGTTGGGAGAATTGCAATCCGGCATGCGGGTGAAGTGTCGATGGTTGGGAGGATCCGGGTAGCTGATCGCTCGACGAGGCTGTCGTGAGTCGAATTGCGCGCTCTTCTAGCATCCGGAAGGCATCGCGCGTCGCATCCACATCTCGACTCTGCTCGAGCATGTCCAACTCGCCCTGGGAGAGCTTCTGCAGCTCCGCTTCCGGGTTGACTTCCGGCAGCTTCTTCGGAGCCTCACCGCGACGTTCGGCGTCCTCGTTAGCACGCACCGCTGCGGCATACGCCTTCTCCTGTCGCTTGCGGATCAACCCCAGCAACCGTCCTCGCTCTTTGGATCGGAAGAACGTACGCCAGTTCTTGCGACCAGAACGAATTCGTTCGACGAACCGATCGAATTGACGCTCGTCCAGCGCGTTGTAGTTGGTCATCATGCGCGGGCGGGTGGTGAATTTGTCTGCGTCGAACCCGAAGGCTCGACTCGTCGATTGGTCGCCCATAAAGTCGAGACTTTTGTACGTGGGATCGGCGGCACCGCGAGCGGCGTGATGGCGTTGCAGCGCGCGCCAACGATTGTTGTACACCCTCGCATCGCGATCGGCGGGAGTCTCGTTCGGGCTCGCTTTGATCGGCCCGGGGATGTCGGTCGGGAAGTATCGCTCCGTTGACTTGAGGAAGGTTGTAGAGGGTCGAGGACCATGCGAACCAGGTTCGGTGTACGTATGACCCCCGGATTCGGGTCGGGTGATGTGAAGTTTGGTGTCCGCTTCCGCAAAGCGTTTGACAAAGAGCGTTTCTTTCTCGCGCTCCTTCCAGGAGGTCTGGCCCTCGGGCGTGTCGAGCGAGGTGACTTCCACGAAGCGGAGAGCGCCGGGGTAGGCAGCGGAGCCGGAAGAGGAGCCGAAGATCGAGGTCGAGGAAGAGGGGAGAGCACGCTTCATGCCCCATTCCCCGCGAGCGGCGTAGGCGGGTGGAGAGGTGTACACCTGCGGGATGGAGGGGTCGAAGGAGGAGATGCGCGCATTGCGGAGGAGTTTGGAGAGCTGAGTGGGGGCCGAGGCGGCCTGGTTGGCTGCCATGGCGATAATTGTGAGCTGGACAGAAGGATGTCCAGTTGATGCTGCTGTGCGGGTGCAGAGATGAAGGTGATGGTCTCGACGACGATGCGATGATGCTGATGGCATGGCCTTTTTTCTTCCAAAGCTACCCAGGCGAGGCTCTGAGCCCATTTTCTTCCGCTTCACGTGAGCGGTGCGCAGTGACATTTTCTTTCCGTGCGATAAGAATTTTTCTTGCGAGTGTCACATTTTAGAGGTTCGCAATCATGAACACGCGACAAAGCTCTCGACCACCTCACCTTCCCTCTGTCGATCATCATCATCGGCCCTCAACATCACCGTCACAGCCATGTCGAGCATCACCCTCTCCACGTACGCCGAACGCGCGGCGCGTCAACCCAACCCGGCCGCCCGCGCACTCCTCGAATGCATGGCGCGCAAACAGACCAACCTCTCCGTCTCGGTCGACGTCACCTCCAAACAGGACCTCCTCGACGTCTGCGATGCCGTCGGACCCAACGTCTGCCTCGTCAAGACGCACATCGACATCGTGTCCGACTTTGACCACGATCTCGTCGCCCAGCTCACGGCGCTGAGCGAGAAGCACGACTTCTTGATCTTTGAAGACCGCAAGTTTGCGGATATCGGCAACACGGTTTCGCTGCAGTACTCGGCGGGCGTGCACAAGATCGCGTCGTGGTCGCACATTACGAATGCACATCTGGTGCCTGGGCCAAGTGTCGTGGAGGGCCTGGCGAAGGTCGGGATGCCATTGGGGAGGGGACTGCTGTTGTTGGCAGAGATGAGCTCCAAGGGAGCCCTGACCAAGGGAGATTACACGAAGGCGTGTGTGGAGGAGGCAAAGAAGGATACGACCAACTTTGTTTGTGGATTTATCGCGATGAGCAGGGTGGACGAGGTGGATGGGCCGAATACCGAGAGGGATTTGTTGATCTTGACCCCGGGCGTGGGGTTGGACGTCAAGGGGGATGCGTTGGGTCAGCAGTACCGCACACCGGATCAGGTGATTAATGAGAGTGGATGCGATGTCATCATCGTGGGAAGGGGAATCTATGGACCGCTGATGACTGAGGAGGGCAAGAAGGACAAGAAGGCGGCCTTCGAGAAGGTCAGGGAGCAGGGCGAGAGGTATAAGAAGGCTGGGTGGGAGGCCTACTTGGCTCGTATCGGTCAGAAGGAGTAGAATATGAAGCACAATGCAATGGATGTCATCTTGGTACATTCCCTCTGCGTGCTGCGTCTTGAGAGCATCTTACGAGGATGACCCCCTCGGCGTTGTGCCAGAGCAAGCCGCCGGCGACAGAAAGCGCTTTGCAGCTGAAAAAAGAAAGCTGGAATTGTGGGCAGAGTCTCGCCCCGCACTCTACGCGGCTGCAGCTCGTGTCTGGAAAATTGGGCAGGCTAACAGCTGGTCTGAGCTTGGACCCTTGAGAAGAAACGTTGGTGGCGAATCAGGTCGTTCCTCCCCCGCACTTCTTCTTCTTCTTCTCTCGACCCACCACCATCCAACTTGCGCTCACAGTGACCACTCCCAGGCTTCGATTGGCACCATCATTCGCATCTTTTCTCAACCCATCTCGCGCGCTGTCGCCTTCGGCACCATGTCGGCCCGCTCGTCGTCCCGGCGAAAGCTCTTCGCACCTACGCCAATGGCACCTTCTACAATCGCTGCGGTCACCAAGGTCACGGCCAACGGCACGCACACTGACGGCAGCACTACCGGTGTTGAGGCAGATGCAGCGCTAGCAGCGGCCATCTCGGCCTCGGATGCACGTCAATCCTACTCGCTCCGTCGACGTGCGCCATCTGCATCCACCTCTACTGCTACCACCCCAACGAAAGCGACGCAGAAGCGAACCATGCGAACGTCGACTAAGCGTTCTCGCGCCCCTTCCGCCTCGACAGCCTCGGAAGCAGACTCAGATTCCGCGGCGGCATCCGACTTTTCCGACCCGGACACGGCCTCGGACGCCGACAGCGACGTCTTCACCGCCAGTCCCTCGCGCAAGTCGTCTCGATCCAAAACCGCTTCTACCTCTACCACACCCAAACGACCACGCAAGACCACCGCCGACGGCACAATCTCCACGCCCAAGCGGGCCAAATCCTCCTCTGCCTCACCCAAGAAACCCGCCGTCTCACCCTTCGACATCTCCCCGCGAAAAACCGTCAAGAAGCCAATCAAAGTCAACCTCGAACCGCACGAGGCGCATCCGGCGCCGGCGCACTGGGAGACGGTCTACTCGCTGCTCGCCCGACAGCGCACCAAGATCGTTGCGCCGGTGGACACGATGGGGTGCGAAGAGAACGGGCGGGAGGACCGACGTGCGGATTCAGATCGTGCACCGGAGACGGTCGAGGAGGCGGGCAAGAGGGAGAGACTGGCCACACTGGTCTCGTTGATGCTATCCAGTCAGACCAAGGATCCGGTCACCGCAGAGGCGGTGTACAATCTTCAGCGGACGTTGCCGAACGGCTTGTGTCTGCAAAGCCTGCTGGAGGCGGACGACGAGATGATTTCGGGCTGTATCGCTAAGGTTGGGTTTTGGAGGCGGAAGACCGGGTATCTCAAGTCTGCAGCACGGATATTGACGGACGACTTTGACGGTGATGTACCGCGGACGGTCGATGAGCTATGCAGCTTGCCCGGCGTAGGACCCAAGATGGCCTTCCTGGCGTTGAGCAGTATGGGCATCCAAATCGGCATTGGCGTCGACACGCACGTGCATCGGCTCACCAATCGGCTCGGGTGGCACACGACAAAGACCCCGGAGGAGACGCGGTTGAACCTTCAATCCTGGCTCCCGCACGAATTGCACGGCAAGATTAACCGGTTGCTCGTAGGATTCGGACAGGTCATCTGTGTACCCGTGGGACCGAGGTGCGATCTGTGCAGTGTAGGTGCCGCAGGGCTGTGCCCGAGTAAAAGGGAGGTCGACCAGAAGAGCGTCGAGAAGAGGGTCAAGGTGGAATTGCTCGATAGCGATGGGGAGATGGAGGTGCAGGATAACTGGGTCAAGGTCAAGCGCGAGGGTGAGGCCAAGGTTAAGGTCGAGGTGGAGCTGGAGGGACCTGAGGGGAGTGGGCGGATGGAGATCGGTGATCTGTTGCAGACCGACGACAAGGGACTGGTGAAGGTTGAACAGGAAGATGTGGATGCGGAACAGGTGGATCGCGCGCTCGAGTGGTAGACTTGCAATGCCATCGGATTTCTTCGTTGCTGTTACGCAGCCGTGTGAGCCTCAACAACGATCCCTGCAGCGACCGTCTCGCCGTTCATACGCATCAACACGCGTGCCATCTCCTTGTTCGTCCTGGCGTCCTCCAACGGAATCCCGCTGCTCTGCCCCGCCATCCCCCCCGCCTTGACCGTCACCCTCACCATCGCCGTGCACCCCTTGGTCAGCACGCGCGGCTTCTTCTTGGCCACTCCCCCGCTCGTCTTGTCCAAAATGCTCACGAGCTCCGTCAGCGTCGCCGCGATGTTGGCGCTGTGATGGAACAACTCGACGCTAGTCCCCGCGACCAGCGGGTAGGTGGGTTCGAACACCAAGATCTGCGCGAGGAACGAGTCGCACAGCGCAATGGGGGCTGAGGGCGCGCAGAGCACCGCGCCGACCGAGACTTGGATCTGGTCGATGCCGCTGAGGTAGACTGTGGCGTTGGCGCCGGCGACCGCCCAGGGGACGGGTTCGCTATCGACCTCGATGGCGCGGACGATGCCCGATTCGTCGCCAGGGACGGGTCGGAGGCGGTCGCCGATCTGTACGATGCCCGAGACTACGCGGCCGGACACGCCGACACCGGAAGCAATGGCCGTTTGACCTTTGAAGACGTTTGTCACCGGCAAACGGAGGGGCGAGTCGAGTTGGCGCGCGGGCGGCTCGAGCGCGTCGAGGATCTCGACGAGCGTGGGTCCGGTGTACCAGGCCGATAGCGCACCGCCTTCCTCGCGCACAGCTAGGTTCTCGCCAACAGACCCGCCGCAGGGGACAAACTTTAGCTTGCCCGCGTCAAACCCGCACGAGGTCAGGAAGGGCTTGACCTTGCTCACGATCTCGTCGTATCGCTCCTGACTGTAGCCCACCGCGTCCAGCTTGTTGACTACGATGACGAGCTGCTGCACGCCCAACGACCTGACGAGCAGCGCGTGCTCTCGCGTCTGGCCGTTGGGTCCGAACCCAGCCTCGAAGGCGCCCTGAATCGAGTCGACGACGAGCAGCGCAGAGTCCGCCTGAGCTGCACCAGAGATCATGTTCGGGATAAAGTCGCGGTGACCGGGAGCGTCAAGCAGCGTGAAAGTGCGGTGCTGCGTCGAGAAGTGGTCCTGCGCAACATCGATGGTGACGCCGCGTTCGCGTTCCTCTTCGGACGAATCGAGGGCCCACGCGTAAGCGAAGCTGCCCTTGCCGATCTTCTGAGAGGCTCGTTCGTTGCTCGAGTATTCGCGTTGAGACAGAGAGCCTAGCTCGAGGAGCATGCGGCCCATCAGCGTCGACTTGCCGGCGTCGACGTGGCCTACGACGACCAAGCTGAGCTCGGCCTTGCCATCCTTCTCGCGCTTGCGGTATTCGTCGATGATGCGTTCGTGCGCAATGCCCATCGGCGTCGAGACCGCGCTGGGTGCAGCCGATCCTGCGGAAGAGGCGGCCCTGCTGCCACCCCCATGCATGTCGAGCGCTTCGATCTCATTTCTGAGCTGGCTGACCGTCGTTCCTCCTGGTTTCGTCGCAGCCGCTTTGGCAGCTTGGCCGACTGCTGCTTTTCTGTGTAGTGGCGTCGAGGTGCCCGATGCCGGAGCGGACGCATTTGCTGAGGCTGCTGCTTTCTTTGCGGCTGTCAGGCGATTCCATGGATCAGATGCAGATGCGAAAGAGAAAGTGTGATGAGGATGCGATCAGTATCAGGGCTGTTGCTGGCAGACAGCGGGCGCAGACTCCATCACTTGACACCTAGGCGGGTGCCCTGTCGCGCTTCCATCACAACATCGTCCGGGCTCGGGCCAGCAAATGCTTTTTTGACCGTCTCGAGTCCAGGCTCAGATTCAAGGCTTGAGCCCTGGACGTAGAGAGCAAACGGCGAGCCTCCAGGCACTTGTCTGAGACGCGACAGTGGTGCAACCAGCTGATCAGCTTCATCCTTGGACGGGCCAGCTATCGCGCTGGTGGAAACCAATGCGGTCCCTGAGCGTGTTGCAGCGGTGGGCACAGCTGTTGGTCCTGGAGCGGGGTCGGCGGTCGGGAAGAGGGACGAGATGGGCAGGTCGGAACCGTAGCAGGTCTGTGGGCGGGAACGAGCTTCCTCCTCTGCTGCTTCTGCCGCTGCTGCCTCCTTGGCCTCTGGCGTAGCTGCTTGGCGCTGTTGCTTGTTCGCAAGCATGCGCTGCTGCAACTTGGAGAGAGGCTTGGTTGCAGCGTCTGAAGTTGCAGCAGCCGAGGTGCTTGGTTCCTGCGGAGGAACGGCGGCGGGCTTCGATGAGGAGGCAACAGCTCCGCTCCGTGCAGCAGCCAAGGCAGCCAGCTTACTGGTGCGAGCAGGTGACGCTGCAGAGGCAGAATCAGCAGCGGATGCGGCAGGTGTCGAAGCGCTTGCTGGAGTCGATGGGGGCGCCGGGGACGCTGGTCGCGATCGATTCTGCGCATTGGGAGGAGGGTTCTCTGCTGGACGCTTCGCACTGGATCGAGCCGCGAGCGCCGAGAGCTTCGACGTTGGCTTGAAGGGCGCTGCAGAGCTCGAGGAAGCTGATGCGCCTTGGGGCCCTCGTACGAAGTCTGGCGCTAGGCCAGCGAGGTTGCGCTTCGCCATGCCAGCCCGACCACCCGTTGCCAGCCCGCGAAGCCCTTGTGCCCTACCTCGCGACATGCCTCTTCCGCCTCTGATCTCGGCACGGCGATCTCTTTGCAGCGACAGCTCTTTGAAAGCTTCTATCGTCGGTCCTTCGTCGTCGTCCAACTGCATGTCGCCGCTCTCTGTGACGGGTGCGGTAGCGGAAAGCGTTTCGGACAGATGTTCAGAGTCTGGTCGCGCTCTTGGCCCGAACGCCTGCAGCACTGGTCCCTGCCCGGCCCGTCCCGTATCCGCGATCAGAAGTCACCTGCCCAAGGAGTCGAACAAAACACTGAATGTGGAAAGGGGCCGCAGCAAGCCAGGCTGAAGTCAGTAACTCACCTTGTTTTTGACGATCCTTTTCTGCTTTGGCTTCTCTCCTGCTCTTTTCCTCGACGAGCTGTGTGACTGCGGAGTCGACGTCGAAGTAAGCATCCCACAGGATGTCCTTGACTTCGCGCTCGGTGAAGCCGTTGGAGCCTATTGGGCCAAGCACGTCGAGTGTTTGAGCGTAGGCTTCCGCCATGGCATCGTTGTCCTCGGGCGAGAGATTATCGTAAGGGTCTTCATCGTAGTAGTCGTCTTCCGCGAGCTCCTCGTCTAGGTCGAGATTGCGAACAGCGCGATGTCTTGACATGGTTGCCGGCTGTTTGTCTTGGTGGTGCAGAGTCAAGTCGAAAGAGGCACAGCAGGGAGGTACTGATGTTCGCTGCTTCTGCTGCTTTGTGACGTCTTTGCTGTTGGCTCGTTCGCTCGCACTTTTTGCTCCACCTGCCTGCCTTCGTGTGATTGCTCAGCTCGCAGTTGGATTTCCATCGCACAGTACAGAGTTTTTTTGCCGATGTAACACTGTCGATTTTTCGGCTCATCAGCAGCTCAACATCATCAGCCTGCGGACGATCAATGTATGCCTGATCGGGGACTCCTCAGCTTATGTTGCCCGGACGATATGACTGCTGATACAAAGTCTTCATAGTTTCCATGCCAGTATGAGGATTACTTTGCTTCCGGCAAGAACGTCTCCAACACGGCAGCCTCCTTCTCCTCCTGCTCGGCCAGGTCCTCTCTTGGCGGCTTGGCGGCTCTGAACTGCTTGGCCGTGTCCTGTCTGCGCTTGATCGCTTTTGTGATGAGCTTAGAGACCTTGGATACCTGGTTGCCCTTCTGCTTTGCCGAGTACTGGTGTTCCGAGACGATCGAGCGGAGGACGGTGGAAGTGAGCGAGTCTTTCGCCTTCATAGCTTCCTTGATGCCATATTTGACCTTCGCCAACAGCAGCGCTTCGGGATCTTCGTTGCTCGCCGGTGCTTCTGTTGATGAAAAGCGTGGCCAAGCTGGTTGATTTGCTGTGCAAAAGGGGAACAGAGGTTGATGTCAGTGAGTTTGCTCGTGACAGTACGAACTCATCTCGGAACTTACATGGCGCTGGGCTCGATCGCAGGCTCGTCGCCTCGAAAGAGCGCGGCAGCTGCGCTCGCAGTGCATAGTTGTTACGGAGGGCCTGTCGTAGCAGCATCTTGGGTCTTAATCGTTGAAGCAAGGCGGTTGGTGGGAAGGACGATATCGGTACCACCATGGACCAAGCACTTTCTTCCTCCACTCCGCAATTTGCCGAGCTTTTTTTTGCCACTTTTTTCCGCCACCTTTTTCGTGCCTTTTGGCTTGAACCCTTCTGCCGGACCCATGGCATCGAAAACTCTGAGCCGCGGAAAAAGGCTGCAGACCAACCTCGACACCTCTTCTACATGTGGCAGGTGTCGACCTCATGCCACCTCATCTCAGCCCCCGGTTGTTCGACAGATACGTCGCTGGTGACGGGGTATGAATATTGAGTGAATGTGCCGATGTCTATCTACTTGGAGGAGAAGAACCAGCTCGATCGAGCCTTGGGCGAGTTGGTGTCATTCGGACCTGGTGCTCCACCGAAGACAGCCTGCCTCGCCGCAACCGAGCCCGGCTGCGGTCCTGCTGTCGGGCCACCGCCGCGCAGAGGCTTGGCGATGCGACCGAAACCCAGCGGGCCAGCCGCAACATTGCCACCGGAGGGCACGCGCATCGAGTTGGCTTGATGCAAGCGCTCCTTGACCGCCTGCAGCTGGTCCTCGAACTTGCGGTTCTGCAACATGAGCTTCTCCTGGCTGTCCATGAGGTGCTGCTCCAGCGCCTGGATGCGCTCGTTCCTCGCCAACAGCTTTCTCTCGGCAATCGAGACCTCCTTCTTGAGACTGCTGTTCTGCTCCACCAGCTGCTTCTGCACGTTGGTTAGCTGCTCCAGGTTGCGCTCGAGGAATGCCATCTTCTTCTGCTGCGCCTTGGAGTTGCTGTTGCGCACCACGTTGTTGTACTGTTCGCGCGACTCGTCGAGCGAGATCTCGAGCTCCACGACCTTCTCGCAGCGGTTCTGCAGGTCGCGCATCAGCGACTTCTTCATCGTGTCAAACTCGGACAGTTGCGATGCCATGGTCTTGCGCACCCGCTCCAGGTCGCGTGCCGACTCGGCCAGGTTGCGTCCGCCCTCGACCCCGGCAGTGGTGACGGCAAAGGCGCGCTTGAGTTCCTCGTTGGTGCTCTTCAGCGTGTCGTTGTTCGAGGTCAGCACAGCGATCTCCTTGGCCTTGAACTCCATCTGCCGCTTAAGATCGTTGATCTCGCTCGTCTGAGCATCGCGCTTGGACGCATACTGCGACTCGAGCTTGTTCTTGAGATCCTCGATGGTGACGTCGACATTGACGTGGTTGGCCTCTTCGGCCTTGATCGACTTGTCGAGCAGCTCTTCGTACTCGGCTTCGAGCGACGCGAAACGGCTCTCGATCTCTTGGCGTCTCTGGTGCAGCAGCTCGCTCTCTTCGTGAGCTTGACGAACTCGCTCCGTCTGCTCGCGCAACAGGCTCTGCGACTCGAGGAGTTGTTCGCGGAGGGTAGACAGGTCATCGGCCGAGAGCGCTCCGGAGCCATCGCTGCCAGCATTCTCGAGCTTGCTGAGCGTCTCGCGGATCTGCTCTTCCTTTTCGGAGACGATACCCTGGTTGAAGTCGGCCATCATCTTGGCCATGCGCTCCGCCTTCTTGCGCTCCTTGCCTTCTTGTGATGGGTCTTTGACCGTCTTCGCAGTGTCGGCGAGCGACTTGCGCAGCTCCTCGAGCTCCGCCGACAGGTCTTTGTTCTGCTCCTTGAGGATGTCGAGCGTGATGGTGGCGTCCTTGTGCTCGTACGTGACGCGCTCGAGCTGAAGCTTGATCTCGTTGATCTCGGACGTCATGCTCTTGTTGTCCCTGGACAGTGTCGCCTCTTGCTCGCGGTAGAAGCCCAACTCCTGGGTGGCCTCACGCAGTGCACTCTCTGCTGACTTGAGGACGACTTCCTTCTCGGCGATCTGGTCGCTGAGCTCGTTCTCCCTGCGCAGGAACTCGTCCCGCTCGTCCTTATCGATCGCAGTGGCCGACGGCGTCTCTGGTCGGGAGGCAAGGTCGCGCAAATTCTCCACGGCTGGCGTGATGGGTCTCGATTGACTTGGTGTCGGCGTCAGAGCCGGCGAAGGCAGTGGTGCGCCTTGGCCCACGACCACCTTGGAGGCATCGGCCCACTCGGACTCGGGCACCTTGCCGCCCGAGCGCCATGTCTTGAGCTCCGCCTCAAGATTGGCAATGTATTGCTGATATCGCTCGTTGTCGGCTTTGGCTTTCTTGAGCAGTGCCTTGAGCTCGGCCGGAGACAACTCGGCATTGACTCGTGCCTTGTTCTTGATGCTCTTGGCACGTACACCGAATCGCAGGGTGGAGAGCGTCTCGTCGGCATTGTAGACACATGGAGAAGCGTTGACAATGAGCGTGGTTCGCGAGTTGCCTCCAAGCGACTCTTGCAAGATACGAGTGAGCTTGGAGTCACGATAGGGAATGTGAGATGACTTGCCGTCGGTGAGCGCATTGATGACCATGCCCAACGCCGACAGACTCTTGTTGATCTTTTTGGCTTCCTCGAGCGTCTGACCGCTTGCGCCGGTCTTGCCGACCTTTTCGGAACCTGCCAGATCCACAAGGTAAAGGTTGCCCGTCTTGGCGCTGCCGGTCTCCGTGTTGCGCTGCTGAATTGTTATGAGGAAGATGGAATGCGAACGTGATGACTCGGCGTTCATGTTGGTGGAGGAGACGGCGCGGGCAAGCCCACCCTGACGCATGATCTCGTACACATCGGCCTGACCTCCGACGTAAAAGTCTGAGAGGCCCTTGACGTAGACACCTCGGTTCTTCTCTTCGTGGATCTGCAGGTTGTCGTTCTGTGGGGCGAGCAGGTCGCGAATCTTCTCCATGTAGATTTCTAGGTAAGAGACCTTGACGAGGTATTCGAGATGCGGCGGACTGGCCATGATGTTTTCGAAGATCTGTTCGGTGATGCGTGGGACGATACCTTTGAGGTTGTCGTTGTCGATGTCGGCTCCCATCATGGTAAAGGTCTTACCGGAACCGGTCTGACCGTAGGCAAAGATGGTCCCGTTGTAGCCGTTGAGAACGTCGTCGACGGTCTCTTTGAGGCCGAACTCGAAGACGTCGCGCTGCGCAGTGTTCATTGGGAAGACACGATCGAAGACGAAGCCGCCTGCCTCAGGACCGGAGGTGGACACGCCGCGGGTCATCTTGACGAGGGATCCGTCATCGCTAAAGTCGACGACGATGTCGCTGCCCTCCCGCTGCTCAATGGCATTGGGAGGACGGAAACGACAGACGACCTTGATGTTATTTGACATGGTGGGCGAGCGTTGGTGTGGTCAGACAACAAAGCCTGAGGAGGAAGGCGCAGAGTGAGCGATCAACATGCACCTCAACCGGCAGGACGCGGGGTTGGGATCACCGCTGTGTGCCCTTTCGTGAGCTCTTGATGGCACACTGAATGATACCAGGCTGCTCGAGTCGGTATAGAGCGAGGAGATGTGCGGGAGAGACAACGATGGGGGTGCGAAGTGAGGTCCGATGGTGTCAGATATCGATCTTGGCCAGTCCAAAGGGAAAAGTAACAGAAATGCAGCAGACTGAGTGTGTGTTGGTCTACGGCGGCGGTGGTGCGCGTCCCGTGCATGTGTTGGCTCAGATGAAAGGAGAGCTTAGCCAGTCAGCCAGCCAGCGACCAAGCCTCAAGCGAAAGCCATATTTTTTGGCGAATGTAGAAGAGGGTCTAACACTGTTGGCGCGTCCCTTTGCCTGTGTCAAGCAAGTGTTGGTCTCGAAGCTTGGCAGGCAGGAATTCAGTCTCAGCTGAGCCGCTTCTCGTCGAGATGGAGATGAAACCCTCCACAAAGTCACATCACACTGTGACTCTGATCACTCACAAAGACTGCGCCGTGTCAATCGATTGATCACAGCACCAACGATCCTTCCGCACACCACAACCGCAACAGCTTCTCTCAGCGCCCTGGCAGGTCTCACTGACGTCAAACTCAAGGTCGCGTCATCCTCGTCACCCTCCCAAGACGGTGAATGTCTTCCTCCGCATCCGCAGGTCACAAACGGTCTCTACAAGAACACGACTCGGAGAACGAAAGTATAGAGAAGCGCGCCAAGATGACGGACTCTAATAAGCCGAGCGCGGATGCTCAAGAGGCTGCTCCTTTGACGTCGGCTGTCTCCTCATCATTATCAATAGAAGCCGGCCCATCTCGTCTGACGCCCCCTTCCGACCGCCAGGATGACAAGATAGACGGTGCAGGTGAAGAGGCCACATCGGACCTGTCAAACGCACCTAAGGTCGGCTTCTCGATCAAGTACCAGGGTACCTTGCTGTCGGCGCGACTAGCTGAAGATGAGACAGTAGCCGACCTCAAGGCCATCCTGTTCTCCATGACCGACGTACCACCCGAAAGTCAGAAGCTGCTCGGCATGGTCAAGGGCAAGCAGCCGATCGATGAGACCCAGCTCGGCTCGATTCCATACGCTCCTGCCGCTCTCAAAGCTCGACCTGCCTCCACAAGAGCGAATAGCACCACCACCGATACAGCTGTCGCTGCGGACCAAGCGTGCAAGATCACAGTGCAATTTACACTGCTCGGCACTCCAGAGGCGGGGCGATTCAGGGACCAGACCATCCCGAGTCTCTTGGCTGGCGACCAAGGAGAGGCAGACAAGGACCTCGACTACCTCGAGCTCCCCAAAGCTGAAGGGCCCAAGCTCAAGCCACACGAAGATCCCAAGTATCGCGCCAAGCTTGAAAAGACCATCAGCCGCTTCTCCGACTTTCCCATCATCAACCCGCCCCGACCGGGCAAGAAGCTGCTCGTGCTCGATCTCGACTACTGCATCGCCGACACCAAACGCTTGCTTGATCCTAACTCACCCGCTTCCCTAGCGGCTCGTCCTGGTCTACATGAGATGCTCAAAGCGGTCTACCCGTACTATGACATTTGCGTCTGGTCGCAGACATCGTGGCGTTGGCTTGAGATCAAGCTGGTGGAGCTCAACATGCTCGGCAATCCGGACTACAACATCTCCTTTGTCATTGACCGCACGCCCATGTTCCGCGTTCATTCCCAGGTGGGCACGCACGAGGTCAAGGCGCTCGAATTCATTTGGCGCAGGTGGCCCGACGTGTACGGCCCGCACAACACGATCCACATTGACGATCTCAGCCGCAACTTTGCCATGAACCCACGCAATGGCCTCAAGATCAAAGCTTACAGAGCGGCTCCGAACTTCGACACAGAATTCGAGGCTCTTCGCCGGTATCTGCTGCAGCTTGCTCATCCAAGCGTGACCGACTTTACCAAGTACGAGCATATGCATAACGCCTGGAAGCACTTTCAAGGTCCCTCGGTGTGAGAGGCTCACCTTCGATGCAAACATGGTGTTCGTGGCCGAAGCGTGCCCGAGAACGAGCTTCGACCCATCCGCCCCACCGCTCAAGAGCATCTCGCGTACAATTCATCACGTACTCCAAGCTTGGCCCCACCATGTACTGTTACCATCGCCGTCGAGCTAGTCTCTAAGCAAAACATACCCGCCACCGCTGTCAGCCCTGCTTACCAATGTGTGCCATCTCTTCATCTCAAACTCGGCAACCGGCGTCGATCTCCACCCGAGCGGTAACACAGCTCGCATGGTTTGGTGGCCCAGAGGTGGGGATGTTGAGCAAGATGAAATCGCGGCGCGTGTTGCACCGCCTGCTGGCTTGGCCAGCCACAATGAGAAGGTCTGACTCGATCGTCGTTGCGAAAAGCCTGACACAGATGCACTAGAAAGCGAGTGGACTACGAGGGACCGAGATGAGTGACATGGTGACGAGCGCTCGAGTATCAAGTAGGTTGCGGAAGCGCGTAAATTGGAGTGTGATTCCAGGAAAAAGACCCGCTTGGACCACGGCTGTCGGACCTTGCCCAAGGGTGCATGGCCTGTTCTTCTTGGCACTCTCTTTGTTACAATCACGAACCCGTCTCCTCTTCGCTTTCACCCTCGCTCCCTTCTCCCACCCTCACGAACCCTGCCTGGAACCCACCACTCGCTGACAACCCTCATCTATATAGACTCTCGTTTCCAAGCACCCGCCATCCCACCATCGACCCACCACCTGCAGCCCGATGAGCAGCCACAGCACGATGCATACGCTCGACATCCACTCTGCCACCACCGACCAGATCCTATCCCTCGACAACATTCGATCGGTTCTCATCCGACTCGAGGAGACGATCGTATTCCAGCTGATCGAGCGGGCGCAATTCGCACGCAATGCCAAGTGCTACGTCCCCGGCGGTTTCCCCGAACTTGCGGAGCGCGAGGGGTGGACCAGCTCGTGGCTCGCATGGTTTTTGAAGGAGACCGAAAGCACGCATGCCAAAGTGCGCCGCTTCGAGGCGTGAGTACCCTTCCGCATTCCAACGTATGAAGAGTGTAGCTGACCCCTCGGTTTGGTCTGCGATTAGGCCCGATGAGTACCCGTTTACAAACCCGGAGTTGCTGCCCACGCCGATATTGGCACCCGTAACATACCCGCAGCTGCTGTGGAAGCACGCCGTCAACGTCAATGACCAGATCATGAAGTTTTACGTCGAGAGCATTGTACCGGGCATCACGCGGACGTTGGGCGAGGTGCGTCTTTCCTCCACAGTCCCCCTTTTCTTCCCCGATAGACAAAATTGCTGACCCCTTTGACTGCGACAACAGAACGCGGACGACGGGCACTACGGTTCCTCAGCGATCCGCGATATGGAGGTGCTCTCAGCGCTCAGTCGACGCATTCATTTCGGTAAGTCCCCTCATCCCTTTACATCTTCTGCCCCTTGCATTGGGCTGACCCTCGCCTTTGTGTTGCGCAACAGGAATGTTTGTATCGGAATCAAAGTTCCGTGCGGCACCTGCGTCGTTCATCCCGCACATCCTCACGCCGAACCGCGACGCGCTCGCTGCGCTCATCACCAAACCGGCGGTCGAAGCGGCGCTCCTGGTGCGGCTGGCCGAAAAGGCAAAGGTGTACGGCCAGGACATGGATCGTCCCGGCGCCAACGCCGAGGACCGGGAAAAGGAGCGCAAGATCGAGGTCGACACGGTCGTTCGGATCTACAAGACGTTTGTGATCCCCTTGACCAAGGAGGTCGAGGTGGATTACCTGCTGACGAGATTGGAGGGGGTGGATCAAAGACAGGTGGAGGAGATGTTGCGGACGGACAAGTTTGTTGGTTGAAGCATGCGCAGTTTGATACCATACCAGTCCGACAGCGTGTGTGCGGGAGAGCGACGGAGAAGAGCGGGACGGTTTGAGTGAAGGAGTGAGTGGTTCTGGCGAGAAGGGGCGACCGATGGAGACACGTGCGGAATGCCGGAGTGGGATCCTAGCAACGACAGGCGAAGCTCACCTCAGGCCGAGATGCGAACCTTGATACGAGATCGTAGGCAGATCGTGTCGGCCATGCGAGAGTTAAGCTTTCGCTTCGCATCCTCACCTCCTCATCCTTGTCCCGCTTCACCATCAACCACCACTCACTCGTTCACACAGCACACACTAGAAAGAGATGGAGTACAAATACTATCATAGATTAAACAAGTACAAAGCTCCCTTTAGCTGGAGATAGCACTCAACCCGCGCTTCTCGCCCCTCAGACTCGAGATCGGAGACCAGTTCGTCCTGGGATCCTTGGCAAAGATCTGACTCGTCAGAGGGGGACTCCTGCTACCCCTTGCTGCAACATACTCCTCCGCACCCACCTCGAGCGGGGCTGATCGGGGGCTGATAGCGCTGCTATCGGGGGAGCTACCGGAGCTTAAGCCATCATCACTGCCCACCGAGCTGCGGTTCCTCGAATGGGCGGGGGACAGCCTCAAGCTGGGCAATGGCAACCTGGCGATGCTGGGCAAGTTGCCGTTGCTCCCCACGCTCGAGCTGGACAGTCGAGGAAGTCTCAACGACTCGGCACCGGTGGACGACCCGCGTGTTGGAGAGGGTGCGTCACTGGCGGGTCGCACAAAAAACCGAGCCGCTTCACCAATCTGCTGCTCGCCCAGGTTCCAACACTGTCGCGCGGTTGCCCACCATCGACTCGCGTCGGGGCTCGCCCCACGCCCGCTGTACTGCGTGCACAGGAGCAGGGCGGGGAAGGCGAACAGATTGCGGCGTCCGGTGATGCTGAGGACCGAGAGGATGAGGTGGATGTTGTCCAGCGCGGCTTTTTGTTGACCCCGATCAGCTTGCGGGGCACCCGAACGACGTGCTTCCATGAGGAAAACGGAGCATTCGGCGATGAGGTGCATCTGCGCCCAGAACCAGGCGCGGTGCGAAGCGGCACTGGCTTCCGGCTCCTCAAGCAGTCGAGAGGCAGACTTCATGTTGTAGTCGTCAAACTTGTGCTCGACGACCAGCGCGGCTGCCCACGACTGGAGCGCATCCTCACCCTTAGAGCACGGCTCGTTGGCGTCAATGACGAGACCGAAGACCGTAGCAATCTCGGCGAGACGCGCAAAAGACTTTGTGACGTCGTCGCGCGTCTCGTCGCCGGAAGTGCCAAAGTTGCGCGCAGCAGCGAGAACGTCGGAACGGCGAACGGTGGAGGACTGGGCAGCGAGCGCGGCGATGGTCATGTCGAGCGTCCAGGCGAGGAGGACGAGACGTTCGCAGGTGGCACGACGAGGCCAGGACGACGACGAGAACGAGTCGCGACCGTAGGCGTTCTTGCGCGCCGGCGGCAGCTGACCGTCGGCGAGCTTGAGGGTGGCGTTGATGCGGACGGCGTCGTTGGAGTAGGAGAGGGCACGCTGGAGACGACCCATGCCGAGCTCGTGAGCGGAGAGGAAGCAGAGGGTGAGGGAAAGGTCGACATCAGGTCGGTCGAGGAGGGTGAAGCCATCCTGGTCTTCGTCCTGAAGCATGCGACGAGCCGAGCGGGCAAAACCCTCGCCTTGTGCGAAACGACGTTCGCGCTCCGCCTCGCTGATGCCCTGCTCGAAGCGAGCGGCGAGAGCGAACATGGCCATCAACAGGTACGAAGGCACCTCGGAGGTAGACAGATCGCGGAGGAAGGAGATCTCGTCCATGACACAGCTGAAGGGGTGGATCTGCGAGAAGAAGATGCTGATGAGATCTCTCCTGCGTTCGGGTGCGACGTCGTCGATGGTGAGCAAGCCCTCGGCGCGGAGACCGGCATTGCCGATGGACATGGGGCTCGACTTGGAGCTCATGGTGTTGGCACGAGGACGGCCAGACAAGTCGCTGCCGTTGGGGCTGGACGCCGAGACGGCCGTGTAGGCAGGGGTGAGCGCCTCGGAGGGGTGGAGGTTGGCGTTGCTGTGACCAGCCGACGAGCCAGAGGACTGACCAGCTTCGTTGGCGACGCGAGCAGTGGGGATGACCATCTTGCCGTTGGCATCCGAGTAGCAGCAGGTACGACCGCTAAAGTCGCAGTTGGAGCAAGGGAGACCACCATCGCAACGACGCTTGGCCTTGTGGCAGGCGACGCAAGCCTTTTGAAGACGCTTGCGCTTGCGACCGGTGGCAGCGTAGATAGTGGTGCCGTCAGCGGTGACGTGGGTGGTGCGGATGACAGGCTGCTCTGGCGAAGGGTTGGCAGAAGGAGCTTGCGATGCAAAGGTCGGTGGTAGCGGCGAGGAAGGCCCGGGAGCAGCCGAGGCAGATCGATGCGCCCAAGGATCCGAGTGGTGAGCGTGGTGAGAGGGAGCAGCGGCGGCGTGGCCACTGGAGAGAGCACGGTAGGTGGAAGGACCTGCTGAAGCCGAGTAAGCTGAGTGAGCAAGGTGGGGCTGCTGGTGGTGGTGGTGTTGTTGATGGTGGTGCTGCGAAGGCTTGTGCTCGCTACTGCTGCTGGAGCCCCATGGCGCAGCGTGGTAGGTGGAGTGTGGTCTGGACATGTTTGGTGATGTTGATGGGAGCATGTCAACAGAAGCTATTCAAGATGGTTGCAAAAGGGTGATGTAGTTGGTAGCAGTGATGGACGATGATGGTGAAGGTCGTAAGGATGGATACAATGACGATGGTCGAATAGGCAAAGGGGAAGGAAACCACGGGCGAAGGCGAGTTGATCGAGAGCGCTATATACAGAGGAGGCGGATGACCACGAGGGCCGAGATGCCAAGACTTGGAAGGCAAACCGAGCGGGGCGGACCTGGAAAAGAGGTGTCTGATTGGCAGCTGACGGCGTTGCATCGAGGCTGCGCTCGTCTCTATGCTCTCATGAAGGGGTAAGCGACATTCGGGTTCGGCGGGCGAACAACGGCAGGCGGCTCAAGGGGGGGAACACAGGAAGAGGACCGGATGCCAAGCCATAGCTGAGCTATAGTGCAGCAGCAGACGAAGAGGGAGGAGGAGGGGTGGGAGAAGCCCCTTGACGAAGAGCCGTGTTTGCAAGCCAAGAGAAACGCGCCTCAACGCCAAGCCTCAGGTTGTCCGCCTCGCTATCTCGGAAGCTGAACCGGATTTGACCCTGTTCCACTGTTTGGATGGCCTTGTCCACCCACAACCGCCGCCTGTCAACCTCGTTCATTGCCGAAGAAGATCGGACTCCCCTCCAATGAAGGCGATCCAACTCGATATCACGAGCGCGGTGGCAATCCGTCGTCGTTGGATGGACGAATGGGATGTCGTCTGATTCGACCTTGCCATTTCTGCAGGTGGGGAAGAGGAAAAGCGGAGCGGCGGTCTGCGCTGCGAGACAGAGGGAAGCGAACCATCACACCCACCGGCCAAGCGGGAGGAGGCAGACGGAACCCTCGGCACTGCACGAGAGGAAGCCACAAATCTGTCAGCGTGCCAAGAGCTGCACGACGAACCGTAGGCATCTTTGCCAAGCCTCGAATCAAAATCAAACTCAAATTGTAGATTCAAGACGCTGTTATTCATTCTTGAGCTCAATTCAAGTTCGAAACACTGTGGACGGAGCACGAGCTCGCTCGGTGAAATGTGAGGGATGTGGGTCAAGGCATTTGGCCCGTGTTCATCAGCGGCCTGGATGCCAAGCCGATGCTAAGGGATCTGACCGCCGCTTATGGGCCGCCTGTCCCGCCCTCGTGCCTCGCAAAGCCGCGACTGGTCTGCTGCCTCGACCGTGGCATGGCATTATCCGAGTGCAGCTCTGCTGAGGAAACGAACGTGCCTGGGCTCAATCATCCCTTGGTCGGGTCGAATGCCAAGCCAGTGAGCTGGCGGACTCCTTATCCACCCACTCTCGTGCTTTCTCGCCTCTTGCATGCCCTGCTATCTCTCACAAATGGCAGGTCCGTCCCTCCTCAGTCGAATGCCCAGACACACGACAGCCTTGCAATATGTCAACACGATTGCATGATTCGCCTTCGGATGTGACGGAAGTGAGGATATGGAACGAAGGGGGTCAGCCAGGTGTGCAGAGATCATCAAGAAAGCAAGGTCAGCTTCCGTCATGCGCCAAGCTTTCCTCCCTATCACAGGTCTCAGCTGAGGTGCTTGTGCCCTTGCAGCCACGTCACAGGCTTGCTTACCCCCCTCCCACGGATCGGAAGAGTGTCGCCTTATTGATTGGCCGGTCTCCGCGTCGAGATGCCAGGCACCCGCGCCCGTCAATCAGGGTCCCCGGCGGAGAGCGAGCGATGGGGACCCTCGAGCTGTGTGTGCGACGCGAGACTGGCCGTCTCCCATCCACCCGACGTTTCCGATAGCTCATTTCGCGAAGGGGGTTTCCAACCGATCGGGCCAATCCTTCACAATGTTGACTCGCTTGAAACGACAAAAGGGTTCGCCACCTGAATTCATCCGTTCATGACCCTCATTCTCCTGTCAGAGCTGCTCCCGAGCCACGTCCATCTCGCTCGCACCATTGAACTGCGGGCGGATCAAATTGGGCACAACGACAGGCGAGGGGACAGTCACTCCATCAACAAAGGGGCCGAGCTTCTTGGCGTAAGCGGGTTCCCCTGGACCGTTTTGAGAAACAGCCCGCAGGCACCCGGCGAGTGTGGCTCATTCGGGTTGGACCGCCAAGACTTCGGAGTTGGGACGCGAGCCTGCGGTTCGTTTCTGCGTTTTCCTGCATTCTTTGCGAGTGGACACGTTTGCGGGCGGGGCGGCTGCAACGACTGCAAGGGTCGTTCCGTGCCTCTCTCGTGCGAGTCTCCGCCACGGGATCGTAGATCCCAGGATCATTAGAACGAGATCGGGATCTTCCGCCGGAGCTGATACAGCACCTGATGCTCGCTTAGCTCTTTGTTCGAGAACACCGAGATGCTCGCTCTTGTCGAGCTGCCACCATCGCTTTTGCCACCCTAGCCTCGAGCGTGGAGCCCAAAGACAAGCGCTACGATGGACGAAGCCGGCGCGGTACTCTGTGGTGGTTGTTGCGGCGCCATCTGCGCCCAGATCCAGTACGCCTTTTGCAACACCCGTATGTGCCCATGCAGCTTCCTCTCCAAGTCGCGGCTCTGACTGACCTTCTACCTTGACGCAACAGGTCAATACGGCACGGACGCCACCTGCGCCGACAACTGCTGCCGCTTCAATTGCTGCTGGAAACAGGGCGCATTTCCCGTCGAAGACTATCCGATTGCCAATAGTGAGGCTCAGGATAGGACACAAACCGTCGATTCGTCGGCAGCAACCAAGGGTGAAGGTGGACAGCTGCCTGCGTATACTGCGACGCCGCAGATGTCGGCTGCCCCAGCGACGGGGTCGACGCCCGCGCCGGCAGTGCCGTAGCTCTGCGAAAGGTCGTCGACGAATGATCACATCTGCTAGCACCTGGCTCCTCTCCATATACCCGCCATTGGAATGAAGCTGCCGTCTCATGGCATCATCCTATCACGGATCTGTCTTATTCGTGATAGCTTCTGTTGCACTGTGAGAGTTGCGCTCTCTCTATTCGGCCATGTGCCCCACCTGCTGGGCGGTGCAGTTCCGCATCTATCCGACGAACTTCGTATGCGATCCCGTCACCACAACTCTATCGTCCTCACCGGTCTCCCTTCCGCCCGATTTCCTGCCGAGAATCTGAACATCAATAAACGCAAGATTCCGGCCGACCTTGTTGCTCTTGCCCTTGATGATGAGCGTATCGCCCTCCTTGGCGGCGCCGACGTACGTTGCGTGGATGTCGACGCTGACGCCTCGTTTCGTGAAGCGGTCGGGCGAGGTGGAGGCGATGACGATGCCGCCGATCCAGTCGATGATCGTGGCGGACGTCGAGCCGTGCAGGATGTTCTTGCTGTTCATCAGCGTTTTTGAGACGGGAACGTGGGCTTCGATGTAGCCCGGCTGGACGGCCTTGATCTCCAGCTGGAGAACCAAGAAGGGGTGGTTGTCAGTTGAGATGATGAGAACGTGATTGGGGAGAGCAAGTACTCACGTCCGAAAGGAGGTATTTGTAGATCGGGTTGTTGTCGAGGACGTTTGCGTGCACCTCGTTGATCTGCTGCAGCGTCACTGCGCCCTCCAAGGAAGCGGATGTGGTCGACATCTTGGCAAAGAGGTGTCGTGTGTCGGTATGTTGTTGTAGGGAAGCAAGATCCTCTGGAAGATCGACAAGAGGTTGCCCCAACACCGGACCCTTCTTTATCGGCGTGGGGAAGACCCTGTTGGCCAAATGTAACACGCTCGGATTTTTCGGCTGTCGGGCATCCTCCATGGACCAGAAGAACGACCTTGGACCCTGAGCCCTTCTTCTTCTGCGCTCTTCAACCAACCGCAGCCCAGCGTCACAGGGCACAGTCGCTGGAAGATGTTCTCGTCGACGAGCGGGCCGTTCCAGCGTCAGTACCCGCAAGCTGCCGCGCAGACGCCGTTCCAGCGCCTCAAGCCGGCATGTGTCGAGCTGCTCTCCCTCGCCGGACGCTCGACGGGGCCTGTGCAGACCCAGCAGGTGGTCGCCTGCCTGCGTCGACTGCAAGCTGCCCTCAAAGCACTCATCACGAATATAGACGATCGCGCTCTCCGCAATGGCGAGCCAACCGCATCTACGTCGAGGCTCATCGGATCCGACACGCAGCCCGCCCTCTCACCCGCATTGGTCAACTACATCTTCTACCCACTCTCGGAGCTCATTCGCTCTGCACCCAAGGGCATCACCAGCCTGCCAGACTCGATATGTGAGGCCACCTTGGAGGTGCTTGAGCTCCTGTGCAGCCAGTGGTGGGCGGCATGGGTCGGCGAGACGGAGAAATCGGCAGTGGGCAAGGGCTGGCAGGTGTGGTGCGATCTCGTGATTCTCGCCAGCTCGGTACTTGGTGCGCCGTCCAGCAAGGACAAGGTCGACGCTGAGGCAAGGTCGGGCGCAAGCGACGAGGTCAAGGTCGCAGCGTTGAGAGTGCTGACGGAACTCCTATCGCCGCGCTTTCGAGCTCAGCAGGTTACAGGTCCGGATGCGAACAAGGCAAAAGCAAAGGAGGACGAGTGGGAGTGGGACGGCGTGTCTGATCTGCCAGACCTGGACGACCAAGAGCCAGCAGCCGGCAGATCGGCATCGGCGTCAAAGAAAGTTGCCGTCGGCTCTTCGAAAGGCGAGGCAGTCCTTGTGTATCCCACATCAGCACATCTCTCGTACGCTTCAACAGAGAGAGTCGCAAAAGGTGCCACCAGCTTCGTCCTCTCGTCCTGCTTCGACATCGCGCAGTCGTCCCAAGAATGCATGGAAGCACGGTCAGCGGCCGTCAGCGTGGCGCACAGCGCTCTGCTCCTTTGGATCGGTGGTGTTTGTCAGGCTCTCTTGGCGCGTACCGAGGCGAACGGAGCTGAAGTCCCGCCCTTGTTCTACATCGACATACCCAAGGCTGTATCGACAAGCTCGAAATCTGACGATACACCGCCGCGAGCAAAAGTTGCCAAACGCCTTCGCCCGCTTCTTCCTGGAATCACTTCTACGCTGACACGTCTAGCTACAAGCCGCATCAAGTCTACGCCAGGATCGACGAAGCAGAAACCAACGCCAAGCCCCGTCGCAGCGAAAGCCATCGAGCTGCTGGGAGATCTCTTCCGGGTGACGCTGTCGGATGAAGCTTTGCGAGATGCAATTGCCCATCGAGGACCTCTCCAACGCAACACGCCCGAGACATCGACAAGGATGACGACTCTCGAGGGTTTTGCCGCGCTAGACAGCGACGAGGATGTCGTCTCTGAACCGGCTAACGTACCCTCGGAAGAGAACGTCGATAAAGACTCGGCCACAAGGAACGACAGTGCAGAGCCAGCAGTGGACAAGGAGGCAAAGTGGGCAATGTCCACGCTCGCTCAGGTCCATCTGGCGTTGAAAACATTCGCTCCGCTTACACAGCCTTCTCTACCAGGCACTTTGTTGCCTTCATCCGTCCATCCTTCGGTTCAGAAAGCCCTTCTCCGCTTGACACTGGTGCTCCTGTCGGAATGCGGTGGCTCTTTCGCTTGGGTTGACGAGCAGCTGGAAGGGATGGCTCGACTCGAGGCTACCTCCGGCGACAAAGACGGCACGGCTGCTGCTGAAGGCACCGGCCCGTCCAGCGTCAATCTGTTGCTCGCGTGGACCGTCGATCTCGCCTCCCAATACAACTCTGCTTCTGTCTCCCAGAGCGCCAGAGCTACCTTCGAAGCGCTGCAAACGAGAGCAGGGGAGCACGAGCGACTCAACCACTCATCGACGCTCGTACGCATGGGGAACGGGACTCTGATGTGGCAGGTGCTAAGGCAGGCACTGAACAGCCTTCCTCCCGGCATTGTCGCACACAACGATGCTAGCGTATCAAGACTCGCTTTGCGTGTTAGCACTGTTCTGGAACTACTCGTTCGACGGATTGGCAAGCACGCCAAGGTGGACGCTGGAAGCGGAGGTGCCAGCCTGACAAAGCTGGCGCATGACATGCAGGAAGCCTTCGCCCGACTGATCCGTCCTCTCAAGATCGACAGGCTGGAACACGTCGAAGAAGTGGCGGAGCTCGGCGTGACGACATGGCGACTGCAGCCTGTCTTTTCCGGACTCGAAGCGAGTACGTCCACTCAACTGACTCGGATGTTCTTCACCATCGGACGATCGCTCGTCCTGTCTCTCATCCACGAGATCAAGGCCGGCCGCAACAACGCCGGTGCCAAGGTCGACTTCAGCGAGGTCTTGTCGTTGGTCACTGTTCTAGTCGACAGAGCGGCTCGATTGCGTTCCATGAGAGTCGAGTCTGGAATTACCGACCAAAGCGCTCTGATCCAAGGCATTCAGCGCAGTGAGGAGAGCTTGACGTCGCTCGTGCTTGCCGCAGACGTCTTGCGCGGCGTCAGCAGCTGTCTAGACAATCTCGAGCTCGGCATGCAATTCGTCGACCTAGGCGCAGGAGCAATGCAGGCGAGCAAGCAGGCCCGAAAAGCGGCGCACAAGCTCGGCAAGAAGATCTTCAGCCAGGTCATGGCAATGCTCGACGGCGACGCGGAAGAGGCGATCCGGGCGAGGTCCAGCTTGGTCGAAAGCAAGCAAGCCGATGCAGTGTCCGCACGGTCAGTTGGCGATGCTGGAACCGAGCCTCCACGTGACGTTGGCCCCGCGGAGGACGGCGCCTCCGAACAGACGCTGGTCGAGCGAGTCAAAGGCTTCTCCCTAGCATCAGAAGACATCGAAACGTCGACGCCAGAACGACATGGGCCAGCCCTCAATCTTGGCTTCGTTCGCGCAGCCAATCTATCAAAGGCGTCAGGCGGCCCGCAAAGTCAAGCGCAGATCCAGCTCGCAGGGCAGCATCGATACCAACAGGCGCAGCGCCGGGTCGACCTATCGAATGCTCTACTGTTTGCACTCCTGGGCTCGACGTCAAAGCTGCTCGGCCAGTCCTTCCGTCCCTTGCTTCTGCGAGGGTCGTATCCGCTGATCAGCGGAATGTCCACTTCCGCGTCAGCCTCGTCGGATCTGGTACGACAAGCGTCTGCCTCGGCGATGAAGGACATCGCCTTCCACACGGCCTACGCTGATGTGAAGAATTGTTTGCTCGACCAGGCCGACTACATCCTCGGCTCGGCGTGCCAGAGGCTGATCAGCGGACTCGACGAGGAGCTCCGAGCCATCGCACTCGCAGACAGTCATATGGCTCCCAACTCGTCGGTTCGATCTAGCGCGGCTGTGACACGGACGAGTGGCGCCGGTGACGGTACCGAGGGCGCGGCGGTCTTGCTGCCACTGGTTTCGGCACAGCAAGCTCCCTTCGTGCTGGTCGAGATGATCCGTGTTCTCGGATCAGAGATCATTCCGATGGTCGAAGATGCGATTGACGAGATTCTCGACGCTCTTGATCGCTTCCATCAGCATCCCTCCATCTGCGACGGTCTACTCGCGGTGCTTGATTCGATCCTCGAGACCATGGCGACGGAGCAAGCATCCAAGCCGTCGGCACCCAAGAAGATCGATCAGATCGCGGCTGTTGCGCTCGAACTACAGAGTGACGAGGTGGAAATCTTCAAGGCATGGCTGGCCGCACGCAAAGGCGAGCCGACGGCATTCGACGAACCGAGCGAAGCCGGTCAAGCCAGCAAAGACGATCGCGAGGAGAAGGAAGAGAAGCCGTCCAAGAGTCAGCAAGTGGCATCGCAAATCCTGACCAAAGCCGCTGTCTTCCTCACGCATCCCTCTCCGATCCTGCGGAGTCGCGTCCTCGGTCTTCTGCGTCACGGCATCGAAACCCTCGCACCTCAGCAACGCACCGCCGAGCTTCTGCCCATCGTCAATACCGCCTGGCCGTATGTCATGACGCGTCTCGGTCCCGCTTACTCGACTGTCAAAGCCTCCCGATCGACGCAGTTTTCACCCATCATCGATCTCGATCCGTCCGCGATCGGAGCCAAAGCGAGGAGTGGTGACGATGCGTGGTTTGCCAAGCTGGAGGCGAGCTTCGTCGAGAGAGATCCTCAAGTCTGGGTGGCGGCAGCAAGGTTTGTCGAAGTGGCAGCGGAGCATGTGCCCGACTTTGTGGGGAAGAGGGTGGTGGAAGAGGCTTGGCCGAGGTTCGAGCAGCTGCTGACCTTGATGAGGTGGAAGTTTGATCCACGGATGGCGGGGCGTGGCACTGCTCAGTCATCGTCAGCTGGTGCAGCAGGCAGAGTGACGGGCGATGTGACGAGCGAAAGCAAAGCTCTGCTCAAATCGGAAAGCGAGCGATCCTCGGACAAGCCGATCACGGACCTGATTCACACTTCGTCGGCAACGTCCCGAAGCAACTTTGCAACATCGCAGCGTTCCACCTCGGCAGCACCGCACACCCATCTCGGCCCGCCATTCATCCTTCCGTCGGCAAGCAGCCTGCCGGCTCAGCTCACACTGTGCATTCTTACCACGCTCACCGTCGTGGTGCGACACGTCGGTGCACGCATTCCAGACGACGCAGCGTGGAGCATCACCGGCCAACCCTTCCTTCTGGACTTGCTGGACGCTCGTCAGCCGCCGTCCATCTTGCGTGCAGTCGAAGCGCTGTACATTGAGCTAGGGAAGCGCAACCCGGAAGCAACCCGATGGGCCGTCCAAGCTGCATTCCCAGCTGCAGCATTGGCCGCATCCGTGCTGCAGTCAGCTACGCCGTGCTTCATGGATCACTCCCTTACGAAAGTGCACGCAGAAACGGTGCATCACATTGTGGCGTCCTTCGCACTCCTGTAGGTTGGCTTTGCAATGAGATTGCATTCGAATGCATGTTTGCCGTTCTGTCATCGTGATGATTCGGTCGGAGTGAAGATGACGGGTGGTCCGTCTGGGCCATTCATGCATGAAGGTTGATACGCGTGGTGATGTCGATCGGTCACGTCGGGATTTTCAGCCTAGAGACAATCGGACAGAGTGGTTTCAGCGGCGGGCACGAGCTCATCCTTGAAGTGACGAAGCGCCCCTTCCTGCTGACGAGTGATGTCTTCGGCGGAAGCGCGAGCTTTCTCCTTCGCCTGATCCGACGGCTTGATGGCACTTTCAGCTTTGATCGGATGACATGCGCTCGCCGCGACACAGGGCTTTCGAACGTCGTCCTCCAGTGCTACGAGGTAGTCTTCCTCCTGGCAAGCGCAGATCGAGGTTTCGGCCGAAGTGCTCTCGTGGACATCATGCTGACTTCGGTGCGTATCATCGCTTTCACCGTCGTTGTCATCATCAGAAAGCTGCGGAGGCGTCACGAGCATGTTGGTCGAGATGGGATCCTCCCAGGTCGTGCCGTGATGGGTAGCAGCGATGTCTTTGGTCGCGTGTGCCGCTTCACTCGCTGCTCGTCGTCGACTCATGAGCTGATCGCGATCTCGTTCCTCCCTCATCCGGGTGACAGAGCAGTGTCGTTCATAGCAGATGTGCACCGCTTCGGTGTCGATGATAAGCATCCAGGCGAGTTGAACGTATTCAAATAGAGCCCAGGTCAGAGCGAGAGCCATCACGATGGCCACGATCCTGCTCGAGGTTCGAGGACAATCCGTCGTGTGCCAGCTGGAGGTTTGTATGGTACCATGAGGCTCAGCGTCGTCCTGAGCGCGAACGTGGTGGTTTAACATCGCTGACAGGATGGCCACCAGGCGCGTTTGCCATGCGAGCACACTCTCTAGGATCGTCATGCTGTTGGGACTCATCAGGAGGAAAAGGTGATGGATTGAACAGCTGTTGTCAGATCTGAAGGCGGCCGCTTCGTTTCGTCGATGGACGTGGCTCGATGAGAGTAGCAATACCAAGGTAAAGTGATGATCAGGGTCTCTGCGCGGTCAGGCTGGCGCTGTGGTAGAAGCGAAAGCGGATGGAGGGACCTCGGATCGGAGAAGAGACACGGGCGCGCAGCAGCAGCAGCTTTGTTTGAAGACAGGACGTGCAGCCGTGAAATTTGCTTCTTTTCCCAATTCGCAGGCGTGACTGGACCCCTGACTGTGACTCTTGTGATTTGAACCGAAAAGGAGTCGAAGCCCCCACTTGACTTCATTTGAGCAGCGCACAATGCTTTGTTCTTCATCGTTCTCTCGAGGCATGTCCCATTGAGACACAAGCCCAAGCCAAGAAAGAATCATATGGACGAGCTCCTCTGCCACAAAAGGTCTCCGAACGCGGGCGCCCGTGCTAACACGAGGGCCTCTCTCGTTCGGCGTCCGGACAAGGCTGGATTGCGGCTCGGTCTCCACGGCCATCTACTCACCGAGGGCGATTTGGCAGCCATTCTACCAGCTCACCATTGTTCTTGGACGCGGATATGCACGCTGGAGGATGCCACCATTGTTGGGCGTTTTCGGGTCAAAGCGGTGGGAGCTGACACAATGAACCGGGTCGCTTGCAGAAGCCGAACAATGATCCCGATCGTCGGTCAAGTCATTGTTCTTGTTGAGCCCTCAATGGAAGCGATCGACTGGGCATCTGTTGTCGTTGTACCTCTCTCGCGCCCATGTGGACGAGACGCAGTGCATGGCAACGTCTGCCATCGCTATGATCGCAAGCACAATGGTTGCTAGCTTACCTCGCTTGCATGGCAGCGACAAGCTCGCTTCATTTGCAGGCGCTGAATGCGTGAATGTGCACGCGGATGCCATGGTACAGCAGTGCCCAAGACGTCTGTGAACACGAGCCCGCTCTGCGAACAACACCATCGAGCGGTTCCCGTTCCAAGCGGGCAAGCTCTCACGAGGCGGTACAGCTGCCGATACCTCGTCTCGCACTGCTTAACAAATTAGAAAGTCGATCTGATTGTTTGCAGAGCCGCGCTGCAATCCCCGACTTGGAGCCAAACAATCGGCTTCGTTTGCTCGTCTTTCGGGCAAGTTTCGCCTTGACGCTCGTTGGATGAGCCTCGAAGGGATGCTGTGGTGTTTGCTTGCGTAAGTTGAAGCGGATTTAGCCTAAAGATGTCCTCTCCCGACGGAAGCACGATTCAAGTATGCGAGCGGAAGAGCCGCGCACCGTTGATCTCCGCGAAACCGAGACCGAAGCGAATATCAGCTGGCCATCGAAGCCCTGCGCCTACTGTAGCCTCGCTTCAAGACACCGGACCGCGAGAGGGAGTGCCTATTTTGCACTTTATCCTTGAGAAGTCAGCTCTCCGAATTTATTTTCAGGCTCCGAACGTAAGCCCGCTGGCTAAAATTATCCAATTGTACTCTGTGCTGTGCTGTGCCTGCGTGTGGTCTTGCTCCTGACAGCTGCACCACCCTGTGCATACTGCAGAGAAGCAATAACTATGACATCGTGTAGATGGGCTGGCCCGACAGTCGGGGACTCGTTCAGGCTTAGGTTAGCTTCCCATTGTTCTCCCGGCCTCGTCGTGGGAACTTCTTTCACCCTTGCCCGACGTGCAGCTAAGCGACGATGCCAAAGGTGACAGACACAATGGCGCATTCTCCGCCAACCTTGCAGTGTGCTGCGCGACGACCTGCTCTGAACGGAAGCATCCTTGACCACGATGAGCGAGCGACTGATGCAACGAGGTCATTGCACCCACATGCAAAGGGAGCAGCAGCCAGCCACACTCAAATGCTAGTCGACCTCACTCCGTTCAGCCTTGAGTCAAATAGGGCAACCGAGGGCTCCCCAGACTGCGCCTTGCCGCGACTCGAGGCCCTGCGTCGGTCAGGCGTCATGTCGAACAGACACGCGAGATCTCGCCCTGTCTCGCTTGCGGGCGCCGTGCCTGAAAACAATTCGGCAATTAGAGCGCATAATCCGGCCTTGCTGGGCTCCTTTCCTCTCTCGGTCGCTCATCACAGAAGGAAGAGGTCAGCAACTGAGCTCAGCTGGATTCGACTAGGTGGTGACACATCAACGATCGCCTTCGGACCGGAACAGGGTAGCTTAGTCTGAAACCGGATGGAAGATCTCAAATTCGCCGCGGGCAACGCAGCGCTGCCACGAAGAGGGATTGGAGGGCGGCATAGACCAGAGTCAAATCGGCGCCGAGGTGCTTCGGTTTCAAGCCCCGTTTGGAGCTACTGTGTATTTGCATAGCGAGCTCATCGTCATGTCTTTCATGCGAAAGATTTCTCACGCAACCTTTGCCGTTTCCCACGATTCCGACCGTGCCGTAAGCCCATTTTGGCATTCCCGAAGCGGTTCTCTCGCGTCACCAAGTTTCGCTTGCGGAGATGGTTGGCCCGCCTCATGCTGCCCCTTCCTTCTTTCTGAAATTGGCCGGTCGCGAACCAACGTGAGTTGCACTGCCTGAAGGCACCAACTCACAGCTCGGACGATCTCTTGCCAGTCCCTGGCAATGCTGTACTAGAGACACCGAACAACCCGCCGTCCCTTGTTCATTTCCCGAGTCGGATACGCGACCCGACCTGAACCATGCCCTTGTTGTCGCCCTTCCTCTGCACATTGTCCCAACTCCGACCCTCTGCTCTCGTAAGGCGCTCGTCCTCTCTCCTGCCGAGATCACATGCTATCTCGTGGCCGGCTTCCTTTCCACGAGTGTCCTTGCCCCAGGCAGGGTCTCTCGGCTTGGTCGCACGAGGCACGCTCTCGATGCGACTCGGTGCATTGACGACCCGCGGCGTCTCTCGATTGTTGCTCTCTGTCTATACCTCTGACCAATGCTCATCCCGTGTGCATCTTTCCTCCTCGCTACCATCCGCTCATCCGACACTACATACTTGATTCTTTCCGAAAGCTGAGCGTTGAACGTCCACACATAGAGGTCCTGATAAAGCTCTACCGTTGTCAGGCAACCGCGCAACATCGACACCAGGAGTCTGCACAACAACAATCTTGCAACTCTTTCGCCTTCACAACGTCGTCTCCCGGCACTCTATATAAGACGCAGCCCACAACCCAGCATCCCTTTCGCCAGCTCAGCCCCCGCACAACTTCGCTCTAGGCATCTGCTACCGTCTTGCCCCTCCTGCATCCGGTTCGGCTCGTCGTCGCCGCGGTCCATCTATCTTTGCTCAGCAGACGCTTCTGCATCCGTCAAGGACATTACTACGGATTGCAAAGCAGCCCAGTCTGCTGATATGCGTCTCATGAGGCGCTAAACCGCAGGCTCAGTGCGTGCCCACTTGAAGCCTTCCTGTCCACGGAAGCATCGACACCTCTCGGTCAGATCGTTGCATCGTCGATTTGACATCGTATCGTACGAGCAGGTACACGAGATTCTTGCGGGAAGAGGAGAAGGGGGCAAGGGCTGATCGACGCATCGAGCTTACGCTACTCCATCGTTCACATCGACTGATTCGTCGACATCACCTGTTTTTGCATCGGTCCCTTGGCGCAGGTGGGGTTTGTCGATCTGCACCTACCGGCATCATCCTTTACCATTGCTCGGTATGAAGCGAGAGCCAGCACCATGTTGCGAGACACGACGAACAATGGAGTGGGGTGCAGTGTGAAGGCGTCGACCGAGTCGGTCCCTGCGCACCCACTTCATCGCGACAAGAGCGACACCCTCTCGTCCGATGAACAGGGGCGTCACCGGCGTCTGATGCTTGCTCCGCCTTCTCAAGGCAGCATTGTTGTCAAGTCAACGCCAACCATCTCGCAGCAATCACTTCATCGACACGGCGATTGTGAGGCGCGCGATAGTGAGCGGTCCAACCACGCACTAGGATCGACGCCTACCCCCTCTTCATCTCGAATCGCACATGCGACCAGCTCAGGCCTCTCAGCTCTTCATTGCGCAAACCGACAAAAGGATCGTCAAGGATCAGCTGATCGAGCTACAGGCCTCAAGACCGAATTAGTGGATGACAGGTGAGTCTTGCATGATGATCACGAGGTTCCCGGTCCCCTGGAAGAATGAGGTTGCGGGCGTACCTTTTTGTTTCGGTACGGACAATACGGGTGGTTTTCATCCCGGCAGACGTGTTCCGCTTCGTTGGGTCCTCGTCCGCACCTTTTGCTCGTCATGACGGCCCCAACAAGGTCCAAACCCAACGCCAATGATGTTGGAGCCTCGTCTGCCTCAACTCTGGCCGCCTACGGAGCTAGGATCAGAAGAGGCCATGCTGCTCTCCTCCGCGTCGCTCGGTGGCCTATTTGAACCCATCCTCTCCTCGAGTGTCCGTCTGATCCGCCCCATTCATCTTACTGACCCCTTCTCCTTCTCTCAAAATGGCCTCCTCCAGCCCAGCCTCGACTCCAAAGTACCGCCTTCGCCTGCTGCAGCAGCCCACCACCGGCTCTGCGTTCGGGGCCAACCTTCTCTCCCGAACCGCGCTCGCTCCGCCGCTCATTCTCGAGCTCCAAGCCACCTCGGATGGGCAGTCCATCGAGGCGTCTGCCGAGCTGCCCTTTCTGATCTGCCAGTGTTCGCTGGTGGACGAGCAAGGTGCGGCTGCGGATCTGAGGCGTGAGCCTGCTCCGACAGCGACCCTGGCGCCGCCTTCGCCTGCAAAATCGCGCAAAGGTCGAAAGTCGGCCTCGACCATGGAGCCGCCCTCCACCAGCACGACGCCAACCACGACTGAGTCACAGCTGGTCAGGATGCTCTACGGCACCCTCGTCGCCGGTCCTCAGATGCACAAGGCCCCGCCTGGAGAAGAGGATGTCGAAAAGCCCTACTTCTTCTTTCCCGAGATCAGCGTTCGTGCGACCGGCAAATTCAGGATTGTTTGCCGCCTCATGCGGCTCCCTCTGTAAGTGCATCAACCCCCACCACCTCCTCCCCTGCCCTAACTTCCCGCCGTTGTTCGTCTGACTTAGCGTGAACCTCGTTCTGACCGCCTATCCCTCCTATCCATTCCATCTCTCCATGTCGATGTCGTGTGCAGCCCGGGCATCAGCGCCATCGAGGAAGGCGTACTGGCCAGCGTCGAAACAAACACCTTTGAGGTGGTCGAAAGAGCCAACTTCATGGCGCCCTACATTACGGATGTCTCGCGCCACTTTGCTAGGCAGGGCGTACCTCTGCTTCTCCCGCCCGGCGTCTCGGCTGACTGACCGAGTTCAGCTTCTGCCGTCGCCCTTGCAGCCGCTCGAGATCCGCATTGAGATCCTCATTACCTCCTTGCATTGTTTCTCTTAGACAGCATCCAACATTGATGCCTTCTCACTCACCATTGCTGGCTGAGCTTGGTCCTTTTGACTCACTAGTGCTGGCTTGGCCCATCAATGTGCGTGAAAAAGAAAGGCAGCTTGCACGGACGCGGTCGATTGCTTGCAGCCGCGGACGGCTCGAGCCCTCCCTCCCTTTTCAATCAGACAGCGGGCTGATGCACCTTATCCGACCCAGCTGATTGTGCTGACACACTCAAAAGGTCGTCTGAGCCAAGAGTGCGGCCAGGCAAGAGTGTTTCCGAAAGGCAAACATCGGATCCCCGCCCAAGCGCGATTCGCAACGATGCTTGTCGACTGTTGCCGCAAGGTCTTTTTTTCTCAGCAAAATTAGACGCGATCTCACACCCAATTGCCCGCTCGCACCTTCATCTTCCACCCAAGCCGCGCCATGACTGCACCTTGTCTCTCCTCTCATTCAGACTCTGACCGCATTCTTGGGCTCCTATGTCCTCGGTCGCGTCGGTGAAGGACTCAATAGCGCGCTTATAGCGCTTCTGGAGGCTCGTCGCCTGACGAAAGCGCTCTCGGAGCTGCAGGTGTAGGGACACGTTTTGTTATTAGATTGCGTGTTGCATGCTTTTGGGGTGGGTTGTAGCCTCGTCAGCCACCAAGACAGGCCTTCTGATGAGCGACTCCTCCTCAATCTCGCGCCAGATCATCGTTGACATCGGACTGGTCCTGTCGCCCTCTGCGCACGTCGTTTCGGAGCGGCACCTGGATTCCCTGTTTGGCGAGAAGCTTAGCGAGCTCGGTCGACTCAGTCATTCCTGGGAAGCGGCGCGGGCTGTAGATGGTGAACGGTTCCGTCAGGGCTTCCGCTAGGACTCCACCGCCGGGTGGTGCGAGGGCGAGCAGCTTGAACGCCAACCTGAACTGCCCTTCCTGTCGGATGCTGAGGTCGGTAAAGACGAAGAAGCAGGCGCGCGAGCCGTCGAGGTCGCGAGCGACGTTGGCTGATGCCACGAGTCGACCTTCGAGCATGCGCGTCATCGGGTAGGCGATGTCGTTTGTGTCAACTAAGACGGCTTCCGTGTGCGTGCCGGTGAGTGGATCTTCTCTGTGCAGGGTGACTTGGAGGATCAGGTTGGGGCTGTTCTCGGCGCTGTCGAAGCAGGAGCAAAGGGATGAGAAGTTAGTAACCTGGTAGCGAGATGCGAGCACGGGGAGGCTGAGGACGTACTCTTCGTCTTCGGTGCCGTCCGGCTTGAGGATGCGCAGCTGAAGGATGGGCAGAGGGTCCAAGGGCCGTTTGTCTTTACTGCCGAGTCCGCACAGTCGGCCTTGCTGCGGCTGCTGACGAATGATGAGCCTGTACGTTCTGTTGTTTCGGGAGCAATCCGACAGTGCCGCAGTGGTGAGAAATTGAACCTCAAGATTCCCACGACGATCACCACGATGAGTATGTCACTTACCTGTTCTCTGTCGAATGACGCGGAAGACCCGACAGAACGGGCGGAGGAGCCGAAGGCGAAGTGCGCAGTTCGTGAAGAGACATTGCTTCGCTGCTCGCGGTGGACGAGGACGGAATACTGCGCCCAGGCGGAGGACGAGGGCTGGCTGAGGCCGAAGTGCGATCGTCACGGTGGTAGGGAGCGGGACTGCGGAACTGTTGTTGAGCTGGCTGCAAGTAAGTGCCGTAGGAGGAATCACTCGAGCGGTCCGAGGACGGGTGAGCACGGTGGTTGTCGTCCAGTCTCTCACGATCAGAAGTGTCCCTGGTGAACTGTCTCAATCCAGGAAGCTGTGGGGATGCGGAATAAGGCGAACGAGCGTCACTGCTGTATGTGCTGGTGGGAGGTTGTGGAGCCCTGGAGGTAGGAAGGGGAGGCGGGCGCATGCTCTGACGCTGAGGTACGTCTGTTTGGTCAAGTGAATGATGAGCATTGAAAAGCGTCGAGCGAATGAGCAAAGACGGCTCCTCCGAAGCACAAGCTGGTAATCGAGCCTGGGCTCATGGATACTTACTCGGATCGTAGTTGTCGGAAGCAGGCCCACGACTCCCTGAGGGAGCAAGAGAAGCTTCGGCGGCGTCTTGTCCGCTCATCTCCTCTGGAGTTTGTGACTTTACCGCGCTGCTTCTGTTCGAATCGGCGTGCTGATTTGCTGATGCTCGCTCAGAGCTGCGTATCGACATGCCGCCCAGCTGATCGAGTCGTCTCGGACTGATGCTGGGCCAAATGAAGTGCTTCGCTGCGCGGTTCAGTTACAATGCGAGGGTCGCTGAGCGTGTTGTCAGGAGGTTGGGACTGCGCACAGAACTGAACTGCGCATGACGAGAGACGGAAGTGAAGGCGTGCACTTTCAGAGCAGTGCAGGGACAACAAGAAAGGGAATCCGAAGCTCGATCGGCGCTCCCACTGGCGCGGCTGTATGCGGGTAGAGATGTTGACTACTGAAATGAAGCGGCGCGAGAGGTTGATGGTTGTCGTGAGAGAAGACGTTCGTACGTGTGCTGAGGATGCTGAGACGGATGCTTTGCAGTGAGATCGATCAACGAGAGAACAGGGGAGAGGCGTGATGTTCTAGAGAGAAGGGATGAGACTGTCGGGAGGGCAAGGGGAGAGCGTCGAAAAGAGTGTGGCATTTGAGAGAGAAAGGCGTCGGGATAGATTCAGCATTCATGCAACTCTGAAAACGGTGAGAGGGACAGGCGAGCTCAAGGCGGAATGCGATGCATGGGCACTGCGTCGCCTCGCAGGGTGCGAAGCTTGTGGCTGTAGTGTGGCATGCAGCCGCCTCTTTCCGAGTAGCAGCAGCAGAGCTCAGCAAGGCAGAAAGAGAGAAGACCGGCGCAGACTCGCGTTCCGACGCGGAGTGGCTGTCGGGGTGACTGATGGGCTGACCGGCATACTCGACCCACATGATGCTCGTGGCACATCAGCAGCAGTGTAAGGAGACCGAAGAACCGACGCAATGGATCGGTCCCTTTCGCTGCTACAGGCGAGTCTCCGGCCTATGTCGTGACACGCAAATGCAGATGCGGCGGCGTCTGCATATGCGAAGCGTGCTCAAACCATCTGTCTACAGTATTTCCGTCCATCCGTCCGTCCACCCGGCCGTCTGTACCACTATGTCCGTTCCTCTCAAAGGGGAAAGGCGGCTCTTTCTCTTCTTCGAATCAAAATAATCGGCTGACTGACCCTCCTCCGCTGTTTAGCGCGGAAGGACGGCTGTACGCGGACAAGACAACAAACCCTCGCCGACTGACCTTCGGATGTGAAACCCACGTCGAGCTTTTTTCCTTCTTTGCATCCTGTGTCTCGCAGTATTGAAAGATGGCTTACCACGAGAGCACGTCATCCAAAGCTGAAGGTCCAGAGGGGAAAGCTGCACCACACTGGTCATCATCGGAAGCGCCCGAATCCCGGAAAGGCAGTGATGCCCTGCTCATGGTGGCCACGAATGATTCTGGCTTGTCTGGGAATGGTCGGTCGTACAGGACCGAGACCGACCGCCAGGGGAAGGCTCGGTGCTCGATTCGGAGCAGCAAGCCGGTCGGATGGGGAGGGGCTATAGGATACAGGAGGACACTCTCCGCATCCAATTCCCCAAGCAGCGTTGCGAAACGAGGCTCAGTGCGCGTAATGGTCCAATGAGCGAAACGCCTTGACAAATGCTCGCCTTTCAAAGGCTGAGAGACTGCTGCGCAAGCGAGCGGAACGCGATTTGCTTCCAACGCGACTGGCCAAGCCATGCTAGGGAGAAAAAATTCACGGCTCTCGAACGCACCTTTTCCACCACTCAAGCCCCAACATATCAGGTCGATCTGTGGACCAGACCAGTTCAAATGACGCCGCCCCACCCGGAACATCTTGTACGGCTCTGTGGAAAGGACACGGGAAGCGACACGCAGTACCCACCAGTATGCTTTTTGGGATGTAGGCGAAGACCGAGAGCTGACCAGCTGCAAGCAGATTCTGAGGATGCTCTCGAGCCAAACAACAGCAGCTTGACGGCCGAGTCGAAGCTTAATCAGGACCCAGATGCGAGCGAAGGGCCGGGGAAACGGACCTCTGCCGGATTGTTGGGTTGGAAGCGTCGATGTCCGTCGAGGCTGGATTCTGGCGAGAGGCGAGCTTGCAGGAAGATGGTGGGAACGAAGGCGGAAAGACGAGCTCTGCTGCTCCGGTACAGGAATGTTTTCGAAACCATTTGACTTTCTGTTCAAGCTAAAGCTGACCTCGCAGAAGCAGCAGCTGTCCGCCTTGTATCGAAAGATGCCAAGGCGAAGATCTCCGCCGACAAGGGCTGTTCGGCTGCACGTGTGAGTCGCGACCCAACTGGCTCGCTTGTCCTCTTTGCAGCGGCGTATGGATGCACCCCTTTCCGAGACTGATCACGTCAGAGACAGGTATCCGCGAGAGAACAAATGGGGTAAACCTGAACGCGGAGCGAGGAAGGGACCTGCAGGCATGAAGGCACGATCAAATTCGCAACCCCGTTTTCAAGCCCAGATCTTGCACCTCAAAGCGAAGCCGTGCTTCCCTTGCCGAGACGGGCTCGGTGGACGAAAGCAGGGGGCGCTCAGCGTTGCCCCACAGTCGAGCAGGACGGCGCGACGGATGTCAGCTCCGAACTGAGACTCGAAAGAGTTGCGATCCAGTTGAGCCCGCTGAAGCGATCCACGGCGCCTGCCCTGATGTCAGCAAATGTAACTTCAAGGAGCGACGACGTCCTCGAGTCCAAGCAAGCTCAGCAGCTCGCTGAGGGCAGCAGCACGGAATCAAGGTCAAGAAGATCTGGGTCTGAAGCGGAGGTTGCAGCTCGGCTGATGAGCGACGAGCTTTGTGAGCAAAGTGTGGACAGAGGAAGAGGGTGACGGGAACGTCTCGGAGCAAGGGAAAGGTAGAGAAGCGGGCGAGAATATCGTGAATGGAGGAAAGAGAGCAAGGTGCGGGACTTGAATGGAACCACGCTTAGACCAACAGGATGAAAGTGGGAGGCAGCTTAAGGTTGCTCTGCTGTGAAACAATTCCGCCCACGCTCATACCACACTCTACGTCGATGGGCTCGGTCCTGCGTCCGCGCCGTCGCTTGTTTCCTTCATCTGGGTCCTCGTATTCTCCTCCTACAGCTTTGTTCATCGCTTTGAGCATTTCGTGAAGTGGGCCGCTGTGCTGCTTCGAAGATGATGAGGGCGCCCTCGTGCAGAATCAAACCGGAAATGCAGCGCTGAATGTAGGCTCAGCCATCGCGTCGACGCCAAAATGCCGCCTTGCATCGGCTATGCTTCTGTTCCTCCTCTCGATGATTCATCTTTTGATAGCCGTGGAAACTACTCTTCGCTCACTCCTTTCATGAATCAGGAGGCCTTCGCACCGCCCGAAAAGCTATGCCATGGATCGGAGTCATCGGAACTGTGCCAGCGTCGGTCGGCACTTGCTGAGTTTGCCAATGCGCTCCTCGTTGCATTGCGGAGATAGGCAAGCCGGTTGGAGTGTCGACATCCGCCTAGACAGCCTGTCGTCCCAGTCCACGCTGACCAGACATGTGCCCGGCCTTTTGTTTACCCGTTGTTGATCGCTCGGTTTCAAGTGCTCAGGCGGTCTCTTTGCGTTTCATGATGTTTTTCAATGTTTTTGTTTCTCCGTTTGGGCACGCTGTGGCTACGCAACTTACCACTCGCAAGGGTGAGCCGTCTAGATCCGTCCGCTGCTCGATGAGACTTGGTGCATGAGAGCCAGCAGACGGCACGGCCAGAAAGAAGCTTTTCTTCTCCCAACGTTTTCAAGGGTGTAGTCATCGGTTCGGTCCATCCAGTACTTTGACCGGTCTCTTTGTCGCCGACCATCAAGGCGGCCTTGTGCATCCCACGGCATATTCGGGCGTTGTCCCTTTGCTGCCTTCGCTCAGCCCACTGGTGTCCTCGCGCAGGACTTGGCGTGGGAGCGAAATTTAAAGTTGACTCATCAGTTGGCGTTCGTTGGTGACATTTTACTCTTTAGAGCCCACACTTCATTCTTGAACTCAAATCCCTAACAACGGATCAGCCGTCGATCCAACGGATGCGCACGAGCCCCTTCTTAAGCAAGCCATCGAGCTGAAAATCTGACCTTCCTTTACAAGCGTGGGACAGGCTTCCGAAAGGCTCGATCCTCAGCCCCAACGGAAGAGCAGATCAGTCAGCGTGACGAGGCGACGCGGTACCCGATCGCAAGCCCCTTCAGCGCGCAATTTCAAATTACCGCACTCAATCGTTTGATTTAAGTTATTAATACAAGGGGGGAGATGGCTGATCTGCCGATGTTGAAAGCTTGCATTGCGGTACTGACGTTGTTGTCAGCGACTTTACCGAGTCCGGTTCCACTTTTCGCTTCCCTTTGGCTGGTGTTCAAAATTGCGTGACTGAGCAGCGCGTCTCTTGACCGAAATGCCCGAGCCGTCTTTTGCCTCGGCGACACGCGCCTTTCCTGCTCCCGATCCGTTGATTTCCACCGCGCGCCTCATATCGGGTCTGTGCGATATCGACGACCAGATTCCTCATCCTGGCAAGTTTGATCATCGAACGAGTTTGCTCTTCCAGTCGAGAGCCATCGAGACTTTAGCAGTGCCCCGACCGGGCCGACGCGAGGTCATCACCAAAATAGCAACAGACTTGGCGAGACGGGAGATTCAAGCCCGACCAAACTCCGGCAGCAGGCGAGCTTCGCTTAGCCCCTCACCCGAGGTGGCCGACAGGCGCATTGCAAACGTAAAGAGGTGTCCATGTGGATCTTTGGGGCTCAGACCGTTCTCACCGCTCTCTTCAAGCTTCAAAGCACAGTCGGTTGACCGACCATGGGCCAATTCCGCGGTAGGTTCGCAGAACCGCGGTCCCTCCCAGGAAGCTTTCTTCCGAATGGAGCTGTCCATCAAGCCAACCCTGTTCGAACCCACTCGACAGACAGACGTTGCTCCCATGTATGTCCGGATTTTGAATGCATCTCATTGCGGGGATATAAGGTTGAGCTACGCGAAGCTCAAGGAGAGTCGAGACCGGTGTCGCTAATCGGGCTCGGCGCACGGTTCGACGAGGCAGGCGAGTTGCCCAGGCTCGACCAGCCCGCCGCTGGCTCAGCCATGCTGTCGTCCGCACCGCTGCGCATGTTCATCGACCAGTCCGGAGTGTGATCGCTCGACGAGTCGCTCGAGTCCTCGCCTGTCACGTTGCGCTGAGTGTCTGGTGCCACAACATCAACATCACCCTCCTGCTCGGCGGCGGTCGCCTTGGTCTTGGCGGCCTCTTGGAACTTTTGTCGAGACTTGCCTCCGATCGGTCTGGTCGTCCTGCGACGGTAGAACAGCAGGTACGCCGAAGAGCTCTTGACCGTTTCCGGGTTGGCTACGGGTCGGACACTCGAGTCGTCAAACTCATACCACTTGCCATCTGATGGGCTCTTTGCGAACGCAGTGTAGTGACCGCCGCCAAGCCCGCCGAAATGGTTGTCGACCGCATACAGGTCGTAGATCGGACGATCCACGGCGACCGCATCGTCATTGTCCTCCAACGGCCGAAGAATGCCCGATCCCAGCATGCTTTCCGACAGCTCTTCTCCGCTCTCTTTCGCTTCCTCTTGCACCCTCCGCAGCGCCTGCGTGCCTTCGACTCGCTCGGTCAGATCGAGCCCTTCCAAGGGGAAGTCGACGAGCATATTGAGCTTGTCCCGCGAGTGTCGACCTGCGCTGAAGCGCTTGAGGTGTACCACAAGGATGTCGGGCGCTTTCCAGAGGTCAAACTTCTTGGTGGCTTGGCGGAACTCCTTGCACGTGGGGCAGTACCACGGATCGTCCTCACCGAGCTGCTCTTCCTTGGTGAATTCGTCCATGCAGTCTTCGATCGATAGCATCTTGGGTCGAGCCGGTCCGGCACTGTCGCGCTCCCGAATGGCCTCGTCGACCACTTCCTCATACTCGCCCCACAGTTGAGCTGAATCCGACTCGACCAAGAGACCGCGCTCTTTGATGGACTGAGACCACGTGACGACGATGGCGCCGCCAGTGTACACCAGCGGAATGACCTTGGCAGGCGCCGCATCCTTAGCTTCGTCGTCGTCGTCATCCTCTGTCATCGACATCTGATCGGACGACCTGGAAGCCTTGGTTTGACGCTGAGCCAGACGAGAGTGACGTTCCTCTAGATCCTCAGATAGATTGTCCGCGTTGCTTTCGCTCCCCTTCGGCAGACCCTGTCCAGCCTCTGCGACGCTGAAGCGGATGCGCAGGACCGGCTGGGCCTGCGCGTGCGTAGTTGCCTTTGGCTCCTCTAGCGAGGTGTTCGAAGAGACGATAGCGGGCGTTTCGGTTCCTGATGACGAGGAGGTGGTGATGTCAGGCACGACTACGGTCTCGCCGTCCTCTCGAATCTCGGTGACGACATCGCTGTCGTCTGTCCTGCTGGGCGCCACGATCTCGACGGCATCATTGTTGGTAGCCGCGTCGTCGACCATCTCCCAGTCCGAGATGTGCGATGTAGGCTGTTGACCCGCGGCAGCAGTGGAAGCAACATCCGCTTCCTCGACAGCTTTGCTGAGATCGCTAGATTGGCTTGTGAATCGCGTAAAGCCTTCCACGACCCGTTTGCGAATCGCACCGACGTCGTTGACCTCCGACTTGGGCACAGAGATGAAGAAGGGGATACCGACAGCGTCGGAGCGCGCACGACGGCTGACGAACGCCTGACTCGAGGAAGCACCGAATGCGTCGCTGGCAAAGTTGGCAAAGACCGGCAGGATCGCTTGTTCTTCGTCCGGAATATCCAACGCATCTTCGGCATCTTCGATCGTTCGATGATAACGGTAGTGTCGCTGCTTGGAGAAGCGGGGCGCGGCTGGCACTTCCCAGAAGTACACAAAGTCGCCCTCCTTGATGTCCACCAGTGGCTCGTAGTCGTCGATCCACTTGTAGATGCGGTGATGCCAGACTTCTCCGCACACCAAGCGCTTGGTCTCGACGCCAAACTGCGCTGCCACCTTTTGTCGTAGTTTGCTAACGGTGCTTCCTGCTGGCAGCTGGACCTGGAACTTTCGCATCCGTTTGCTTGCGTCCGACGGAACAAAGTACACCTGCCCTCGCCACATCTTCTTGTTCGGGATGGGCAGAGTAAGGTACATGAAAGGATCGAATTTGATCGACACCTTGCTGCATACTGGGCAGACGAGCGTGCTGCGATACTGGCCTTGGAAAAGGTCGACGATGACCGAGTCGTTTCTAGCCTTGTAGATGTCCCACTGTCGCTTGGCGAACGCCACGAGGTCCTTCTCGTCGCCACCTTCCCAATCCGGCGCCTCGATGTAAGGCTTCTTGAGGATGCGGTTCAGATCCTCGTGAAGACCATCGAGAAGGAAGGCAAGTAGCTCCTGACTGTCGTGTTGTGCGTAACCACTGAACTGCGGTGCGAACCGCGAGAGGGCATACTTGAACTCTCGAGGCCAGAAGGAGCCACCCTGACCGTTCCAGATGTTGGTGATGAGGCTTCCAAAGGCATCGGCGATGGCACCGCCCATACCCAGTGGGTTATCCGTGTTGAGCTCCTCCTTGTAGGCGCCCGAGACAAAGTACTGCTGCAATTCGTAGGTGTTGCTGAGACACTGCAGAGCGCTGTTCATGAAGCAGGTATTGCCGAGATTGTTGAGACCGCGGAGTCCACGAGACCGCCCCATAGTACGATCGATTGCGGTCTGTGACCTCGTCACTCGGCCTTGCGCTTCGCCTGCCGCGCTTTGGGCCGCGTTGGTGCTCGGTGATGCCGCGTTCTGCTGGAGGTTGCTGAAGAAGTCGCCCTGCTGAGCAAAGATGCCCTTCATCGATGGAGCCGCCGGTGCCGGGTCCGTTTGCCATCGACCTGACTGCCGTGTCTCGACGGCAAGGCACACCTCGATCTCTTCCACGCCGACCGCCTTCAGTGTGACATTGGGCTGATAGCTGTCGGGCTCGTCTTCCTTTGCGTCGATCACGTCGACGCCCTCTTCCTCGACCCTGCTGATATGAACGAGTCCGATGTCAAATTCGCCTGCTATCGGCTCGGGATAGTGGTAAAATCGAATGTCGACGTCGGTGACTGCGCCGAGCTTCAACAGTTCTTTTGCCTTTAATTTGAGCTCTGCTAGGCTTGCGCTGACCGACAAGCTGAACGACACCGGCCCTGGACCTGAGACGGTGACGTCGCTTTCTAGCTTGAGCAAGCGAATGATGGGCGGATAGAACTCGACGCTCTCCTGGCCAGGGCTGAGACCTTCGATGACGGTCCTTGCAAAGAGCGGTCCAGTGCTTCCGTACCAATCGACGAGATGCTTCCAGCCTTCTTCGGGAAGCATTTCGTATTCCATACCTTCGCTGATGCCTTGCCTGAGACGAGCGAAAGATGGATTCGAGTCTTCGTGGAGGAGATCGGAATTATCGATGGGACCAATGGCAACGTCGACCTTCTCGGCAGGATCCGAGTCGCGAAGCTCGGAGCAGGCTGTGTTCCACCGACGGTACCACGTTCGGCTGACCAAATACCATGTATCGCCCGCAACCAAAGGCCTGTTCTTCATGGGCCGAATGAGGTCGAGCTGCTGCTGTCCTGTCGGCCTGGCCACTGTGTTGGCGGACGTGTCGATTGAAGTTGGAGCATCGACTGCATCGTGATAGGACGGCAGCTGCTCACTCAGCGTCGCATCCGCTACTTTGTTGACGCCGGCCGCCGCAGCAGCAGCAGCAACGGCCGCGCCGTCGTGTAGACTGAGAGACTTTTCGGTCATGAGGCCTTCGATGTTCTGGTCGGGACCCGGCATGCTTCGGGGTGGGTTGAGGATGTCGGCCGATGATATGCTTTGGCGGAGCGGAGTAGGCTGAGCGGACGATGCAGCCTCTACACCTTCTTGTTCGCCAAAATCGCTGTTTGATCTGGAGTACGAAGACTTGACGTCGTTCTCGAGATCACTGCTGTTCTCGTCGATGATGGGGCTGACCGTGCGGGCTCTTTTGTAAGCGGCGTGCCGTCTTTGCTCTGATACCGGAAGCGCTGGAGCAAATTGAGAGCTGGTGTTGGGATCTGGACTTTGAGCAGGTGATGGTGGTGGCCTACGTGAGGGGCCAGGTGCGCTGCAGCCTAGGTTCGCGGACGAGGACGGTGCAGGTTCGCTTGAACGTGTCGATGAATGCACCTCTGCTGGTTGTGTGGGATCCAAGGCTGAATCTTTGGATGATGCGTCGTTCTGACTGTGATCGGAACGCATCGGCATGAGCGGCTGTCAAGCAGGCACTGTATCAGAGAGCTCGAGGCGCAGGTTGGCCGCTCGAGTCGTGTACTGCTGATTCGGGCTGCGACCTTCTTTGAAGAGCACAAAAATGGGATTGACGCGCCTGCTGCAGATGAAGTCACGATGTGAGCTCCCTGTTCCGGCCTTGCTTGTGTGCTTGTGTGATGAAGGAACGAGAGGCGCAGCTGCAAGAGGGGTGCGACAACATCAACACCATGCAAAGCCAAGAATCATCGAATCAGCTGCGCCTGCCGCCGCGGTCTGTGCTCAAAAAAGTAAGCTCTTGTCGGCTCTCCTGAAGGAAAAAAATCTCAAGAATTTTGGAGGGCGGAAGCTGAGTAGGGTTTCGTCACTATCGTCACTGTCCCCGATCGGCCCGATCCAAACTGCCTGGCTCAGCATGGTCGAACATGGACTAGCACTCGTCGGTAACTCTACGCTAACAGTCCATTGTGACTTTCACAGCTCTCATGGTACTAATGTGTAGGTGAAGGTCAATCTATGAGGGGTGAAGTACAAGTACAATGCAAGGTGTGATATATGCAGAGAGGCGAATGTGATTGATGGATAAGGGGAACTTGCCACGAGCGGACGCTCCGATGGCGTAGCCAGCTTGCCCGGTCTAGGCACTGGGCGTGTGACGTCTTGAGGCGTTCTCGCTGACGAAAGCTGCCACAGTAGCTCGAGGATCGTCAGGGAAACGAATAAAGAGACCCTGCAACTCTGCCATGCTGACGCCGCCGATAGCAGCCGGAGCGGGCCGAATCACCCGCTGGGTCGAGATCGGTGCATCCGTCGCTGTCGCCGCCTCCGAATCTTGACGAGCGGCCGAGCCGATCGCTCCAGGCTGCCTTCCGTCGGCACCAAGTCCAAGGGCTTTGCGGCGGGCAACTGCCTCTGCTTCGACAGTGCTGCCAAAGTCGGCCGCAAGCTGGCGCACTTCAGCATCCGCTTCTTCCACAGCCTCGCGAAGGCCAGGTACGGCCTCAAAGCTCTTGTAGGCAGCAATGGTCGAGGCTGAGTCGACGGCTGCAGCTGCTGCTGCGAGAAGGGGCTTCGATGCGTCCAACGTAATTGATGGAAGATCCAATTGCTTGATCTTCAGCTCTCGCATGGTCGTGCAGTAGAAGCGCACCATCAGCTCCTCCACCTGCTCGCGCTCCGCATCTCCCAGCTCGGCGATCATGTCGACTCGACCGGGACGGATGAGCGCTGGATCGAGCTTCTCAATGTGATTGGTCGTCATAAAGATGATGCGGCTCTCGCCACTCGCGACACCATCGAGCGCATTCAACAGACCCGAAAACGTCACCGAAGCCTGGTAGCCGTCTTCGGCCGCCTGCTGTCGACCCAAGAAGGCTGCATCCACATCCTCGAGAAGCAAGATGGAGCGATCCGGAGCATTAGAGAGCAGATGGTTGAGCTTGTCGTCTGTCAGCCCTCGTTCCGAGAGGTTGAGTAGGCAGATGTTGAAGTCGAGGTGACCGGCCAGGGCAGTAATGAAGGACGACTTGCCGCTGCCAGGTGCGCCGTGAAGCAGGTAGCCTCGTCGATACGGAATACCGCGTTCCGCGTACCATCGATCTCGAGCCATAAATCGTTTGACATCGCTGACGATCGCCTCTTTCTTTCCTCTTCCCAGCACAACACTGCTCAGCTCTCGCGTCCTTCTCGGCTGGCCGAAGGGCCTCCATTCCGGTCCCCAGCTGGTGTAGATCACCGTCTTGCCTTCGGTCGAGGAGAGAGCCAGCTGTCGAGCTTCGTCCAGGAGCTGAGGAAACAGATGAGCATACGCGAAGAGCGTAGTCAGGGTCACCGTCTCCCAAGGCGCTCCGGTGGAGAGGTCGACCATCTTGCCGTCGCGCTCTCGCGTCAATCGCATCCAGACGCCGCGGTATCGGAACCAATGCGTGCCTGGACCAGGCACCAACGAGAAGCGAGCTTGACCGCGTTCCGCGGCTTGCGCGTTCGGTGTCGAAGCCGATGCGTGCGGTGTGTAATTGGTCTCGACAGACAGCTCGTGGCTGAGGATACGGACGGGAGAGACGGATGAGCCACTCGATGCGATGACCAGCGGATCTGCTACGGTGTCCTTTGCTTTCTCGGCAGTGGAAGGTATTCTCTGCGCGGAACGATCTCGGAGACCCAGAAAGTCAACTAAGCCCTCTTTCTGCTGCTTGCCTAGCAAGCCTCGTTGTCGCATCGACTGGGCTCGTGCTTGCGCCGCCATCCAGTGCAAGAACCACGGATGCGCCCGATCCTTGGACGGAATCTCAAGGGAGATCAGTAGTCTCCGTTGCGCTGTGGAAGCTGCTACCTTGGCGCCTCTTCGGACCACGGCGATCGCACCACCAAACACCATCAAGCCTAGACCGCCGGAGAAGATGGGATTGTCGGCTATCAAGTCGGAGAAGAAGGATTTCGATCCGGCGCCAGATGGCGCCTTGCTGTTCGGTATTGATGTTGTGCTAGCATTGCCTGCTTGAGCGGATGACCCTGCTTCAAGCTGAGGTACTGTTGAAGCTGAATATGCCGTGCCGTCACTTTGCGAGGGTACGGGCCGAGCATGGTCGTCCTCGCCCGATGACCTGGCAGCATCCCTCTTCATCGTCCTGAAGTTGAAGATGCCGGACATTCTGCGCCGAGCGAGCTTCGATGCCCGCTGACGATGGAAGGTGCAGGGTAGATTGGTCAGAGTTGTGTCTATCAGAGAAGAAAGCATGTGAGTGGAGTTGCTGCTGTCGACTTTTTTGGAATCGGAAGTCGGCGACGTGCTTCGCCTCAGCGAAGCGGCGAAATTTTAGAGCTTCGGAAGACCCTGTCTTGGCTATCCTTCGATCCGCCACACGACTCGCACTCAGCACAACGACCACACCTTCTTATACGAGAACAAGCTCTCTTTTCGGACACAGACATCATCACGATGGCGCCGAAGCTCTGCGTCATCTGCAACGCCGAGCGAGCAGTGCTCCGTCGGCCCAAGACAGCACAGCAGATCTGCAGAGAATGCTTCTTCTATGTCTTCGAGACTGAAGTCCACCACACGATCGTCTCGAACAACCTCTTCAAGCGTGGCGATCGAGTTGCGATCGGCGCATCAGGCGGCAAAGATTCGACCGTCCTCGCCCATTGCATGAAGGTCCTCAACGAACGTTACGACTACGGGCTCGACCTGTTTCTTCTCAGCATCGACGAAGGCATCACGGGCTATCGAGACGACTCGCTCGAGACGGTGAAGCGCAACCAGCAGCAGTACCAGCTTCCACTCAAGGTGCTTGGCTACGGCGAGCTGTATGGCTGGACGATGGATGACATCGTCAAGAGCGTTGGGCGGAAGAACAACTGCACCTTCTGCGGCGTGTTCCGACGCCAGGCGCTTGACCGTGGCGCAGCAACGTTGGGCGTCGACCACATTGTTACGGGCCACAACGCAGACGACGTCGCCGAGACGGTCCTCATGAACGTCCTTCGCGGCGACATTGCCCGTCTCGAGCGCTGCACCGAGATCGTCACCAAGGGCCCGGACGGGTCGGAGGATCCGGAACACGAAGGCTGCGGTTCCAGCAGCAACACCGGTGTCGGCGGCAGCGGCATCCGACGCAGCAAGCCCTTCATGTATGCATACGAGAAGGAGATCGTCATGTACGCCTACTTTAAGAAGCTGGACTACTTTTCGACCGAGTGCATCTACTCGCCCAACGCATACCGCGGCTACGCACGAACCTTCCTCAAGGACTTGGAGTCGATTCGACCCTCATCGATCGTCGACATCATCCAGTCCGGTCAGAACCTCAAGATCTCGAATGTGGTCAAGCAGAGCAGGAAGACCGAGCTGCAGGACTGCCAGAGGTGCGGATATATCTCGTCGAACAAGGTGTGCAAGGCGTGTATCCTGCTGGAGGGGCTGGAGAAGGGGACGCCGCAGTTGGGCATCGGGAGCGAGAAGTCGAAGAAGGTCAAGGACATCAGAATAGAAAATGCCAAGGAGGCCACAGCAGTGGCTGCAGAGGGCGCAGAGGAGAAGAAGAGCGAGAGGAGGATACCAAGGTGGACAGGCATAGCGAAGGATGCACCGCCAGGAAGCTCGTTACCCTTCGTACCGCCGCAGCAGAAAGTGGATCTCAGCTTCTGATCTCCACCGCCGGCGTAGACAGCTCATGTGTTTATACCCACTTCAGCATTGCACAACCTCCAGCATCGCACAAGATCACCGTCACACAAAATTGACATCTGTGAGAAGTGAGCACTTTCGCATTGTCCTGAGGCTCACTCGTCGCCCGCTCTCCTCGCTAGATCCGCATTGGCCTCCAAATCCCTTCCCTCGTCCCAAATCCACGTCTTGACCGTGCCGTCGTCGCCACAGCTGGCCAGCAGACTCTGTGCCTTGTTCCAAACCGCTCCGTACGCGACATTGTTGTTCGTCGACAGGCTCGAGGTCAGATCGCCAACCGCACCCGCATTGGCGTACGCCGACATCCCGCCCGCGCCCCGCGTAGTCGGATGCAGCGTATCCCGTCCATGTCCCTCCAAAGTCTGCAGCACCTCGCTCGACTCTTGGTCCCACATGTAGATCAGTCCGTCCTCGGATCCGCCCACCAGCAGGGAGGTGTGTGCGAAACTCGAGCGGATAAAGTTCTTACTCGTGTTCTGATGTCCTTTGAACCGCTTTAACGGCCTGAGCATCCTGAGATCCCAAAGACGGTTCGAGTTGTCCTTGCTGGAGCTCAACAGTAGGGTGCCCGTCTCGTTGATCTCCACGCTGGTCACCTCGCCCAGATGACCTGTAATGGTTCGGATGCAGAGACCAGAAACAACGTCCCAGAACCGAATGGTGGTGTCTTTGGACGCAGTGACGATGAGGTTGCCGAGCGGATTGAAGATCGCACTCGACACACCTAGCTGGTGGCCCGTGAAAGTTTTCACGATCGAACCCGTTTCCACGTCGTACATGCGCACCAACTTATCGTAGCCGGCAGAGACGAGGTGTTTTTCGTCCGGATGGAAACGACAGCTGTACACGTCGCCTACACCCGCTCGCAGCGTCGTGCGACATTGCGCACTGTCCACCTCCCACACTTTGACGGTCGAATCGCCGGACGCCGAGGCGACGTGACCTCCCGTTTGCGTCGAGTCGACATCCCAGACACGACTTCGGTGACCCTGAAGGATCTGCTCGCATCGCCCACTGTTGGTGCTCCACAGCCGAACGGTGTTATCGCTGCTACCGCTGACGAGCTTTCGTCCTTCCTCGCCGACGAAGCGGACGGACTTGACGTTCTTCCGATGCCCGCGCATCGTATGCGCGACGGCATTGGGCACGATGAACCCCGTATAGTCGTGCAGCAACCCCGAGATGACGGGTGCCTTCTTGGGGTGGTACCGCGCGAACTCGACCTGATACGCCACCGCCTGGTGGAGCATCGTCAGCAACCGATGCGGTGGAACGTAGGTATAGCCGTTCGAGGCGGCATTTTTCGAGCCGTTGCCGAGCGTCACGCTGTCGGAGAGCTCGTCCGTCATCTCGGATCCGTCCCGCGCTTCGCTTCTGCTCTTCGACGCAGACCCAGGCAAGCCCGCTTCTTTCTCCATCCAATCTTGCTCGAGCATCGCCGCGAACTCCATGACCAACTTCTCCCGGCCGGGCTGGATCCCCTCCCAGGTGGCAAATGACGGCGCGTCCGTCACCGCTTTTGCCGACAGCAGGTAGCACAGATCGCGATACTCCGATGGATGCGGTTGATAATGCTCCAGGGGTTTCAACCGCTTATTGAGGAACGTAAACCCTTTTTGAAACTCCCTATGTTCGACATGTTCGAGGAACTGCTGCTTGTACACCGCGTAGAGGAATGCTTTGTGGTTCTTGACCAATGGCTTTTGCAAGAGCTTATCCACCTCTGGCCAGTCGCCTTCGAGTATGTGCCCGCGGAGCTTGCGTGCGTCCAGCCCAGCTTCTTCGCGTTCGCGCCGCTTGATGCCTGCTTCTTCCATGAGCAGCTGCCGTGTTGCACCGAACCCTTCGTCGGCTAGCCACTGGTCGATCATCCGGATAATGTCGTTGCGCACATGCGGGTCGTCCGGTCGCAATATCGCCGTTCGGGACGAAGCATAAGTGGCTTGGTTCGGATTGGAATCTCGGGCAGTGTGCGCGGCAGTGTTGGCCGTGAGCTGCCCGACGGTCTGACCGAGGATAGACGAGTTCTGGTAGTACGGATGGTAAGTGTGCGGTGGTGGACGAAGACCGTGGAGCTGGAGATCGGCGACCGTGTGGTCTTTTGCGTCGGCGAGAAGGACCTGTTTGCGTCGCTTCCAGGTTTCTTTAGTCCCGCCAGAGGGAGTTATACCGTTGCTGGTGCTGGCGCCGGCTTCGTCTGATGAGATACCGAGGCCGCTGATGCCGTTCAGCTCGGTGTGCACGCTCGTCGGGCGATCCAGGTTGGAGGGGGAGGTCGCTCCGACGGTGTACGTGCGATGCATGGCGTTGGAGAGCGTCGGTGAGGTCGGCGCTGTGTAGGATCCGCTGGGTATCGCATAGCTTTGATTCATCGTCGCCGCGTGAGCAGCCGAAGGGGTTCGGCTATCGGCAGCAGAGGACGTGCCGGCGTCAGGAAGTCGAAAGGTGGATGCACGGGGTGTCAGAGGCGCAGGAGACGGTTGAGCGAATGAGGCAGAGTCGGACTGGGTGTGCGAGGAGCCGTGGTCGCCGGTCGACGTGACGGTGATCTGGGTGGGCGGTGGTGGTCGGTGCCCGTAGCTACTGTTCTCATTGCGCTCCTGCATGGTCTACGCTGCTTGTCGTGGTGCTTGCAGCGAGCAAGCCGCCCAGGTGAGGGATTTGTTGGTGGATGGTGATCGTCCCTTCGAATCGATATCCTCCACACCGGGCTCTGTCAGATGTTTGTGGCTTGCTTGCCAGGACCCTTTCTCCTCTGCACCCGCGCTGCCAGCCACAAGAACACAATTTGTCCAACACTTAAAATCCAAAAATGTCGACTGGAAAAGGCGACCCGAAAAATGTCACTTTGTGCCGTGCTGTTCCGCGCGAGAAGAAGAACAACGCACCGCACGGACGCCATGTCCGCTCCGACGTGGAACCATCAACGCTGCCGAAGAAGTTCATACCATACACTCTCATCACCACCATCTCGACTCAGCATCGCATCACTTCGTCAAGATGAGGACGACACTTGCCTCGATGGCCAGGATAGCCCTCTTCGCGCTCCTCTCTCTCCTCGCTCTTTCCTACCTTCCGTCGACATTCGCCCAGCGCAACGCGTCCAAAGACCAAGCGTCGCTCTTCAAGCGCATCCAATCCTCCTCTGCGGGCTACATCGACATTGACGCTTCGGAGTTCTCCACCATCACCTCGTACCCGCGCGATTACGCCGTCACCGCGCTGCTCACCACCACCGATGGCCGCATCAAGTGTCCGCCCTGCACGGCCTTCCAGCCCGAATTCGACAAGCTCACTGCCCAGTGGAATCGCAATCGCGCTGTCAAGGGCAAGAACATCTTTGTGAAAGTGGAGTACAGTCGGGGGCAGTCGGTGTTCGCGCAGTTTCAGCTGCAGCATGCGCCGGTGCTCTACACCTTCCCTGCCGGTGCGACGGGTAAAGACATGCACTCGTTCGATTTCACCGATCGAGGCTTTGGCGCCGCCGAAGTGGCGTCCCACCTCAACAGTATTCTTGGCACACGATTCAGCTATAAGCAGCCGATCAACAGAAAGCTCGTCGTCGGCAGCATCACGGGCGTCATCACGCTCGTCGGCGCCATCTTCTTCATCGGCCCCCACATCAGCGCCCTGTTCACCAGCAGCAAACCCATCTGGATGCTCCTCTCCATCGGAAGCATGATCATCTTCACCAGCGGTCACATGTGGAATTCGATTAGAGGCGCACCCTACATCGCCATGGGCCAAGGCGGTAAGCCAGAATACTTCGCAGGAGGCTTCCAGAACCAGTACGGTGTGGAAACGCAGATCGTCGCGGCGATCTACTCGTTGTTGGCCTTCAGCTTTATTGCCTTGACCGTGCTCGTGCCGGCACAGCGGGACCCGACGAGGCAGAGAGCGGGAGTGTATGTGTGGAGCGCCATCTTCTTGGCCACGTTCAGTCTGCTGTTCTACGTGTTCAGGACCAAAAAGTAAGTTCGGTCGCATGGCGAGAGACGAAGAAACGACGAGAAACTGCATGTACTGACGAAAGACCTTTTGATTTGCACAGCCCGAGCTATCCCTTCCGCCTCTTCTTCTGAGCGAGAGACGGCGCAGATCCGATACAACGGCACCTCTCGCAACCAAGAACAATGTCATGCGGATCCTTTCTATTGTTGAATGTGCCTGACTTGGTTTGAAGTGTCGGGTGACTCTGAGCTTACAGTATGCTCTACCAAGATTTCGAGCACAGCATGAGGCGACCGCTCAGCGGAACACAACCGTCCCTCAGCGAGCCACACACATGAAGACATGGACGGTGACAACTCTTGACATTGAGGAACTCTGCGTTCTTCTATCGCCCGAACACCTTCTTCTCTAGCATCCTGAGCGGCACGTACACCACCACGCTGGCCACGAGACCGGTTTCGAAACCCAGATCGCCACTCCTCGCTGCGATGGGTCCTGTGAACCAGACCTGGCTGATGCTGGGCACTACCACCGCCAAACTAATCGCACACGCCCCTAGTGCCGCAATCCCCGGTGGCAGCCTTCCCCACTGATTCCAATCCTTCGCATTGTAGCTATCGAAATCTCGCCTACGCACGATGACATGATCAGCGAACACCACGCCGACATACAAACTCGCCCAGTACCCCAGCACACTAGTAAAATCCGTCAGCGTCTCGTAGAACTTATCGTGTCCGACGATCGCCAGCGGCAAGAAAATCGCCGTAGCAAACAGGGGCCAAACGAACCGCGGGATGGGTCCGAGGAAGGGTAGCATGGTTTGAAAGTTCAATCCGATGCTGTAGATGGTTGCTGAGATGTTGCCACAAACGGACAGGGCGAGGAGGACGACGAGGAATCGACCAAAGTTGCCGAGTTTTCCGGCGAGGATGAGCTGGAAGAATTGACCCGAAGAGACGGAGAGCGCTTCGGACCACGCTGGGTTGTCGTACGAGGAACAGGCGAAGGCTGCACCGATCATGATGAACGGTACGCACGAGAGGAAAAATCCAGCATACACGCTCCAGAACAACTTGTGCGAGCTGGTGGAGGGACGAAGGTAGTGCGATACGTCGGACACGAGAGCCGAGTAAGAGATGATAAAGCCGGCGATGATGGCTGCGAAACCCAGAATGGATGCTGCGGTGGCGGTAGGTTGATTGGGTGCGACGTGAAGTGCCGTCGGTCCCGTACCGGCCACACCGATGAGGATGAGAAAGCAGATGAGCGTGGGCAACCAGAAAAACCGCTCGAAGTAGTGCAGCACCCGAATCCCGCTGAACGACACCACCAACGCAATCGCCGCTGCCACCACGATCCCTACATCCGGCGTCAACGTCGACGATCCATCCCCCCTCGATGACACCGCCGACAACGTCTGACCCCCCACAATCGAATTGAGAATGCAATACCCCAACATACTCGCTGCGTTCAAAACGCAGATCAGACTCGCCCCAAAATACCCGAACGAATAGCGACAGTGGATCATCTGCCTCATCCCCAATTTGGGACCGAACGTCGTAAAGTAGGCTGGGAAGAGACAGCAAAACCCGCCGACGAAGAGCGTCGTCAATAGAGCAGATTTCATATCCATCTCGAGGAGCGAGACGAGGGTGCCGGCGGAGAAGGAGAGGACGTTGACGTTGCATGAGAACCAGATGAGACCGACACTCCACCAGTCTGTGCCGGTCTGTTCGGACCGGGAGAGGGGGCGGATGGAGACGGACTCAACGTGAAAGCGCGCCAGCTTTTGAGCGAGGGTGTCGAAGCGACGGGTCAGGGGGTTGGACTGGATGGTACGCTTGTAGTCGCTGACGATCGAGTCGGTCGAGTCGGCGTCATCTTTGAAGTCGGTGTGGTGCGGGAGGATGGTGGGCGCCGAGGGGTCCTGCTGCTCGAGGTCGAGCTTGGGCGTGGTTGAGGAAGCCATGATGGAGGTGTGTGGCTTTCAGATGCTTGTCACGGAGCAAGTCTTGTGCCACGAGGGACGGGTGGCGTAACGACACGAGTCTACGTCGACCAGTGGTGGCGAACGGTGGCAAAGTTGCGACGGATCCAGCAACGACGTTTGCGACCAGGGAGCAACGTCCGAAAGGCTACAATCTGTCCAGAGGCGAGCCTGAAGAAGAGATGAGAGGAGGAGGGGACGATGGTGGAAGGATATCAAGAGCAGAGGTTGACGCTTTCACTCAACCTCCAAATCATGGGCTTCTTCCGATAATGCTCAATCTTTGAGCCAGGGTCCACTGCACCCAAAGCAGCTCTGACTCGAGGCCGTTTAAACCACCGAGATCGTCCGCCAACCGCTTCCTGTCCCTCCTTGCATCAGTGGCCGGTCCAATCACCCGAGCCGCATGCCCATTCGTTCCTGCCTTCTCCATCGATCGATCCGCCATTCGCCGCCACGTTTTGCTCCTCCTTTCTCGAGTCAGAAGATCTCAGACCAATTTGAAAATCCTCCCTTTGCCAAAATAAAATCATGCAGAAGAAATTTGAGCTTCGCGTGGCAGAGCGGCGAAGCGCGGCTCACCAGTTCAACAGGCGCCGATGTTTTCCGCTTCCGCCGGCCACAGCATTCCTTTGCCGATTGAGATGGGCACGGACTCTCTCGACATTGGCCTTTGATCCTCAACGAGCGGTTGGTCGCACGTGGACACAGTCTAGGACGTCGTAGTTGATAGATTGGCGAGGGCAAGATCAATTCGATGACCACGACAAGAGCCCCGGTCTCCGGCATCGCGGCACGCTGGTGGGTTCGGTCCGAGATTGTGATCCCGAGAGACGGCCCCTAACATCCACGTTCCACATCGCTTCCAGATTCCGTTTCGGCAAGGCACTGACCACCTTCCATACCTTCAATCGTCTAACAACGCTATCTCCCTTGCACCTTCTCCAATCTCTCACTCAACGCCTCCATCCTCGTCTGCAGACTCTCCAGGTTCGCCTCCACCTTTCCTCTGTTCTCCTCCATGTTCGCCTCGATCTTGCGCAACAGCTCCTCCATCTCTTGCTCCTGCTGCTCCCTCTCCGTTTTTCCGTCCTCGAGCTCTTCCAGTGCGGTTCCGAAATGCGCTGCGGACGAGTGGAGGTCCGACAGCGTCTGCAGGCGGGCTAGTACGGAGGGAAGCACAGGAAGAAGCGGCTCCAGTCGAGTCGAGACATCAAAGAGGTGCTGCAGCTTGGTGTGCTCTGCGGGCGTGAGGGTAGATGTGGATGCAGAAGAGTCGGTGGTGGTGGATGCAGCGTCGGTGGTGTTGAGCTTGCGACGAGTGTCATGAACTCGATCCATCTCGGTGACGAGCACTTTGACACGTCGACTGATGGCGTCCAGATGGCGCGGCTGCGAGAGCAACGAGAGCTGGTGCTCGAGGCGCGAGAGCGTGGGTAGCACGGGTCGAGTGGCGGGCGCCGACTCGTCCAAGAGCGCCTGTTCCAGTCCTAGAGTCGATTCAAGTTCGGACAGGCGTGCTTCCAGTTGAGCCATGTCGGCCGTTCGCGATTCTGGTGCTGTTGCAGCTGGCGCAGCGTCGGTCTTTGAAGCAGCATCAGATGCAGAGCTAGCTGACGGCTGCTTCACTTGCTGCAACAGGTTCCGCAAAGCCTCCTTGTCGACGGTGCCTTCTGCGCTGGTCGAAGGTGCAGATACGGAAGGCGCAGGCAACTTGGCCAGCTGATCCTGTAGCAACTTGAGCTGAGAAAGCAATTCCGCACTGTCCACCTGCTCTGTCATTGCCGGGCCATTGTATGCTCCCTCACTGTTCGTACGCGCTGCGCCTGCACTGAGATCCTCCTCCAACTGACTCGCCTCGAACTTGAGCCTTCGCAAACGATCCACCACTGACTCCGGGCCTCGCTCAGCAGCTCCGTCAATGACATACGTCGACGTATCCAGCCCTGCGTCCCTCACCCTTCGGTTCGTCCTCTTCTTGTGCAATCTCCCTGAAAAATCGCTCCCGTCCGCATTTAGATCCGTAGCACCGCTGAACTTTGCAGCGGCATCGTTCCGCTTTAGTGACGAGCCATCGATATCCTCGGAGGTGCCCTTACCGTCGCCGGCATGCTTGCGATTCGCACTGCGATCCGAATCGTCGCTCGAGTCGTCCGTGTCCGTATCGTGCGCACCATCTTCGCCTCTCTTCTTGCGGGAGCGTTGACGACCGGAGCGGGAGGCGTCGCGGGCGGGTGCTTCGTATTCGTACACGTCCGGCGCAGAGGTGTCGACGTCGGGGAGGCTGGCATACTTGGTGTAGCCGGACGAAGATGTGCCTGCCAAAGGGCCGCTCGAGGGCCCGGCTTGCTGCGACATGATGCTTCAGCGATGCGAGGGTGAGATGATGGTGTGGTGGACGATAGACAAGTTGTGAAAGTGGAAAGCGTGACGAGACCAACACTTGGCACCGCGTGTCTGATTTGGGCTCAGAATTCCGAAAAACGCGCCGCCTTCAACGCACGCACGTCCCACACACTCAAAACCAGCAGTGAGCCACGATCCCTGCGCAACAAAGCCAGCCTCGCCTTCGACACAACGGGCTCAATCTGGTCTAAGTCGTTCTTTCATTGCAACATGGTCTGGCGTTTACGAAGCGTCTATTGCCCGTACTTGGCAAAGGTGCGGTCCATTGCCTCCTTGATCTCGGCGTACACCTGGTCCGCGGGCTTGATCGAGTCCACCTCGACCACGCGGTCCTGCTTTCGGTAGTGGTCCACCACGGGCATCGACGTCTCCACGAAAGTCTCTGTTCGGCATCGGACGAAACAAAGATGAATGCGGAAAGATGGTCAGCAACTGGCACACGTCTCATAACGTCGCTGCATGGGGTCCGGCACTTACGGAAACGCTTCTTGATCGACTCCATGTTGTCATCGGCACGACCACTCGTCTTGCCACGCTCGAGCAGCCTCTCGAGCATCACCTCCTCGCTGCACTGCAGGAAGAGCACAAACTTGGACAGGCAGACCGACTCGTCAAATTTGATCGCCTGGTCCATCTTGCGCGGGAAGCCGTCGACGAGGAAGCGACCCTTGCCGTCGGTCCACTTGTCCTTGTGCTGTTCGGGGATCGTGTGGCCAGCCTCGGTGGCGCCTTGTCGGGAGAGAGCCTCGCCGATGGCATTCGAGAGCAGAGCGACCGTGACTTCCATGGGCACGATCTTGCCTTCCTTGATGTAGTCGGCGATCATGGCGCCGTACTGGGATCCTTCGCGTTTCTGCTCAGCACGGAGCAGATCGCCAGCGCTGAGATGGACAAAGCCATAGTCTTCGACCAGACGAGCGCATTGAGTGCCCTTGCCCGCACCAGGGCCACCGAGCACAAAGACCACGGTCACCTTGGACGAGTCGAATCGAGGCGTGTCCTTCTCGGCCGTGCCAGCACCAGCGGCGGGGGCACTGGCCGTCGGCTCAGCAGCATCAATGGCAGGCGCAGCGCCTACGGCGGATCCCGCATCCGATGGCGACGTCTTGCCGTCCTTCTTGTGTTTGAACTTGTCGAACAGACCCATTCTGCCGAGCAGCGTGTTGTTCCAGTTAATCTTGGGCGAGGTGTGTCGGTGCTCGACGGGTCTCTCTTCCACTTCTCAAGGCGAGAAGCGCGGGAGAGAAGAAAAGGTGGGAGCTGAGAAGCAGAGGTGGTGGTGGGAGAGGAGACGCAGTCGAAGCTGGAAAGGGTGATGCTTATGTAGAATCACTGGGGTTCTTGCGAGCGTGGCGGGATGAGCGGGTTGGGATGCGGGATGCGTTTCTCTCGAAGGTGCTTCTCGGGGTCGTCGTGCCGTGTGCGCGAGATGTATGCGAATGCACCGAATGCAGCAATGGCAATCACAGCGAAGCCGACGGGGCTAGGATGATCCTTCTGCGGCTTGGAGGCGTAGGTCCGAGCGACGAGGCGGTGTTGGATGCCGGAGGAGAAGACGGGAAGGCGGTCAAAGCGTGCAAGACGGATGGACTTTGCCGAACGTGTGGCTAGTAGCATTCGCGCGGCGATGCTCAAGGAGGTCAGGTTGAAGAGCGTGGTGATGATGGGAAGGGAAGATGAATGCGCAGGTGTCAGGGATGACTTGCAGATTCGATGATCTGTGCTACTTCCCGTGGGTAATTTTGAGCGAGCTGCTTCCGCATTGAATTTGATTTTTGCCTCGGTCCTTCATATCTCTGACGTCGCCAGTCGAGCTTTGACACCGCCCTCAGAAGTGTGGATCGTCGACGCTGTCACATCCCCCATTTGGCATTTGTTTATAGTTGAGATCACTATAGTCCTGACGAGAGGTAGACAACGCCATCCTTTAGGGCTGATGAATAGCGCTTCATGCTGGCAAGGGGAAGCAGTGACGTTTGTAAAATCTCGTACGAGAAACGAATCGGACCCTTGATGTGGAGCTTCAACCTCTTTGAAAAGGTGCATGTCATGCGATAGATCCTGGTGATGATCTTAGTAACGCGCCACCATCCAGCCCCTACTTTGCTTACGCCTTCGCTCGGCGCCGAAGAGCTTCAGCAGAGTCAGGCTGGACAGCCATGTCGTCGTCATCCTCGTCGGCGTACGCTTTCAAGCCGGGAGGATCGCTCAAGCTCAAGGGCGATGATGGCAAGAGGGACAAGAAGAAGTAAGTCAACAACCAACTCGGGCTGCTCTACACGTCCGTGTCTGACCATGAGGTCTGTATGCTGACCACTACTGCTTTCCGTTCCTTTTGGCTGCATCGCGCTTCGCAGAAAGAAGAAGGTCAAATCCTCGCTCTCCAGCGACTCAAAGCACGCTTCCGCATCTACGTCCAGGTCCCACTCGTCCTCAAAACGGAGCGCAGCCGACGAGGCTGTCGACGATGATCGATTGAACGATGAAGCAGACGAGGGCGCCCCCTTCGTCACCGCAAGCGGGAGACAGATGACCGAAGCGGAGCGCAAGTTCGAAGAGACCCGCAGAGAACGCATGCACCAGCGCATCGCTAAGGAAGCCCGCACTTCACACAAGGAGAAAGTGGACGCCTTCAACAAGTACCTCGGCTCTCTGTCGGAGCATCATGACATTCCCAAGGTGGGACCGGGCTAGTGACGCTGTCGACTCACACTCAATCAAAAGAAAACGCCAACGTCTGCGGCAAACACCGCCGATCGGTTCTGTGCTTTTGCTGCTGACTTTTCTTCTGTGCAGCGCGCTGGTGATCCCCCATGAGCTGAGCATGTGAGCCGTCCAGCAGACCGAGCCGAGAATGGAAGCGACGATCGCAGCGATACGAGCGACCATCCCCGGATCGTTGTCAGACGACGGGTCAGGGTCCAAATCTGAGCCATCTTGAGCTGCCAAGCAAATCTCTTGCATTTCCAATTTTGCCCTTCCGACCCGTTTTTGACGTTTGCTTATCATTGTCCTACCATCACCATCCCTCTCAACTCGAACATGTCCACATCGGCGTTCCAGACGGCGCGAAACGCCATTGACGAGGCGCACAAGAAGGATCCGGCGTACGCGGCCTCCTCCGCGTCTCCTACTGCGGAACGCGATCCAGCGACCAAAGTCGACGAGCTGGTGTACGCCGATCGAGTCGAGTACTGGGCGTCGCACCTGATCGGTCTGCGTCTCGAGACTCCCGAGTATCAGTCGTTCGCCAGAACGGTGTCCCCATCGTCGACCTCGGACGCGGAGGCGGTCACGCAGACGGGCGAGCTTCTCCGCCTCGCAGCGCGGTGTCAGCACCTGGAGCGCTTCCTCACCCCTCGCTCCTCCTACCCAGATGGCAAAGCAGGCTACCTCAAATGGCGTCGTGACCTGTACAAGATCCAAGCGGACCGGGCCAAGGAGCTCCTCCTGCAATCTGGCGTCGACGAGACAAGCGCGGACTGGGTCCACAAATGGGTGAGCAAGACCGAGCTCAACCCTGGCAAGCCCACCGGCGACATGGGCACCCAACTCCTCGAAGACGCCGCCGTACTGTTTTTCTTGCAGGACGAACTGGAGCTCTTCGCAAGCCAACATCAGGAGTACAAGGAGGAAAAGTTTGTCGATATCATCAAGAAGACGTGGCGCAAGTTGAGCGAGATGGGCAAGCAAGAGGCGTTGAAGTTGAGCATGCCCAATGGGTTAGAGCCGATTGTTATGAAGGGCATCAATGCGCTGGAGAAGCCGGAGCAGAAGGAAGGGTAAGATCGATCGAAGTGTGTGATACCCGATACCATTGGAGAACCGTCGCATCTTGTATCGCTCTTGGATAGAATTCTCACTCCAACGTGCATACAATGATCTCGATTCTACCTTGACCCATCCAAGCAGGGACGCATTGTCTGTGCGATGGTGTGTGTTACGCTTTGACCTCCCTCTTGAGCAGGACGATGTACTGACAAGCCCCTTGCCGCCGTCGCTGCCTTCTTTCCCATCACAGATGTTCACCATCGCAAAACCATCTCCCACCACCGGCACACGACTCCTCGCGAAAGAAACAATCCTCTTCCTCGGCACCCGTCACTCGGCCCCTCCGTCCCAAAACAGCCGCGGAAGCACAAGCGCTCCTCGACACCGCCGACCCTTCCTCTGACATCTTTGGCGCGCGTTTGCTCACATCCGACTCCGACCCGTGGTCGCACAACGCATGGGACCACGTCACGCCTCCTCCATCCCACTACACCCACGTCGCGGACACCCTCGCGCGGCAAGCGGAAACCAAACTCACCCTGGAAGAAGCGGAGCCATTTCACGCTGCCCCCGCCGGATACTGGGACACGTTCTATTCCTCCCACGAGAACCGGTTCTTCAAAGATCGCAAGTGGTTGCACCTCGAATTTCCGGAACTTGTCGATGCGACGAGAGAGGATGCTGGGAAGAAGGTGGTGTTGGAAGTGGGATGTGGGGCGGGCAACACGGTGTTTCCGCTTCTCGAGAGGAACAGCAATCCGGAGCTGACCATCTATGCCTGCGACTATTCGGCCGAGGCGGTGAGTGTGGTTCGGGCCAATCCGCTGTCCAATCCTCCCATCGGACACTGTTCTGCGTGTGTATGGGACCTCAGCAGCCCAACTGCCCTGCCGGAGGGACTCGAGGAGGGGAGCGTAAATATGATCGTCCTGATCTTCGTCTTCTCCGCCCTCCACCCGCGCGAGTGGGCTCAAGCAGTGACGAACATCCGACGCCTCCTCAAACCCGGCGGACTGGTGCTCTTCCGCGACTATGGCCGGTACGATCTGCCCCAACTGCGCTTTAGGAAACGCAGGATGCTGCAAGACAACTTCTATCTAAGGGGAGATGGAACAAGGGTATTCTTTTTTATTCCTGAGGACCTGGTTGCGATCTTCAATGCTCAGCCGCAGAGCACCACCACGACGACCGTCCAGGATGGCCACGGGGAGGGGGAAGAGGTCAAGGAGGTGCAGGAAGAGGTAGAGATCAAGGAAGAGGACGGGAAGAGGTTCGACTTTGCAACAACACAGATGGCGATTGATCGAAGGATGATCGTCAATAGAAAGGAGAGGAAGCAGATGTACAGGGTTTGGCTGCAGGCCAAGTTCCAGCTCCTAGACCGGGCTGCATAGAGGGGGATGCTCACCGATGCTCTAGACGATTGCTGAAGAAGAGAAGACGCAAGACTCCAATCTCGAAGTCAGCGGCACATTGCACACATCCCTCGTTTGCTCTTGAATGATGTAGAATGAGATTGCCAGTGGCGAGAGATCGAACAGGTTCGTGACGTGGGAATGCAAAGTGACGCGATTGGAACGGGTGTGATAACAGAATCCATCAGTCTATGCGCCGTGGTGTCGACCGGCTTAATCGTCCGAGTCGTCGCTCATGAACTCGTCCTCGTCATCAAAGACGGCCATCTCCTCGAACGCGACCTTGTATCGCAGAATGCCACCGATACCACCGAAACCCTTGCAGAACTGCATGCCCTCTTGTGATCGGTCCGTGACAAACTCGAGGTTGGTACCGAAAGTGCGGTAGTTCTCTGCGAGCCATTCCAAGAGCGGCATGGGTTCCTCCACCTGCTCCATAGCCTCGCCCGTCGCTCTGTCCATGAACCGGCTTCGGTCCTTCTCCTGCTCCTTGGTGAGCATGAGGATGTTCTGGCTTCCCTCGCTGTCCTTGAGCACGTAGCGCGTCACATCGAGGTTTTCCCACACAATCAACGTCTCGACCGCACCCAGATCCAACGCCTTGAATGTATCGTCCAGACCAAAGCAGTACTTGCCCGTCTCCATCGAGATCTCGTCAAAGTACTTCTGGATCAACTTCTTCTCCTGAACAAACTTGACATTCGACAGCGTTTCGGCGGCCAACTCGATCGCCTGGTTGAACCCGTTCTCTCCACCGTACGACACATCGACGATCTTGACGATCTTGGGCGCCAGTCGGTAGTCGAACATGTCGGACTGACTCAGCTCGGTCTTGAAGTCGGCCGAACCGGCCAACACCAGACCCGCAACGTTGCACTTGTTATCCGTGATAAAGTGTTGCGTCGAAAGCTCGGCGATCTTACGGACGTAGTTGTGACGGGCTTCCTCACGAAGACGCGCGAAACGCAGCGCCGACTGTCCACCACGACCGTGCTTCTTGGGCAGATCGACCGAGAGCTTCTGCAACACGGTACGTGTGTTTCCGGAAAGAGTACCGAACAGTGATCCGTTACCGTCCATGACGATGAAGCCAAACTTGGCATCCGCCTCCAAGAGCTCGCTGAGCGCCTCGGTGTGGAACTTGTTGTCGCAGAGGTAGAGCGACGTGTTGATGGGCTTGAAGGGTTCGAAGGAAAAGTTGACCTTCTTTTCTTTACCTTCGTCTGTGAGGATCGTTCCGCAGTACACGACGAGACCGTTATCAGGCACGCGGTTGTACAGCTTGAGTCGCTGCTGTGTGGATGTGATGGCGGCCAGGACGGAAAGACGGTTGACTCGCGACTTGATGTTGGAAGCAGTGCCGTACTCTTGGGTCAACATGTTGGATGCTTGTGAAATCTGCGACCTCGGCGGAAGGATGAGCGAGATCATCGAGGTACCAGCACCGCGTGCAGCGTCGAGCTGCTTGACGAGCTTCTTGACCTTCCAGACCTGGATGTTGGCCTCGGCGGCATCTGCTGCGGTGGCCATTTTGTATGTGTAGGGGTGAGTGGAGGGTGGTGGTGGTGGTGTGGCACTATCGAAGGCCCAGGCGAATCGAGGATACGGTCCGGTGCTGAGCGCTGCGCCTGTTTTCGCACGCTGATGATACGAATGCAGAAGGTGATGCCTCAAGTGCTCGAGCTAACTGGTGGCGCTGAAGCGATGCAAAGGTAGGTGAAGAAGTCGCCACGATCTGTATCTTTTTGGATGAGAGCCAGCTGCGTTTCGAGATTTTGAGAAGAAAAAGGTCTCTCGCTCCAAGATGGATTCGCGCAGCAGCCAAGAAGGCAAGCGTCACACGCCAGCTGCAGGTCAAAGAAGCGCCTCGAGGTGGCCAGGCTGAGCGAGAGCGATATTTTGGCTAGGACGAAAAAATTCTATCCATCGGCTGGATTGACGACCCAATCGGGAGATCACCCTTCCTCCTTCGAGCTAACATTTGGACGAAAAAGGCCGACGCTTTCAGCTCTGGCTTGAGAGAGCACAAGCGAGCCAACCACGAGAAAGCAACACAAATTCCTCTCTGTTGGAGCGTGTCCGGTCATGATTGGCGGTCGGGCCGGCTAACTCGGATGAAGAGCGAACCATAGATGGCGCTTGCAGCCACGCAACGGACACAAAGAAGGCGATGGCCGTAAAGTGATTGCGCCAGACAAGCTCCACGGCGATCGATTGTTTGATAGCAAGCAAACAAGCAAGCCATCAGAAGACGGCGCTGTCGGATGCGACTCAAGGCAAGGAAGAGGGAGCTTGAAGGTCGACTCGGCTGTCACCCACAGGAATTGAAGGAATAGAGTGTGGGGTCCGCATTCTGATTCGCTCTCCTTTGCTTGAACACGCTTGGTCCATCCTTTCGGATCTTGCATCCCCTTCACCATCACCCTCAACGTCACTCCAGAGTCGACCCTCCGAGTCGCGACGGTCACATCCTCAGTCAGCTCCGGGAGCACTCCCACCAAGACACAGACCTGGGTTCTGCTCGATACACACATCCAAGATCATGGAATAAGTCACATTGCTGCCGACTAAGCACGGATCGTCCTCTAGCTCTTCCCCGGCTATCGCAGCTTCCGACGAGACACGTCCATCACGAAATCACTCCAAGGATCACTCTTGCTCGGCTCTGCACACCATGTCGCGCTCTTTCAAACCAAAAGGCCGCTCGGCCAAGTCAACCATCGTCCGAATCCAGTATGATCCCACACTCAAGTCGTCGCTCGTCCACCTGCCCATGTGCCTCTATGCACCACTGGTCGACCTCGCAGTCCCACCACAATCGCTTGTCGTTGAGATTGATGCGTCGCCCTCCTCGACTCAAGCGGTCGCTTATTATGCAGGATGGTCAGGCATGAGCGCTGCTCCGCTTTCGGTCGGCAACTCTCTCTCCCAGAACGGAGCATCCTCATCCGCCAATGGCAAGGCGTCTGCCTCTGACGTCCTCAACGTCTCTCCTTCTCTCGCTGCATCCTTTCGCCCTCCATTGCAAGACGGCGCTACCTGCTCTGTTCGTCTCCTGCGCTCTCCACCTCTGCCGACGGCCACAAAGATCGATGTCACGCCGCTCTCCGCCGACGACTGGGAGATTCTCAGCTTGCACGCCGAAGAAGTTGAGCTCAATATGCTTGGCCAAGTGCGCGCAGCCACCACCGGTCAGGTCCTCACCGTCCACGTCGGTCGAGGCGGTAATACGGTTGTGCGCTTCCGAGTCGACTCCACAACGCCGAGCACCGCCGCAGTCGACGCTGCAGAACCCGACACAGATGACACCGACTCCGCTGCCGCCATTGCCGTTCGGCTCTCCACCGATACTGAAGTCATTATCGCACCCAGATTACGCAAGAAAGCCGTCGACGCGTCCATGGAAGAAGAGCACTCTCTGCAGCCTATCAACAAGCCAGCTCTCAACGGCGTAGGTGCGGAAGCGGAGGTAGCAGCATTGAGGCAGGCGCTCCCGAAGCTCTTGTGGCGCGTCTTGCCGCAGCGCTTCGCCGAAGGTCTTCAAATCGACAGTCTCTCAACGAGCGTCGCGGTATCCTCCACTTCCGATGTCGGCCACGACCAACTGCTCAGCATCTACCCAGATGGCCGACTCTCGATCACTAAAGTCTCGTGTCCAACCAACAACAGCGCACAGGAGATGAATAACGCTGGTCGAGACAAGGGGTCGTCGTCTGCGAGTGCCAATGGCTTCGATGATGCGGCCGCTGGTACAGCGAACGCTCAGGCGGCCATGCCAGCAAGGCCGACAGCCAGCGCGAGATTCGTCCGTGCCGAGGACTTGCCAGGCAGCAGGGCTCACGACGACGTAGCATGGCCTGAGAGGCATGTGCTGCTGGGCGCCGCGCTTCGTGATCAGCTCGGTATTCAGGACTACGACCTCGTCCGTTTTGGTGCCCCTCCCCCCGGGTTCAGCAAGTCCCCTTCGAGTAACGTAGCATCTCAGTCAGACGCCTCTGCAGCTGACTCCAAGTCCAAGTCAGACACTGCATCAGAGCTGGCCGGTGTGGATCACATTCTTCGAGATACAAAGGAAGCCATCTCAGCCTGCTTCCGCGCACGCGCCCTCGAAGCCTCTTCCCAGCCGTCTGCCGATGCCAAACCCTTCCAAGGCTCGTCGAGCCTGCTTCTCACAGGAGGTCCCGGCTCAGGCAAGACGGTCATCGCCAAACACCTCGCCGCCGACCTCTCGCGCGACTTTCGCCTCTGCCTCGCCACCTCGTACTTTGACTGCTCGCCCTTCAGCGAAGACCGCGTGCCTGTGCTGCGTGCGCGCTTCAGCGAGTGGCTCAACGAGGCAGCTTGGAAAGCACCTAGCCTGCTCATCCTCGACAACATCGATCGAATAATGCCAGCCGAGATGGAACACGTCGACTCGCAGCGTTCGAGGCAGCTAGCCGAGGCTTTTGTGACAAGGGTCAGGGACTGCGTCAAGAGCTTTGGCGTGTTTGTTGTCGCAACAGCGCAAGGCAACACGAGCATTCACAGTCTGCTCAACTCGAGCCATCTGTGGCTCGACAACGTGCAGCTCAAGCCGCCGGGCAAAGAAGGGAGGCGCGAAATCCTGGCTCATTTGGTGCAGAAGAAGCTTAGCAACGCCAACAAGAAAGGAAAGGTGAGCGGCGAGTCAGCACAGGAAGTGGCCGACGGCAGCCAGGCGGCTTCAGAACTTAATTTCGTCACGCTGGCGACCCAGACGGAGGGCTACCTGCCGGCTGATCTGCGCGATCTTGTCGAGAGGGCGACGCACCAGGCTGCCATTCGTAGTGCGAGCACCACGGAGACGACTCTGGCTCCTCGATCAGCACCCAATGGAGTGTCCAGAAACGGCATCGCGCACGCTGCTGTCAACGGCACGGCCAGTCCCCGACCCGAGGGTGGCGAGGAGGGGCTCTCGATCACCATGGACGACTTCGTCCAAGCGCAGGACGGCTTCACACCTCTGTCCCTCCGCGACGTCAAGCTGGAAAAGTCGTCCGTCGCGTGGTCGGACATTGGTGGCCTCATCGAAACTCGCCGTGTCCTTCGCGAAACGCTCGAGTGGCCCACCAAGTACGCGGCCATCTTCGCCTCCTGTCCCCTTCGTCTCCGCTCGGGTCTGCTCCTCTACGGCTACCCTGGTTGCGGTAAGACCCTGCTCGCTTCGGCCGTGGCCAAAGAATGCGGTCTCAACTTTATCAGCGTCAAAGGACCCGAGATCCTAAACAAGTACATCGGTGCCTCGGAGAAATCGGTGCGCGACCTGTTCGATCGCGCGCAAGCGGCCAAACCGTGCGTGCTGTTCTTCGACGAGTTCGACTCGATCGCGCCCAAGCGTGGGCACGATAGCACGGGCGTGACGGACCGCGTGGTGAATCAGATGCTGACGCAAATGGATGGTGCGGAAGGGCTGGATGGGGTGTATGTGCTCGCAGCGACGAGCAGGCCGGATCTGATCGACTCGGCGCTGTTGAGACCGGGTAGGTTGGACAAGTCGCTACTGTGCGATATGCCGACGGAGGAAGATAGGCTGGACATCATGAAAGCCATCGCCAGGAAGGTGCATCTTCACCCGGAGGTGGATCTGGAGAAATGGGCGACCAAGACGGACGGGTTCTCGGGAGCAGATCTGCAGGCCTTGCTGTACAACGCGCACCTCGAGGCGATCCACGAGTCGATCAGTGCGGTGGCCGAGGAGAAGGAGGATGCGAAGAAGGATGCGGACACTGCTTCCGACGGCACACTCAAGTTCACCACCATCGGCGGGGGAGGCAAAAAGACGCTCAGCGGTGCAGAGAGGCAGGCGTTGGTGCGCAAACTCGAGTTGGTGCTCAAAAACACCCAGTCGCAGCCAAAAAACAAGCCGGGTCGGATTTTACCGGCTCACCTCACCTCGGCTGCTCCCAATGGCGTCCACGAGGTAGCAAAGAAGAGCAAGAGCAAGACCCTCGTCACCGAAGCACATTTGGAAACGTCGATCAAGAGCACCCGACCGAGTGTGCCGCTCGAGGAACAGAGGAGGCTGAGGGGGATCTATAGGACGTTTGCCGGTGATAGAGATGGGAATTTTCCCGATGGAGAGGCGAGCACGCAGATCGGGGCGAGGAGCAGTCTGATGTAGGAAGTACGCAGCAATAGACTCGGATAGCAGCCGTCATGGTGGGTCTCAGCTGACATGTGAAAGACGATGAGATGAAGCTGGTGTCCGAACTATCGGATCTGCCATCGGTAAGATGAAGCCTGTTTGTTTCGCTTCGATGCAGGTGGTCAAGATTCGATTCGATGGCGGACCTCGAAAGCGTCGGCTTCGATGGCAAGGGCGAGCGAGAAACGGGTAGCGAGAGGACGATCATTGGCTCATTACGAGGACCACGTGCGAGATGACGATGATGATGGCGCTTTCAGTCGATGCCGATACGCAATGTCAGGCACAGGAGGCGGCAAGATCGTCGGCCACTCGTATCGATCTGACAGGGTCCACAAATGTCGGACCTTCTGATCTTGTAGATCCGAGCTCGATAAGGTTTTTCCCTCACGGGTAGATGACCGACATGCCCCGGGCACGGTATGCTGTCCTCTTTCAAAAGCCCACCAGTCCCACTCGCGAGAGATACGCAAGGTGGGCTTCGGCACAACTGGTGGCTTAGAGACCCTTTCACGACGTGAGCGGTGAGTGTGGGGTCTTTGCGACGCTCCTTCTATGGCCAGCTGGAAGCTTCTCGCCACATCCGAACCCGTGGGAGCGAACAAGGGGTCAAGGAACGACGGAGGGTCACGGAGAAGCCGGGGGATTGGCAGGGTCTCCTTCCCTTTCACGTTCAGACTGATTTCGGCGGTCTCGCCCCCTTTGACGCAGATCTGCAGACGAAGGTGCAGCCTTGCTCAGACAGCCCCTCGGTGTATGGAGAGCTGGCCCCAGGCCAGGCACCTTTTCGCATTCATCAAGCACTCGCAGTGCCAGCCGAGCTCCCAGCAAGTCAGGTTGAGCAAGTGCATCCATGCGAGAAGTCGACGGGATGAGGGCGCCGGCCATCAGTGCCACTAGCCGAGTCAAGGCAAGTGAGCTCTAAATTCTTCGCCGCGCTCTGAAGTGCAGGCGCGTGGCAAATGCCGCCTCGGGCACAGCGGCCGCGCCCAAAAGTTCGCGACAGAAAATCGACTTTCAACGGTACAGCTGCCCTGGCTCTTCGCCCGCCTTCTTCGCGCTGTCAGGGTCCATGCTCAAGGCTGCACAGTCGGAGAACGGCGCTAGGCAGTCGGGCAGTGTCGTAGGCCGGACTGTCAAAATGCTTTGACGTGAAGACCGTGATAGCGGCTGAAAATAGCCTTTTTTACTGCTGCTGCTGGTGATGCCAGATTCTCCTGTGTCGAAAGAACCCTTTCAACACGCAACTCACTCTGTGTGGCGGCGAAATCTTGGCCCACGCTTTTCTTTGTAAGGCTTTCAGAGCGCAAATTTCGCAACTCTGTCAGGGCCATTTTCAATCTCCCGAGAATTCGCCGCTTTGCCCGCCACTGCTGCTCCCACCCGAACGCCACCACACACGCAGGCCCAGTCATTTCACCATCAGCCAGCAGGCTCGAAAGCAAACTTGAATCTGAAAGCGCAAAGTTCGACCTCGACCCTCGACACTCGAACCTTTGCTTGCAACCCTTCCCTTGTCCGGCTTGCCTTGATCCGCTTTCGCCCACAAAGCCTATCCGAAAAAAGTTTTGAGTTTTGATTGTCCCCGCCCACATCAAAAGTACAACAGCAGAGAAGCACTTTTGACGAATCCCGACTCTTGTTGCTTCGCCTCAAAGGCGTGCGCGTGATTGCTGCAAGTCGAGCATGTGCTTTCAGAAAGTGGGAGAAGGCAGGCTCAGTCGGTCAACTCTGAGGGTGCGCTTTCAAAATGCACATTCCAACGCCATTTCTTTCGACTCGACCCTGCGTAGCAGCATGGCGCACCCTTTTTCACGGTGTTCTTCCTGCTGCTGCTGGCTGCACCCTTGCTGCACACGCGGCTGGCTGACTCTGTGTGTTGCCCTTCCAACTGCGCCACCTTTTTTCGCCGCTCCGCCTTATCGCGCACCCTCCTCCTCCGCACGTTGGCCTGAGTGTGTACCTCTGAGTCTCTCTCTCGGAGTATATAGATCTCGTCCGTGCTCAGCTTATCATCCTTCCTCCTTCCCCTCACCCTACTCGGATCACATCCCCCTCATCGCTCGCCTCACAGAATCGTTTCTGTCTCCACTACCCCAGAAGTATTCACACTCCCCAATCGCATCTTATCTCTCCGACTCAAAATGTCAGCTGCTACTCAGTCTGCACCCGCCGTCAACGGCATCTCGTCGCCTACCAAGGTGGCCCTCGACAACAGCAAGGCGTTCCAGAAGATCGCCTCGGTACCACTGGTCTCGGACTCGCTCCAATTTGCTCAGTCCACCATCAAGTCGTACCCTCTCCTCGCCACGACCTACGGCTACGGCGAGAACTTTGTCAACTCTTCGTTGAGGATGGCCGAGCCCATCACCAACCAGATCCACCCTCAGCTCGCATACGTCGACTCGCTCGCCGCCAAGTCGCTTGATTTCGCCGAGAGCAAGTGGAGCTACCCCTTCCACGCCAACACCCAGGAGCTCATCGACGCTGCCAAGCTTCCCGCTGACCACGCCGTTGGCTTCGTCTCGGCCTACGCTGCCGCCATCCAGAAGGCCTACGGCGAGCGTGTCTACACCCCTGCCAAGTCGGCTTACGACTCTCACATCGTCCCCGCCTACGACACGGCCCACTCCAAGTTTGACGAGATCAAGAGCCAGAACGCCGTCCTCCAGCGTGCCACCGACATTGTCACTGGTCTCCAGGCCAACCTTGTCAAGACGCTAGAGACCATCTCGTCGCGCAGCAAGCAGGAGGGCGACCAGGCCACCGAGAAGGCGCAGGGCATCTCGAACGCCATCTTTGCCGAGCTCGAGCGCGTGCGTCACTTTGCGTCCAACCTGCCCGCCGAGAGCCGCAAGCGCGTCGGACCTGTGATGGACACCTTTACCGAGACCTACGAGAAGCTCAGCAAGGAGGCTCGCAACCCCGAGGTCCCCGCTAGCACCCGTTTCCTCAACGTCGTCAAGTTTGTCCGCGAGCAGTCGCTCCCCGCGCTCCAGAAGGCCATCATCAACCCCCCTTCCTCGACGCAGCAGAAGGCAGAGGAAAAGGTCGACTCGGCTGCTTCGGCGGTCAAGGGCGGCAAGTGAGCGTTTTCGACTCGTAGACAGCTTTTTCATCACATCGATCCGCGATCCAGCATTTCTCCCCTCCACGCATGTTTTCCCCAGTTTGTTCTTGTAGTCTTTCCACCCTTCACCTGCAGCCTGACAATCCTCAGAATACCCAGCCTCGTCGTTTCATCATCATTTTGCTCTCAAGTGTGAATCTCATCCGCGAGTGTGCTTCTCCATGGTGAAGGGAATGTATTGCGATGGATCCACGTGTACGAATGCTTCCATTCTAGCAGCATCGCTTCTACGATTTGTCCTTGGCGATCCTGCTCACCCTCAGTGGCATTTGCGGTCCCACGTCCTCCTGGCCTACCACCCTGGACCGAATCACAGCCGTCTGTTTCGCCTCGATCTTCCACCCCTCCACCTCCTCGAACTCGAACCTGCCGACCAGGTGGCACAGCATGGCCTTGAACTCAGCCAGTGCGAACCTGTTGCCAATACACCCCCTGGGACCCGAGATGAAGGTCATGAGGTGCATCGGCAAACCGCTGCTCTTGGCCTCCGTGGGGAGGTTGAGCCAGCGATCCGGGTTGAACTCGTTTGCGTCATCGCCCCAGATGGCCGGGTCGGAATTGATCGCTTGAATCGGAATGAACACTTCCCTCCCTTTGGGGATGTGGACGCTCGTGATCGACCCCTTTCCATCCCTTGTCGGATAAGGTTGGCTGAGCGGGATGGTGGCGCTGGCGGTAGCCACTCGGATGGTCGACGGCACCGCAGATCGAACTCGGAAGCTCTCCTTGCACACCGCGTCGAGGAAAGGCATCCCCATCAACTCGTCGTACCCCACATCGCGTTCCATGTCCCTCCCGAAATGGTCGTGAATCTCCTCCCTCAGCTTTTGCTGGATTGTCGGTTGTTGGGAGAGAAGGTGCAACGTCCATGCGGTCTGAGTGGACGTCGTCTCATGCCCTGCAATGAGCAACGTGGTAATCTGCCCGATCAACTCCTTATCATCCAACTTCTCCTTCACCGACACATCCGCCGCCATATTCGCTCGCATCATCAGATGCAACAGATCCTTGCCCCCCGTTTCGCTCTCGTCAAAACCCGCCTTGGTATACCCGCCTTTCCCACTTGCGGCAAGATCCGCCTCCATCTCTTTGCGGATCTCCTCCTTCTTCCGATCGACAATCTGTTGAGACACCTCTTCCAGTATCGCATACGCCCCCTCGGTGGCTCGTTTGCGCTGGGAAGGAATGCGATCTACCCAGGAAAGGAACCAGAAGTTACTGAGGTAGATCTGGAGGAAGCGCAGGATGTCGATCTTGAGCGTCAGCTTGAAGAGCGTTTGAAAGGCGTTTCCTAGCGTATCACCGGGGCGAGTCTCGACGATGGAGGGGTCAGTATTGATCTTGAGGGATTCAAAGTGGTAGCCGAAACCGGCGACGCCGATGATGTCGAGTGCTGCCCGGGTTGTCCAGTACGACACGTCGAATACGGGCTTGCCCCGTTCGCTCACTTTCAGTGACGGTTGGGGTTGACCTACGAACGCTTTCTCCACTCCATCGGCACCTCCGTCCTTGGAGGGGGAGGAGGAGAGGTCGATCATGAGCCCGATCTTCTCCGCGAGTTCGCGAGAGTATCGCATGAACACAGGGTTGAGTTCGCGGATCGCACCCACGTTGAACGCAGGTTGCAAGATTTTCCGTTGCCGCTTATGCACCTCGCCTTCCGCGACCAATACTCCTTCCCCGAGAAAGTTCTTCAACACCAACCGCGTACTCGCCGGCTTTTCGTAGGTGTACGAGTTGGCCGCGGAGAGCATGTGCAGCATCGCCCGTGGGTCCGCAATGAACAATCTTGGACTGTAAAAGAGACCGCGGTAGACGTAAACGCGGGTTTTGAGCTGGGTGACGAAGGAGAGGTGACCGAGGGTGGGCGGGTTGCGCCGAATGTGGCCGAGGTGGCCGGTGAGGAGCGGGTAGCGATCGGTTCGGGCGGGTCGCGGGAAGTGAGAGTATTCGTCGATGCCGAGGACGTGGAGCTTTGCATAGCGCCAAAGGGCGATGGTGAAGAAGGTCAGGACCGTCACGAGGAGCAGCGTGAGGGGGAGGAGGATGAGTATGGCGAAGGAGGTGGTGAGTGGACGGTGGACGGCGAAGGAGATGGTGCCACGGATGAGGGACGAGAGCCCTTCCACGAGGGCTGAGGGGGTGAGCTCGAGCTTCATCGTGCCGTGCCGGTTGTCGATGAGGGTGAGGTACGGAAGGTCGACGTCGCCGTCGCTGTTGAGGGAGAGAAGGACGGTCGTCCGGATCAGTGCATCTAGGTGAAGCCGTGGAGAGCTCTTATAGGGATGACAGTGGCCAGGAAGATGGAGGAGTGACGCGGCCAACACAGGATAGCGGACACGTCGCCTTAGGACGGGAAAGAAGGAGCATTCCAAGCTCCGATGTGGAGTACAGGCTCAGCGTGGTAACTTCATCACTATCACATGGGCTCATACTTTCAAAGGCTCGTCGGTCTGTACGCTCCTCTTCTTCTGGCCTAATTTAAGAACCAACTGTCAGCTTTGCGCACTCATGCTCAGGTCAAAGCTGCTGAAGGGGCACTTGATCGATCACACTCGGTACTTTGTGGTGGACACTTCTGAGTTGATGGAATCAGCGCCTCCGCGGATTCAGCGGTCACCACCAGCCGCCCCCCGGCCGCGCGGTGTTCGGCAGCGTTTGCATGCAGCGCGAATCGCCGCATTATTCTCGCCGTGTTAGAGCTACTCCTGGATTCTCCTCCACACCGAAGGCCGAAAAGCCTGAGTAGGGCGAGGCAAGGCTGGACCCTGAACTTCTTCTTCCCTGACAACTTTCTCGACGTCCTCTTTCTATCATCCATCCACGACCGAGCCCTCGGCGCAACAGCCACCGGCAAAGTCCACCGCTCGGACATCATGCCTTCACAACTCGAGCAAGAGGTGGCTCAACGGCTCTCTGCCAGCTTGCCAAATGCGAGCGAGCTCCTTGCGCAGCGGGTAATCTCCCTCTCACGCTCCCTACCCACAGACAAGGCTTTCGTCAATGCAGCTCGTGCATTTGGTCGCTTCGACGAGTCATTCTTGGTAGATCTTCGAAGCTACATCTCATCGCAGCCCAACACAAGTTCCGGGAGCCTCAGCAATGGCACTTCCCAATCCTCCGCGTCGACAGCAACAGCAGAACCGCAACGTGAGAGGTTCGGTCTATCCACACTTGGCGGCGAGAAGCACGTCTTCAAGGCGCCAGCCGCAAAGCCCAAACCCAGCCTGCTCGGTCTCGACAAGCTTGTGGCTGTCAAATGCGCAGAGTCCAGCGATCCTTCCTCGGCTGACTCGTCGAAAGGCGCGCCGGTACACAAGCGCCAACGAGTCTCAAGCACGCAGCTCAGCCATCTCGAGGATGACCTCGACGGCTCGTCGGAGCCGTCCACTCCCGCCAATCCAGTCTTCAAGGCGCCCTCGAGACCTGCCTCAGCCGCACAGGCCCAGATGCGACCAAGAGGAAACGAGACACCCAGCCATACCGGAGGGTTGAGCGACACAGCTGCAAAGCGGCTCGAAGAGCATCGTCGGAAGCGGGCAATGGCTGCAGATGCCAGGACGGAAGCCTCTAGCAAGGGCAAGCAGATTGCTACCTCAAGTGCCATCAATGGGAATCCTTCCAACAAGCCGCAGAGAGCGGATCGCAGCAGTGGAGACTCGTGGCGAGCTTCGGATCGAAACTGGTCCGATCGCCGAGGTCAACCATCCGATCGCAGGATGGACGATCGCAGAGCGCAGAATGGCAGGGACGAGCCCTCATCGCAAAGGCTGGATCGACGAACTTGGGACGCGACGCCACGCAGCGCATCGAAGAGATCCGATGACCTGGACCGCTGGACACCGCGGCATCCAGAGAATGGCGCAAGATCTCGCCTCTCGACAGCAACCCCCGCATCGACACGTTCAGCAGGATCGCGTCGCTGGGACGATACACCCTCACGGCGAGGAGCCTCACCGACCCCATCCAACTTCGACCGCGACCAAGGTCCCGAAGGCAGAGCCTGGGACGAAGACGACAGACAGCTCGACCGCGACTGGTACGACATGGAAGAAGGCGGAGTCGCTGCCGACGAGGAACACAACCCTTTCTCGCAGTACGAAGACATGGCTGGTCAAGTCTCAGCACCTCTCGCGGCGAGAAAAGAAAAAGTCACCGCCCGACAAGCTCAGTACAATGCCGACACGGATGCCTGGGAGCGCAATCGTCTGCAGACCAGCGGTGTCGGTCCCCGAACCGCCATCGATCTCGACAACATGGACGACGATGGTGAGAACCGCGTTCACTTGCTCGTGCACGACTTGAAGCCTCCCTTCTTGGATGGCAAGACGGTGTTCACCAAGCAGCTGGATCCGATCAATCCTGTCAAGGATGGGCTGTCGGACATGGCTGTGTTCGCTCGCAAAGGCAGCCGGCTCGTCAGAGAAACGAGGGAGAAGGCGGAGCGGGCCAAAGCGGCGGGCAAAGTGGCTGCGATGGGCGGCACTACCCTCGGCAACATTCTCGGTGTCAAGGAGGACGACGAAGACGACCCTGCCGCACCTGCAGCCTCAAACACGGCGAACGGCAATGATGCCAACACCGCCGAGGGCGCCACTGCAGATGAAGCTTCTACACCGGACGGCAAAGGCGACTCGCAGTTCGCACGACACCTCAAGACCAACACCGGCGGATCCGAATTCAGCCGCACCAAGACGCTCAAAGAGCAACGTCAGTACCTGCCGGCCTTTGCGTGTCGCGACGACCTCATGAAGATCATCCGCGAGAACCAGGTGATCGTTGTCATCGGGGAGACGGGGTCCGGCAAGACGACGCAGCTGGCGCAATTCCTGCACGAGGATGGGTACACCCGGTATGGCATGGTTGGATGCACCCAACCGCGTCGAGTAGCCGCCATGAGTGTAGCTAAGCGCGTCAGCGAGGAGATGGAGAGCAAGCTCGGCGGCTTGGTGGGGTATTCGATCCGATTCGAGGACTGTACCAGCGCGGAGACCAGGATCAAGTACATGACGGATGGTGTTCTGCTTCGGGAGAGTCTCAATGAGGGGGATCTGGATCGATACAGCGCAATCATTCTGGACGAGGCGCACGAACGGTCGCTTAGCACCGATGTCCTGATGGGTCTGCTGCGGAAGATTCTGCAACGGAGACGCGATCTCAAGCTCATCGTCACGTCGGCGACGATGAACGCGGACAAGTTCGCTTCGTTCTACGGCGGCGCGCAGACATTCACCATCCCTGGACGGACGTTCCCGGTCGACGTGCTGTTCAGCAAGACGCCGTGCGAAGACTATGTGGACAGCGCCGTCAAGCAGGCGCTCTCGATCCACCTCTCGCACCCCAAAGGCGACATCCTCGTCTTCATGACCGGTCAAGAAGACATCGAAGTCACCTGCCAGGTCATCAGCGAGCGTCTCTCCCAGATCGACGAAGCACTACCGCTCCTCGTTCTACCGATCTACTCTCAAATGCCCGCCGACCTCCAAGCCAAGATCTTCGACGCCACCGACGACGGCTGCCGCAAATGCATCGTTGCGACCAACATCGCCGAAACCTCGCTCACCGTCGACGGCATCATGTACGTCGTCGATGCGGGCTACTACAAGCTGAAAGTGTACAACCCTAAGGTCGGCATGGACAGTCTGCAGATCACGCCGATTTCGCAGGCGAATGCGAACCAGCGGTCGGGTCGCGCGGGCCGTACGGGTAGCGGTACGGCGTACCGGCTCTACACGGAGCTTGCGTTCCGGAATGAGCTGTTCGCCAATACGATCCCTGAGATCCAGCGGACGAATCTGGCGAACACGGTGCTGATGCTCAAGAGTTTGGGAGTGAGCGATCTGTTGCAATTCGACTTTATGGATCCGCCGCCGCAGGAGACGATGTTGAGCAGCATGTACCAGCTGTGGGTGCTCGGTGCGCTCAACAGCGTCGGCGAACTCACCGCCCTGGGACGCAAAATGGGCGAATTCCCCATGGAACCGAGTCTGTCCAAGATGCTCATCACGAGCGTCGACTACGGATGTAGCGTCGAGATGCTGACCATTGTCAGCATGCTTTCCGTCCCCTCGGTGTTCTACCGCCCGAAGGAGAGGATGGAGGAATCCGATGCGGCGAGGGAACGATTTTTCGTAGCCGAGTCGGACCATCTCACCCTCCTCCACGTCTACAACCAGTGGCGAAACAATGGCTACCGCGATTCCTGGTGCTCGCGCCACTTTTTGCACTCGAAAACCCTCCGCAAGGCGCGCGAGGTGCGGGTGCAGCTGGAAGACATCATGCGATCGCAGAAGTTGCAGCTGGTGAGCTGCGAGACGGACTGGGATGGGATCCGCAAATGCATCACTGCGGGATACTTCCACCAAGCGGCGCGAAGCGCGGGGATCGGGGAGTACGCAAACTGCAGGACGGGCGTCAAGATGTTCCTCCACCCCACGTCGGCGCTTTACGGGCTGGGGTACAGCCCGGAGTATGTGGTGTACCACCAGGTGGTGCTGACCAGCAAGGAGATGATGAGCACCGTGACGCAGGTGGATCCGCACTGGCTGGCCGAGCTGGGTGGCGCGTTTTATAGTATCAAGGAGCGAGATGGGACGAGTACGGGGACGAGGGCGAGGAGGACGGGGGAGATGGAGAGATTGACCGGGCTGGAGAGGCAGATGCGCGAGGAGAGGGAGGAGAAGGAGATGAGGGAGAGGGAGAGGAAGGAGAAGGAGAGGGCGAAGGGGAGAGGTGCAGAGACGCCGCAGATTGCTACGCCCGGTGCGACGCCGTTCAGGTCGAGAGGGAGACGCGTGCTTTGAAGTGGACGAATTGGAATGCATTGCTGTCGTATGTATTGGTCCGATCGTGAAACTGGCTGTGTATCGTGGTATGAGTGTGTTGCCAGTGTGAAGGTGTCAAGGTACTATGCTGATGCAGCGGCAAGCTACTGCACGACTTGGCCGCTCTTGACTTCCTTGCCTGTCTTTTTGATCTTCTCCAGCACGGTCTCGTATGGCGCGCTGCCCTTGACTACGACCGTCTGGTTCTCGAGCGAGACATCGTAGCTATCCACTCCTGCAGCATTGAGCGAAAGTAATGAAGAAGTCAGCTTGTCGTGTTCGAAACAATTTTCGTCGGGTCCGCGGTAGACTCACCGTCAAGCTTGGAAAGCACCCTCGAAACGGCCCCCGAGCAGCCGGAGCACGTCATGACGACTTCGAACTTGTATTCGTGCTGTCACCGTGTGAAAAGCGCACCCAAGAGCGTGTCAGCGATCGGTGTTCGTCTGAGGGAGAGGGCATGTGTGGCCCTACCTGGCTCATCGTGACGTTGAAAGGTCGAGATGGTGGTGATGGTTGGTGGGAAGAGGAGAAGTGGGAAAGCAAGGGTCCAAAACGCCTCCACACGGACCGTCTCACCCGGACTTGAGAAAATCCCTCGGAGCGTTTTCGTCACGCCATCGGACCGACCGAGGCTTCCACGTAGGCGGTCTTCGGATGCACCGACCATGTTCATATGCCTCATACGAGTGGCGCTCAGAGCAAAAGAGCCTCAGAAGAGAGTCATGATCGCAGTGAACATGGCAAAACGGTTTCGAGACACACTGCAAAAGCAATTGGCGACGCGAGCGGCAGGTGGCAGGGTCAAAAAGGCTCCGAGCAGGCGCTCACAGCTCCGCCTTCAGACTCGACCGCGTCGCTTTGGCGATCAGGAAGTGACTCAATGCGATCTTGACAAGACCTCACTGGAACATGATTTGCCTACAGCGAGCCATTTTATGGAGATGAATGCGACTGTGCTCGCCCGTAACATGCGCTGGACATTCCCCTCGCTCAAGGCCAGTTGCCCAACACCAATGGAAACGCGCCACACACGTTCCGAATCCAGTCCCACCCCGCAAGCTCGCCAAGAGGTGTAATGATCACTGTAGCGCACACCTTGTCGTTCTCTGTGGGCTTGAAGGTGACCGTGACGTTGGCTTTCTTGGTGAACCAAGTTGCCGGCTCAAGGCCGTCGTGCGGGATGACGACAAAGCCTCTCTTGTCCGGGGCAACGTAGCCGTCAGCGAGGGTGTTGTTTAAGATCGTAGAGAAGTAGCTCGGGGAAACGCGGACGCACGCGTGCGGCGAGAACAGCTGCGCACCGTTTGGCTGGCAGTAATCGGCGTAGCTTCGGCCGGAAATTGGGGTGAGCCAACCGGCGAGGGCCGTGCTTGCCAGGATGAAGACGGCAGGAATGATCGAGAGTGCGGCTTGAATTTTCATGGCGCGATGTAGCTGGTGTGGTCCCTGACGATGCAAGAGAGAAATGACAGTCGATTCGAAGCAGGGAGCGATTGGCGAAGTGACGTCGTGGGGTCGCATCATTTCACTCGGCGACAAAGACTTTTGTTCGAAAACGACCCTCGCTCGTGCATGGCAAGAGATGAAAAGCTGCAGTGCACGCTCCTATGGGGCTCTTGAGCCCACCGAGGCTTTCGTGGGACCTTGCGCCTCAGTAACAGCAGCCGTGGGAAGTAGTGGAACGACGGCAGTGGCAGTGACAATGGTTTGAGAACCCAGTCGGTGCCGTCATGAGAGCTGCACTCCTATGCCGTCGCCATTGTCGATAGCTTCATCCCCTTTGGTGACACTGTGAGCCATTCAAAGGCGATGCTAATTCCAGTACCATGGCGTCTCCGAGTAGACACACAGGTGAAGCCTGCAGCGCACGCTCCTACTGTATCAGGAGCTTGAGCCAATCACATCCGAGGTGGGACCGAAATTTTCTTTGTACAGCATCCCTTGGCAACCTCGGTCTCGCCGTCCGTCAACTTCCGGCCGATGAGTGTCTTGAGAGCTGGAAGCCTGCAACAAAGCCGCCTTGCGCCAAATGGCGGCTTTGTTGCGCGAGATGAAGGGGGCGACTTGAACGTCGAGAGCGCAAAGGCGGTGCTCGTACTCGTTCATAAACAAGCCCACCTACCAACAGAGTCTCCCTTCTGTCACCATCTTCTCTCCACGCCTCCAGACCACCAACCCCAAGGGAAACTTCTAATTGGTACCTACCACACAAGATGCGCTTCACTCACTTCTTGCTGGCGTTCGTCATCGTCGCGGCTTCGGCTGCTGCGGCCCCGCAACCGTCTGACGACAACGGCTCGATCTCTGCCCCCTCTACCGGCACCGACGCTCAATCCATCATCGCGGCCTCAGCTCATTCCATGGGCACGTCCTCCGACTCGACCGACGACAGTGATGCCAAGGATCTCAATCCCCAGCACGGTGAGCACAATGGCCAGTGCGTGACTGCTTGTGCGATCCAATCCACCGCCGGCGTTGGATGCGGCAACGACCTCACCAAGCCCGACTGCTTTTGCAAGAGCGAGAGCTTTATGGATCAGTCATTCGCCTGCATCAATGCTACCTGCCCGCAACAGTTTCACGGCGCTGCCGGTGTCATCAGTAGCATCTGCAGCAGCGCCGGCGTTCCCAGTGTCAAGATCGCCGGCTACAGCGGTACGGACAACTTGGAGAACATGCCTCACGTCAGCAGCGCGTCGGCTGCCGCACTCACTACAAGCATGCCTCCGGGCGTCAGTGGGAGCCACGCAACTGCTACTTCATCGGATGCTCCAAGCGCGAGCACTTCTGGTACCGGCACTTCTGGGACTGGCGACGCCTCTGACGGCGCGTCGAACGAAGGCACGTCGACGTATACCATGCCAAGCGACGTGCCGACGAACATGGTGCCTCCGCCAGGTTCCGGTTCGGGCAACGGTTCGAACGGAGACGACCAGCCTCCCGCGAAGGCTCCTACTCCAGCTCCGGCTCCAAACAAGTCAGGTGCAGCTGGTGGAAGGAGCGAGGCGATGGGAGCGGTTGCCCTGGCTGTCAGTGTTGCTGTGCTGGCCGCGACTGCCGGTGCCTGGACGCTGTTCTAGACTTGCGGGAGCTCACCTCGGCTCAAGAGCGAAGACGTCCCTCTTTGTCTCGTGTTAGCGTATCATCACCCTCTCACTCTGCGTTCTCGCTTTCTTCCTACATTGTCGTTCCCCAATTCCCAATACAAGACCTCGTACAGTCATACACACACATCTAAGCGATGAGTCGATAAGAATCTGTGATTCAAACTACGTATGCAAAGCGTACGGATTGGTGTGTTAGATGGCGAACGCCTGCGAGCCCATGATACGGCTGGGCCTGATCTCGTCAAACTCTCGCGTCGCCTTGTCGAGTCCGTCCTTGGACCTCTTCTGCGCGCTACCGCTGTTGCCAGTAGCAGGCGTGAGCTTGTACAGCTTAATTCCGTGTTTGGGCACTGTCACCTCGGGGAGCTTGCAGCTGAACGGTCCGCCGCCGACCTTCATCGTCGACATGCTGGCCGGTTCTGTGGGATCCTTGCTGAAATCGATCCCCCTCCACAGGTCGTACACGTTCCACGCCTCGTCTTGCAGGTCTTCACCCGAGAGGTACTCGTCGTAGAACACATTGTCCATGCTGATCGTGACGTTCTTGGGCGACTCCGAGACGTTGATCGCCGCAACCGCGTAGGTGCCATTGGACAGCTGGATCTTCCACAGCTGGGTATTGCCGTCGTCCTCGGGCTTCTTCCACAGTCTCACGGCGGGAGACCCCGTGGGGTCCTGGGAGATGTCAATGACGTGTTTGTTCTTGATGATCGCGCGAGTCTGATTGGTCATCTTCGTCAGATCGTTTCCGAGAATCAGAGGGCTCTTAACCATGGCCCACATGGAGAAGTGGACGAGGCTTTCGTCGAGCGACAACCCGCGGTTGCCCACTTCGAGCATGTCCAGATCGTTCCATGCGCCTGGGTAGGCCTTTTGGCCCAAAGATGCGGCAAAGTCAAGGATCTTAGCGATGCTGCAGTGGAAGCCCTGCAGGTTGCACGTCGTAATGTCCGTGCAAGGACACCTGTCATCATCGCGGTTGAACGACGGGTAGATGTCGCCAGAGATGCGCCACGAGTTGGCAATCTCTGTGGCGAACAACCAAGGCCAGTCCTCGCCCCAGTTGCACATCGAATACAGAATGGGATCGCCGGTGGTCTTGTTAAGCGCCTGGGACATTGCGTTGTATCGATCGAAGGAGAGCTTTGGTGTTCCCTGCTGACCCTGATTGAAGCAGTTGTCGTACTTGAGATACTCAAAGCCGTCGTTGGACCAGGACTGGGCATCGACGTCTTCGTAGCCGAGAGAGCCGATGTGGCGCCCGCACGTCTGAACTCCAGCAGACGAGTAGATACCCGCCTTGAGGCCGAGAGACTTGATCTCGTCAACAACGCCCTTGAGGCCGTTTGGGAACTTTTCTTTGTTCGCCTGCAGAATGTTGGTGCCAGGATCACGCTGGTCAGCCTGCCAGCAGTCGTCGATCACAACGTAGTTGTAGCCGTACTGATCGAGACGCTCGGCCTTGATGGCACGCGCGGCGGAAAGGATGGTGTCCTGGCTGATGTTGCACGCAAAGGTGTTCCAGGTGTTCCAGCCCATTTGTGGGGTTCGAGCGAGACCGTTGTTCAGCGCCGAGGCGAAGCCCGCAAGGGCGAGGGGGAGGAGCGCGGCGAAAGTTGTAGATACCATCTTGAGAAGCAAAGGTGGGGGGTGGGTAAGATACGGGGAGACGACCTCAGGAAGCACGCTTCTTATACGGCTTGTCCAGTGTCCAAGGGCAGCTAACAGATCAGTGTGGACCAAGAGGGTGTCCTCGTCGGTCCTCGCTGCATAGCCGGGGACTCTCAGGTAGGTCGCCTTGCGATGCATTGAATCGACAGCGTGGGGGTAGCCCGGGACTGCGGGGTCCCAGGTTTGGAAATGACCGAGAAGCGGGGGTGGCAAGGCCTTCCCAGCCCGGCACAACTGGCATGTCACATCTCGGTTCTGAGAAGGTTTGAGGTTGTCGGCGGTGGCCAAGAGCCGAAGTGGAACACAGGGCACGGCTCGGTGCTCGCTAGCATGAGCTTCACCTTGCGGCTGTTCTAGAACTCGGCTGCGCGGCAATCTTCAAAGAAGAACCATGTCGGTGAGCACAAGAGAAGGCAGGATGACGCTGTTGGACAGGTCAGACGGAGGAGTTTCGGTGCTCGACGTCGCTTAGTGCTGCTACACAGGCTAAGCGAGCGAACTTCAAACGAACGTCGGCGAATTCCAGGATCTCACAGCTCCCGGAAAATGGGGACCTTTGTGCTCTGTCTTGGCCTAACAAATTGCATAAAATTAAGATCGGCAAGCTGGTGTTGTGTGGAGTAATCGAGGGTCCAACTCCGCATGGATGCAGCTGCTACCCGCTCGATGTGCCTTCGACCTTGACCTCTGACCTCCATCCTAGCCGTCCAATGATCCGCAATCGGCGGAAAGAATCAGCAGCAAGACCATTGCATCGGTCATGACGGGCCCTTCAGAGTCGAGCTCGTTACAATGATGGAAGCCGAGTTGGCGAAAGAGCTACGCGAAGCTACCGACCAACTCCTCGACATCGCGCCCGCCTCATCCTCTACCTTAGCCTCGCCTCATCTCCGACAGAATCAGCAGAGAACGTCGGTCGTATCGGTGTCCACCATAAAGGCTCGTCAGCCAACATTCTCTCCTAGCTCGAAGCTCGAAGTACTGCACTCACCTACGGATATCAGACCATGGCAGTGGCCCGTGCCGCCAAGCACAGCGTCCAGCAGCAAGGCGCAGGACACAGACAGCCCATCAATCGCACCAGTGAGGCTTCAATCTCAACAGCCTATCCGAATCGAGCTGAACCGAAGCTTGACCGACGATGCGGACGACAACCTTCCCGCGCGTGGTCTCAGCAGTCGCACGCGATCTGTTAGGGCCGGCACGGGAGAAGAGTACGACGAGGCGTATACATTGCCCACCGTCCCACTAGACGAGACCGATGACCAAGAGTTCAGAATTGCATCTCAAAGCAAGCCCAGGGTACGCACGCCAGTTCATGACATCTACATCAATCAATACGGCGAACGAGTCGTGCAGGGCAAGGTGGTTGGTCGAATCCTCGGTGGCAGACCGAAGCCAGGATCAGGCAGTGGCGATATCTTACGTCCAACAAGCGACACCGCGTCGCACATGGGAGCCTCCTCCAGCTCGCCCGTGAAAGAAGAACGGTCTCCTCAAGAGCGTCGGGAAAAGTTTGATGCCGCTCTCCCTACTGCGACGAGTCCGCCAGCATTCTTTCTGGAATCTTTCCCAAACGCATTTGGGCCACCGCCAAGCAGCTCACCAGCCACTTCCACGCCGCCAAGACCACCATCGAGCACATTGCCAGCCAAATCTCCGCCTTCAAGACAGAAGGAGCCGCCAGCTATATCTCCGCCGTCAAGGAAAAAAGAGAGAAGACCCTCCTCCTACGCTCGTCCACCCAGCATCCTCAAGGCTCCCCGCGCGGTAGCAGGTGCTCTCACGCTGGCTAATTCGGACAACGTCGACGACGACGTTCCTGTGCTCCCGGACGCAAGCTTCCATACCGCGTCCGACGTAGGAACAGCATCTGACGTAGGATCACCGTCCTCGGTATCATCGATGCAGCTTTCGTTCTCGCCAAAGCGCAACAAGCCCATGGCGCTGTCAAGCTCGCCTAGTCGAATGTCGCACGTTGGAATCGGTCTAGGTCTGGGACGACTCCAGCTTCACAGTCCGGGCTTGTTCAAGAGCCCACAGAAGGAGAAGAAGGAAGCGGAGCTGCTGTCGCCGAGCAACAACAGAACGGTCTCGTCGGACTCGGTGCGGTCCAAGATCGAGCTGCCTTCCTTGCGGCGGCCTACACCGACGATCGAGTTGAGTCAGGCAAAAGCAGAGACGGTGGTCTTGCATGGGAACAGGCGGCAGGCACGCGCGTCAGGCGTCGTTCAAGCACAAGACGATGCGAGTATCGATGGAGTCCCGGTGTATGAGTCGCCGGGGGTCTCGCCAGCAACGCCCTCTGTAACGCCTCTCTCGGATCAGACCAACGAGGAAGATGTGTTCGGAGGGAATGCAGTAGCTGCAGAACCACGCCTGCGACTCGAGTCGGCATCGGAGCCATCAAGTCCGCTACTGTCTCCACGGCGCGCCCAATCGGATCCAGACGACCTCGCGGAAGTCAACTCAGCTCACGAGGAGGCTCAACCTGGCCCCGGCGACGACGACGACAACGCGTCGCTCGAATCAGCCCCCTCCTCACTCATCTCACTGCCCGTCTCGACCCTCACCTCATCCTCTCGCTCGCCGAGCCATACCAGTCTCGAGCGGCGCCGAAGCTCACCCGGTCACCGCCGTTCGTCCAGCCGCACCTCTGCGCCGGACCTCTTTGCTCGCGAGATCCGCATTCGCGGCTGGTCCGAGGTGGGCTCCCAAGCGCGCGGATGGGTGGTCTTCGAGCTGCGCATCATCACTAAGCAGGGAACCCCGATTGTCGCACACAAACGCTTCTCGTCGTTTGTCAAGCTGCGAAGCGCTCTCAAGGCCGAGTGTAGGGACCAGGCAAAGTGGCTACCGGAACTGCCGACGAGGAGGACGGGACTGCTGAGTAAATATGATGCGAGGTATCTGGAGAAGAGGAGGCGGGCGCTGCAGAGGTGGTTGGAGGTGGTTGCGCTGGATCGGGTGTGGGGTGCAAGCGAGGCGTTGCGGGAGTGGGTGCTGGCGAGTGACTAGCGGATATTGCATGGAATGGAAAGTATCGTCGAAAGTCTGTCTTCTGCTGGTGCTGGTTTGATCAGAGTGCATCGTCTGCCGTGAGAGTCTCGCGAGAATGCCAACTGGCGTAACGATATGTGATTTCAAAGCTGCGGGTGTATAGGATTTACTCCTCGTCAGCGCCCTCTGCCGCAGGAGCAGCGGGAGCGTGACGAAGCAGCGAGTCTTGACGTGTCTTGCCTCGCAACTCCCATCGGTCCTGCATCATCACAAAAGGTAACATCGTTCACATATGTCAGCTTCCCAAATCTACCTTCAGAGTCCACTGCAGCGATTGATACTTACATCCGTGTATGAGGCAGCGTACCAGGTGAGCACGGGCACAGTCAGGCCCCAGATGAAGACGTTTCGTGCTTTGGAGGGTGTGAGGCGGAAGCGCTGGTACATGGTCGAGTGCATGTTCTGCCATCGGTCGAGCGCCGGATCGGCCTTGTATGGGTGGTAGCCTCCGCCTGCCATCTTGTCCGGTGTATCGAGGTGGAGTGTGCGGTTGGGTTTGGGTTGGTGAACGATGGTGGTGTTGAGAGGGTGTCGATGGAAACCTCGAATAACGCGATGTTGCGGTCGGATCCGTTGCGAGTCCGCTAAAAATTCTCGCGCGAGTAAGTTTGACCAGGCCAAAGCCTCCACCTTCACAGCTGGACCCTGACTTTCCTCCTCACCTCACACCCTCACGGACACCACACAACGACGGCAAGATGAGCGGAAGACGCAGATCACCGCCGCCACCACCGCGTCCCTACCGCGATGATCTCGGTCGAAGCGATCGCAGAGATGACCGAGCTGGAGGTTCATCCTCACAAGGCTACAGGAGCCGACGCAGTCCCAGCCCGGGGTATTCGAGGTCCTCGTCCTCACGCTACGAGTCGGATCGTCGGGACTACAGGCGGTCTGACAGGGACGACTGGCGAGATGGTCGGAATGACAAGGAAAGAGATCACTACAGGTCGAGTGACAGGGATAGAGACGATCGATATCGCGAGCGCCAACCGCCTCCTCCGCCTCGTTCTCGGCCGGCTGCGTATGATCGGGATGCACCATCCGGCTCGAGGGGAAAATACGATGGCGACGATGCAAGAAGACGCAGTCGAAGTCGATCACCGCCGGCTCCAGTCCCAACTGCGTCCTCGCGGCAGACACAGAAGCCGTCAGCACCGGCACCAGCCTCCGCATCCACATCAGTGCCCACAGGCGACGATTCCGCAGAGGAGGGCGAAGAAGCAGAGGACGACGCAGAAGATGCAATGGCCGCAATGATGGGCTTCGGTGGATTCGGCACGACCAAGGGCAAGAAGGTGGCGGGCAACGATGCAGGCGCTGCAGAGGTCAAGAAGGAACGTACCTGGAGACAGTACATGAACCGGAAGGGCGGCTTCAACCGACCGCTTGACAAGATCAAGTGATCCACAATCGCCACTTGGACGACTGTCTCAATCCTTTGGAATGCCCGTCGTACTCGCCTACACGATCGGCCTCTGGACTTTCTCACCGATATACCCTCACAGACAAATCACATCGCTTTGAAGGCCACTTTGCAGTTCTGCATTTCGTTGCGCCGAATCAGCTGGCCAAAACCACCTTGAGCATCTCTGCACCCACCGCACCCGCCTCTTGGAATCGATGCTCGAAGAAGCCTCTTGTCTCCTCGAATCGTCGTTCGTAGCTGTCAAAGTTGCCAAACTGCACCGTCTGCGCCCATCCACGGGAGGCGATGACAAATTCAGTGTCGTCCGCCCTGAAGCTGTGGTCCTTCGCTGCGGCGTGGCATGCGCCTCGTAGACGCTCTGGTGAGCGGAAGAGGTACTCGCATACGCCAATCCACATCCTAAAGATGGGTGTTGCTGCGAGATCCAGGTGATCGTATGGGTTGATGCCAAGCGAGGACCAGCAGTCGACGATGGCAAGCAGGGAGAGATGCGAGTTCGGGGGTATTGGAGATGGTGCGGCGGTGCTGAGGTCGCCTGTCTCGCTGTGGGAGGTGGCCTTACGAGCGGCCATGTGGAATCGATCGAGCAGCTTGTCGCTCATAAGAATCGGCTTGCGCTCCACCTTTGTGCCTGTGCGTGAGATGATGCTGTTGCTTTCTTCCTCCTTCTCCCAGCCAAACACCTTCTTTCGCGCAGCGAAGACGCGCTCCATGAGTTCTTCCTCCCTCTCCGCGACCATCAGCTTGAATAGATCGGTGCAGCTCTGAGCGAACTGCCGTACTTGTGTCTTTGCTGCCGGGTTGAGCAGCGCTAGACCAGCATACACGTGCCACTTGGCAGAGTAGATGCGCAGACAGATGTTGATCTTGACCGTCTCGATGCCACCTGGGTAGCGCTCCGACTCCCAAGGATACTGATTCGAACAGGACCATGCTGTCCCCATGGACAGGAAGGCGGCATGTGTGACAGCTTGGGTGTTGGCAGTAACGGTGTCGTGCTCTTCGTACGTGAGATAGACGAAGTTGGACTTGAAGCATGCCATGATGCGCTCAACGAGCCGCAGCTTCTCATCTGGCGCGCGATGTTGGATGAGGATGAGCGGTTGTCCTGTTGGGTCGACCTTTGGACCGTGCATGGAATGACACGAGATGATGTAGGTGTCTTGCGGGAGGTGCTTTTCGAAAGCTGCCTTCTCAGGCGCTTTGACCGAGGTCTGTCCTGCTACTATCGATCCGATCTTGGTAGAGGATCCGTACTGCTCGACAACCTTGTCAATGAAGGCAGCCTCGACTGAGTAGATGATGAAGTCGCTCCGCCGTGAAACGAGGTGACCATCTCGCAAGACATTAAGCCCGGACCCCTCCAGCTCCTTGTGGAGCTTATCGTAGTTTTCCGGACGATCGCAAACGTTGACCTTCTTCCAGCCGGCGTCTCTCATCTTGGTGGCATAAAGACGTCCCATATCGCCCATGCCGATGATGCCGATTTCGACGGTGTCCATTTCGGTTGAGGATGTCATTCCGGTTTTATGACGCTATTGGCGCCCGCGGTGAAGAATCGTGAGAGATGATGGGGGACGAAGCGATGGTAGTCGTGAGCAAAAGGCTGAGTTGAGACCGGGACTCGGACACTTGATGGCGCCGCGCTACGCGGTGTGACTGCATAGTGGAGGAAAAAGCTTCTCTGAAGTCACAAGTCACCGTGACAAGCGCAGAGACCAACACTCAGCGCAGAGTCACGCGAAGGCAGCCTGGCTGAGTTGGCTTTCTTCTCGAAAGAGAGTTGGACCCTGACGAGCTTGGCCTCCTCCTTCAGAAGACACCATTCACATCACCCTCGCTTCTATTACCCTTTGATCCAGGACAGTCACACCTTCTCAAGTCCCTTCTATCATTCAGAACGCTATCCTTACTCTTTCAGTAACCGCCACGCTCGCTCTCCGACGGCTAAGCCCTCACATATCGCAATCACAATCCTCCACGGCATCGTATATCTTCCCTATTTCCCTGCGCAAGTCTCTTCTTCCGCCATTATCGTCCTGGCACAATCACATCGCAGATACCCCCTCATTCTCAGCACGAATCCTTAACTTATCATCATTGCCTCAGGTCACTTTCCCCAGCATGATTGCTACATAGCAAGCTTCGTCAACATGGTCCTCTCCCTCAAGGAGGTCCTTGAACAGGTTCGCAGCGACAAGATCAAGGACCGCCAACAAGGCATCGAGGCGCTCGAACACATCTTTGCCGACTCCGAACATGTCCTCAGGATCGACTCGGAACAAGATGGAAAGCCATGGCTCAAGATCTTTCAAGCCGTGTTTGCCTGCGTGCTCGCCGACAAGGCGGCATGCATCAAGAAAGGATCGCTGGCCGACGCCCAGCCCATCGCTCTCTCCAGACTCCAGCGCAGCGCTCAACTGCTTCGCTCGCTCGTCGACAAGGCCGCTCCTCTTCTCACACGCAAAGTAGTCAAAGCTCTCGTAACCCACATCGTCCAAATGGTCAACCATCGCGGTTCCCTTTTACGACCTATTGCGTCAGCATACATGTCGGCCCTCTGCGCTATCCTCAAGCAACAGCACCACGTCGACCATCTTGACCCTGACGACTGGCAGCACATCACCTCTCTCTGCTTCGACGTCCTCCTCGGGCGCGAGCTCGACGCTCCGCCCTCCACTCCAGATCCCACAGAATGGCTTGCCTCCGTCGCTACCGCTTCCGACTCGGCCGGCCAACGACGCGGTCTCAGCCTCGAGGATGCCGTTACAGCAGAATGCCTTCGTCACCTCATGGCAAGCACGGTCGCACCACTGCTGGGTCCTGAAGGACTTGGCCTCTCGCTTCTCGCCGACTACACCCGCTTCTTTATCGTCTTCCCTGTCGAGTCATCGGCTCACTTGCCCGCCATGAGTGGGTTCGTCACTGTGCTGGAGCATATCGAACTCAACCACACAAAACAAGTTGCCGACGCGGCTCTGGCGCTACGCCAAGTGATTCTGGCACTCTGGAAGACCAAGAGCCATCTGCTCAAAGTGCAGCTGCTCCTCTTCCTTCGCATTTCCATCCCAATCATCGCCTCTTGCGCAAGTGGGCAGTCCGAAGTGGCCTCGCCACAGAGCTCCGTCCACAAGAGCGCGTTCGCAGCGGAGGCGTTTGCATTCCTCGAGCTCGTTCACGAAGCCTTTCTCCGCGATCCTGACACACGCTGGGCTCTCGAGCCCATCCGAATGGATGAGCTCGTCTTCTGTTGGCCGCAGCAGGACCGATCCGGGCAATCTCGACCAGTATCGCCCTTCAGCAATCCCGCTTTCTACCTCGCACCACATTCGAATGGTCAAGGCTCCATCGCGTGGTGCCGCATCTCTCTACAGGTCGACATCATCGACGCACTCACAACGCTGGAATCTGCGCATCAAAGCAATCGCAGTCCCACTCCCACGCCTTCGGGACGGGAAGGAACAAACGAGCCACAGCAAAGCATGGGGATCAGTCACCGTCCTGCTCTGCGTGTAAGATCATCGAATGGGAAGCGAGGAAGCGACTCTCTCCCGTCCAGTCCTCAAAAGCGCCGACGAACGGATCTGGCGACCGACGCGGACAGTCACCAGCAGGGTGCATGGTTGCGACAGCTAGTCGAGATGATCTCACCGACCGCCTCGACGCCCAATTTTGGTGCCTCTGCGAAGCTCGGCGCTCTTCAGCTGCTCACATTCCTCTTGCTGATTCGACCTGACCTCATCGAGAGCGCAACGCTCGTCGAGGCTCGACAAGGGCTGCTCGCACTGGCCACGGACACAGATAGCCTCCTCGTGTCGTGGAGCCTGGTTGGTCTGGGTGCTATCGTGCTCGCATTGACGTCAGCCGGCGTCAAAGACAGTGGCGTCGGCATCCTGTCGGCGGATTCGAGCCTGCACGCGTGGGGCATCGCTGTACGAAAGCTGCAATTTCCGGACACCTGCCGCGCCTCTGCGTTCCTACTAAACATCATGCTAGCGACAGCTGTCCTGTCGGAGGACACTCTGCAGCCAGAAGTTTCACGGCTGGTGGCAGAGGTCGATCTGCAAGGGCCGCCGGTGCTGTGCGACAGCGTGTGTCACTTGATGACCATGCTTGTGCAACGCACCACTTCGAGTCGTGTCTATCAGCATCTTGATTCTCGCAGGAAGGTGGGAGCATGGTTTGCAAGCTCATTTTCACCCGACGACGCTCTTCAGGCGTCGTCCCTGAGCGCTAGCTCAAGACCATCAGCCCTCCTATTGTCGTATCAGGATCTGTATCGCCTCGTGAACCACATCATCGCCGATGGAGCATCCGACTGCGTTGAAGCACCCCATACCACCATGCTCGGTGACGATGTGGCGGATCTCCTCCGGCGACGATGGCGTTTGCAGCCCCTGCGCGATCTGACACTTCGGTCTTGCACTTCCTCTACGTCGACCGCCGAGAAGGGAGATCACAGCAACACGGATCCCATCCGACCATCGCTGCTCTTGATAGAACCTGCCAACCGGATGCTGATCGCCCTCGACAGGAAGCTCGACGCTTGCCTCGGGATGCTCCATTCCGCCGACGCCGAAGTTGGTGCAGTGCCTGCTGTCCCATATTACGCTGCAATTGCGGTCATCCATGCAGCTCTTCTCACTATCGATGTCGGGGCGCAGGCAACCTCCCAAAGCAGCTCGCAACGTACAGCCAGAGTCAAGCGCTGCTGCCAACTCATCCTCCAAATTGTCGATCTCACATCCGCGGGAGGTATGTCGGCACGAGAGCGCAGTCTGGTCCTTCAGCAACTCGGCTTCCTTGATCCCCTCGACGGCTCTGCGACGTACGACGACGACGATGACACCAGACCCGCCGCGTTGCTCACGTCTCCCAGCAAGGCGAGCGGCATTGCAGCAGTGCCCGCAAGCCGCGAAGAGGTTTCGAAGCCAACTCCGCTGTCAAGAACAAGTGACAGAGTCAAGCAGGCCTGGACAGTCATCCGAGAAGCCGACATGCTCGAGGTGATGCTATCGCGCTGTGAGGAGTTGCTCGAAGACATCTTGTGCGGCGACGAGGGCTCCGATCCAAAGTCGGCCACGATCGCCGAGTCCAGCAGTCGCGACGCGTTTGACGACATGCAAGAAAGCAGCGCTTCCAGCAATCTTCGCACCAAGGCCACGACTTTAGGCTCCGACATCTCGACCGAAGCCAGAGACACTATCGTTGGGATCCTAGTCCATGTGCTCGCGGGTGTTCCGCGAATGCTGACAGAAAGCGCGGACTCAAAGCGAGATGAGGTGGTTGTCGCCTTGTTCTTCGATTGTCCGGTCGAATCGATGATTCCATTGGCGCCCGTGCTTTTTGACTTGCTGCATCGAGATACTTTATGGATGAGCCAGCGCGACCTCGTGGATGCGCTCGATCGGCTCGGCACGGATCTACTCACTCCGTATCGATACGCAAGAGTCCCAGCTGCCCGCATCGCTGCCGTACGCGCGATCACCGCTGTCGTCCCTCTGCTCCTCGAGAGCTTCGACGAGCAGTCGGATTTGTTCGACAAAGTACAGAAGCTGGGTGCCTTCTTCGCCGATCAGATCGGACGAACCAAATGGCCAACGCCGTGGCAGATCCAATTAGCCTGCGCTGACTTTCTGGCGGTGTGCCTGAAGATGGATCCGGACGGCTGCCTGCGTCGATCGGGCAGTGCACGAGCGAGCGCCTTCGCGCCAGCGCCATCCCTCCTTGCCATCACCACAGACGCTGACGTACGCGTGCGAGCTCTTGGCTCCCCCGTCGCAGCTTGCGTCTTCGAAGCGTCATCGTCTGACGAAGAGCAGATGTCGCAGCTCTATACTAGCTTTCGCGATGGGTTGCCGAGCGATCCAACGATCCCACAGCACATTCTGACGCGAGCTTTGAGCTTGGCCAACGTCGCTATTGCCAACTCAGCCGTCCGCAGATCGGCACTTTTTCACCTGCTCGAAATTGTGCTGGCGACGAACATGCTGCATGCCACTGTGCAGCACTTGTTTGCGCAGGTTGCGAACAGACTCGGCTTCCCCGACTCCTCGAGCTGCTATCAAGCGTTTGCTGGTCAAATCACTTGGGGCATGGCCACGAACAATTATGACCCGTTGCAGGTGCCCTGGAAAGTGCTCGGCTTCGCAAGCAAGCGTGATTGCCTGGAGGCGACATTTACTGCTAGCGGCAGCATGCTTCTCGCCGCTCAGACGAAGGAAGGTCGCACGCAGTTTGATGCGCTCGTTCAATTGACCAAGCGAACGCAGCAGCAGGGGTTGCAGGAGTGCCTGCCTTTCCTGACAGCAGCTTATCTCGGTTTCGCTGTGCATGCAGCTCAGCAGCAAGGATCGCTGGATCCGACGGTCGTCAGTCAGCAGACGTTGCACGAGCTGTCTTTGCTCGGCTTTGCAGAGAGTGACACTCACAGTGTGCTGCGAGACATGATCATGACCGTGGACGATCTTGTTGTGGTCTCTCTCCTGGGACTCTACTTCGAGCCAGCAAGCACTTTGACGGAGAGTCGACGAGCTGCCGTTGAAGCCTTGACTCAGCACAATGTCAAGAACGGCAAGATTCTGGCAAGCTTGACGCCGATTCCGGAGTCCTGTGACCTCGTCTTGCACGAACCGAGCCGACCGTTCTTCGCGAGTGCCGTCGTCTGCGCAGCCTTGTCCGTCCTGCCATGCCTGGGCATCGAGCCTTTCCGCAAAGAGGTGGTCTACAACGTGCTTCGCCACACCCTGCATCAGATCGCATCTTCCCGGTTCCACAACGACCAGCTGCGCATGTGTGCAGCCCTGCGTATCTACATCGCAATGTGTGGCGACAGCTTCTGGGCGGACGATCTCAATGCGCGTACCTTGATCAAGAGCATCGAGCTGCTCCTGGGTCAGGGACACCTTCGTGACGAATTTCGGCCTATCTCGATGTACGCCTGCCTTCACTCTACTCTCGCCAAGCATGCTCCCGAGGTGCTCGTCTCGTGCGTTGTCACTTGGTCCGCAGAGGTGGCGGAAAAGCTCGCCGAAGCGCCGGCCTCAGGAGACTGGCTTCTCGAATCTGCTCGTGCCATCGCCAAGACTTCGCCCATAGCTACATCTGCTACGGTCCTCCTATGGCCTGTCAAGCTCTCGTCGACAGAGCATAGTGCCATCGAGAGCTTGATTGATCTTGATACGGTCGCATTTGCGATGGAAGCTTGTCCGCGCGTCTGTCTGCACCTCGCCTCGCTTCAGCGGATCCGAAGCGTCCTCCGGAAGGCGGATAAAGTAAAACTCGAGGCATTCTGCCATGGATCAGCGCGGAAGCTGCTGGAGCGTATGACTGAGTCTCACGCGGCGGGGGCGGCACGCACAGGCAATGATTCGTGGAGCGACGTCGTGAGCGATATCTTCGCCCGGATCGCGAGCGCTGGCGAATTGACGCAGTTGCAGCCGAATCAGCCTCGACTCCGTCAAGATGGCAAAGACTACGGGCGATCTACAGAAGCGTTCCTGGCGACTGTCGACACGGGCCAGACCACCGGGCTGTCTGCGGCGGTGGTTCTCACAATTCATGACCTGGCCAGCGCCCTGCCCCTCGAATCAAGCTACCAGGCCTTTGAGACGCTGCGCGGCATTGCAACCGTGGTCGCAGTCCCTCTGACAAGTCTACACGCCGCTAAGGTGCCATCAGCCATCCGAGAGGAGCTCGACCGCATTCGGCCCAGCATCGCCTCAAGTCACCTCAGCGTTGTAGCTGCACCACCCGCTCTACTCGACCCATCCTTGATGCATGACCGCGTGTCATCGGATCGCTGGATCTGCCGCATCTCAGCACATCTGTGCGAGATGATCTGCAGCTTTGATCAGCGGAGCATCCTGCGCCCAGTAAGGCACTTCGTAGCGACAAATTCCGCGGCAGCCAAGTCGCTGTTCCATATACTCCTTCTCTGGCTCACTGTCACTGATCTCGAGCCAGCAGCGGGTGTATCGTCCTCGAATACCAGGAAAGGGTCCAAAGCAAGGCGGTCCGACATACAAGAACAGGCGCGCTCGCTGGAATCGTGCCGGAAAGCGGTCGCGACCCACTTCGAACAAGTGCTTCAAACAAACGCTTCCGACCCGGCCTGCAGCGCCACCATCGTGCAAGCGCTCCTGGCGCTCCGATCGTTCCGCCCGGTACCAGCGGAGCCGGATAAGGTCTGCTTCTGGTATCCCGTCGACACTTGTCTGCTGGCGAAGCGGTGCATCGCCTGTGGCCTCTACTCTGCGGCCATCTTCTTCGTCGAGCACGGCGTCTGGGAGGAAGAGCAGTCACAGGCGTCGTCCACGTCGCAAACAAGAACTCGAACCGAGTTGCTGCATCAGGCGTACATGAACATCGACGACCCTGACGCCTTCTACGGAATCAAAGATGGAGACGTACGAGAGCTGCTGCTGAAGCGTCTGCATCATGAGGGACAGTGGCTTCGCGCTTTCCAATATCATGGAGCAGACTATGAAGCATCGGCTTCCGACGGCCAGACTCCGAGCGGCCGACAAGCAAGCGCCCTCGGGCAGAGTCTCTCGTTGCTGGGTTTCCGACACCTCGTCGAAGGCGTTTCTCCGGCGTCAGAAACCCGCGAGGAACCCAGCCAGCCGACCGCCGACCGCCTCGGATCCGGCATTACCACCTGGGACCTTCCTACAAACTCCAGCTCAGCACTCGTGGGAGGCAACAGCGTCGAGCTGGTCCTCAAGACTCTGCGGCAAGCAAGTGTCGAACAGAACGTGGACGGCGTCTTGTCCCAGGCGGTCCAGTCTCAGCTCAAGTCATTCTGCTCGATCCCTGCGGAGAGCATCGCCGCCAAACGCAGGCTTCGAGGCGAGCTGCTTGCCCTCGGACAGATCAAAGATTGGCGCAAGGCATCGGGGGCACTGGGCCCGGAAGAAGCTGTGGCGCATCTTCGGTCGATCTGGACACAAGCGGATGATGGCAACCGTTTCGAGGTCACGGAGAAGGTCCTCAACACCCGTCAAGCTGTACTGGAGGCAGCAAGGCAGCGGATGCAATCGCACCAGATCGGCGACGTACTCGACGGCCCAGCTGAACAAGTGGCACGGGCGGAGCGACTGCTGCTCGTCCAACTCAGTCGCCACTCCCGCGAGCACGAAAAGCTTCAAAAGGCTATCAACGCTACTGCACGAGCGGAACGGATCGAAAGCGCCTTGGGCGATGGTGCCAACTTGGCCCGCGAGGAGTTTGCAGCGGTCTTGTGGGACCAGAAGGAGCATCCACCTGCGATCCAGCTTCTCTCGCAGATCGTGGATCATCTCGCCGTTACAACTCAAGCTTCTGCACAGCAGAGGCGTCGAGGCGCTCGCTTGTTAGCCCTGCTGGCTCAATGGCGAGCGACGGCCAGATCGCAGCATCCACGCGAGATCGACCGCTCCCTCTTCGAGCCTGCTCTCAAATTGATTGCCACCCTTGGCGCTTCAGGTGCTGTTCAAGACCCTGCCGTATCCGCCGAAGCCTCTGAGATTGCGTACCGATGGGCACGATTTGCAGAGGAGCACCATCGCAGCTCGGATGCGGCGGAGATCGTCCGTCTCCGCCGCTACATTCAGAGCCGTGTCGGGGAGATTGCCCAAAACCAGCGCGAGTGCGAGAGGACGACCTCCAAGACGGAAAAGAGCAAACTTCTTCAATTTCAGCGTCAGGCCGAGAAGATGCTGCGTCAAGATGAGACTCGCCTATCCGAGCTGGAAGCTTCGAGGACGCACTTCTTGCGCCGCAGCGTCGTCATGTACGCCCGTGCATTAAGCTCAACCGATGCTCACGATGATGCTGTGGCTCGCCTCGTCTCGCTGTGGTTCGAGAACGCAGATGACATCGAGGTCAATCGCCTACTGACAGGCTGTCTCTCTTCGATTCCGTCTCGCAAGTTCGTCCCCCTCATGCACCAGCTCTCCGCTCGTCTGACCGAGGTGCCTGACCAAAGCGATACGATGGCACCCTTTCAGAGGAATCTCACCGAGCTGCTTCTGCGGATGTGCCAAGACCACCCGTTCCACTGTCTCTACGCCGTATTTGCCTTGATCAAGACCGGTGCCGATGCGAAGGCCGCCTCAAATCGTCACGGCTCTGGAAGCTCGTTGATCCCTCCGGAGAACTCGCCGCACTCGCAGTCACCTCCCATTTTGCGATCGGCTGCCGCTGAAAAGATCTGGAATCAGATCAAGAGGCGGCCTTCGCTCTCGAAAAGGATCAAGACGTTCGAGGAGCTGTGCTTAGCCTACGTCGAGTGGGCCGAGTTCGATCTCGCTTCTCGCGCGGACCGGTACTTTCAGAACAGTGGCGCCATCAAGAAGGGCGCCTTACGCATGCCACCTTCCGGTGAGCTGCGGCTGGCACGCCTGCGAAACCTAGACGTTCCTGTGGCCACCGCTCGCCTCGACATCGACCCGACTTGCAGGTACGAGAACTTTGTATCCATCGTTCGGTACAGCGAGACATTCACGACGGCAGGAGGCATTCATCTGCCCAAGATCAGCGAATGCATCGGGAGCGACGGCAAGCGATACAAGCAGCTGTTCAAGCGAGACGACGATCTACGACAGGACGCGGTCATGCAACAGGTGTTTCGCATGGTCAACGAGCTGCTGCAGGCGGATCGACGCACACGCGAGCGCAAGCTGTCCATCCGAACCTACACCGTCTTGCCATTGGGCCCGCAGTGCGGGTTGCTCGAGTTCGTCGTCAACACGGTGCCGCTCGGCGAAGTGCTCATTGCTTTGCATGCCAGGTACCGACCTCACGACATCACACCTATGCAAGCAAGAAGCAAGATTCGCGAAGCACAGCCTACGCCTGCTGAGGCCAAGCTGGAAGCCTTCCTGGATGTATGCGAGCAGATGCGACCTGCTTTCCGCTACTTCTTCAGTGATGCCCAACGCATGCCGAGGGACTGGTACGAGACGCGGCTCAGGTACACACGCAGCGTCAGCACCAACTCGATTGTTGGACATGTTCTCGGCCTCGGCGATCGCCACGTCTCGAACATTCTGCTGGACACGGAGAGCGGAGAGTTGGTGCACATCGACTTTGGCGTAGCGTTCGACCAAGGCAAACTGCTGCCGATCCCGGAGTTGGTGCCGTTCAGGTTGACACGCGATATCGTCGACGGCATGGGCATCCACGGCGTCGAGGGCACGTTCCGGCGCTGCTGCGAAGAGACGCTCAGAGTGCTACGGGCACATCAGGACGTTATCAAGACGGTGCTCGAAGTGTTCCGCCACGATCCTCTTTTCGCATGGACATCAAACCCCATCAAGGTGCTCAGAGCACAGGAAGACGAGGAGAGCTCGCTGCCTGCAATGAGCCTGGAGAGATCAGGCACCACGGCAGGAACGTCGCGTTCGACACCAGCGCCAGCGCCTACAGCAGCAGCACGAGCACGGGTTTCGAGGTCGACTACTCCCTTTGCGATGCCTGGCGAGGGCGCAGGTGTTGTAGGTACCGACACAGCCGAACTGAGTGCGGACCGAGCCGTCACCTCGGTGATGAGCAAGCTGTCGTCGTCCCTCAGCATCGAGTACACGGTCAACGATTTGATCCAGCAGGCCATGGATGCAGGCAATCTGTCAGCCATTTTTCACGGCTGGCAGGCTGCATTGTAGCAGGATCCGCGACGCGGTCTCAGCGGTGGACACCGAAGCAGTGTTGAGGAGGAGAGCTGATGAACGATTCAGCCTCAGGAGCGAAGGGGGCTGACTGGAGTCTATTCATCGTGAAACAAATACGTTCACAGTCACGACGTTATTACAGTGGGTGCATGTGTCAGGGCGTTGCCATGTCCGGGCCTGAGTGTCTGCGGGTCTTCGTTGACGCAGGCTCACACAAGTAGGAACGAAGAGAAGACGGCCGGCGATCAACTCTCGCGAGCGTGCGCAGCAGTCATTTCTGCAGAGCCGGTGTGTATGCTTCATACCTTCGCGCTGATTGGACTCTTCACGGAAACTACACGTGACGTCTAGGCGACAGGGCATATACAGTATGCATCCTATGCGAGAGGCTGAATGACGTCCGCTGTTAGCGTAAGCGCTTGCGAGCGATACACTGCAGCGGACTTCGCACAGGTACAGCGGGGGAGAACATGTGGCCGTACAGACTGTGGGGATCGCCACGAGGCTTCGGCGTCTTAATCGACTACGGACGATCTCGTGTCTCATGTAAGACTCGACTTGCAGGACCGGTTGGTATCGGAAGCTTCGATCGACGTGAGCATTCGCGGCAGAGCATTCAAAGCTCAGATGGGTCGAGACTCTGGAGCGCTTCTCTCAAGCAGAGCGCATGCAGGTACCGTGGCCGACGCCGGTGTTTTCAACCTGTCATAAACACATGGCAAGTCTTCCTACCAGCTTTGAACTCTCCCTGCTCGTCACCATGATGGACGAGGGTCAGGAGCGCACTTTGCACAGGTGTCAAATTGCGCGCGCGCGCCTGGAAGGCGTCTTTGGTAATCAGAGTTTCGGCCCTAAATTTAGCGCTCCAGCAAGGTGACCGCACAAAAGCAATTTCACATTCAAGTCGTAGAGACGCAGCTCAGCGGCTGCGTCATGCGCCCACCTCGGCAAACAGATCCGCACTCCGCAGCCTCGTCTTACGCATCACGGACGGTCGGCTCCACAATTGTCGATCCAAGCTTCCGGGTTGTTGCACAGAGAGAGCGGCACAGCAAAGTACTCCAAATCGTGCTGAAGGCGACATTGTTACTGGCTCAAACTCGAGCAGCTACCAAGCACCCTCAACTGCATCTGTTGTGAAAATGCCTCGCGGTAGTATGAGCAGCTTCTTACTCAAGGCCTGTCCGAAGAGGGTGAGCCATCCATTCAAAGCGCGGCGATGAGACCGTAGAAATTTGCACTCGAACGCCGTTCTTGACACCTGTATTCAGGCGGCTGTACTTTGTATTCATATTCGTTGGCGATTTTTCCAAACAATAGACTTGAGGCGTCGATTTGAATTCGAACAACGTCACCGCAAACAAGGCTGCAGCATGCATGAGCAAACGCCTTCTGCGGGCACAAGACTCTTTCAAACGCCTCTTTCTTTGTGGGACCGCGGATCAAAGTGAGGCTGCACAGCGGTGTGTCTGTGCCTGTGTAACCACCATGCAGTGATTGGCCGCCCGCCCCGCCTTGCCACAAGCAGCCTTGTCGGCTCCTGAAACCTAGAACTCACGATGCCAACCTTGTTCCCCCGTGTCGACGTAGGAGATCGCTTTGCTCATCAGTTTGAATTGTTCCTCCCCGCCAATGCGCTGCAGTGGTGACGGAGCCCACAGCTGTCTGCGATCATCTTAATTCTCCGCTCGCCTGTGATGCTGCCCCTCGTTAGGCGAGGCTAACCCTTCCCTTGCTTATCACAGGGTTGAAAGTCGTCGGAAGTTTGCTCCCATGATGTAGCCCCGACCTGAGAGTTTCCGGTGTACGCAATCGTCAAGGTTGTGAGACAAGTCTTGCTCCACTCTTCTACTGACTTTCCGGAACCTGCACCTTCTCTCGACACTGCGCTAGTGCCCAACCGTTGTCCAGGCCCCCGCCCTCCGCACAATCCTAGCCACCTTGTGTCCCAGGCCAGATCATATATACACCCCCGCACTGCAACCTACGTCCTCCTTCCCACGCACGACCATATCTGTCTACACCATACAATATGAGCGCAGCAGTACACAACTACCCTAAGGACGCGGGCCGCGCCCCGTCCAAGCGCCCACCTATGGGCGATCAGAAGCTCACCGACATCAAGAACACCACCGGTGGCGCTATCGCACCCGACAATGCCTGCGACGAGCCGTCACCTTGGGCTCCTCACGGCTACGGCGAGAAGGCCATTGGCAAGGACCCCGACACCGGCGAGGGATACGACAAGGTGTATGGTGTTCGCCCCAAGACCACCTGGCACCTGAAGCCCGCCAGCGAGCGCACCCTTTGGGAGTTCATTGCTGGTATGGACATCGCACCCGATGTCTGCTATGCCAAGCGTGACACCAACGAGAAGCTCCGTGGTCCTCCTCCTACCCAGCCTATCTGGAAGGAGAACGTCTTCATCCTCTCGGCCGCCTCCATCGCCCCCTTGCTCCACACCGCATGGAACGCCACCTTCCCCGAGCACAACATGCACTGGGCTCCTGCGTGGATGATGTACCACCTCGGCTTCATCGTCTTTGCCGTCGCCATGATCAAGCGTCTCCACACCTACATGGCCAAGTACGGTACGCTCGACGAGCAGAACCGTGGCCGTGACATGGTCGACGACAAGCATGTCAACCACCTCGGCCAGTCCATCTTCATCTACACCATCTTCCGTACCCTCGGCCCCTTCCTGCTCGCATGGAGGGGAGGCATGTCCAACGCCGACCTTTGGGGCGGCCTCTCGTGGGCTACCCCCCTCAAGATCGGTTGGTGGGAGGTTGCCCTTGACTACTGGTTCTACCTCTACCACCGCTCGTGCCACGAGTTCGACTTCCTTTGGGTGTGTTTTATTTCCAGCTTCGTCGCGATCAATTTTTTTTCTCACACCATATTGACTTTTTTCTTATCAACTTTGCTTTCTTTCCTCTTCTCTTGCTCTCCTTCGCATGATGCTATCGCTGGATGGGCTTTCGGCAGTTCATTCACCGTCAACATCACGCTACCAAACACCCGACGCCGATCCTGTCCATCCTGGCTGATGACTACCAGGAGGTGATCGAGGTGTTCATCGTCCCCTTCCTTGCGACCGCGATTTCGCCCAAGATGAACTTTATCGAGCTTTGGTTGGTCATCTGCTACACGCTCTATGTGGAGGCTCTGGGTCACTCTGGTATCCGAGCTTACTGGGCCCATCCCATCCTCAGCCCCGTTCTCGCCCCCTTCGGTATGGAGCTCACCGTCGAGGACCACTCAAACCACCACCTGTACGGCAAGGCCGGCATGAACTACGGCAAGCAGACCCGCGTCTGGGATCGCATCTTCGGAACCGTCGACCCCCGCCGTGAGACCCAGGAGGTCGGCGTCTTCGGCTCGTAAGCTAGACGCCCACATACCAACAAACAAATGGATCCGTTCTTCCTTTCTACTGTACTCCTGTATACCTCTTCTAGTCTCGTCTTGTCTTTGCTTTGATTACTTTTATGTGTCGTTGGCATGTATCTGCACAAGTCTGTGTGTGTTGCCGTGTGTGAGAAGCTACGCATGTTTTTAAAGGATCTTGGGTATAGTATATGGGTGATGCGGCGTTTGCTGTTCGCCAGCAGTGAAAGATATGATCCTTGGCTTTCGCTGTTCCTGCAATTGTTTAGGCGAGCGTGTGTCGGTGGTGGGGTGGCAGTGAAGCTCTCGCGTGTGCTTTTGGCTGATCCCGCGAATAGACCATGTTCGTTATAGCCCGTCAGCCAGCGCTTTCGTATTTGCCTTTGGCTGATCCCGCATGTGCGTCTGGGTGAGCGTGTGTTCATGTTTGAGTCCCAGTGAGGCTCTCGCGTGTGCCTTTGGTAGCCTCTGCGTTCACGTACTGGTGATCCGGCGTGTTATACTTCAGTCACCACGCGTTTGCATTTGGATGGTTCTGCGTCCTGATTTGAGCGGTCCTGCTTTCTGTGCTTTGGTGGCGATCAGGAATCTCGCAAGGGCACTGAGGTGATCCGCCTCCCTGTTGACGCGGTCCCGCAACTGTCTCGAGGCGGGCCTGTGTCTCGGTCCAACTGTGATTGTGTGACCCCGCCGTTTGCGTTCGGGTGAGCTGACACGTTCTGGTTTGAGTGGTCCCGCATTTCCTTCAAGGCGGCGGTGAAGTTCACGCAGAAGTGTCAGGGTGATCCAGCGCCTGTGTTTGAGTGATCCCGCGTCTGCATTTGGGCGGTCCTGCCAAACATGTTTGTGTGGTCCTGCGGTTGCGTTTGGGTTCGATCGTCCCACGTCTGCTCAGTTCATGCCTCGCACGCTGCCTCCCACCGACGATTCTCACATGATCGCATCCGCATTCCGTCTCGCCACATGCTGTGTGTATCGAGCAAGTCGCTCAGCAAACGTCAGCACACTCAGATGAGAACCGAAACACCAGGCATGCGATGTTGAGGGTATCGATTCGGAAAAGTACAACGCTGGCTAGCCTCGTGAACGGCCTGCAGTCCCTGGCGTCCTGCGTTTCGACGATGCCGGTTGACCGGTCAATGTCCTCTTCCTCTTTGGCGTCTTGGAGTCATCCTCCGCCGCTGCTGCTGCCGCCTCTTCCTCTACGGCATCCTTGTCCGCGCCTGTTGACGTTGTAGTCGCACTCGTTGCAGCTGCACCCGCACCACCCCGCTTGCTTTTGGCAAGAATGCGGTCCACCTCCCAATTCAAGTACGGCTCTCGTCCGCGCTCCCACACCCGCACGTCCGCTGCATTCTCGTCGTCTCCGTCCGCATCGCCTGTGTTGCCCTTTGACGCCGATGCGCTGCCGGAGTACAATGGCGCTCCAAGCGGATCCGCGGACCGAAGCTCGCCAAGCGCTCTGAGCAACGGAATGGTGTCCGCTTTCAGCTTGCGTGCATGTTGGCCAAGCGTTTCCGTCAGAACTGGCACTGTCGACTTGCTGTCCGTTGTAGGTTCTGCGTAGAGGATAGCCGAGAAGCGATCCGCCAGCTGGAGCATGCGATTGAGGCTCTCCTGCGTTGCATTTTGCGCGAGGAGCAGCTTGTGTTGTGTAGCCCTGGCAGCGGCGATCTGGCGCTTGAGCGAGTCTTCCGTCTCACCCAGCTGGTAGCTTCTCTCGTTGGCGCTCGGTACACCCTTCTTCGCCTTCCCACCCGTCGCCTTTGTCCTCAAGTCCAACCCACGATGATGGTCCAGCGTCATGTACTTCGCTTGGCGCGAGCGGATGCCGAACACGGACCTGAAGCAGTACAGCTCAAACGTGTCCAGCGTGTGATCCAGCGAGTTCTCCATGAGCGTCAGAATCCCGTGGATCCCCTGTTCCGCTTCCAGCTCCCCGCCCTCCACACCCTTGAGAAGGTCAGAGATGACCACCTCGAACTCGGTCGCGATGCTGTACAGATGCTCGTTGGAGAGGTAGACCAGCGCATCGATGAAGGACTTGGGGTTGTAGCCAAAGTGCTCGGTGAGCAGCTCGAGGTGTGCGTCTGTCGAGGCTTCTTCTTTTGGCGCCGGAGGCTTGGTGGATGGATTCGATGGACCGGCTTCTGTGGATGGCTGCACTGCGGTTGTCGTTGTTGCGCTTTCGGTCGAGGCTGATGAGGAGGCCGTGGTGGTGGTTGCTGCTTTGTCTTTGCCCTTCGAGGCAGCGTCGGCCGATGAAGAGGCGACAGCGGCCGCGGAAGCGCCTTGCGACGAGCGCCTTGCGGATGGCATTGTGTCCGTTGCCCAGGGGTATATGTGTGATCGCGATCGACGGTGATGATGACGAAGAGGAAGATCAACACCATGCCCTGCAGGTGCTGTTTGTTCTTGCAGCTGAGCCAAAAAGTCGCGTCAAGGGTCAACGCGTGCGGATATTCAAAAAGTGTTAGGCTGCTTGGGCAGACAGTCAAGGGCAAAATTTCGGAAGCAGGAAGACAGCGAAATGCGAGTCGATCACTCCACATCAGAGAGCCGCGCTCAGGCTGAGCGGAAAGTGACAGGCTTGCGCAAGAGCCACCTACAGGTTACGCAGTCCTTCATCCTCACACCAACACCTCTCTCTACGCTACAGCTTCCACCGTCTGACCCACCCTTCTGTCCACCACAGCAACCAGCGCTCGCGTAGCAGTGCCGCATAGCAACAGCTCCTACCAGGCTTACTCGGTACCAGACCCGCGCACCTTGCACAACCGGCACCTTTCTCTTGCGCCTCACACATCCACGCCAAGATGGAGTGCTCCTTTGGTATCACCGGCAAGGGCTACACAATCATCGCCTCGGACAGCAATGCGGCTCGTTCGATTGTCAAGATGAAGTCAGACGTGGACAAGCAGAAGGTGCTCAGCGATCACCTCGTCATGACATTCTCGGGAGAGCCAGGTGACACGCTGCAGTTCTCCGAGTGGATCGAACGCAACAGCAGACTCTACAGCATCAGGTAAGTGTTCCGCTCGTGGTGCTATCTCTCTCCGATACGAAGGAGTAGAGCTCCGTCGTCCGACCAATGCAGCAGCGGCTTACCAACTTATTGCATGCTTCCAATTTGGCGTTCATCTGCGCACAGGAACTACGTCGAGCTGAGACCCAAATCGTCGGCCGCATGGATCCGCAAGCAGCTCGCCGAATCGCTACGCTCACGCAACCCGTACCAGGTGAACCTCCTTCTCGGCGGCTTCGACCTGCCCAGCTCCGAACCGGCGCTGTACTGGATCGACTATCTTGGCACCCTCGCAACCGTACCCTTTGCTGCTCACGGCTACGGCGCCTTCTTCGCCATGTCAACGCTGGATCGCTACCACCGACCGAATATGTCGCTCGAGGAAGGGCTCGATCTGCTGCGAAGGTGCATCAACGAGCTCAAGCAGCGCTTCATCGTCGACCTCGGCGAGTTCACTGTACGGGTGGTCGACAGGGACGGCGCACGCCTTGTGAAGCTCTAGAGCGCAATGCTGTGAGCGCACCTTTCACTTCCACATCTCCGTACCCATCGCACGCCTCTGTACTTGTAGCATTCTTCGAACATCAATTACCATCAGTAACATGCTGAAGAGAGAAGGTCGGCTGATCTCTGAAAGACGGCATCGTCTAACACGATGGACAGAAGGTCTGATCGGTGCAGCGGGTAACGGGGAATAAGGGTCCGACTCCGGAGAGAGATACTCGCAGTTGAGCTACGGTCATCAGGTCGACATGCGATGGGTGTGTGGTAGTATCGTCGAAGGGCATCTCGATCTGCTTGCATCTGCGTAAGTGGCGCCGAAGTATGTCTGAGCGCTTCGCCGCGGAACATGTGCGGTAGAGGGAGCGCGTTGCTGAAGCGCCCGAGGAGAATCTCACAAAGGCGCTTCAGGATGGATCATTTCGATGAAAACCGATCTGAGGTATGACTCGCACCTGCCTGACGGCGTGCAGATATACATCCGCACGTCGCCAATTGGTGACGGTGTTGAGCGCCATAGGCTGCGTCTTGGGGGTCGAGAAGACGTGCTAGTCTTCCTCGTCGCTGTCGTTGTCGTTGTCATCGTCATCGCCGTCCTCGTCGTCCACATAGTCAAACGACTCGGTAGGAAGTAATTCTTCGTCCTTGTCTTCGTCTTCCTCCTCTTCTTCGAGCTGATTCGCATGGTGACCATTTTGACGGTTCTCTTGATCCTCGTCGCCTTCATCGCCGGATTCTGGCGGGGGCGAAGGATCTGGCGAGGTCATCGAATTGAGACTGCGATGGTGGTAGGCAGGGAAAGCTGTCAGTGTAAGAATTTTTCGAGCGGCGCGTGGTGCTGGCTGCTGCTGCTGGCTCCTTGCCGTGGCTCTGCCCCGTAGCTCCTGGGGCTCCTTCCCCTTCCCTGGGCAAGCGCACACTGGCGGACCTTTCGGGCGATGCCAGCCGATGAGTACACTTACATTCGAACTAGGGGCTCTGACACTTTGCCCGCTTCCACGAGCTGCTGCCGGAAGTCCTTCCGAAGCGCTTCGCTGTCAGTGAAGCTGCGCAGGTCGAGGTCGAAGATGCACATCGAGGGCCAAGGGTGTGAGTAAGGTTGACGGTCAGTCAGAGCTTGATTACAGCGCAGACAAGCCCACGGAAGCAGAAGACTTACTTGTGAATGACGACAAAGCTGCGCAGCTTCAACCAGTCGATGTCCTTGTGGGTCTTGTCTACTCCCGCGATTTTGGGTGCAACCTTGAGCTCGTCGTCGCAGCCCCAGAGATTGGAGCGTTGCTGAGAAGCGCCGGCCGCTTTCCCCTTTGTCTTTGCTGCTTTGATCTGCTGACCCTTGGGTGCGCCGTACCATTTGATGAAACCAGGCTCGCTCACAGCTGCTTTCAGCGCCTGCGCTTCCGGAGTGTCATCCAGAATATGCTGCCGTATCACCGCCAGATCTTCGCGTTCGGGCTGCCAACGGCCTGCAGCAAAGAAGCTCCTCCCACCTGGCTTGATGAGGACGTGATAGCCCGCGAACGGTCCTTTGCGCCCACCTCTTGAGAATGAAGCCATAAGGTTGGTCTTGTAGGGCGTCTTGTCGTTCGAGAAGCGCACGTCTCTGTAGATTCGGTAGACCAAGTCCTTTGTCGGCAGCCACGGTACTGTGTCGTCCACCTTCTCCATAATGTCGTTGAGGACAGCTTCGGTGAATTCGCCGAAGTTCTTCCAAGCATAACGGTAGACAGCATCGTAGCGCGCAAACCAATCTCGGTCATTGTTGTCCTGCAAATCCTGCAGAAAGGTGAGCACGTTGGGACTGAGCTCGCCGCGAGCCACATGCCCAGATTGAGGCGGCCCCACCAGCTTGGCGACAACGCGTGTGACACCGGGTTCCCATCCGTCGCCAGCTTCGCTTTTTGCAGCTCCAGAAGAAGCAGCGCCACGCTTGACTGCAGGTGACGTGGGATTGTGCTTTCGCCGTTTTGGACTGCGCTTGGAACCGTACTCTTGTTGCTGCTCGTCGGAGTCCTCTTCGGACGGATCGTCTTCCTCGACAGCATCGTCTGCGCTGGTGGATCCTCGATCTTGCTGGTACTCGTCCTCTGTCAAATCGCCTGCATCGTCGCCGTCCGAGTCCTCCCGGTAGCTGAGGCGCTTGCCCGTGGAAGCTCTTGCAGATCTTCGCGAAGACATCCTAATACCGACCGACGTCGAGCTTAATCTTGACGCTTAGCTTATCGAGCTCGCGAAAGAGTCACCCTGAGCCCACGAGCAGCACAAGGTTCGTTATCGGTGAATTGCGTTGAGATGAGAGGACGGGTGTTGCTGGTGAGCCTCGAGCTCAGCTAAGAAGGTTGTCGCTGCCAAAAACGTCACGAAAGCCTCCACATGCACCGTGCAGCTTCACCGTGAGAAGAAGCTCAGCCTGAGACAAACACGGCGCAGCAAATGGCAGAGAAAATTCAGGCTCCAAAAAGAACAGCTTGACCCGCGCAGTGTCGGCGCTGCACCATCCGTAACCGGTGCTCGATTGGAGCATCTCTTCAGCTGCAATCAGACTTTGAGACGAGCTGCATCGCAAGAGACGTCTGGCAGCGGTCGAGAGTGGATGCTGTCTCAAGACGATAGGCTCCATGCGCGGAGTCGCATTCTGCAGCCTACGGGAGTCAGTCTTGCAAGACGTGAACGCTTCCCTCTCTGAAGTCACTTTTTTGGATGCAGGGTCCAGCTCTAAAGTCACACCACTGGCCTGGTGCCGCAGTGGCGCTCGGATCGCGCAGAATCACATTTCGTGTCAAAGGGCTCATCACGCCCGCTCATCACCCTCACCGTCTACGTGAACCTTGTTCCTTCTCTCACCACCACACCACCCGCTCACCGACAACACCCGTGTCTTCATCTCAACGACCCTACCAGTCAAGTCACTTTCCACGCTTGGACTGCTAGCGCTCGACTTGTCCTAATCGGACGAGCGCCCGTTCATCGACCTCATCTTCGGAACAGCCCCTTTCTTTCTTTCAGCCAGCCAGTCACCCACTTCGTTCTCCTTCCACCAAGGGATTCGACCACCGCTCATTCGTATATAATCTGGTCGCCCTCATCCCCCTTTCCGTCTTCCCTCCATCCTCTCAACAAGTCTCGCCTACTCGCCTCGCCAACTCGCTCGCCCATCGCCCACTCGCCTCGCTCATCGCCGCCTATCGCAGCTAGCAGCCCACCGACTAGCTCGCATCCAGCTCAAGTCGACTCTCTTGTCGTCTCTCGCATCGTCTTGCACCTGGTGAGTCCCCCCGTCTTCGTCCGTTCGTCCCATGAACTGCTCGCTAACCACAAGTACTTCCTTTGCCATGTCCATTCTCGCTCAGCAGCAACAGACCTCTGCCAACATGGTCGCCGTCAAGAGCGCCGCTTCTACCGCGCTAACCCTCTACGGCGCCGTGCCCAGACCCGACCAGGGCAACAAACAGGGTCGCGCCATCCGCGTCACTACCAACTTGTTCGCTGCGCAGCTCAACGCCAAGCTCCACGACAACGTTCAGCAACTCGCCGTCGACATCACTCCCATCGAAGATCCTGACGCGCCTCGTCGACCCGGTGGTAGGGGCGGTGACGACAAACTTCCGCCTCGTCTGCTTCGTGACATACTCCCTCACGGTTTGCGTCAAGCCGCTCGCGATCAGACTCTCGGCATCACCGACGCCTTCGCAGAGTCCGTGTGCTACGATGGCAAGGCGCTTGCCTACTCGCACATCCGCGCCCCGGCCGACACCCTCGAGTGGGAGACCGTGCTCCCTCCCAAGCAGGACCTACCCCCCATCCCGGGCGCTCCCGGTGCTGTCGCTACTCGCGGTCCTCCTCCTCCCGCCGGTGCCGGCGCTGGTCGAGGCGAGCGGCGCTTCAAGATCAAGCTGACCCACGCTCGCGACATCGATTTCGGTCTCGTCCTCGAAGCCTGCCGTGGTGATAGGCGCGCCATCATGGCTCGCGCTGCCAACCCCTCCGAGATGATTCAAGATGGCATCCAGGCGCTCGACATCGTGCTGCGCAACAGCCTTCACGGACGATACATGTCCGGCACCTCGCAGGCCGCTGCCCGCAAGTTCTTCGATCCATCTAAGGCCATCCCGATCTCGCAGGGCGCCGAAATCATCCCCGGCTTTTTCCAGTCGGCTCGTCCTTGCGCCGCGGGTCTCGTCATCAACCTTGATCCTTCCTTCTCGCCCTTCGTCGCGAGCGGACCTCTCATCGAAGTCGTCGCTAAGACGTTCAGCTCGGGTGGCGGCGGCGGCGGCTTTGGAGGCGATCGTGGCGGCCGTGGTGGTCGTGGTGGGTTCCGAGGTGGACGTGGTGGACGTGGCGGCTATGGTGGCGGTGGCGGACCCTCCGGCGGTCCGATGAGCATCACCGTGATCACGCAGCAAGACCAGCGCGAGCTCCGCAAGCGATTCAAGAACATCGAGATTCGCGTCACCCACCGTGCGACCAACAAGCTCGAGTCATTCCAGGGCTTCACTCCTCGCTCCGCCGCCGAGACCGAGTTCACCACCAAGGACGGCAAGACGTACACCATCGTACAATACTTCCTCGAAAAGTACAACATCCGCCTTCGCCACCCGAACCTTCCCTGCGCGCGCATCGGTTCGCAAAAGAACGCAGTTCCGATGGAGTTCTGCATCGTCGTTCCTAAGGGCCCCATCCCGGCAACCAGCTTGACGTCCACTCAGTCCGCCGACCAAATCAAGCAGTCGGCCATGCGCCCCGACGTTCGGAAGCGCCGTGTCGACGAGATCCGTCGAGAGGTCGGCTACGAGACTGACCCTATGCTCCGCCGCTGGGGCATCACCGTCAGCCAGCAACCGCTCGAGGCCGAGGCCCGCGTCATCGCGCCCCCCGAGGTGTCCTACGCTCAAGGCTCGCAGAAGCCTCGCGTCCAGTTCGGCTCGTGGAACCTCGTCAACACCAGGTTCGTCAAGGCCGGCACACCCCTCCTCACCTGGGCCGTGCTCGACTACACCGGGGCGCCGCTCCAGGCCGTCCAGCACTTCATCGGCGTTCAGGTTGAGGCGCTCAGGAGACTCGGCATCCGTGTCATCAACGAAGCGCCTGAGATCCTCAAGTGCCGTCCCGATCCGTACAACATCAGGAACGATATGACGCAGGTCGGCAAGACCGCCTACGCCGCAGCCAAGCGCTTCAACAAGGCGCCTCCTGCGCCTCAGCTCTTCATGGTGATGATTGAGCATCAGGACCAGTCGTTCTACAACTCGGTCAAGAAGGCCGCCGCTCTCGATCTCACGACCCCGGTCGCCACCCAATGCATCAACATTCGCAAGGGCTTCAGCGACCGCGGCCAGCCACAGTACGTGGCCAACGTCTCGATGAAGATCAACGTCAAGCTCGGCGGTACCAATCACGTCGTCTCCAGTGAGCGAGACCTTCCTCGGTTCGGCAACCAGACGATGCTCATCGGCGCCGACGTCACCCATCCCGGCCCAGGCTCGGACCGCCCTTCGATTGCCGGCTCCGTCGCCACCGTGGACGGAGGAGCCAAAGGATACTCTTTCGAGCTGCGAACGCAGACCAATCCTCGCGGCGGCGCCGCCCAGGAAGTCATGCTTCACTCGAAGGGCATGATGCTCGGTCACCTTAGGAAATGGCAGAGTCAGAACCAGGACCGTCTGCCCGACTCGATCGTCTTCTTCCGCGATGGTGTCTCCGAAGGTCAGTACCAGTCCGTCCTCGACCACGAGCTCGCTGCGATCAAGCAAGCCAGCCGGGAGATCCGACCCGACGCGAACATCAAAGTCACCTTCGTGGTCTGCGGCAAGGGCCACCACGTCAGGTTCTTCGCTCAGAACCAGGCCGACAACGATCGCTCGGGCAATCTTCCTGCCGGTACCTGCGTAGACAACCAGATCGTCTCTCCCTTCGGCTTCGATTTCTATCTGCAGTCCCAGGCTGGTCTCGTCGGTACTGCTCGTCCATGCCACTACGTCGTCCTCCGAAACGAGATGGAGTTTTCCAGCGAGAACCTCATCCGATGCATCAACAGTCTTTGCTACACGTACTGCCGCGCTACTCGCTCCGTGTCCCTGGTTCCCCCTGCGTACTATGCCGACATCCTCTGCGAGAAGGCTCGTGCCTTTGTCTATGGTCCCGATGACGACGCCGAAACGGTCACATCCTCGCAATCAGGCGAGCGCGCCATCGCAGAGATCACCGAGGAGGAGTCGAGAAGGATGATGGCGCACTTCATCAAGAACCCGGCCTTCACCGATTGCTTGTGGTACATGTAGGGCAGTACCGCGCGCTCATGATCCGAATCCATCGCCAGCTCGATCGTGACCATCCCGTTGTTGTTTTGTTCGCCAGTCCTGTTCGCCGGCTCTCTCAGTTTCGTCTCGTTCTTGGCCTCGAATTCTCGTCTTCATACCCTGCGGAGCGCACCGTCTCGCATCTCGGCTCTCATACACGATAGTAGCCTCGAGACCTTGTGGATCTGCGATTCGCCTCTTTGTTCCGTCACCGAAATCAAGACATCGTTTATCCGCGTTGTCACGTCTGTGCTTGCCAGCGGCAGATGAGTCGCTGCATGGGCTGCCCGCGTACTACCTTAGAAAGGACGCGAAGGTATCAGCGAGACAGGACCGAGAGAAGGCGAGCAGCGCGAAGCTGTTGAGTTGTGACCGTTTTGAGCATGCCGCACGCGCCGTCACGGTCGGAGAAATTCCTCCACCGAGCCAGCCCGCCAAATTCCAGATTTGCGCTGCGCAGCTGGTTTCAGCCCGACATCCATCTCGTCTGCTTCTTCTTCTCGATCCGTTTCCACCGTTCTTGCAGTATGGTTTGAAGTCTCAGACAGCACAGGCCATTCAGCCTCTCGACACACTCACAGCCAGCACAGAGATGACCACCTCGTCATCCGCCGCCATGTCGCAAAAGGATCAGCGCGCTGCAGCGCTGCTCGAGCAAGGGCGCAAGCAGAAAGCAGAGCTGGATCGCATGATTAAAGCCAGCTTTGCTCACTCCTTTTCGCCCTCGACCACCAGCAGCACCTCACGAGGCGGACGCATGCATCCCAAGGACGCGAGCGCCAAGCTCTTGGACGGCGAGATCGACTTTGCACGCAGAAACCTTCGCAACACCTGGCTCAACCTCCTCTTCACCTGCACCTTCACCCGCGAGGCACACTCGGTCGACGGTCACATTTGGAACGAGACGTCCTACAACCTCATAACCGCCTACCGCTCTTACATTTCGGCTGCGCAGAGCTCCATCGATCCTACCGTCCAGGCGCCCGGCCGTCGCGGCAAGTCTGCTCAAGATGCAGCGCGGGCCAAGGCCGAGTACCGCAAGTTCCTGCTGGATGAAGAGCTGTTTTGGCAGGAACTCGTTGGCCGACTCGTTCGGCTCTTCTCTCTCGATGAAGCACGCTCCAACCTCGAGGTGCTTGGCATCGATGCCGACAACGACGCCGACACCTCCGTCTCTTCCTCTTTGCCGACCGACTCTTTTGCATCGCGAGCGACACGCCAAGTCAACGAGCCGGACGAGACCCTGTCTCAAGCGGCGCTGCTTCCCACCAAGCGCAACCACCTCCTCTCCCTTCTGCACAAGTTCCTCATCTTTTGCGGCGATCTAGCCAGGTACCGTGAGATGTCGTCGCACGATCATAGCAACGAAGCGTCCAGCAGCAAGAAGGGCAAGGCCTCTCCCAAATACGACTTTAGCCGTGCTTCCGCCTTCTACGAGCAGGCGCGTCTCCTCTTGCCCGACCAGGGCAATCCGTCCAACCAGCTTGCGGTCGTATCACAGTACAACGGCGAGATCTTTGCCTCGGTTTACAACTACTACCGGGCATTGTGTGTCAAGACGCCATTTGCGAAGGCCAAGGTCAACCTCGAGAAGCTGCTAGCGAGGCCGACATCTGCCTATCTCGAAGAGGAGTCTCGATCCACGGTCGGCGGCAATACGTACTGGGATGCAGCCAAAGACCGTCAGGCGCGCGATCCTCAGCTGGTCGCGCGACTCTCCAACAACGTCGAAGAAGCCCAGCAACTCACGGAAGCATGGCTCAAGCAGGTCGTCATCTTGCACGGCCTCTTCTACCGACGCACTCATCTCGAACACGTCATGTACCTGTCCCGCTCCGTACTGGCCACCTTTTCGACACTGATCCGCGCACGAGCACTGCGGGCCGACCAGGTCGTGCAGTTCCTCGTCACTGCTCTCTGTGCATCGTGGACGACACGACTCTGGCGAGGCGCACCGAATGCTTCGAGCAAAGAGTCGTCCCGCCCTTCTTCAGCTGGGTCCGAAGATCGACACCGCCCAGTGGCCGTTCGTGGCGAGCGCTCGTCCAAGAAGCGCGCGTCCTCGCCCGAGACGGGTCGCTGTATCGAGTTCTTGGTCACTGCTCACGTGCTTGGCGTGTTCAACGAGCTCGCCGCCGTCGACACCGCCGAGACCAGGGATGCTCTGAACGCCAACAAGGAGCTCGCAGCAGCTCTTGCGCCAGCAGATGGGCCGTCGTCTCCCATCCGCAACCTGACCGCTGTGGTGCGAAGGACCTTGCCAGCGCTGCGCATTGGTTCCAAGTGGACCAAGACGCACCTCGAATACATGCAACGCATCGAGAAGCGCGCTCGAGATGCCGTGCAGCAACACGGCGGGATGGATGCAGACGTGGTGCGGTCGGGCATGGAGGCGCAGCCCGATTCGGAGCGTCCCGATCCTCACCATGCTGCGTACGCGGACACGTTGGAGGCGATGGACAGATGCTGGTCGCAGTATGTGGATCTTATCAACAGTCTGAGGTATGCCTTTCCGTTCGACTCGCTGCCCAACATTGGCAAGGTGGGGACCGTCGGTGCGCCTGGACTTTGCCTGGAAGAAGACTCGGACATGCGAGGCTTTGCTCCTACGCGCAAGGCGACGCAGTCGACGATTCCTGGCGGAACAACGATCAGCTTTGGCATGGGCGAGGCATGCGCCAACGTCGAAGCGGTGCGACCTAGTCAGGTGCATCCCAACGAGGAGCAGCTCATGCGTATCGCCGATCTCATGATCGATGCCAAGGTGATCGCCGAGTCGGACGCAAGCCCGATTCGCTTTGACGATACGGATAATGTGTTTGTCTTTGAGCGAGAGAGGAAGATCGCGACTGCGAGCACCAGTGCTGCTGCTGCTGCCGCCGCCATCGCTACCGCATCTGCGAGGCCTACTGTCAAACCTGTCCCGGGGGCGCGTCCAGAAGCTGCGAAGGACGGGGATGGTGCGGATGTCGCCTCGGTGGAACAGTCGATGCGAAGCGTACAGGTCGTAGACAGTGGCGCCGTGGCTGATGGTCGTAAAGGAGCAGCAGAGCCTTCGCTGGTGCCGTCGCAGGTCAAGGCCAAGACCAATATGAACAAGGACGATCTCGCTCGCCAGCTCTTTGCTGCCTATCCGCTCCCATCGGACACTTCATCGGCGACAGGGCTGAGCCACACCGCGGCTTCCAGTTCCACCACCACTGGGCTGGCATCACAAACAGGCTCGAGAGCGATCGGCGGTGGTCAGACGAACAACAACCACACCAACATCCTGCTTTCGAATGGAGCCCCCATCAGCTCGATCTGGGCACCCAATGCCTCGGACATGGGTGGCGCGACCTTGCCTTCCCACCTCCAGTACGGTGGTTCTTCCAGTCTGTACCAGCAGACTTTGAACCAGCATCAGCAGCTACCGTACCAACAGCAACAGTCGTGGCCCAATGCCGCCTATCTTCAGCAGCAGCAGGGATCCATCCCACATCTGGGCGGATATGCAGAGACCTACGGCAACACGACTCCGGATCCGTTCAACCCGCACGGCTACGGAGGGTCGCATCTCTACCCATATCAGCAGCAACAGCAGAGCGCCTTTCCGAGCTCGCCCTTGCATCAGCAGCAACAGCAGCGCACGACGCCCCAGCCGGGAAACCCGCGCAACGGTGAAGGCAGCTTCGGGGCGGGGCAAGATCCATATTATCCAGGACCGGGTCGGGCTGGTGCGCCTCATCCATCTCGCTTCGGGTGAGAGTTCTTCAGGCGAGCTTATGCTACTTCTTCAATCGTGTCTTCCGATGAAGCAATGACAACCATGGCCCCGTCATTTGTGATCCTGAGAAGCGTTGCACACATGCTGTCGTGAACACGGATCAGAGGGAAGCAACACGGTGATGTGAGGTGCGTTTTCTCGTGCGACTGAATTTTAGGCGTTGTGAGAAGAAAAAGAGTGAGTCAAGTCGAGGCGCTGCGGGAAGAAATGCCAAAGTGCACAACCACGTCCCAAAAGTGTTCCTTTGGCGCTTCTTCTCAACCTCAACCACCTGCTCAGCCTCGACCACCGCCCTCGCTACTTTGCCCTGTCTGGCTGCAGCTCTTCCATCACTCGACCTAGACATCACATCGCATAAGCCATCCAGACAGCTCGCGGCGTCACCAGCAACCATGCCTACCGTCGGCGTGGACAAGGAGCACTTCTACAAGGCCCTCGGCCGCACCTACACCACCCAAGAGTTTGACGAGCTCTGCTTCCAATTCGGTATCGAGCTCGACGATGACACTACCGAAGAGGTTCAGAAAGCTGGGCTGGGCGAGCGAGCGCAGCTCAAGATTGACATCCCCGCCAACCGATACGACTTGCTCTGCCACGAAGGCATCTCTCGTGCACTCAATGTCTTCCTCGGCAACATCCCGCAGCCTCAGCTCAAATTGACCAACCCAGAAAAGATGATCGAGGTCAAGCTCAGCAACGACGTCTCGCGGATCAGACCCTACTTTGCCGGTGCCGTCTTGAGGAATGTCACCTTCACACCAGAGAGCTACGCCAACTTCATTGATCTTCAAGACAAGCTGCATCAGAACCTGGCGCGTCGCAGAACACTCGTTGCCATCGGCACCCACGACCTCGACACCATCCAAGCTCCTTTTTCGTATGAAGCGCTTCCACCAAAAGACATCAAGTTCGCGCCGCTCAACAAGGAGCAGGAGTACGACGCGAGCCAGCTGATGGAGCTCTACGAGTCGGATAAGCATCTCTCTCGCTACCTGCACATCATCCGCGACAGTCCCGTCTACCCGATCATCTACGACTCCAACCGACAGGTCCTCTCCATGCCACCGATCATCAACTCGAACCACAGCAAGATCACGCTCAACACCAAGAACGTCTTCATCGACACGACCGCCATCGACGAGACCAAGCTCGGCATTGTGATCAACATCATTGTCGCCATGTTCTCGCAGTACTGCGCCGAGCCGTTCACCATCGAGCCCGTCCGCGTGGTCTACCCGGATGGAAAGGAGAAGATCACGCCCGACCTGAGCAGTGTGCGTTTCCCTGCGTCGGTGGACTACATCAACCGATGCACAGGTCTCAAGCTTTCGCCCGAGGAGATGATCAGCTACTTGCAAAAGATGGGGCACACGGCCACCGTCGACCCACAAGCCCCCACGGAGAAGCTCATCGTCGACGTGCCACCGACCCGACCGGATATCCTGCACGAGTGCGATCTGATGGAGGACGTAGCGGTGGCCTTTGGTTTCGACAACCTGCCCAAGACGTTCCCGGCGACCAACACGGTCGCTGCGCCGCTGCCGATCAACAAGCTGGCCGACATCGTACGTCGCGAGTGCGCCTATTCTGGCTGGGTCGAGGTGTTGCCTTTGATCCTGTGTTCGCACGATGAGAACTTTGGCTGGCTCAATCGCAAAGATGATGGCACGACGGCGATCGTACTTGAGAACCCAAAGACGGCCGAGTACCAGGTGGTACGCACAACGCTGCTGCCTGGAATCCTCAAGACGGTGCGCGAGAACAGGAAGCACGCGCTGCCACTGCGCACGTTCGAGGTGTCGGATATCGCCTTCAAGGACGCAGCCGAAACGGAGCGTTGTGCGCGGAACGAACGTCACGTCGGCGCCGTCTACTGCGACAAGACGGCGAGCTTCGAAGTCGTCCACGGTCTGCTGGATCGACTGATGCTGAGTCTGGCGATCCCGCGGATCGAGGGCAAGTCGTCGAGCAAGGACAAAGGGTATTGGATCGAGGAGGATGCGGACAATGCGACGTTCTTCCCCGGTCGTGCGGCAACGATCCATCTCCGATTGCCAAAGGAGACGTTCAACCCGGGCGCTGCGACGGATGCTAAGCCTGCTGCAAGCGCTGCAGAGGGCGCACTGGACACGGTTAAGAGCGCCCTCGAGAAGGTTCTGCCAAGCGCAACGGGCGAGAGGGACCAGAAAGTGGGTGTGATTGGAGTGCTCCACCCGCAAGTGCTCAAGAACTTCAACATCGACTACCCGTGCTCCGCACTCGAGTTCAACCTTCAACCTTTCTTGTAGACTTGTAATAGTGTCACTTTGAACAAACACATTGACCTCATGCTGCTGTCTCGCGATTGTCAGGCTGAGTCGGGGATTTTGTGTGAGAATGCAATAGATATGATTGAGAATGTGACCGAAACAGAACAGCTCGTGACGTTCGACCTTTGCCACGCATCAACGATAGCCTTCCAGCACCACCTCGCACTGGTACCAGCAGTAATCCTTGCGTTCTTCCGCCGCGGCCTCTGAGCCACTGCTGTCTGTCACCTTGTCTGGATCGGTAAAATCGACCTGCAGACCGACACAGCGAGGAGCACGCTTGAGGGAGGCAACGGATCGCACCGAGCTCGAGTCGGAAGCGGCGTACGAGCTCTGTCGGCTGGGTCTGGGTGGAAGCAGATTGCGAGCAAGCAGTCCGCCCGCCCTGGGTTCGCGAGAACGACGTTGAATCACGCTTGTGCCGGTGTCGACCGCTGCGCTGCCGACCGAAAGGCTGCTAGCACTGTCGTCCGTGAGATCTGCGCCATCCGTTCGCGTGTCGAGCCCCTCGGTAGAGATGGGTAGAACGTCGAGGCTGGTGTTCATGGCTGTGTCGTGGGTGTCGAGGCTGACTTCGATGGCTGTATCGTAGGTGTCGGGGCGGAGCTGCATGGCTGTATCATTCGTTTCGGGGCTGACTTCCATGGCTGTGTCGTTGGTATCGTGCCCGTATACGGTCGACGATCCAAGCGAAGATCCGGTGCGGCTTGCCTGAATGCTGTGCTGTGCTTGACTCGGCGAACTCGATCCGTTGACGGATGGACTGCTGCATGCCGGAAACCATCCATCTGACACACCTTCCCTGTTGCTGTCTGCCTGCCAACTCTTGTCCGCCACCGACGGTGGCCTGCTGTCCTCAGACATGGAGCTGATGCTCGACTCCCAAAGTTGTTCGGAAGCGCTGTCCTCCGGCCATGATTCTGCCACAGAGGATGACGAGTCGCGTGGTGACTCCTCCCATCTTCTGTGTACATCTGGCATCGGGCTCGATGGCGCTCTCCTGCGATCTGCTTCAGCACCGTCAGCGATCAAAGAGGACATGCTGGTGTCTGTGGACCCTGAAGTCGGGTCAAATTGGTCTGTCGGAATGGCTTCGCACAAGTGATCCAAGTTAAAGTCGAGATGACGACGAGCCGACCAGCCTGAACAGCGAAACGACGCAGGCCCGCTGAGGAAGATGTGCGTCTTGGTCGGGGCGAGCTGAGTCCCGAAGAAGGATTCGAGGCTTTCACTTTTCATTACCAGGCGTATCAGCTTGCCGCCCCAAATGCTGCTCGTCTTGTCTCTCGCTGCGTCTCTTCGTTGATCGGATGCTTGTGAAAGGAGATCAGCCAGACGCTCTTCCATGTCGTTTTCCCTGCTCGCGGTCTCGAGCCCGTCCAGTCGACCTGCCTCGAAGACGTTGAAGAGGTCAGACTCGGTGCCGCTGCCCCGCCCGACGGCTTGGACGAGATCCAAGACAAGGACATCCCGCGGCATGCTAGCACTGGTTCCCATGACGATCAGCAGCCGGAGGTCCTGAGATGCATGAGGACGGCTGGATGGACCTTCGCCGCTGTTGTCGCTTAGCTGCTTGACTGCCGCCTCCAGGTGGTGCCCAAGCTGGGCAAGCTTGCGAAGGAGCTTGTCTTCTCTCCGCGTGCGCGTCGAGTCACCGTGCGAGCGGCGGCCTTTTGCGAGTGTAGCCTTGGGGGATGCCGACACCTTCCGCATGCGCAGCAAGTTGATCGGCTCGGGGACTTGATTCTTCCGATAAAGCAGATAATGCAACAATGATTCGATGAGCCTTGCAGTGAGCAGGTCGCAGTGTCCGCACATTTGGGCCTTGCTGAGATCGGCGCTCTTGTAAGATAGTGCTTGCAGGATGTTGTGACGTTCGTCAGGCGCACAGGACTGAGCTCGCTGCAAAAGGGTACCGTTGCCTTCGTGAGCGAGCTGCGTGGACATGTTGGACCCCAGATCCAGCACGGGAACCTCGAGACGAGACGAGTGACTGCATCGAGCTCCTCCTCCGCGCCGCGACCCTCTGTGCTGGGCCTCGATGGTCGTGCTTGACGACATCGTGTAGGTGAAAGCTGCCCACTGTCGATATTCCCGTAGACGATGGTGCAGCTTCTATTGCTGTATCGATGTCATCCTCGAGGTACAGACGAGATGGTAATTGGAGCGTCGAATGACCTTGACGATTTGACTGATATTCTCCCTACTCGGCTTGGCGAGGTGTCGCGGGCTGATATGGTGATGATGCTGGTGGAGTATTGCTAGACGCTATAGCCATCTGCAAGGCTGAACGAGGCTTCAGGAACAAAATGCAAAGTGTGCGGCTGCAGAGTCAGTCTCTGGCTGTGTGCTTGCCTGTCAAGAAAGAGCAACACCCCACGTCCACGTCTGCCCATCACGTGAGGTTGATCATTTGGTGGTCTAACACGATGTATCTGAAAATTCGCAGCTCCAAGTCAAGGCGCGGCGAATTCGATCAGAACGCGAAGAGCAGCAAATGGCACAGAACGTGATGAGCCGCACGGTAGGAAGAATCAAGCCATTCGCCAAGCACAGGCCAATTCAAAGCGCTGAGCCACGTCTGCAATTTCCGTCAGAGCGGCAGCCTCGGGACCAGCTTGCCTGCCTGCCAGCCAGTTGCTCTGCCGTTGCAGAAGGTCGAGAGTCGTGACACCAACACCAACTCGGTCAACTCATCACCACCTTTCGCTTCTCCTCCCCTCCTTCTTCGCGATTTCTTTCTTCTTCCCTTCACGGGTGCGGCTAACGAGCGTAGCAATCGACTCTTGCTTACGATACTGGGTCAGCACGTCTCCTCGCATCTGACTACAACTCGCGTTCTCTCTGCGGCAGCCTCGCCTCCTCTTCTGAGCCGCTCGACTCTTTCGAGCTAGCATCTCATTCACCATGCAGATGCTCACCAAGTTCGAGTCCAAATCCAACAGGGTCAAGGGCATCGCCTTCCACCCGCGACTTCCCCTCTTGGCCTCGTCTCTTCACAATGGCTCCATTCAGCTGTGGAACTACCAGACCGGCACCATCTACGACCGTCTCGAGGAGCATGACGGCCCCGTTCGTGGCATCTGCTTCCATCCTTCGCAGCCCCTCCTCGTTAGTGGTGGTGATGACTACAAGATCAAGGTCTGGAACCACAAGACGCGAAAATGCCTCTTCACGCTGAATGGCCATCTCGACTACGTCCGCACCGTCTTCTTCCACCACGAACACCCTTGGATCCTCAGTGCCTCCGATGACCAGACCATCCGCATCTGGAACTGGCAGAGCCGAACCTGCATCGCCATCCTCACCGGCCACAATCACTACGTCATGTGTGCTCAGTTCCACCCCAAGGAGGACCTCATCGTCTCTGCGTCCATGGACCAGACCGTCCGTGTGTGGGACATCAGCGGCCTGCGCAAAAAGAACACCTCGGCTCAACCCATGAGCATCGAGGAGCAGATCGCTCGAGCCAACAGTGGCCAGGCTGATCTCTTTGGCAACACAGACGCCATGGTCAAGTACGTTCTCGAAGGCCACGATCGCGGTGTCAACTGGGCCTCGTTCCACCCGACCTTGCCTCTCATCGTCTCAGCCGGTGACGACCGTCAGATCAAGCTGTGGAGGATGTCGGATACCAAAGCATGGGAAGTCGACACGTGCCGCGGCCATTTCAACAACGTCTCGTGCGCGCTCTTCCACCCTCGACACGAGCTCATCATCTCGGACGCCGAGGACAAGACCATCCGTGTCTGGGACATGGGCAAGCGCACCGCCGTTCAGACCTTCCGCAGAGAGAGCGATCGCTTCTGGGTGCTCACCGCCCACCCTACGCTCAACCTCTTTGCTGCGGGTCACGACAATGGTCTCATCGTTTTCAAGCTGGAACGCGAGCGTCCCGCTTTCTCCATTCAGCAAAACACGCTCTACTACATCCGCGACAAGCAGGTCCGCTCGCTCGACTACAGCACCGGCGCCGACCAGGCTGTGCTCAGCGTCAAGCGCCTCGGCAACCAGTACATTCCTCCTCGTACACTCAGCTTCAACCCAGCCGAGCGATCCGTCATCGTCACGTCGGTCAACGGCGACCAGGGCACCTTCGATGTCGCGCCTCTTCCTCGTGAGGCCGGCGGCGATCTGGCCGAGTCCTCGAGCGTCGGCAAGCGTGGCCAGGGCTCCAGCGCCATCTTTGTGGCCCGCAACCGTTTCGCCGTGCTCGACAAGACGGCGCAGACCATCGAGATCCGCGACCTCAACAACGCCGTCACCAAGACCATCACGCCTCCTCAGCCCACCAATGAGATCTTCTTTGGCGGCACCGCCAGTCTTATCCTCAGCACATCGACCGGCGTGATCCTCTACGACATCCAGCAGCAAAAGACGCTCGCCGAGCTCACCAGCCCCCCCGTCAAGTACGTCATTTGGAGCATCGACGGCAGCATGGTGGCACTGCTCAGCAAGCACACCATCACGCTCGCCGACAAGTCGTTCGCCTCCAGCAACCTCATCCACGAGACCATCCGCATCAAGAGCGCAGCGTGGGACGAGAGCGGCGTGCTCCTCTACAGCACCTTGAACCACATCAAGTATGCGCTTCCGCAGGGCGATAACGGCATCATCAAGACGCTCGAGCAGCCCGTCTACCTCACGCGTGTCAAGGGCAAGACCGTCTCATGTCTCGACCGATCCGCTCGTCCGCAGAACATCACCATCGACCCGACCGAGTTCCGCTTCAAGCTGGCGCTCGTCCAGGGCAAGTACGACGACGTGCTCACCATCATCAAGAACAGCAACCTCGTCGGCCAGGCCATCATCGCTTTCCTGCAAAAGAAGGGCTATCCCGAGATTGCCCTGCATTTCGTTCAGGACAAGAGCACTCGCTTCGACCTGGCCATCGAGTGCGGCAACCTCGATGTCGCTCTGGAAACCGCCGAGTCGCTCAACGTCGACGAGGTGTGGAACCGATTGGGCGCTGCGGCGCTTCGTCAGGGCAACCACAAGATCGTCGAGCGTGCCTACCAGCGAACCAAGAGCTTCGACAAGCTCAGCTTCCTGTACCTCATCACGGGCAACACGGACAAGCTCGCCAAGATGTCGGTCATCGCCGACAAGCGTGGCGATCAGCTGAGCCGCTTCCACAACGCGCTCTACCTTGGAAACGCCGAGGCACGCAGCAACGTGCTTTCCGATGTCGGTCTGTCTGCGCTCGCGTACGCTGCCGCCAAGTCGAATGGGTTGGACGACCGCGCTGCCGCCATCGCTGCGGAAGCTGGCATGGAAGAGGAAGCGCAAGAGGTGGACCGACAACTCGACTTGGGTGAGGGTACGTCCAAGCTGGCGCCTCCCACTGCGGTGTCGCAAGCCTACCTGCACAACTGGCCCATCGTCAGCAGCGAGCAGAGCTACTTTGACCGTGCTCTCGTGGCTGGCAACGACGGTGGTCCCATCTTCAAGGACAACGCCCTCAACGGCGGCAAGACGCACGATATCGAATCGTGGCTCGATGGCGAAGCATTGGAAGAGACCGACGAGGAGGACGAGGATGCCTTTGACGCTGCGCCTGAGGACTTTGGCGAGGCAGAAGAGGCCTGGGATCTTGCGGAGGAGGACGCAGCATTGCCCGAGGAGGAGGCTGCAGTCGTGGCGCCTCTTCAAGAGACGCCGCTCGAAGGACTGGGCGCTGGAAGCTCCGAGTCGGAACACTGGTTGCGCAACTCGCCGGTCGCCGCCGATCACGCCGCAGCAGGGTCGTTCGAGACTGCGATGACATTGCTATCGCGGCAAGCCGGCATCGTGGATTTCGCGCCCTTGAAGCCCTTGTTCCTCTCGTCGTACTTGGCCGCACGCAACTATCTGCCTGCGGCGCCGAGTGCCGGTCCTATCGAGGTACACCTGCGCCGCAACAACGAAGAGAGCGACGGCAAGGTGACCAAGGCGCACCCTGCCTCACCTCGATCCGTCAAGCTGCTCGCTTCGGGCGATCTGCAGGAGGGCTACCGCGCCGTTAGCGCCAACAAGCTTGCCGAGGCAGAGACTATCTTCCGTCGCTTGCTGCATCAGCTGGTGGTGACCCCGGCATCTACTGACGCAGAAGCCACCGAGATCCAGGACCTGATCGTGCTTTGCCGAGAGTACATCCTCGGTATCTCGATCGAGCTTGGCCGTCGTAAGCTCATCGCTGCTGAGCCTGACAATGTCGCTCGCAACCTCGAGCTTGCTGCGCTTTTCACGCACACTCAGCTGCAACCGCAGCATCAGACGTTGGCGCTGCGCAGTGCCATGACCGAAGCGCGCAAGGTCAACAACTACGCCATGGCCGCCAGCTTTGCCAAGCGTCTCATGGACCTCTCGCCGGCCCCGGCCGTGGCTCAGAAGGCGCAGCAGATCATCTCGTTGGCCGAGCGCAGCCCGCGTGATGCCGTCGCCGTGCCCGGCTACGACCCTCTCGAGCAGACGTTCATCATCTGCGCCGGCACTCATCGTCTCATTACGGCTGCCGGTGCTGGCTCCGTCTCGGATCCGCTCACGGGCGCCCGCTACCTGCCCGAGTTCAAGGGCACGCTCTGCAAGATCACCGAGATTTCCGAGGTCGGCAAGCTCGCATCGGGTCTGCGCAGCTATGCCGCATAGAGCGCGGTGAAAGGGCAGTTTGGCCGGGTCGACGACCATGGCCTTGTAGATACATATGTGCAGTACCTATCATCATCATGAGATACTTGCAACGCTTCCTCGACTTTCGTGTGTGTGAATGCTCTGTCTGCATGGGCTGAGACTTGAAAGTGGCTTCCAGGAGCGGATATCTCAGGGTCCCGAATTTCTCAAAGGTGTGCGGAGCGTGAGACACACGCTTTCAACGCGTTCCTCCTCCACTCCAACACCACCTTTCGTCCGCAGCAACAGTCGAAGCTGATCACCACACATGATCGTCGTGGACAGGCTTGAGGCTCGCAGCTAGGCGCTCTCGGTGCACTGACGTCCAAGCGAGACTCAGCGCCGGCGTTCGTGAAGGATGTCCTTCCTTCCGTCCTTCTCCACTCTGTCCGTGCCTTCGACCTCGACCATCTCGTCATCTCCGCAAGTGTCATTCAAGCCAGCAACCCTGTCGTACTTCACCATCTTCTGTCCCGCTCTCAAGCCGCCTAAGAAGCGTTCCAGCGATACGCCATCCGAGGGCTCATCTCAGCAAGATGTCGATGCGTCAGGCGAAGCAGAGGACGAAGATGCCCGAGAGAACGCATGCGAGGCGGCCCAAATTTTGTTCTACACAAGTCGAGCACGGGCGGCCCTCAAGGACCGGATGCTGCGGCAGATCGGTGTAGCCAAAGGCATGATCGAGTTCTGCAGCATGGTCTCCAAGCCCACCGGAAGCAACAAGCAGCTGTCAGAAGACGGGACCAGCGCAGGGCGGTCGTGGAACGTCCACTCGAGCAAGCGGCGGATGATCCTCATCGAGGTGGAACACGGCATCTGGGTGCATGCGAGCATCGATCTCCCGCATACGATCCGACATCCGCCAGCAACGGCAGAATCACCCGCGAAGCCAGTCAAAGAGTACCACGACGCGATACTACCCGATCTGTGGCTGGAAGAAAGCATCCGCCGCGCATGGCGGGACTGGGTGCTGCTCAATGGCTGCCCGGCCCACATCCTTTCGCAGAAGGCGGGAAGACCAGGCTTGGAAAGGTCGCTCGAGAAATACTTTTCCGTCTGGGCTTGGAGCTGGGACCTGGAGCTGGCGACCAATGCGGATGTCGTGCAGCAGCGGAGTCTGTTCACCGAGTGCGTGGAGGGCTTCCCGGTGGTGCCAAGAGCTCCGAGGTCGAAGATGATGCAGCTGATGCAGACAGAGGCGGCGCAGAGACTGAAGAAGGGCAAGCATGGCGAACGAGATCTGGTCATCTTGTCGGACACGCTGATCTTGTGGCCACCGACCGACGCTGGCTGCTTCGACTCCGAGGATGAGGACGAGAAAGGTGATGAGTCTGGATTGATCCTACCTCGTCGCAAGTCGAGCCCTCCCTCAGCATCTCGACTCGAAGGAACATATCCGTCATCTCAAGAAGCGATCGACCCAGAAACCAAGGCGGAGTTGCTCCGGCGCGTAGTCAGCCACCTCACAGGCCTCGAGCGGGAACGAGACCTGATTCGAGCCGCGTCGGTCTCGAGCACCAGCGACGGGCGCAAGAGAGGCACGTCGGGAGCGATACGAGAGCGAGGCTCCTCGAGCAGCAGCAGCAGCAAGCGTGACATGCGCAACGGCCTGCTCTCCGCTGCAGCAGGCGCGAACAAGAAACGCATCGTCTCTTCACCCGTCATGCAACAGCGTTCTGCGAGCGCATCGAGTTTCGCTTCTTCGACCGCGACGGATTCGACGCGGTGGTCAAATTGGGGCAGCGTCTTCAGTGGGCTGGGCAAGCTCGGCTTTCGTGGGAACGGCGACACCTCGGTGCAGAGCGAGACTGCGAGTCAGAAACCAGCGGTAGACGGCCTGTCGAAGGAGCAACGTGTCGCTTCGGTCGAACCCGTCGAGCCAGCTGACCTTTCTGCGGCGGCCGATACGAGCGTCGTCTCCACAGCAGAAGCAGCAGCTCCACCTACCCCATCCTCGCCCATCGAAGCGCCCAGCAAAGCCAAAGACGCCAGCGCGAGCAACGATGGCGAATCATCAAGCCCGCTGCAAGCCTTTCAGCAAAGACTGGCCGATGTCATTCCAATCCAGGAAGCGGGCGGCAAGATGTGGAATGGTGCCGAACTTGCTTTCCGAGGTATCGGCGCTTCGCTCGGAATAGGCAGCGTTCCGAAAGCCGAACAGAGCCAGGCTGACACATCCGCTGCGTCGTCGAAGCCTGCGCAGGACGCAGACATCTCGGACCGGAGCCGCTTCGCGGATGCATCGTTCGACACCAGCGGTGCAGATATAGACGCCAGCGTGGTAACCAAGGTGTCGATCCTCGAGCCCGAGGTGGATGTCGAGGAACTGGCTGCGGCGCTCGGCATCGACGACACTCCTCAGGACACATCGATTGTCGAGACGTTGCCAGCGCCGGACGATTCTGGCGCGGATCTGCTGAAGAGCGCGGCGACGGGACTGGCTGATGAAGCGAAGCCCCCGCTCACGTTGGTAACGGGAGCTTCTACCACCGAGCCGTCGAGCAGCAGCCCAATCTCGCCCAGCAACGACGTTCGCACTTCAGATGCCGCATCGATTCGGACAAGCAGCAGCGCCAAAGCGTTCCCATCGATCTCGGTGACATCAGCAGCGTGGTACAACACCAAAGCGCTGCGATCCGAGACAGGAGGGGCCACCTCGTCGCCCAAGCTTCCATCGGCGGCTAGCATCTTCAGCGACCAGGACAAGTCAGGCGACACTCGTGAGCCATTCGACATGTCGCTCGGTGGCGTGTCGATGCAGTCAGAGCATCATGACTTTGAGCTCGACGGATGGGGCACCGAGCGGCCGCGGCCGTTCGAGAGCTTTCGAGCGTACGTCGGCGAGAGCGAGGTGCCCATCACGCATGAGAGTCTGACCCTACTGCAGGAAGATCCTTTCCAGAGTACCGAGTACCGGGTCTCTTTCACCACACGACGATTGCTGACCTTTGTGCTGATCGAACGGGTGCCCGCGACGACAGGCTCGAGCTTGGCCGCGCAAGGGTCAGACACAGCCTCGATCCTCGACGACGCCTGGCAGATCCTTCGACGGACGCAACGCATCCTCAACGACTACCATCGTGCCACGGCCGCGAAGCAGTCCGACGAGACCGCAGTGCGGTTCCTACACTTCGACGGCCCAACCTTGACGTTCCAGTCCTCGCTCGAGGAGGAGAAAGACAAGCTGGAGCCCGACGTGCAGGTGGTCGCCGACGCACACTGCGTATCGGCGGCAGAGCTCATGCGTCGGCATGGCGTCGTCGAGACCTTCTCGCGCTCGAGCAATGGCAAGACGTGGACGGCTAGCAGGCTCGGTTCTAAGACGACGCAGCAAGGGAAGGTGAATCAGACATATATGGTGCTGGCGGGCAAGAAGATCAGTATTGTCGACTGCGACACGGAGCTGAGGAAGTTGGCGAATCAGTATCCGAGCTTTGGCATTTGATGATGGTGGGGTTGGACCCCTAAAAGGACGAAGCGGAGGAAAGGGCAGTTCGGATTTGGCGGTTTCGACGCGTGCGCCGATTTCGGCCTGCGAGAAAACCCTGCGCACTCGCAGCAGCCTGCTCACGGCGGCCCACCGAGAGCTGAGCATGCACCAAGCCGAGGTGTGCGCCGTGCAATCAAGGTCACAAGACACAACTACAAAAGTCACGACGCAGCGTCACGAGTGAAGCATGACGAGTGTGGGACACGGCTAAGAACGGCAACGAGGACAAAAGGCATCTCGATAAGAGATCTTCGAACGGGTGGCCACCTACCATTAGAGGCAGGTGCGATTACTATAAGAGGCAGGACCCTTAGATGCGAGGCTAATCTCGTGGAAACGGAGCAGCAAATCGCAGACTGCCATATGAATGCTTGACCGGTCGCTGTGTGGGCCCTCATGAGCAGCTGCGCCTTCTTCCTGGCAGTCAGCGAATGAGTGTCGAGCAGTTACCCCAGCTCTCTTGGCCGTCCAAATTGTGAAAAAGCGGGACGAGAGGGACAGAAGAGGCTTTCCGAAAACTTTGTTGGCGCGCACAGAGAGCGTTATCTGGAGCGAGTGAGCGCAGCTGCTGTCGGAAGTCTCAACTCCGCCTGCCGTGGGACAAGTTGCAAATCCTTCAAAAACGTGAGCGCGCTCGCTTAGCAACGCGCGAACGAAAGGGGTCCGTCCTTCTTGGCTTTCAGACAGCTTCAGCCGGTAAAAGGAGCGAAAAATTTAGAGAGCACCGGCTGTGTGGCTCAACCCTGCAGCTCTCACGGCCAATTGGGTCCCGAACGCTTGCCCACCTCGTGACAGAATGGAGAGAGACACAAAGCATTCAATATGCAGCGCAGGTCATTGGCCTGAGATTCGTCCTGCAGGCAGACGCACTGGCTCCGTACTGTCCGGGGCAGGTGCACGCCGGCCTGCGCAAGAAAGCGTACCCGTTGAGCGTGAGCAAAAGTTCTTGAGCACTGTTCCGCTTATCGCTCGAAACCACTTTCTTCGCAGCAGTAGCTTCCTCAACTCGCTTGACAAGGATCTCGACCTGCCACCACCACCATCGTCACGGACCTTGCGCTGCTCCGACTATCCCATCCACAGTTCAAGTCGAGTTCGAGCTGGTTTAGACCGTCCGTCAAGCACCAGGCAGCACCCACTCGGAACGACCCGAGCTACGCTCACTCCCCTCGCAGCCACCACTGCTCTCTGCCAGTGCCTATCCGTTGCACGCGTTCAATAAAAGCACGTCGTCTGAAAGGCGCTCCTCCTTGCCCCCTACCCTTCGGATCGCTTCCAACTCCGTAGGCGCCACCACACGGAGCTGCCGACGCTATGATCGCTTCGTCCGTCCTGGCGCGATCGCGCGTCGCCGCCGCTCGGTCCATTCGAAGCGTGCCTCTCGCATCGAGCTCACGCATCACCTTGCCCTCCAGCGCTCGTCTTCATACCGTTGCTGCGGCATCGACCCAAGCTCTTCCTTCCAAGCGACGAGGGCTCGCCACGCTCAGCTCCACCGAGAACGCCCCCGAGCTTGGCGCCCGCCACGTTGCCAAGTCCATCTTTGCCCCGCTCGACACCTTCGAGGCTCGTCATGTCGGCCCCAGGGACCAGGACTCGGCCAAGATGCTCGAGGCTCTTGGCTACTCGGAGATGGAGCAGCTCATCGCCGATACCGTCTCGCCCAATGTGCGTCTCGCTGACGAGGCCTCCAACTACGACCAGATCAAGCCTCTCTCCGAGAGCGAGCTCGCTCAGCGCGCAGAGACCATCGCAAAGATGAACCGCCCATTCAAGAGTCTCATCGGCATGGGCTACCAGAACACCCTCGTACCTCCCGTCATCCTCCGCAACGTCCTCGAAAACCCTGCCTGGTACACCAGCTACACCCCTTACCAGCCAGAGATCTCCCAGGGCCGTCTCGAGTCGCTCATCAACTTCCAGACCATGGTTAAGTCGCTCACTGGGCTCGACCTTGCCAACGCATCGCTCCTCGATGAGGGCACTGCCGCTGCCGAGGCCATGATCCTTGCCTACGGACAGACCAAGAGCAAGAGAAAGACGTTCCTCGTCGACCGTGGTGTTCTGCCTCAGACTCTCGCTGTGCTTCGCCAGCGTGCCAAGGGTTTCGGTATCAAGGTGGTCTCCACCGAGCTGCGCACTCCTGAAGGCCACCGCCTGCCTCCTGCCGACCAGATCCCCCGCGAAGACATCATCGGTGCTCTCGTTCAATACCCCGACGTCGACGGACGTCTCACCGACTGGGAGGCGCTGGCCAAGGAGATCAAGGGTTTGGGCGGTATGACCATCGCTGCTACGGACTTGCTGGCGCTCACCATGATCAAGCCTCCTGGCGAGTGGGGTGCCGACATCGCTCTCGGCAACGCTGCTCGCTTCGGTGTGCCTCCCGGATTCGGTGGTCCCCACGCCGCCTTCTTTGCCGTTCGCGACTCAATCAAGCGCAAGATTCCCGGTCGTCTCGTCGGTCTCAGCAAGGACGCTCGTGGTGAGCCCGCCTACCGACTTGCGCTCCAGACGCGAGAGCAGCACATTCGTCGTGAGAAGGCCACCTCCAACATCTGCACTGCTCAGGCTCTTTTGGCCAACATGTCCGCCATGTACGCCGTCTACCACGGTCCCGACGGTCTGCGCAAGATCGCCGCCAAGGTGCACGCCCTCACCCGCCTGCTCAAGCATGAGCTGACCGAGCTCGGTGTTCGCGTCGTCAACCGTGACGGTGCCTTTTTCGACACGCTCACCATCGACCTGAGCAAGGCTGGTGTCGGTGCCGTCCGCATCCACGAGGAGGCCAAGAAGGCCGAGATTAACCTGCGCCGCATCAGCGACACCCGCGTCGGCATCACGCTCGACGAGACGGTCAGCATCGAGCAGCTCACCGACGTGCTCAACGTGTTCGCATTCGCCCTCAAGAATGTCAAGTCCGGCGAGGTGCCCTACAAGCCCGAGGATTTGCTGCAGATCGCCTCTTCCATCGGCCTTGACGCCTCCTCCACCGAGACGCTCACCATTTCCTCCTCGCTCCAGACCGCCTCTACGGAGTCCGCAAACCTCCCCGCGGTGCCGGACTTTGCCCGAACCTCCAAGTTCCTCCAGCAGCCTGTTTTCTCCGCGCACCGCTCCGAGACCCAGATGCTGCGCTACATCCACTCGCTCCAGGCCAAGGACCTCTCGCTCGTCCACGCCATGATCCCCCTCGGCTCCTGCACCATGAAGCTCAACTCGACCTCGAGCATGATGCTCATCTCCAAGCCGGAATTCTCGCAGCTCCACCCCTTCGCACCCGAGGACCAGGCGCAAGGGTACGACGTGCTCATCCGCGAGCTCGAGCGTGATCTCTGCCTCATCACCGGTTTCCCCGCCGTGTCGCTGCAGCCCAACTCGGGTGCGCAGGGCGAGTTTGCCGGTCTGTCCGTCATCCGTGCGTACCACGAGAGCAAGGGGGAGGGCAAGAGGGACGTGTGTTTGATCCCCACCAGTGCGCACGGCACGAACCCGGCGAGCGCCATCATGGCCGGTATGCGCGTCGTGCCCGTCAAGACCAAGGCGGATGGCTCGATCGATCTCGAGGACCTCCGAAGCAAGGCCGAGCAGCACAAGGATGTGTTGGCGGCCACCATGATCACCGAGCCCGCGACGACGGGCTGCTACTTCCGCGACATCCAGGAGGCGTTCCGGATCGTCCACGACAATGGCGGACAGGTGTATTTGGACGGAGCCAACCTGCAGGCGCAGGTGGCGCTGACCAACCCAGCTATCATGGGCGCGGACGTTACGCACTTGAACTTGCACAAGACGTTCTCGATTCCGCACGGCGGTGGTGGACCGGGAGTGGGACCCATTTGCGTTGCTGAGCACCTGGCGCCTTTCTTGCCCGGACACCCGCTCGCCTCGACGGGAGGCGAGATGGCGATCGACCCCATCTCCGCCGCTCCCTGGGGTAGCGCTTCGATTCTGACCATCGCATGGGCGTACATCAAGATGCTCGGCTGGCACGGCCTGAAGAAGTCGACCGAGACCTCGCTGCTCGCGGCCAATTACGTCGCACACCGCCTCAAGGACCATTACAAGCTCAAGTACACCGGCGACCGCGGTCGTGTCGCACACGAGCTGCTCATCGACGTCGCCGAGTTCGAATCCGAAGGACTCAAGGTGATGGACTTTGCGAAGAGGTTGATCGACTACGGCTTCCACCCGCCCACGTGCTCCTGGCCTATCTCGACGGGTCTGCTGATCGAGATCACCGAGAGCGAGAGTTTGCAGGAGATCGACAGGTTGATCGAGGCGTTCATTTCCATTCGTCAGGAGGTGGAGGAGATTCGACAGGGTAAGCAGCCCAAGGATGACAATCTGCTCAAGAACGCGCCGCATACGATTCACGCCATTACCGAGGGCGAGTGGACCAGGCCGTACTCGAGAGAGCGAGCGGTGTACCCGGTGGCAGAACTCAAGAAGAACAAGTTCTGGCCCCCCGTCAGCAGGATCGACGACGCGTTCGGTGACAGGGTGCTCGTGTGCGAGTGCGGTGGCGTCGAAGACTATGTCAACTAGATTGGTCGCCCCGCGACGAAAGATGGCGATGAGGGTTCACCTCAACGGTGCTCTCAACAAATGATTTCGAACTCTCTTTCCCCTGGTTTCCCTCCCTCTTCTCAAACGCATAGCAACGGGTTTCAACATCTGCATCCTCTCTCACTGTTCAACATCAATGCATTCTTTGGTTCTCCTGTGCGCACGTGCGAGGTCGTGTGCGAGCTGAGGTGTGTGACGCGGGATCAGTGTGATTATCAAAGTGACAAGGGTACTTGAGACCTCACAGGCCGCGCTTGCCAGAAAGGTGGGCTTGTCCCTGTTTGGGGCTGGCTCGCTGCTTAGCGTGCGATCTTGCTCGTCCCTCTTCCCAACTGAATCGAGGACCAGGATTTAGTCAAAGCACCAGCCTCGTTGGAGGAGCTCTTTGTGGCTCACTCAAGGTCAAGTTCCAAGGACGAGGCACACCTGAGACTGATCTTGAGTCACTGAGATTGAGGCGCTATCGTTCAAAAAGAAAGCATCGCGCTGCGAAACGAACGGTGACGGGGTCACGGGTGATTGCCGAATTGCAAGACACTGACATTGTCAACTCCTTTCGTCAGTCACACAGCTTAGCCGTCCGGTGCGAGATAGGCAATTTCACGCACAGGCGGATGATGTGAGCAAGGATGGACTCGTTTTCCGTAACTGTGCAAGTTCTATCAACAGGGCCAGATCTGGGCAAATGCATCCTGCAGATCCTCCACGAGCGTCACGGGCTGTTCGAGGGCGGCAAAGTGTCCTCCCTCGTCATGCTTTCTAAACCAGCGCAGATTGACGCTTGCCCGAACAAACGATTCGGGCGCCTGGATGATCTCCATAGGAAAACTCGAGTAGGCGGTTGGCTGTTTCACATAGTTCGCCGGGTCGCTGGCCATTTCTGCGGGGCCACGAGGATCGCGATTGCGATAAGGGTAGAAGGAGCCGCCGATGGTATCGGTCGTCTCGTAGAGAGTGAGGTTGGCGAGGACGGTGGAAGGGGGCAGATCGTCGTCGGTCCATGCATGCATCTTCTCGCCGACCCAGGCGAGCGTTGCTAGCGGCGAGCGGGAGAGCACTAGGCCAAGGGTGGAGGGACGTGTGCCGTGCATGGCTGCGTATGCGCTGCCCGTAGCGGCGAACTCGATGCCCCGATGAAGACTGTCCCGCTCCTCCTGCGTGAGCGGCGGTGGGATCGAGCCAAGCGTGAGGGTGGAGAGCGACCTCCAAGCGAATTCGGTCGCCGAGGCCGCTGCGGAACCCACCAACGCCCCCGCCCCGCAGAACGAGCGCGACCTCTCGCCGTGGGTGTAGCTCTCAAACACACCGAGCGCCTTCTTGGTGTAGCGCTGCTTGGAGATGCGATGCGGCAATCGCAGCACCCAGTGCGGCGTGCCTTCCCGACCAACCACCGGCAGAACGACATTGGGCCCTTGAGACGGGCAGAAGTTGAGATGCACCGCGCGCACGTTGTTGGGGAACTGGTTCGCCATGCTCCTCAGTACCGCCGATCCCCAGTCGCCCGCTTGGACGGCGTAGTTGCGATAGCCGAGCGTGAGCATGAGCTTGTGCATGATCCTCGCTACGTCCTTGACGAGCAAATCGCCATCGGGACCAGAGTGCGTGCCGACGAGCTTGCCCGTGCGCGAGTCTCTCGCAAGTCCTTCGGCTGCGCTAGAGAAGATGTAGCCAGGATGCGAAGGCACAACGACGTCAAAATGGATGGGCGTCAGATTGCCCGGGTGCGCAAGCGGCTTAACGAGTTCGAGGAACTCGTGGAAGCTGCCGGGCCACCCGTGCAGCAGCAGCAGCGGAATCACCTTGACATTGAAGCCGGTGACGGGCGGGTTGGCGCGTTCGTGGATGAAGTGCAGGTCGACGTCCTCGATCAGGACCTTGTAGTGGTCGAAGGCCGACATGCGCGCTTGCTCGGCTGCCCACGTGTCGTGATCCGGGCCGAGGCGGTTTCGTGTGCTGCTGCGGCCGGAGCTGATGGACTGCCCGTCGTCTTCCGAGGCGGACGAAGAGGTATCGCCGCGCAGGAAGGGGACCCATGCATCACGCAGCGTGCAGAAGCGATCGTGCGTGAGACCGAATCGCTCATGATCACCTTCGAACTGGGCGGACGAGGGCAGGGGTCGTTGGGCGTCGTTCTCAATGCGCTCGATGAGATCGTCGATGCGGTCCTGTGGGATGGTAGGGTCGAACTCTCTGATGACAAAGGACTGGGTGCTGGAGCCAACGAGCTTGTCGTTGCGTTGGTCGCGGGGCGAGTACAGAATCTTCTCGCTTTGCGGTGGGGCGGCGGCCGACCCATTGGCAGAGCCATTGGCACGGATCGCACTGGGCTTCATACCATGTTCTCCTCCTCGATAGACCGAGCCGATCAAAGGCTTCTCGTTGAACAGGTTCCAGAACTCGTGACCTTCCAGAGCACGCTCGAGGTAGTGTGGCAGATTCTGACCAGCTTTGCTGGCGATGGGTCGAGGGAGGGATCGGATGTGATTCTCTTCGACCAGCTCGCTGACCCAGCGCTGAGCTGTTTCTGGACTGTCGTCTGGATGCTCTGGAATGGCAGGTCGAAGGAAGCGGAAGAGCTGCCACCAGTCATACACCTTTGTGTCCGAGATGATCCAACGGCGACCCCAACCGGCGGAATGGCTCTTATGGAGGAGCAGAATGGCGCGGGCTACATCTTGGCCGTGAACAAAGTGGACGCTGCCTTTGAGGGAGAGGAGCTCCTTTGAAGCGCCGACGCGCGATGCGAAATTGCGAGGCTGCCGTTGTCCTCCGTAGAGACCGGCGAGGTTGAGGACGGCAGCGTTGCCGGAAGTGACGTCGAGAAGCCTCTGCTCTGCGGCGGCTCTTGCATTTTCAGTGTCGTAAGGGGAGCTGGAAGTGCTTCTCCCAGGACCCCAGATGCCTGTGCTTCCGAGCTGGATCCATCGGGTCCGTCCATGCAAATCTTCGTACTCGTGGACGAGATCGTCGACCTGTTCGAGGTTCTTGATGGGGAAGATGATGACTACGGTGGCTGCGCGCGGGAGCGGGTCGAGAGACTCTTTTGTGACGGGGTCGGTGAGCTCAAATTGGAGTCTGTGCTCATCGACAGGGTCCTTTTCGTCCGGAGGCGAGCGAGAGGTGTAAGCGTAGCGGAGGTTGTTCTTCTGAAGGAGCGGAATGAGGAAGCTTGCCGTCCAGCCTGAGCCTAGCAAGAGGACGTCGACGGCGTCTTGAAAGGCAATGGATTGCGGCATGGCTAGCGACGGCGGCCGATCCTGGCTAGCTCCGAGTTGTGGACGTCGTCAAGAAGATACGAGCCTGATTCGTCGAGTAAGATGGTGAATGTGAAATCTCGTAGGAGGTGCGGGGAAGCTTTCACGGTTGATGTAACTTATGACGTTGCTGCGCCTTGTCGATCCCAAATCTCCACCTTGGTGCCAATAAATTCATCAATACACAAGCTGCAGGCGGTCTAACATCTTCGAAAAGAATGAGTGTGAAGTCTAACACCTCGCAAACATCATAAGGGCGCTTGAAGAGAGCTTACTGCGAGCACGGCTGGGGAGCTCTGCCATGTCGTATCTACCACGCAACTCATATGGTGAGCACCAAGATCTGGAGCACGGCTGAGCTTGCGTGAGCTCGATAACCGGCTGTCAGATGGTGCTTGGGTGAGAGATGAGTTTAGCGTGGACGAGCGCATCCGGACGCGCTATCGGAAGTGTGTTTCTCGGCTATGCGGGGCGTTAGAGCGCCAAGTCCATCGGTGGCGTGGGTCAAGCGCGCCAAGAGGCAGATCCCAGTGAGATTGACAGCAGATCGAAGCGAGGCTGCTGAAGCTGAGCTCCTTTTCGCATCCAATCCGCAACTCGCGGTGGGATCTGAGTTTGTGGTACGCCCACGAGCAAGATCTTGGTTTCGCTTTGCACGAGATTTTCACGTGGGTGAGCAGCACCGTGGAAGCGACGTCCATCCGCATGCGACGTGGATTGCACGTGCTGAATTTCAGCGCCCTAATTTCCCAGTCGATTACGCCCAAGTCAGCACGGTCAAGCGTCAGCGTCGGTCAAGTATGTCACTGGTAGCGTTTCAGGCAAGCATGAAGCTGGGCCGGCAGCACTGACGTCGAGCATAAAAGAGGCCAACGGTGGCTTTGGCCAGAGGCAAGGGGCCGGGCAGAGCAGCCAGGGCAGATAGGCAGAATGATGGGTTAGCGCTCGGCGAATTCATGAGACTAGCCTCAAGCCACATCGGCGAGTGAACGTCATGGTGGGCAGATGGCTGGTCTGCAGATCAGGAACCTGAGCGTCATCCTCGGTCATAGCTGGTTTCCTTTGAAATTGATCACAAAGCCAAGAATGCCAAACATAGATGGAGCTCAAGTATGATATACTGGCATTAACAGCACGATGGAGGGCACAAGGAATGATGCGTGATTGCAGATATTAGTAGAGCTTGCTACGGGCAAGAAACGGGAGAGGCTTCCTCGTCCCGCGCAGAAGAATCAACAGGGGCTACGCCAACTCAAGCCCAGCTGATCGCCGCCGCGGGCCAGAGAGAGAGGAGACTGAAAAAAGGGGCTTTTTTCTTTCTTTTTTGGCTCTGTTTCAGCCCCGTGGAAAGATGAGGCTCGCTTAGGTTCTTCTAAGGAAAAGGCTGTTTTCAGGGTGACAGGGCGTCTTTGTGCGGCGTGGTGTGGATGATTTGCAATGCGCCCTTTTCCTCAGCCGAGCAGCAACCGATGGCTGGATGATCACAGAGAGGCACAAGATCCGCCCCTTTGGACTCACTTTTTCAACTCCGAGCTGTGGCAGCTGAGCCAGACCAAGCTAACTTAGAGCTCTCCATTGTTTTGGCTGCACACTGCGGCTTGGTGTGCATTGCATCGCATCCTCCAAGTCCATCTTTCAACATCAGCACCAGCGCCCCTGCACCATCATCATCTTCTCGCGCCTACCGCCCCGCTTCCGTCTGGTTCGCTCCCATATCAATCCAGTCAACTCCAACTCGAGCACTCGCATCCCATCCATCCTTCCTTCCACCATCACCACACCAAACACCTTGGCTCTCACTCACCTCTGATCGTCGCAGATGGACCATCCTTGATCGCAGCCAGCACTCATCCTCTTCCACAATGCACTCACGGCGCAATTCGCTCGCGGCCATGGTCAAGACGCCCGAGCTCGAAACAACCTCCGCGCCCGGCGTGACGGGGGTCGGCCTTGCTTCCAGCTCTTCACTCTCGTCGCTGAGCCCGGCGTCCCAACTCAAGACTCCACGATGGTCCAGCATCCGCGGACGCTTCAGCACCGTCCAGTCTCGAGACAACACTTTGGCGCCTCTCCACGACAACATCGACGACGGAATGTGGGACAAGAACGACGCTGCTTTCCTCGAGGAGGTCGCACGCGATTCTCCTTCGCTCCTTAGCCCTTTGGACCGCTTCGAGGCTTCAGACCGCGACATTCCACTCGGTCGAGCTTCCATGAGTATGGCGCGCATAACGGGCTCCGGTCGAGACGACGATGCGGATGACTACATTGCGCCTCGTCGCCCATCATTACAGCTCTCCTCCTCCCCTTTTGCCACAAGAACTTCCAGGTCTTTCACCGTTGGCGCCACAGACCCCGTACACATACCCGCGAACCAGCAGATGCTCGCACCCGCCGCTCCTCTGGGCCTCTCCAAGTACCGCGCTCGACCCATGCGAAAGATGGCCTCGGCAGCCATGCTTCCCGATCTGCCAGAGACCAAGCCCGTCGATGACGACGTCGCCTTTTCATCTCCCGTCACTTCCTCTTCGTCAGCTGTCTCCCTGACTCCACCGCTGCTCCCACCCAAAGACTCCCCACCCACCTCCACGGCTAGTATCTTTGCTAGCCCTTCGTCGTCACCTGCTCTGCAAGCCGACTCGGCCCTCAACGAAGCTGGCACCATCACTCGCAGGCAGACCAAGAACAGAAACAGCCTGATCTTTGGACTGCGCAAGCTCATGGGCAAGAAGCAAGCTGAGCCGAACGCAGCGGCCCCACCGGCCCAGAGCGACGCAGCGCAGCCCACTTCATCTCCACCCACCATCCACTCCGAGACCTGGCCCGCGCCGCAGGATGCGAGCATCGAGGCAAGCCCTCGAGGGGGTCTCAACTTGCTGGGCCTAGCGCCGGACGCTTTGGGCCCAGCAGCCACCAATGAAGCATCTCCCGATCGCACAGACAAGCGTGCCACCAACAAAAGAGCATCCCTTCGAGCTTCACCTAGCATCGCACGCAAATCTCCCTCCTTAGATCTGCTACGCAGCTTTGGTCCACTCGGAAGAACATCGACCCACAAGGCCGCCGCTCGGAACAGTGTCATCCAGCACATCTCGCACGAAGAAGCCCGCAAGCTGACCGGCAGTGTGGGTCCCATCTTCCTCGAGACCAAGGAAGCGTTGGCAGAGCACCAGTCCAAGTACGCCACCCTCCCTACCAACAATGGCTTGCTCGATCGTGCCGCATACGATATGCACTACGCCGCATCACCTGCATCGCAACATAGTACACTCTACGGATCCGCCGCCGAGCAGACGACAGCTCAGCATGCAAACAACGCTAATTCCGGTACGATCCGCGCGCCATTTCCATCTCGTCCACGGCGACCGGAGCAAGAGAACATCGTGGATAACGGCTCCTTTCAGGCCTTGACCTCCCCCAGCAGTGGCGAGCCCGTCAGCAGCAGCAGTACTCGCAACAATAGCATCGGCATGTCCTCATCGGCCTCCTCCAGGCTTTCTTCCATTTCCGCAGCTACCGATCCATCGGCGGTATTGCGAGCGTCCTTTTCGTTTCAGTCGCAGTCCTACAGGCCCTATTCGAGCGACTCACGCGAATCTCGTGCATCCCAACTCAGCCCGCCCTCGAGTGCTTCCTCCTATACCAGTCACGGTTTCGACGCCCCCGGTGCCACCTCGAAACCCACACACCGCACCGTCTCGTCCCTAGGCTCGCAGGCCGCCTGGGGGAGCCCGTTCGGGAACGCATCGATGCCGCCACCGCCGCCACCTGCTCCTGGAGCGCAAATGGTCGCACGCAGCCACAATCACCGTCGCTCGCTCAACGGCTCGTCAGGCGGCAGCAGACCGTGGTCCGCCTTTATGGCCTTGCCAATGAACGGCGCTGAATTTCCGTTGCCTCCGCACAGGGGACTTTCTGGTGCGTCGATCTCTCGACCTGTGTCCGTCACGTCGTCCGCCTTCACCAACGGCTACGATGATGCTCGAGGCGAATCGGCTGATGCTGACCTGACCTTTCGTGCTTCTGACTTTGCCAGGGCGAGAGCCGCATCCACTGCAGGTCTAAATTCGGATGCAGGATGGCGTGTTCGTGCCGACTCGATTTTCTCGGAACCGGGAAATTCGGCTCATCGGACTGCAGTCGGAGCGATAAATTCTCCTTCGAGTCAGCACGCCCCTTCTTCTGCGTGGACCACACCCTCGGACCCTCATCTGATCGCCCTCGCCTCCCCTACAGCCTCAACGTCGCAACACTCGCATCAATCGTACCACTCGTGCTCCAATTCGGACAGCACCTCGGCCGCCCCTGGCGCCGCTTCGGCTTCCTCAACCACGCTCGGTTCCGCCAACTCGAATGGTCGCGCTCTGAACGCCCCCATCCATCGCCTCTCTGCCTCCAGTTCATCGCTATCGCATCGCAAGCGTCCCTCTTTCGGCCTCGCCATCGAGCCCGCCGCTCACTCCGCCTTTGATAGCATCCCCAGCCCGCTCCTGCGCACACGCCGCATCTCGCTCGCCCACCCGGAAGGCTCCTCCCCCCAACGACCTCTTTCGACCTCTTCGTTGGCATCCGCCATCCGCACACCGAGCGGCAGCTCGTACGGCACCAGCCTTCACGCCTCGGCTCGTGCATCGGCAGCTACGCTCTCCTCGCGCCGCACCTCGGAGGACAACGACGAGAGCCTCGAGATCGAGACGCTGCTCGACGGCAGTCCCAAGAAGGCGAGCTTTCTGCGATCCACTTCCTTGACGGCGTCGGTGCCGGCCTCAGAGAGCGTGATGGCAGCAGCGACGGTGCACCACCGCCACTCGGCGTCCGTGCCCATGGACGAGGATGACTCGCCGCGCCAGCACGCTGAGGCAAACTGGAGCCGCATCACAGGCACACCCGAGCCGGCCCGGCCATACACGATCTTCTCCGTCAACGAAGAAGCCTCCTCGGGTCGCCTGAGCCAAGCTTCCAAGGACATCGCCTTCGGCTCGATCGCCGGTATGATCAGCAAAGTGTTTGAGCACCCGTTCGATCTCGTCAAAGTGCGTCTCCAGACGCAATCTGCCGACCGCCCGGCGCGCTACGCAGGCGCATTCGACTGCTTCAAGCAGACCTACCTGCAAGAAGGCATTCGTGGGCTCTACCGCGGGCTCAGCATGCCCGTGTTCGGCGCGACGCTCGAGAACGCCTGTCTGTTCTTTGTGTATAACCAGATGCAGTCGGCGATCCGATGGGCCAACGGGGAGGCGAGAAGCGGGTCGGCGGCGAAAGCGGATGCAGAGGCGCCGCTATCGATTCCACAATTGGCCATCGCAGCGGCGGGAGCGGGGGCGACGACGAGCCTCGTGCTGACGCCCATTGAGTTGATCAAGTGCAAGATGCAGGTGCAGATGATTACGCGTGCGGCAAACCCCTCGCCGGCTGCAGGTGCTTCGGCAGCCCCCATTGCTGGGCAGCTGCAGCAATCGCGCTCGATGCACACCAGTGCCGTGCGGGCAGCAGCGAGCGCGCAGACGTTCAAGTCCCTCGATGGGCCTTTGACGCTATTGCGCCGGACGGTAGCGACAGACGGCATCCGCGGGTTGTGGCTGGGCCAGACGGGCACGCTGCTGCGCGAAACAGGCGGCGGTGTAGCATGGTTCCTCGCCTTCGAATCCGCCTCGCGCTACCTCATCTCTCGCAAGAAAACGCTCCTCAACCGCACCGATGTGACCAAGAAGGACCTCTCCGCTCTCGAACTCGTCGGTGCCGGCGCACTGGCAGGCGTGTCCTACAACGTCGTCCTCTTCCCCGCCGACAGTGTCAAGAGTACGATGCAGACGGAGCGCGAGATGCTCTCCTCCCAAACGGGGGGCAAGTGGAAGGGCACGGGCTTCCTAGGTACCTTCCAAAAGATCTACCGCACGAGGGGAATCAAGGGTCTCTACGCGGGGTGCGGCGTCACCTGCCTCCGAAGCGCCCCCAGCAGCGCCATCATCTTTTTGCTCTACAACAAGCTCGAGAAGCTCAGCGACGAGTATGGGCTCTAGTCAAGGAATAGAAATGCATAGATTGTATACCAAATGGCGAGAGAGGGGTGTGAAATGTGTGATGTGAAGGTCAGTCGTCGAGGTCGAAGCTGAGTCCTTTGCCGGAGCGTTTGATGTCGCGCCTTGCCTTGGCGGTTTTTTCTGCCTTTCGTTGTTCTTTGGTCTTTTCCTTTGCCGGTTTTGATTGTGTGGATGAGCGTTCGGTGCGGATGAGCTGCTTGACGTCGTTGAGATTGCTGCTCTTGTCCTTACCCGCGACATCCGTGGAGCTGTCTAGGAGGTGTGTGATCGAGGCTTCTGGACGCATCCCTGTGTCGTCGGCGGCTATCGGAGCGCGTCGCTTTTTCGTGGCGATGGATGCACCGGCTATGCTCTGACTCCTACTGTCTGTCGAATCGGTGTAATCCGTTGAATCGCTCCGAGAGGTCGCTGCTCGCCGCGCAGCCGTCGCCTCCTCCCTCGACAGCCCGTCGTCCAACACCACCACCTGCGCCCCATCGAATTCATCCTCGCCATCCGGCTCCCCATCATCGTCAGCCTTGCGCTTGCCAGAAGAGGTGCTCGAGACGAGGCTCTCGAGCTCGTCTTTTGGGCGATTGGAGGAGAACGCTTGACGAGTGGGGATTTGTGCTTGCAGCGCACGCAGGAATGCCGGCTGCGGTGGCGCGTGATACTCCAGTGAGCGGGAGGCTGGTGTCCCTTTGCGTGACATGCTGGTGAGAAGGGCGGGAGGAGAGCGTTGGGAGAAGAGGTGGTGGTAGGGAAGGAAGGCAATGGTGGTGAACGCGGGACGAGAAGGATTGGACCCTGAATTGGGAGATCATGTTCTGCAGGGTGGAAAGGCCGCGGAAGTCGCTGTTCAGGGTGCATTTGCTCAGCGCTCCTGTCTCCATCACCACCATCACTTCTCTGTCCCCCATCCCACACGCCTCGCATGCGTCTGACTCGACCATAGACCGCACTCCACGGTGCGAATCTCATCCCGGCTGCTTCGCCACGATGATCAACGACTCGTCCACCTGGGCGAGTGGCAACACCACCTCTGCCATCCCCGACGCCGCCCACCTCACCGCCCTCCTCACAACCCGTGCAGCGCTCCCCCTATACCTCATCCTCTTTCTCTATATCCTCTCTCACATCCCGTCCTTCCTCGACCGCTTCGCAGCCACACCATCACCGTCCACCTCGGCGTTCGTCATCCCGGCCCTCACCCGGCACGCGCGCTTCCTCCCCACTCCCTCAGCCCACGCGTTCAAGTACAACACCCTCTACCTCGCCGTCCGACTCGATGCGCTCGAATCGCGTCGACTCGACACGCCCGCCTTCGCATGGAAGGGCAACCTGCTTCAGCCCGAGTACGTCGACACTGCGGCGCTGGCGGGCGAGCGGAATGTGACCCCCGTCGGCAAGGCTGTAGCCGACGGAGGGGAGGGGTGGAAAGCGAAGATGCGTGCGGCGGAGCGAGTGGAGCGACGGCGATTGGAGGAGAAGCGGACGAGGAATGAGAGGGTACGCCGGAGTCTCACCGGTTTGCATCCTAGATCGTATCTCCGGACCAATTTACCAGGAGAGAAAGGGAACTGGGTCAAGGGGTCGATCCTGCTCAAGCTGGCGTACGAGCTGCGCGAACGCGGGCTGATGAACACCGGACCGCAGGATGCAGACACCACGAAGGACTGGAGGGACGAATTGGGCCATGTGTGGACGGTTACCATGCCTTCGGTGGCGGGAGTGACGGGGATCAATCCTCTCACGGTGCACTACTGCTTCCGCCCGCACAGCTTCCCTGCCAAATCCACCCAGGCCAAGGGTGAGCAAGACAAGCGCGGCGTGTTCTGGCTCGTCGTCCTCGAAGTGCACAACACCTTTTCCGAGCGACACATCTACGTCCTTCGATCTGGCGTCGATGAGGACTTGCCGCGCCGCGAGGGGTACGCTCACCAATGGACGTTTCCTCGCTCGTTCCACGTGTCGCCGTTCAACGATCGAGGTGGGTTCTATCGCCTTTTCCTGCGACATCCGCTACCCACTTCCTCGTCATCGTTCGACTTGGGCATTCGGTTGCTGCTGCTGGTCGAATCCGATTCGACGCCGCCAAAGTTGGAAAAGAAGCTCATGGCGACACTCGATTCCCTCCCGCCATCCAAAAATGGACGGTCCGTACGCCCGCTCTCCCCCGCCACACTCACCGCCGCACTCCTGCGTCAACCGCTGGACCTGTTCCTCACATTCATCCGCATCCTCTGGCAAGCGGGCAAGCTGCATTTCGCCAAAAAGCTCGATGCGTTCGGTCGACCGGACATGGTCCAGCCCACGGAAGTCGCGGGCAAATGGGACGGGGTAGGACTTCCACCCCCCCTCAATCGGATTCAGGCTCATCGTGCGGAGGGGAAGGCTGCGGTGGGTGGGGGACTGGTCTACCCCGAAGCGGGGTGGGGCGAGCGTGTGGCCAAGGACCACGTGCGCACTCTGTTGGAGAAGAGGGTTCGAGAGACAGAAGGATGGAGGGTGAAGATCCATTCGACCGATCCGGCGGATGAAGGGTTGGACGTGGGGTTGGGGCCAAAGGAGTTGGTGCTCTACACGAGGTCCTTCGGGGTGTATGTGGATCTCATGACGTATCAACCGCGATTGGCGTTGCTGTTGGGAAGCAGGGTTGGGCGACGGTGGGGCGTGAACTCTGTCGAGTTGTTCAACGAGTTCTTCGCCAACCCTGCATCGCAGACAGGGGTGCGGAAGAGACATCTCGATTTTTTGCTCGCCTCTGCAGACCGACCGGACGCGCTACAGACGCTGCAAAAGATCGGCATAGACCTGGTGGCCCCGAAAAAGGAAGGGGAGAAGGAGGGTTGGAAGGTGACCACGGCGCTCTGGATGGGGTACGCTGCGGCGGTGGCGGAGAAGAAGCTCTTCGCAGCGTTGGGTGCGAGGTACGTCAAGGGCACGGAGCCGTGGTTGGAGCTGCAACGCGGGTTGGACTGGATCGAGGCAGACGAAAGGGAGGAAGAGGCTGAGAAGGACGCGAAGGAACAAGACGGGGCGATGTGGGACACTCGCTTGGGCAGCGTGTACAATCCTTGACCTCGAACCACCTCGGACAATATCACTGGATCTCAACTGGACGAAGCGCGTGCGTCAGGCTCGTGTGCGTTCGGGTCTTTGCGCCCGTGCTGCGCGTGTTCATTGCCGAAGGCTGTTGGGCGGACAGGACCGTTTCGCGCGAGGTTGGGAAGATGAGATATGCTGCGAATGCGAAGGGTACGATTTCTGAAGATGCTACAATGTTGTCACCTCTTCAACCTGACTCGGTAAAGAGAGCGGGGAAAGCGGATGAGATCTGTACGACGTTCTCGACGAGTGCCAAGTCTGGTTCATCAGGAGCAATACCTTCAATCAGCTTGTTGTCCGCACCGTCTACCACATCAAAGTGGGAACTTACCGACGCCGTCACCGCAATCGACAGTGGTGAACTCCCTAATCAGATTGCCGTCCATGCCGCTGCCACCGTCGCTCACTTTGCCGGTGACCTCGACGAAGCTGCTGCCGCTGATATCCGAATCGGGTGTGAGCGCCACTTCGACCGTGCCGTGGTCCGACGCCTGCATGATGAGCGTGTTGCCCGTAATTTTCTGGACTTTGCCGACGATGCGCACCGTCTGACCGGCGTACTGGTTAATCATGGACGAGTTGATCAGCGGAGTTGGCTTGTCCATTGTTGCGATGATAAGTGCGAGGTGGTGGTGGAGAAATGCAGGGATGGTGGTTGCGGAAGGATGGCTGAGTCGAGCGAAGGTTGAGCGCAAAAGTGTTGGTTTCGCAGGGCGCGCGTCCTAGGTGTTACGCGTAAATGACGCCCGATCTGGATGGTCCGACAGATCGGGTAGCGGCGAGCTCTAAATCTTCGCAAGGACCAACACCTCGGACCCTTGCGAAACACTCACTCCTCCTTCACCATCCACAGCCGCAGAAGAGGAAGCGCAAGATCAGCGACGACGCGGACAACGATGCAGCGCTCACTGGCTGGAAGTGTGCTGCTTCCGTTGGCGCGGACAGCGCGAGCAGGACCGAGTATGAGGTCTATCGTATCTTCTTCTGCGCTGGGACATGCATATCCACGCAGCTGCGGCGAGAGCAAGAGCAGCCTTGGCCAACCGCAAACACGATCACCAGCGAACAACGTGGAAAATCGCACCAGGCTGGTGTCGGATCATAGTTCTTTCTCTTCCCGCTCGATATGTCGATATGTGGACGGTCTCAAGGACAAGTCTCGGTCGAGCGGCGTCCAGACTGAGTACGAGGCCGAGGCGCAGGCCAGCGACGCAGGTGCGCAGCTCAAGGAGTCGGAGGGAAGCTCACGGAGCTCAGAGCACGACATGGATCATGCGAAATCACCAGAAGAGGCATCAATAGCGGATCATAATCGCACGACAACCACTCCACCCTCCCCAGACGCAAGCACTCCCTCTCGCAGCGACTCCCAACGAGACCTTCTCGCCCGCCTTCGCAGCGCCACCGCGTCCCTCCCCTCCTTCAACGGAAGCACCTCCCAGAAGTCTCTCACCGACGCGCTCGCTACGGCCACCGCGCACACGCACACGCTCCTCGCCCGCCTACGCACCAAACTCACCCACCTCTCTACGCAGTACAACACGCATACGGGCTACGCAGCGATCGAAGGGCTCAAAACGCGCATTGACGAGCTCGAGTCGTCCCTCTCCTCGGCCCGCTCTCTCGCGTCCACCGCCAAGCGGACCTATCTGATCGCCGTGCAGTCGCGCAGCGCCAGTCAGCGCGAAACGAACGATCTGCTCTCGCGCAAGTCGTCCTGGTCCGAATCGGATCTGGGACGATACACCGAGTTGCTGCGCAAGGAACACGCACTGAGCCGCGAGGAGGCAGAGGCGGAAAAGGTGTTGGAGAAGTCCGAGGCCCAGGTCCAAGCGAGCTTCGATGAGTTGATGAAGGCGGTAATGGTCAGGTACCACGAGGAGCAGATTTGGTCGGATAGGATGAGAGGCATGAGCACGTACGGCAGTCTGGTGGTTGCCGGACTCAATGCGGTGCTTTTCGTGGTGGCGATCCTGTTGGTTGAGCCCTATAAGAGGAGGAGGTTGGCAGAGACTTTCGAGACCCGATTGGTGAGCGCGGAGGAGCAGAGTCGGGAGCTGATCCTGGCTAGTGTGGAGCAGTTTCAGCGGTCATTGGATGCGTTGGCCGCGACGAGGACAGAGTCGGAAGTCCAGCCAGCATCACCACCGTTCATACCACCGCAGGTGGTCGAGCTGCGAGAGGCGGAGGAAGAGCCGGTCGTGGCCGTCGAGGACGTCCCGGCACCGGCCTTGTCTCAGCGAGTCGCGCGGCAAGAGGAAGAACGCCTCGTCTTTGCTTCCACTGTTGGTGTGGTCGTTGGTGCAGCACTATCGCTTCTCATCAGCGCATGCTGGACATAGAAATCACGATCATCGATCGCAACATCGCAAGCAGTCTGGAAGGGCCCGAAGGTCTGAAGAAGAATGGACATTGCGAGAAACGAGATGGGGATGGACAGAATGTGCAATACGAAGCCACGGGAACAGAGGGGAAGATCTAGAAGGGGAGCGATGCATATCAGAAAATGACATCTTCGTCCTTGCCGCCTGAGAGCATGTCCTTGCTGCGCTCGTCGTCTGCACCCCCTTCGCTGGCCTCCTGCATCTTGTACTGCCCATCGTCGTCTTCCTCTTCATCGTCATCGTCCTTCTTTTTCCTCCTGCCCTCATCATCACCACCCTCCTCGTCCTCCTCTTCATCGTCATCATCCTTCTTCTTTTCCTTCTGTCGATCCGCAGCCTCGGCCTTGTCCTTCTTCTTGGCCTGCACCTTCTTCAACCGGAAAAACTCCTCCCTATCCGCCTCGTCCAGCTCGGAGACGATGTAGCTGATGGTATTCTCCAGTCTTGGAATGATGACGTGTTCGATAGCGTTGACTCTCCTGTTGGTCATCCTGATGACCTCGTCCAGAATCACGAATGCGGTCTGCAAGCTCGCCAGCTCGACCAAGACCTTGAGCGCCTGAGTGTACATCTCTCGTGCCTTGTTCACCTGCTGACCACCTCTGCTGAGACCGGTGAGGGCAAACTCGCCACCACTTCCCTGATTTCCGTTGCTCTTCTCCTTGATATCCGCCTCGAAGGCAGGCAATATCACACCGCTCACATTCTCCTGCTTGGCGCGCACCTTGAAGCTCGCCGACTTGACACTCTCCTGCACGATGTACCCAATGTCGCCCGTCGCATACTGCACCTCGGCCAGACTGAACGACGCCTGCTGCATCACCTTGCCCATCTTCCGCTTGGCCTCGTCGATCTTGTGCGTGATGGTGCGGAAACGTTTGGTGAGCGCATCGGCCTTCTTTTTGAGCAGAGAGTGACCGGTCTGGGCGCCCTTGAGCCGGGTTTTGGCGGAACCGAGCGCTTGACGTGTCGGGAAGACGGATTCGCGCTGACCTTTGCCGGAGGACATGTTGGGCGTTCACCGTGCTAGGCAGATGGATGTGTATGCGTCGAGTGTGGTGCAGAGATGCCTGGAGGGATTGCGATGAGGGTCGGTGGTGGAGGCAAGTGATACGAAGCCCCTGTGAGCTCGAGATCGGCAAAGCGTGACGAATTTGCTCCAATCTGAGCTTGGACCATGCGCTCTTGGCGAGAGGAGCTTAACAAGCCGATATTCAAAATTGAGAGGAAGCCCGATTGGAATCTCGAGTCGCGGTGGGGAACGCGCCCTTTTCGAGAGGAAGCCGATTTGGTGCCTTTCTTCTTCCCCACGTCCAACACCCTTCTCGGCTCCACAGCGCTCGCATTCGTTCTCCCAATCCTCGTCGAGCTCTTCACAGTCATCTACCATCACGCTCGTCACGCTCGTTTGTATCAACACGTTCAAAGGTGCACCGCTCAGCGCTCCTTCCAACGGACCGGACCGCATAGCCATTTCAGCCGATTAGACCCTGCAGCTGTGCTCCCACATGCAGTCTTTCGTTGGCCAGCTCAGACAAGGTCGCTGAGTCCTACCATCTCCGCCCGACACACACTTCACAAGCGGGCCCCTTGCCGCTTGATCACATTCTAAAATGGACGACGACATAGAAATGGACGACGACCAGGAGCAGGAGCAGGAGCTCGAGCCGGAGTACGACGACGACGACGTGGACCAGGACGACGCCTCTGACGACATGGACGGTTCGGACCCTGATGCCGATGACGACGAAGACGACGATGCTTCCGAAGCAGCCTCTGCCTCTGCGGCCTCTGCCTCCGCTTCACCCTCCCGCTCCGGTCGCGATGAAGCCCTCTCCTCGGCCACCTTCCTCCGAAAAGTTCACGAGCGCCGCTCGCTCTTCCGTCCACCCCCCACCTACATCGCCACCACCCTCGGCTATCAAATTGAACCCCTCGCCGCAGCACCCCACTCCACCCACATCCACGCTACCGCCCTCTCATTGGACAGCACAACCCTCCTCACCGCAGGCGCAGACGCCTACGTCCGCAAATACGACCTCCACTCCACCATGAACGGCAAATCCATGCTCACCCAAAACGTCCGTCACGGCTTCGTAGAGGGCATCACCCGCGGCGGCACTCTCACCGCCTTTTGGGCCCACGAAGAACACTTGCCCACCTCAAGCTCAGCGTTGGGTTTGACCCCACAGGGGGGAGCGGAAAAGGACCGCCTCGTGGGCGTCGTACACAGTCTGGCGATTCAACAGGACGCCCTGTGGGGACTGAGCGGGTCAGAAAGTGGAAATGTGCATTTGTATGGTGTACGGCATGATCCGGGGGTAACGAGGCATGTGTTCAGGAAACATAAAGGGCCGGTTTCGGCGCTGGCGGTGATGCAGGATGACGCGGGGATGGTCAGCGGTGGGTGGGACCGAGGTGTGCATCAGTGGGATTTGAATACGGGACAGGTGGTGAGGAGCTTTCCGGGATTCGCAGGGCAGATTTCGAGTCTGGCGTTTAGGCCGCATTCGGATTGGGAGGGGAGGTTGGGAGATGGGGTCAATGTTGCGATCCATCCGGAGGCCGCGGGAGGCGAGGTGGATGAGGATGAGGAGGATAAGGCGAGGAACGAAGACGTTGCCGAGAAAGGCGACATGGAGGACCAGGAGGGCGAGAAGCTCGCGAACGGCGATGCAGAGGAGGAGCAGCCGACGATAAAGGAGGAGGCACAGGAGGACGACTCGGAAGCGCCAATAGCGGCGTCAACGAGCAAGGACGCTGCGAATGGAGCGTCACCAAATGGCGTCTCAGCTTCGACCGAGCAGACGGCCGTGTCAGCTGCGACACCGTCAGATGGCAAGGAGATGGACGCAGCCCGCAGCGACAAGACGGGCAGCAACGGTGCTGCAACCGACAAGGACGCTCCATCGCCTACATCCGCAACCGGCAAGGTGGACGACGAGAAGGACGCTGCAGACACGCCGACGAAGCAATCTTCGACAACTCTCGGCAGCACCACCATCGCTGGTGACGACCCTACAGACGAAGAGCTGGCCTTCGAAGCCGAGCTCAACGCCAGTCTGGGCATGGCGTTGGACGGTAGTGGCGGTGCCATCAAGGCGGATGGGACACGACCGGACAGCGTCACTGCAGGAGCGAGCGGTACAACTGCGGGAGGATTGATGGTTGCCGGTGCCGATCTTGACCATGATGGTGATGACGATGACCTCTTCGGTGGGGACACGCCTCCTGCTTCGTCTACGTCCGCAGTCAAGGACAAGGATGCGAATGCAGGGAAGAGCGAGCCGAACGGAGCGGGTGGCAACGACAGCGATGGCGACGATTCGCTATTCGGTGATGGAGATGAGGACGGAGACGGCGACGCGGATGCGGATGGAGATGCCGAGATGGATGCGGATGGCGATGCTGAGGCGGACGCAGATGGTGATGAGGACGATGACAAGGACGAGAACTCGTCGGATGAGGATATGCCTCTTGCAGGGCGAACGATGGCCAAGAACCCTTCTTCGCAGAGCACCCTCGTTGCTCAGGGTACAGCGTCTCCCGCGCTCTCTTCGGCGCCGATGGTACCTTCGGCGTCGGCAACGACCGATACTCCTCTCGCTGCAGCGGCTGCCAAGGACATCAAACCCGATGTCCAGTCCTCTCCATCCAAACCCAGCAGCCCACCCAAGAAGGCACTCCCCAAACCAGCCTTCGGCGGCTTCAGCATTGCCTCGTCGTTCGACGCACCCCTGTCGACCTTCAGCAAAGACGTGATGCTGACCACCTCGCTCTCCGGCCAAGTAATCCTGTGGGACCTTCGTTGTCCCACCTACACCTCACCGGACGGTCCGGCTAAAGGTGTCCACTCCCTCGCCCTCCCCAGCAAGGTCCCGCCATGGTGCCAGCAGGCCATCTTCAATTCGACCGGCGACAGGGTCTTTGTCGGACGCAAGAACGAGTCGGTCGATGAGTGGGATCTCCGTATGCCCTCTGCAGCGAGGTATGTGCGTTCGCTGCGACTGCCAACCGGCTCGGGCCCTGTATACTCGTTGGCTGCGATGCCGAACAGGCGCCACATAATCACCGGTAGCTACGACAACATCCGGCTGTGGGATACCGAGTTTGCACCTGGGCCAGGGGCGGCGGGCGAGTTGAAGGTGCCGTTCAAGATTGTTGCAGGGCATCACGGTGCCAGCTTGTCGTCGGTGCTGGTGGATGCGAGTTGCAAGTTTTTGATATCGGCGTCGGGAGATAGAGGTTGGATGGGATCAAGCACGGAGGCCGTTATCATCCACGATATCAAGGCGCTCATTTAGCGCCCCGAACGCAATCTACGGGCTTGCAGCATGGGAAGAGATCCTTCGTGTAAGAGCGTGACTCGATCGTGATGCGTGCTTCGTGCCTTCGAGAAAGAGATGAGAAGCGATTCGCGCAGCCGTGTCCACCCGAAGGACCGTATGCCCAGGCTGATCTAATCGACCGGCTGCACGGTAGCTTCGGCAGCATCCTCAGCCACGAAGATGGCGGACACTTCCTTGGCGCTCGCAAATTTGCAGTTGTTTGGAACATAGGCGTCAAGTACCAGGAGCAGATCGCCGGCCTTTAGTCCCGGCAGAGGGGTCCCGATCTCGAGGTACGTGTCCGCAGCGGGAAACACAAAGACCGAAAAGGCCTTATCACTGCCTCTGGGGTCCACGATTCTGACCCGCCAGTAGCGCTCCTTCGAGCGAGGACGCTGCCTGGACACGGTGAGGTCTCCGACCCAGTCTACCATGCCATAGATGTTGATGAAGAGGCGTCGTGTAGTGCGATCTCTTTGCGCTGTGATGAATGGAAGAGGGCAAAGCGCAGCTTGCGAGGGCGCCTGCAGGACGGGATTGGAGCTGTCGCCGCGTCCCTTGAACATGCGCCAGGGACCGATGATTTTGTGCATCGTTGCGGGCACACCAGTCTGTGGAGGCGCGGCATGGGCTACCATCGTCATGCGTTCGGCGTCTTGAGAGATTCTGGGCCTTTTTTCTGAGCGAGGCGACCCATCCGTGCTCCCAGCCTCGGGCGGCGCTGCAAGGAGCTGCTGGAGTTCTCCGACCGTCTCAGCCATGCTCTGAGTTTCTGCCAGTATGATCTCGTCGTTACGATCGGCCTCGGCTTTCTGCTGCTTGTCCTGCGGTGTCGTCGCATCGTCTACATCGTCTCCACCGTCTGCATTCCCATGGTCATACGATGTTTCTTCCTCGTCAACCTCGCTTTCCTCCTCCTCCCTCTTGCTGCCCTCGTTGTCATTTTCGCTGCCATTCTTCACCACAGGACGAACAGACGAAGCGTCGTTCTCGTTGTCCGAGTCTTCGTCATCTTGAGCGGAGCTTTGAGCTGCCACGCCGGGGCTGTCTCCATCTTCGGATCCGTCTTCGTTGAGCTCGTGCTTAGCATCGACGTGGCTTTTATCCTCGGCCTCGTCATTGCCGGGATACGTTTGCGTCTTGAAGTATGGCAGGCCTCGGATCCTGTGCATCATTGCTGGGACCTTCTTCGTGGGCACTTTGTAGACGGCTGAGATCCACATGTGGTCTCGGTCTGCAGCCGTGTGAGTCCTTTCGTCGGCGGCGCTGAGGGGCTGCATAGCATGATAATGCGGCAGGTTTCTGATATGACGGACCGTTAGGTTGATCTTGCCACCGCTGAGCGGCACAAGGCAGTTACCGGCGACGTAGGTGAATTCGCTCATGGTGTGGTGTTCGATGTCGTAATGAGATTGCGGCGGTGTACAATGCGTCCACGGGGAGATGGTATCGTCCAGTGGAGTGATGATGTGGGTCCTGAATCGGAGGCAATGGCCGGCGGAGGCGAGTGCACTCTAATATGCGGGTGCGTGTAGCGATGTGGCTGGCTGATGGAGGAGGAGGGATGGAAGGGGGGAAAGGCAGAGAGGGCCTGTTTATATGCTTGTGGTTGGCTCGACAAGACGCTGTTCCGCACCTGCTCAGCTTCAGCGTTCCGCACCATGTGATTACAGAGAAGGCATACAGTATCACAGTAATGATGAAGGAGAAACTCAGCACCGCGAGCGTCGTCACAAATCACACACTCGGTCAAGGTTAAGGTTAAGATCAAGATTGGTGTGGGCAATGAGATGCGAAAGTGATTACAGAGTCGTGTGATGTGACTGACAAAAAGTGGTGTGTGAATCTTGACTGTGTGACTGAGTGCGAACTATCTGGTTGAGTGCGGGTGATGGTAGTGAACCATACGAAGAAGCTTCGGCATCGACATCAATCCTCCACGATGTCGCTCTTCTTCGGCTTGAGACCATCCTTGCTGCGGATCTCCTTGCCCTGCGCATGGATCTCCTTGACACCCTCATCCCGCAAAATGCCCAAGCCCGTCTCTGCCTGCGCAAGCTCGAGCACATCGTCAAGCGGCACCAGACCATCGTGATCCACATCAAGCTTATCAACAATCTTCTCGATGACCTCGTCCTCCGGCTTGTGCTTGATGAGACGCAGCGCTTGCTCGAGGTCGTCGACCGAGATCTTGCCCGTCTGTGAAGTTTCGATGAGGTTCATGCGGGAGCCGACGTCGCGGTCGTACTCTTCGAGCTGCGTGTCGATCTTTTGGAGCATCGACTTGATGCGCTTGGTCATACTGCGTGTGGAGGAGGAGCTGGACGAAGACGTGCTCGCTTCGGACTTCTCGGCCTCGGGCTCCGAAGGCTTCTTGTCGGTGGACGGCGAAGGGGCGGCAGCGGCGGTGCCTTCCTCCGTCTTGGGAGCCTCGGAGCTGCTGACCTCCTTTATGAGCTGCCTGAGCTCCTCACGCTCCTTGAGCACGGACGACTTGGCGCTGAGAATGCTGAGCGCCTCGCCGAGCTCGGTGAGCTGCTCGTTGGTCATGCGAGCATCCTCGACGGCGGGATCGGTCTCCTTCTTGGGCAGCAGCGATCGAGCCTCCTCCTCCTCGCGGGCGAGTCTCGCCTTCTCGGCGTTGCGCTTCTCCTTGTCCGCTTCACGTGCAGCAGCCTCTTCCTGCTCCTGCTCTGCTTCGTCCTCGATGAGCTCTTCCTGCTGTTGGAGCACTTCGAGACGCTGCTTGTTGGTGGCGCCTTCGCTGTTGACGCTGAGCTCGGCCTCGTTGACGAGGTTGTCGGGCAGGCTGCTGAGCGTCAATTCGAGGCTGCGCAGGTGCGATTGAGCGTTGACGTCGTTGTTGCCGGCGGCCACGTAGTTGAAGGCCTTGCTGAGCACCAAAAGGGTACCGCTGATCCTGTTGCGGACGTGCAGGTCGATCCACTGTTGCAGCTCCTGGCGCAAGCGATCCTCGGAAAGGTTGGTGGTCTGGATGCCTCGGTTCTGGCAGGCGCTGACGAGCTCGGACTGCGACATGTTGTCGACGCCTTCATGACCAATGACGATATCGTCCTGGCGGATGCGGTTGAGCTTGTGTCGGATCTGGTAGCGGAGGTAGTTGTCGGTACCGAAGGCGTTGATCTGCATGTAGCGGCAAACGCTGACCAGCTGAGGACGGGTGAGGTTGTCGAGCGTGAGGTCGTCCTCGAAGAGCTGGGCCACCTTGATGATGTCTTCGTTGCTGGGCGACTCGCCAGTGGAACGCACTTTACGGAAGAACTCCTTGAACTCTTCCGAGGTCTTGACCTTGTCGGTCGCCTGAAGACCGCCCTCCTTGATGGTCTCTTGCAAGAATTTGGCCATCTCGAGACGCACCTTGATGAGACCTCTGCGCTTCTCTTCGACGGAGAACTTGCTCTCGAAGGTGCTGGGAAGCATGTTGGGGAAGATCTTGATAGCCACAGGCAGCAAGAGCTCACCGGCAGGGATGATGATGAAGGGCACAAAAGGAATGAGACGGAGCAAGTCCGCAAAGGTGCGCTTGAGCTGGCGCTTCTCTCTTCGAGTCAGGCTGTATCCCAGCATAAGTCTTCGCAGTAGACGCCATGAGATTTTGACTTCCTTGGCGAGAAGCTTGGAGCCGTGCCAGTAGTGAAGCGCCTCTTCCTTGACCTTGGCCCAGACGCGTGTAGAGAGGGGGACCTTTGGCTTTTGCGCTTCGAGCTCCTTCTCCTTGGCCTTTTGCTCTGCGAGCATGGTCTGAGAAGCAGATGTCTGATTGGCAGGCGAGCCGAGCTCGGCTGCTGTGTTGCTCGAGGCAGGAAGCGGGCTGATAATGACAGGAGCCTTAGGAGGAGCCCCTGCGGACTGTCCCTGGTAAGCTGGGGAGGTGGCTGACCTGCCATCTTTGGATGATGTGCCGGGAGGAGGGTAGGTGTGGTTGTCAGATGACGAAGAAGTGGAGCGCTGATTGGTCTCCGTGGACTGGTGGCGAACGAAGCGGCGTTGGACGAGCGCTTGCGTCTCCCCAACCTTTCGTCTTTGGTGGTAGTGCTTGGTGACGGCGGTGGAGAAGGCCGCAGAGGCGGGAGGTCTCAGACCGGGAGCGAAGATCTGGAGAACATCGACCTGGCTGTTGGGACGCAAAGCGGGTCTGGTGCGAGCGGCTGCGGCGAGGGAGCCACTAGCCCAAGCCAAGCTCTTTGAAGCCAAATACGAGGAGCTGGAAGCCGCCATCTTGCTTCGAAGCGCTTGGTAGCGAGGGTGGACGCGGAAGAATTCGAGCCCGTTTGGAGGGAGCGTCAAGTGAATGAGACCCTGTGATCGAAGGACGCGACGGAACCAGTCTTGCTTCTTTGTGAGAGTAACTGACGATGAATACGAGGGATGGAGGAGGTGGCTTGGATGATAGCGGGTGCGGAAAAGGAAGTGTGACAGGTGTGAAGGAGGGCAACAGGGTTCAGGGGAAGGGCGACCTTCTGACTGCGCACGGCACGGAAGAACGAGGAAATGCTGGCGCAGCGAGGTGGAGAAACCCGGCAAGAGGCCACCCAACACACCAACACGCTCTCACAGACTCGCTCCACGGCCCTGCGCTTCCGGTCTTGGTCAGGGCGAGCGAGAGCAAAAGGGCCCCCAATCCGACTGCGCCGGATTTTGCGAGGATTCCAGAAGATTTTCGGAACGCTCTTCGCCTTTTTTCAAGCTCAGCTGGACACCCTTCCACTGTCAAACATTGGACCTCACCCGCTTCCAGTGCGAGCAATGTAAGTATCTACCCACCTGCCGGAATGATCAGCGACGTTGCGTGATGTTCGATAAAGTGATCTCGAACGAGGATTGAGACGGCGGGCCGGTAAGGGCAGTCGAAACGATAGGATGCGGGTGTGCGTGGCGGCACGCCTGCGCCGGAGAGGAACGTGCTCCCGTATTTCTCGTCCGAAACAAAAAACCCAGTTTGTGTTAGGCTCTGTTGTGCAACAAAGAAGTGACTTTTGCCGAGTGTTGGTGTGGAGGACCCTAACCCTAGATGGCCTTCTTCCACCTCGAGGCGTCCTAATGATCAACTTCTCCTTCGCAGCAAGGATAGACGAACAAGGTCTCGACGCATGCTAGCGAGAAGAGCTCTGCAGTCGCTGAAGCTCAGAACAGCACCTGCGGTCTCATCCCGCACCATGTCCGCGACGGCCCAATACATCGACATCGGCGTCAACCTCACCGATCCCGTCTTTCGCGGCTCGTATCACGGCAAGCAGGCGCATCAAGATGACTTTTCCATCGTCCACTCTCGCGCTATCAAGGCCGGAGTAGTCGCACAAATCCTCACGGGTGGCAATCTAGCTGAGTCACAGGAAGCGCTCTCGCTCGCCAAGGCACACGATGGGTTCTATTCCACCGCGGGGTGTCATCCTACGAGGACGTCCGAGATGGAGTCGTACGAAGACGGAGCGGAAGCGTATCTGGGCAAGATCAAGGAGCTGATTCTCGAGTCAAGAAGAGATGGAGGAAAGGTGGTGGCGGTGGGAGAGTGCGGTCTGGACTACGACCGATTGCATTTCGCGCCGGCCGATGTGCAAAAGAAGCACTTTGCGACGCAATTGGAGCTGGCAGCCGAGGTCAAGTTGCCGTTGTTCCTTCACTCAAGAGCAGCACATCGTGACTTTGTCGAGATTATTAAGCCCAGGATTGACGAGATCCACACGGCGTTGTCGAGCGACGGGAGGGAGCCGCACACGGACGATGCTGAGGCAAAGCGAGTCGGCGTTGTCCACAGCTTCACGGGAACGATCGATGAGGTCAAAGAGTTGCTCGAGCTAGGCCTATTCATCGGAATCAACGGCTGCTCTCTCAAGACGCAAGAGAACCTCGATGTTCTACCACACATCCCACTGAGCAGGCTGATGCTCGAGACCGACGCACCATGGTGCGATCCTCGCTCGACCCACGCTTCCCATTCGCACATCCAGGCGTTCAAGCAGGCCAATCCCGCTTTGCACGCCCGCTACCAGCCGGCGTCGGTCAAGAAGGAAAAGTGGAATCCAGACGCCATGGTCAAAGGGCGTAACGAGCCTTGCAGTATCGGTCTAGTAGCAGCCACCGTCGCCAGCGTCAAAGGCGTTTCCATCGAACAAGTAGCCGAAGCGGCCATGTACAATACCCGCTGGCTCTTCAACTTGACGCATTTCTCGTAGTGCCGACGGAGCGCGATTGTTGCACCCCCGGCAGCAGATGTTGAAGGAGGAGCAGCGGGATGCAGATGATGGCGAGAACAGCATATAATGGCAATGTTTCCGAGACACCATCTCGTGACCGAGGTGATCAGTGATGGCAAGGAGCATCTTTCGCAACGTTATATGCTGTTCTCGCCATCATCTGCATCCCGCTGCTCCTCCTTCAACATCTGCTGCCGGGGGTGCAACAATCGCGCTCCGTCGGTACTACGGGCGTGTCGGTTCTATACAAATCACGTTAGCCTGGCTCTTCAACTTAGCCTAGCAATACAGATACCATCACACAAGCGCACATAATCAGACTGGCAGCGTTGGTAAGAATGCGATAGAGCTTAAATTATTGTCCGAGAAGAATGCAGAGGGGCAAAGCAAAAGAGCGTGATAGATAGACAAGTGGGTGAAAGCGAATGTGGGGTTGTTGCCGCTTTGGTCATGAAGCGTGGGTCAACAATGGGAAAGAGGTGCGCGGACGCAGATCCGGCCAGATGAAGTGCTCCCTGCATCAAAAGCGGGGGGCAACGTGGACGTACTCCTCGGCTTACGAAGATCGTCTTACGACGAGTTGAGCTCTCCGATGACCTGCTCGTGCAATGCTTGTGTCGGCAGCATTTGAGGCGGATCGTACACCTGAAAAAGCATGGGCTTGAGTGAGCCATCGAATTGGTACAACTGGAGAGCGTAGGTACTGGCGCCAAAGTGTTCGTCCTGATGGATCACGAAGCCCTGCATGAACTCGACTTGATCGTAGGACTGGACGTAGTTGGACCTCTCTGCGCAGCGATCCGAAATCTGCTGACGGCCATCGCCCTTGAAGATGTTGAGCGTAAGCGAGTTGTTGCTGTTGAGGGTGTAGGTGCCGTGCTGCCAAATGAGCTGTGCCGAGACGCAGTTGGGCTTGGCGGGGTTGACGTTGTAGAGGTAGAGCGCTTGCTCCCAGAAGCCGTCATCGGTGAAGCTATACGACTGACCAGCAGTGGCAGGATAGATGAACGAGTTGTTGACCGGATCGTAAAAGTTGAGGCCGGTGACGACGTGGCCCGCACCTGAACTCCATGTGCCTTGCAATGATGTGACGTTGTTGGGAACGCCGATGCCGTAGGATGTCTGCTGTGCAGAGACGCCAGCGAGCACGGTGGCGGCGCCGAGTATTGTCGATAGCAATCTCAACATGGTGGCGTTGTGTGGTGTGTGGAAAAAGGTGAGTCGAAATGTGATTGTCACGACGATGATTGGAGATGCCGTACGGGGCGGGACTATGTCGCTGAGATGCGGCCGACTGCGATTGGGTGCTAGAGCCAAAGACTGATCTGGCTTGTCGCGTGCTGATGGGAAGGGGGCAGATGCGGAAGCAGGCGGAGGAGTAGCAAGGCTTGGAGGAGAGCGGAGCGAGGGTATAAAGTGAAGACGATTGATGATGATGACGGTGATGAAGGAAGGATTGCTGGCCAGGAGCGCTGTTGACCGACGCCGATGATGAGCCTGTGGGCGAGCAGAACACAGCACAGCAACATGAGAATTCATTTTTAGTCAGAGATCACGCTTGCACAGCACCCAAGAGGGGCATGCCGCTCTCAGACCAAAATCAAGTCGAGTCGAACTTCAGGGCGCGTGTGCCGCCGCCTCGCGCATGCGAGTCTAGTCCGGCGGCGTAGAGGCTGCCGCCGCCGTGTGCTTCGTGAACAAAGCAGAGCTGCCGTGTTTTGGAATTTCGTAATTCAAATTTCGGATTTGCCAAATCGCCTGCATTCAACCAATACAAAGCTAGGAGATCTTCAGGAAAAATGTTTGGCCAACCCTGCGTCAAAAGCTCGGCGAGCCCAGTCTGTCTGCAAGCTCTCGCCTTGGTCGACCGCAGGCTCAGCTGCTTTTCTCTGCCGTTGGTAGGCAATCAGTCCTCGCTGGCCTGCAATTTCGATGATCATTGTTAGACCCTTAAATCATTGTCCGTCTCATTTGCACAGTATCTTATGAGCTCCTCTCGGTGCGCAAACGGCTCGAAGCGCCTGCCATGGCACACTCACGTATGCTCTGTCTTCCTGAACCTCTGGGAGCGGCGAGGAGATATCGTGGGTCGTCGACAGCCCGTGAATGCGATGGATGGAGGAGTGAATGAGCGGATGCTTGTGAAAGACTTGTAAAGACAAAGAGGTCCTCGTCATTGCCATGATCGATGAGAGGCGGGGCGCTGCGGCCGGGCACCATGGCGGGCCGCTCAGCTAGATTCAGTACGCAGAGACAGCCAAATCGTCCTGGCGGGCACTGCCAAACCGCAATGGCAGAGCTGAATACGCAGAGTCTATCGGTCATATTTGAATTGCTGAGACTGCCAGTGTGCGGCGGCAGAGATTGCCAGAACGGGACGGCAGAGACTGCCAAGTCACAATGGCGGGGACTGCCAACTCGCTCACGCAGGTACAGCCAAATCGCGTTAGCACACACAGCCAACTCACAATGGCCGGCCCACACAAGCGACCTCGCCTTCTCACGCTGTGTCTGCCACGGTTACTTTGCGCGAGACGGACAGCCACTCAGAGCGTTATGCGGGCCCAGCCAATCGTTCCCGAGCTTGAGGCGCGCTATTTGACATCCCTTTGGCTGCGCCCCTTTGTGCAAAGGACCGCTCGGCCACCGGCCGCCAGTCAAGTTTGGCAGACACAGCCAGGCGCACACAGTCACTCAGCCAAGGCGGATTGTAGGAAATTGAACTAGAAATTGAGTCAAAGGGACAGGGAAAATTGGAAATTAACAGAAGTGAAAAAAGGAAGATGCGTCAGGCCCACCAAAATCTGGTGCTACCATTAAAGGTCCTCGAGCTCATCCTCCGAGTTGTAGGTACCGGCCTTCTTCGCCTTCGCCTTGGCAGCCCTCGCCTTTCGCTTGTCGCTCGAAGTCTCCTTCTTCACCTTCTTGGCAGCAGCGAGCTTGTTGCCCAAAGCGTCGAATTTGTCCTCGTCATCCTCCTTGGCTTCGAGCTTCGTCCCTTTCGAGTTGCTTTCGGTCCAATCGTGGCCGGAAGCGGTGAGCACACCGTCGCCCATGGCCCAAATCTCCTTGCAGGTACCCTCGGAGAACTCGCGCGAGTGGGTAATGATGGCGACACCGCCCTGGAAGGACTCGATGGCCTTGATGAGGGCGGCGAGAGACTCACGGTCCAAGAAGTTGGTGGGCTCGTCGAGGACGATGATGTGGGGTCGGCGCCAAGTGGCGGCGGCGAGGACGACCTTGACCTTCTGACCACCGGAGAGACCGCGCATGGTGTTGTGCGAGGTGAACTCACGCTCGAGACCGAAGTCCTCGAAATGGTTCTCGATCTCCTTTCGGACGAGGGGTCGGTTCATACCGAGACGCTGAGCCTCCTTGCTGTCGAAGGCGAGCACCTTCTTCTCAAGGCCCCTATCGATAAGGTCCTGACGGGGCACCCACTGGTTCTCGGCGGACGACATGTTCTTGAACGAGACCTCGTACTGGAAGGAGTTCTTCAACTTCTTACGGCCAACGATCTCGTCCATAATGCGCTTGACACCCTCGATGACGAAGACCTCACCCTGCTTCATCTTGGCCTTCTCCTCCTCGGTGAGTTCACGCTTGGAGGTCTTCATGTGCTCCTCCAGGTCCTCACCGGTCTGGTAACGCCAGAGCATGTAGTCGAGGGGGGTCATGTCAAGGTGCTGGTCAATGTGGTGGAAAGCGTGCTGGGCGACGTAGCCAATGACCAAGTTGGGGTGCTTCCACATCTCACCAGAGCCGGGCTCGGTGTCACCAACGACAAGCTTGACAAGGGTGGACTTGCCCGAACCGTTGGGGCCGAGAATGGCGACACGCGAGGCGAGCGAGAGCTGGATGCTGACACCCTTGAGCTGAGGAGCGGGGGTGCCGGGGTACTGGAAGATGACGTCCTTCATCTTGACAAGCGACTTCTCCTTGGTCTTGACACCATCCAGCAGGGGAGGGTCGGGCAGCTTGAACGAGTAGTCCTCGCCAGTGTTGAGCTCGGCGTAGGCACGGGCCTCGGGGACACGCTTGACGAAAGCGTCGAGGTTACCCGGATACCTCTTGATCTTGAAGCGGTTGAGGTGGAGGATGTCAGTGCAGACGTTGTTCAAGAAGCCAGAGTCGTGCGAGACGATGATGGCAGTGGCGGTCTTGAGGTTGACGAGGTAGTCAGTGATCCACTTGACGTTGACGACGTCCAAGTGGTTGGTGGGCTCGTCAAGGAGCAGAATGTCGGCCTTGAACAGGATGGCACGGGCAAGGGCGACCTTCATCTTCCAACCACCGGAGAGACCGGCGATGGGCGAGTTCTGACGGTCATCGTCGAAGCCGACCTCGTGGAGGGTCTTGACAGCCTCCTCGCGGGTCATGCTGAGACGCTCATCGGCAAGGATGAACTCGAGGACGGTGGTGAGACCCTCGGAACCGTCGAGATCGTGCTCGACGTACCAGGTGCGGACCTCCTCGGGCGAAGGGAAACCCTCGACCTGGCCGTTGGTGATGGCGCGCATGAGGGTCGACTTGCCCGAACCGTTACGACCGCAGAGACCGTACTTGTGGCCACGCTTGAGACGGAGAGTGGCGGTGTTGAGCAGAATCTTGGCACCGTAGGCGAGCGAGAACTGGCAGTTGCAAAGGTCCTCACCCTCCTCCTCGTCTTCGAAGATCTCGACAGTGTCACCAGTGGTCTTGGCGAGCGCGGTAAGGAGGCTCTTGGCGACAGCACGGGCCTGCTCGGGCTTAGCACCCTTGATGAGGGTGAGGTAGGGGACGAGGGTCGACTCCCACTCGGTGAGCTCAAAGTTGCGGGCGTTGGCAAGGTTGGCAACGAGCACGGCAAGGTAGGCCGAAAGGTTGGCCTGAGCCTGGAGGCTCTGCTCGCCGAGCGACTTGTTGACCTGCTCCTGCGTCTGCTTGACGTCAACGTCCTCGAGGGGCTTGACATCGGAGCCGTCACCGGTGACATTGCCGACCTCACGGAGGGTCTTGATGGCACGCTGAACGACACCACGGGCCTCCGGGTCAGCCATGGTAGACTCGATCTTGATCATACCGGGGAGGAGCTTGCCGAGGAAAGGTCGGACGGTGCGCTCGTTGTCGACGAGCTTGGTCATGTTGTCGGTGATAACGGCGACCTTACGCTTGGTGGCGGTGGGGCGCTCGTTGAGACCACGGGCGAGAAGGGGCACCATGAGGGCGAGGGTGGCGCTGTCGACCTCCTGGACGAAGGTGGTGGCGGACAGGAGCTGGATGGTCTTGGGGACCTCCTCGACGGGGTGAATGAGCGAGTTGATGAGGGCGGGGATGAAGCGCTCGATATCCTTGTTGGAGATGAGGGCGCAGAGCTTGGTGAGAGCGGCGCGCGAAGCCTTCTGGACATCGGTCTTGGTGTCCCAGATGACCTCGGACATGACAGGGATGATCTCGGGCATGAGGGCGGCCATGCGCTCGGGGCAAGCAACGACCATCTCCTCGAGGAGGGCGATGCAGCCAGTCTTGACCTGCCACTTGCCGGCGGTGCGAGCCTGCTCGAGAAGGACCTTGAGCACCTGGGGGGCAGCCCAGGGGGACATGACCTTGACGAAAGCCTTGAGCGACTCAAGGGAAGCCTTCTGAACGGACTTCTCCTTGTCACCCATGGCCTCGACGACGGTGTTGAGAACCTTCTCGAAGACGAAAGGCTCCACCTCGTGGCCGACACCCTGCTCGCAGAGGTTGAGGAGGAGAGTGCAGGCACCCTCACGGGCGGCGGCGTTCTTCTTGTCGGTGAGGCCCTTGAGGAGGACGGCCTCGATGCCGAGGTTGGCAAGAGCAGCGGGACCCTCAATCTTGACGAGGTTGGTGAGCTCCTGAGCGGCCTCCTTGTCGCCGGTGAGGAGAGCGTCCGACTCGGAGCTGGCCTCCTTCTTCTCGGCGGCGGTACCGCTCTTGGCGGCGGCACCAGCTGCGCCCTTGACGGCCTTGGCGGGAACGGTGGCGGGGACGCCAGCAGCGGAAGGTGCGGGAGCCATGATGGTGTGTTGAGTGATTATACGAAGACGGAAGGGGATAGGTGGCGAAGTGGCTACAAAGGATCACGGATCGCAAGTAGCAGGCACGAACACCAGAGATGGGAGTCTGTCGTCCTAAGATCGACTTTTGGTTTCTTCAGATGAAGAGGAAAGAGCGTGTTATGGCGCTCTGTGAAGGGTGGGTGATGGACAGCGCTAGCGATAGCTCTGTGATGAATGGATGATGATGCCGAAACAGGCGAAAGGGATGATGATGAGAAGGAAGGAAGTGGCTCGATCGTATCGCTTCCTTGAGCAAAAACCTGGTTGCATACGGTGGAAAATTTTTGCGTGAGAAGACAGCTGAACACGCGGAAGCTGGCACAGCTGTGTTGGACCTTCGATTGAGCACTCTGCTGACTGCTGAGCCCTTCCAAGGTGGCGAGGGATCGCGGTACGCTGACCCCTTCAGGAGCGAGGGCCGACGCCCTCCCACACAGCCAGATTTCTTCCAGAGTGACAGAAAAATTTACGTGGTTGCACAAGGCAGCCACACAAGAAGATCTGCTCGGCATCTCAGTGGCCCGTCTGCCCAGTTGCGCGCCGCTCTTCGGGACACTGGCAGAGTGCCTAATAATATTTGCTGGACCAAAATTCGAATTTTCAGGACGCCTCGTTCCTCGTAGATTTGTAGTCGGGTGAAGGCCTGACTTGCTGCGATTTTAAATGTGAAAGCACACGTTCAACAGTAAAACTGAATTCAAATCTCTGCGGAGCGCTCGCTGAGCGTTCAATATTAATAGGACTAGTCCGTCACGGTCTAACATCATCTCATCAGGACAACCAGATGAATCTCCCGATCTCTAGACCACCTCCACAACAGAGACCCTGAATGCGACTCAGCATCGATGCGGCTGTTGGTCTTGGTGAGCATCTTTCCTTACGCTGCTCCTCCGTCTCTGATCGCCACGTTCTCAGATCCAACGCCATCACTCGATAGCGTCGGCGCAGGGGACGATCAGCCAGGATGAAGTTCTACATCGACGAGCTCCCAGTGCTCTTCCCGTACCCCAAGATCTATCCGGAACAGTATGCGTACATGACCGATCTCAAGCGCACGCTCGACGCCAACGGTCACTGCGTGCTGGAGATGCCTTCAGGTACCGGTAAGACCGTCTCGCTACTCAGCCTCATCGTATCATACCAGCTCTTCCATCCAGCCAAGCGCAAGCTCATCTACTGCTCGCGTACCGTCCCAGAGATCGAAAAGGCGCTAGCAGAGTTGAAGCGCCTGATGGAGTACAGAGCGAGATACAACGTCAAGGAAGGCGAAGAGTCCGAGGTGCTCAAGAACGAAGCCGAGGGTAGTAATGGGCCTGGCGAGCATGATATCGACATGAAAGGCAGAGGCAAAGCTGGCGGTCAAATGGAAGATATCTTGGCGTTAGGACTCAGTTCACGCAAGAATCTCTGTATCCATCCCGACGTCAGCCGAGAACGAAAAGGCAAGGTCGTCGATGCCAGATGTCGAGACATGACCAGCAGCTGGGCATGCGAGAAGGGCCGCCAAGATCCCGGCAGCGTCGAGCTGTGCGACTTCCACGAAGAGCTCGGCAAGATGGAACCAGGCCAGCTCATCCCGCAAGGCGTGTGGACACTCGAGGAAGTCAAAGAGTACGCACGCGATAAGGGGATATGCCCCTACTTTGCCATCCGACGCATGATGCCCTTCGTCGATATCGTCATCTACAGCTTCCACTACCTGCTCGATCCAAAAGTCGCAGAGCAGGTCAGCAAGGAGATGAGCAAGGACGCGATCGTAGTCTTTGACGAGGCACACAACATCGACAACGTCTGCATCGAGTCACTCTCGATCGACCTCACAAGACCGATGCTCGATAGCGCATATCGAAGCATCAATCAGCTATCGGATCGGGTCGACGAAATCAAGAGAACGGACGCCTCAAAGCTACAAGACGAGTACGCGCGGCTGGTTGAAGGCTTGCAAGAGCAAGGCGAACAGAGAGAGGCGGAATCCTTCATGGCAAATCCAGTATTACCGGACGACTTGCTGCAAGAAGCGATACCGGGCAACATCCGTCGAGCCGAGCACTTTGTCGCCTTCCTGAAGCGGTTCGTCGAATACCTCAAAACACGAATGCGGGTGCTCCATGTCGTAGCAGAGACACCGCCAAGCTTCCTCCAACACTTGAAGGACATCACATACATCGAGCGCAAGCCTCTCCGCTTCTGTGCGGAGCGACTCCGAATGCTAGTCGGCACACTGGAGCTGACTCGCCTCGACGAATTCTCCGCACTGCAAAAGGTGGCCTCGTTTGCAACGCTGGTCGCGACATACGACAAGGGCTTCCTTCTCATCCTCGAGCCCTTCGAAACCGAGAACGCAACCGTGCCCAATCCCATCTTCCACTTTACCTGCCTGGACGCCAGTCTAGCCATCGCACCTGTCTTCGAGCGTTTCTCGAGCGTCATCATCACCAGTGGAACCATCAGCCCGCTCGACATGTACCCGAAGATGCTCAAGTTCGACGCCATCGTCCAAGAGTCGTATGCCATGACGCTCACCCGTCAGTGTTTCCTGCCCCTCGTCATCACAAGGGGCAGCGACCAGGTGGCCATCAGCTCGCGCTTCGAGGTGCGAAACGACCCCGCCGTGGTGCGCAATTACGGCAGTATTCTCATCGAATACGCCAAGTGTGTACCGGATGGTATCGTCGCCTTCTTCCCGTCGTACCTCTACATGGAAAGCATCGTCGCTGCGTGGCACGACATGGGTATCCTCGACGAGGTGTGGAAGTACAAGCTCATCTTCATCGAAACACCCGACGCACCGGAAACGAGCATTGCGCTGGAGAACTACCGCAGGGCGTGCGACAATGGGCGTGGCGCTATTCTGCTGTCCGTCGCGAGAGGAAAGGTCTCGGAGGGCATCGATTTCGACCACAACTACGGACGAGCTGTGATCATGTTCGGCGTACCCTATCAGTACACTGAATCACGTATCCTCAAGGCACGCTTGGAGTTCCTGCGAGACAACTTCAGGATTCGCGAAAACGACTTTCTCACCTTCGACGCTATGCGTCACGCTGCGCAGTGCGTGGGGCGTGTCTTGCGAGGTAAGACGGACTACGGTCTCATGGTGTTTGCCGACAAGCGGTTTGCTCGAGCCGACAAGCGCAACAAGCTGCCCAAGTGGATCGCGCAGTACATCAAGGAGACGCATTCGAATCTGTCGACCGACATGGCGATTGTCGAGTCGAAGCTGTTCATCCGGTCCATGGCGCAGCCGTATCCGGAGGGCAAGAACGGTGTCAGCCTGTGGGAGCTGAGCGATATCGAATCGCGGCAAGCAAAGGAGAGGGAGACGTTCGCGAAGCTCATGGGCGGCCAACTCAAGGTGGATGCCAACGGAGAGGTCATCGATAAGGACGACAGCGATTCCGACATGGACGGCGAGCGTGTTGGTAAGGAGGAGGACGACTTTGACAAGGAGTTTGGCGAGGGTCAGGATCTCGCGCAGATGAACGAACTGGACGAGGTCATGCAGGATGTCTGATCGCAAGCGCACATTTGTACAACACACACGGAGCTCACATCGATCATGCGTGACACACAGCACACACCTATGAAGGTCTGAACAAAGGCAGATGCACTTGAAGCGAAAGTCAGGTACAATAATGGGAATAGCAGCCAGCTGCTGACCTCAGAAGTATCCTGCTCGCACCGACGTAGGTGTAGACGGAATACTCGACACGTAGTCCTCCTTACCGCCGAGCTCGGGCAAAGAGTCGTGGTAGTGCGTCTCGAGACTCGTCAACGAATCCGTCGACCCGTTCGAGTGGAGCGAATACGGCGTGCTATCTGTCAGGCTGACCTGCGAGGCGAACGACATTCGCATCGGAACCACCGACGCCGGTTCGATGCCGTGCAGGCCCAAACCGGCGAGCTCCTTCTCGAGCACCTCTTCGTCCTCAAGCTGACCCAGTCCCTCGTGGTGGCTGGGCAGGAAGATGTGGCTCATGCACCGGGGTGGGCTGGGTCGAATGGCGATGGGAGCGTAGAGCGAGATCGAACGGGGCATCGGTGCGGCGTACATCGGGCAGGACGGCTGTTCGTCCAGACTTGGCCTGGAATCCGCCGCTGGAGGACCGTCAAAGTCCGCCCCACGGCAGTGGAAGGACTCTTCGCTAGCCCGACGTCCCAACCTCGGCCTGAGGGGTGAGCGAAGCGGAATCTTGGGCGGCATCTTCTTCCCACTCTCGGATGGGGAGGCGAAGAGGGAGTATACGGACCTGCGCGCACTGCTCTGGCGAATCGAGCGAAGGGACGGGCGCGGCGAGCCAGAATCTGAGCTAGCTTGACGCAAGAAGCTGCGCCTCTTGTCAGCCGATTTGACAATGATGAGCGGTGCGATGGGCTCCGAGTGGCAGGCGGGAAAGGCATACGCGTCGACGCGCGGGGCCAGGCAGCTTTCCGGTGACGAGACGGGTCGAGGGGGGCGAACGGGTCGAGGAGCGTAGACGGGGGTGTCGTCGCGAGGTTGAGCATCGAGCGAGGCGTTGGCATGGGTGAAGAGGCCGAAAGCTCGTCGAAGGGGCGACTTGGCGGGAAGGCTCATTGAAGGCGTGGACAGGCCGAAGAGGGGTGCAGACGAGGGACCGGGTTGGTTGTACAGCTGCGCAATGTTGATATCGAGAGGCTGCATCGATCTGGCTTTGATGTCGCGGCGACGGCGGGATGGAAGTCGTGCAAAGGGGCTGGTGAAGCCGGTCATGGTTGCAGGTGGTCGTGAGGAATAAGGATGAGGAGAGGGCTAGGTATTAGACGCTGTTGGTGAAGGGGAGCCCCCAGATCCCGCTGACGAAGGCTCGCTCATTATATGTACATTGCGTCTTTGGCTGTCACAACGCTAAGCGAGGCTGGCGTGGTCCCGCAGCAGCAGCATGACAGCTGAAAAGGCGGTGACAGGGCAGCTCGTGACGCGAGGATAAAGTCCCGGCAAAAAAAGCGGGAGGCGGGCCCCGTGGTGGGATCAGATGAAAAGTGGCGCAGCAAACAAGCGAGCCCTCGTGGGAGTGTTGCTTCTTCTGGAGCCGAGGCGATGAGAAAGGAGCGGGACATGCCAGGGGCCTCGTGGCGTCAACACGGGGCGAGATCTGACGTTGCGAGAGCCCAAGATTTGTGGCTCTTGGCGGAGATGAAAAGCCAAAGTCGAACTCTGCAGGCCGTGACAGGCGGGACTGCGCTTGGCAGCAGTAAGGGGGGGAGCGACGGACTATCCTGCCGGCAAAAAGGCGGGCGGGACTTCAATCATTCGTCCTACAGGGTCCAGTCGGTCGTCGAACGGGATGCAAGGGTCGAGGACCCTGGGAAACTGTCAGCAGTGATGATCCTGGACGGTGGAGCGCTTGAGCATTGCGACTCGGCAAAAGTAGTCCCGCGAAGTTGCCCCACTCTGACGAGCATAGCGCAATAACCAGTCGCTCCTGAATGCCAGCATGGACCGCTAGCAAGACGTACCCGCACGATGAAGGGGTAGGTGAGACCAACACTCGATTCTAAGCGTCGTTGTGGCGGACAGAGCGAGGAAAGGACGAGGTAGGCAACCTGCTGCTCGCAATGCGTCAAAGTGCCTGGTTCATCTGGGTCTGGAGCAAGGACGATGCAAGGATGTTCATTTGGCATCTGGCATGGATGATCGGTCGGACAGCAAGCAGACGTGCACAGAACGACGCACCATCGACGCCGCAGGGCCAGCCAAGGTGCCACCCAGCTTGGCTTCTTCTGAGACTGTCGATGCGAAAAACCAGTTTGCCAGCGTAACATGTCGGTCCTCGTTGTCTTCTTGCTACTCACCGCGAGCTACGACAGGGCACAATGCTGGCACGATGATTCCAGCCTGGCATGCGCAACACAGTCGCCAAGAACAACCACATGTGACTTTCAGCCAGAGTATTATCACACGGATATTGTACAACGACGGGAAGCATCTTCGGTATTGTTGGAATTCGTCGGATCTTGAACTGGACATATGACTACAGGTCTAGAGCTCGTCCGTGCATCCTGGTTGCAGCATGCAGAGGGAGAGGCGAGATCCAGCTGCAGTGATCTGCCGCGGTCTGATTCTCGGGTGACAGACACGGGAAGCCAACGGCATCAACGCGTGCCTGATTTTCCCCTGGCATAAAAAGCCACGCGGGCCGAGCTGTCGAACGTGACACTGTTCGCCACGCCGGAAAAACGCAATCGAGCGGGGGTGAAGCGGATCTGTGATCCTTGTCCCGATCGTTGACGTTCCCGAGGACTCGGACAACGGACTTGCTTTAGCTGCAGTATGTCCGCCTTCAGAGAGACACGTACCCACTGTGTAGAAGCGATTCATGTCGAGAAGACGCGTACCACGTGGGAGACGCGCCCGACGATTGTGTCGCACGATAGCGCGCTCTGAGGCCTCGACGCCTCGACACTTTTCGAGGCCGCATTTTTCAGGCTGATTTTTTCGCAGCTTTTTTTCAGCGTGTTAATGCCAGAGTCGTCAAGCACTGACCATCATCAAGTCAAAGCGCTCGAGTGTGGAGGTCTTCCTACCTCATCTTCCACTACTCGCTCTGGCTGCAGCGGCAGCTATGCTACACGGTCACCAACACGATGCCGCCGAAGAACGCACGAGGACGCACACAGCATCGTGAGGCGGACAAGGAACCAGAAGAGCCGTTTCACCCTGCAGCAGATGCTGCCACCTTTCGCGACCTGCTCATCTTTGAGGAGCGACTCAAGCAGAATGCGGCTCGACTGCAGGCACGCAAGCGCAAGTACGAGATCCTGCTCTTCGGCTTTGTCCTCTTCATCCTCTGCCTTTCGCATTTGGTGGTCATCTCGCCGCGCTCTTCGGTGTTCCTGCAGTACAGCCTGGCGGCGGTGCTGATGATTTGTCTCACGACGCTCTTCCTTTTCTTTGCAAGTGGCATGCACGCTGAGCGCATTCGATCCGCCAACAAGTTTGTGCCGCAAGCGAATCGTAGTCTGCGCAATTTCAACATGTACCTCAACACACGCAGCACCCGAACAGCAACTCTGTCGGCAGCGTCCACCATCCCACCCGCACAGAACAGCAGGGGCGAACTCATCTTCAGCAGCAAAGTCAACCCCGACTTCCGCGAGGGCTACCAACGGTATCGAGCCGCTTTTGAACGGCGCCGTGCCGAAAAGATTGCGGCCAAACGGGCTCAGTCATGGAAGCGATGGTTCTACTTTGCTCTCGGCAAACCCGACGATACCAAGCTCAGGTCAGCAACCACAGCCACTCGGAACGCTGCCGATCCATCAAGATCCAAGGCATTGCGCGGATCCAAGCCAAGGACAGCTCGGACCACCCGAGCGACAGCACGCTTGGACTCGGAAGGGGCCGAGGCGGCCAGTCCGCAGCGCGGGAGCTTGCAGCTCGAAGACTTGAGCGATGCGCCAAGTGATGGTCTGAGTGATGGATTGAGCGAAGCACTCAGCGAGGAAGGAGGATCCATGTCGGGCCACGACCCATCATAGCATTGCAATCACAAGGCCAATTTTAGCAGTCACCTCTCAGCGCGTCTTGTTGAAAGTCACACGCTGTCAAAGCTGCAAAGGTGTGGAGGAAATCTCGGCGTAGACTGACTTCCGTGCATACTCTAAAATGGTCTGTGCCAAAACGGCTCAGCTCTTCTTCTCGCACTCCAACCGGAATGCTTGCCTGAACGCCTCCCTCTCCGTCCGTCATGGAGACCACCTGGGCCCCACTCGTCCCTACCGCAAAGGGCTCAGGACGGAAAAGCATAGACGCTGCACCTTCGGCGGCCACAGCCTCAGGGTCCAGCAACGTCAACGATGTCTCGCTCGATCCTTTCTCCATTGGCAACCTGCCATCGACCGTGGTGCAGCGCATCCTCAGCTTTGTCCCCGTGTCCGACCTTCCCAGCTGCGCTCTAGCAGCGAGGCCGTTGGCTCGCTTCGTAGCGGACGAAAGACTATGGGCGCAACGACTCGCTTTTCTTCAGTATAAGCAGGTGCCAGGACGAAACCTCCGCTACAACCCGGATCTCTCGACCGTCCCATCAGCCTCTTCTTCAAAGCGAAAGGAAAGCGCGAGCTCAGCTTCAGTCAAGTCACCATCCAACAGGCCCACAGCGAGCTACATTGACAGCAACGACGACGACTTTGGCGACTTTGAAGCGGCGACCATGTCCAGCCCTGCCGATGACGACTTTGGCGGGTTTGTATCCTCAAAGCAGAGTCAATGGGGTCAGAGCTTCTCCTCAGCGCCAGTGTTCTCGTACAGAGCCGAGTCAAAGCTTCCAGTGCCGAGCACAGATCCAGACTCAGCCTACCAGACATTCAAGCGAATAGCGGTGTCGCTCAAGCCGTTCGTGCAGAGCCTGCTGTTCGAATCATCACCCACCAGCTCGCTCGTCTTTACGGATCCCAGCTTGTCGTCCCTCTCGTCGCAGGCGTACTTGATATGCAATGTGGCGCGCTTCACTGGTCCCCTTGTTCTGGGCTCCTTCGCAAAGACTGGCTCATCGGCTTCCAGTTCACCAGATCTGTCCATCGACGAAACGGATCAGGATCACACAAGGTTGCGCAGCTCGGCACGCCAAGCGGCCGACTATCTCGAAGGCGTCCTGTTATCTGCCTTTGAAGGTGCGGATGCTCGAAGGGCGGACGCACTGCGTGCAGGCGAAAGAGGAATGGACGTCGCCAAGGCCATCGAGCGTGCCGAGCTAGACATGCACGAACACGCTACCTTGATATGGGATCTCGTCACCTCGACCTCCGAATCAACGTCACAGCAATCGCCCTTCGCGCTCGCCTCAACATCAAACGATGGCGAGACGACGAACTTCCTGTCCATCCTCGACCACCCCGGCTCCGCAGCAGCGCTGAGCTTCTTCGAAAAGCGCGACTCAATCTTCAAGTCCACCGCGCATCGGCCCGAGGCCAACTTTGCCTCGCCCTCCCCCGCAGCCAGGCCAGCACTGGACTTCACCGCCATGGACGCGTTCATGTCGGATGTGCTTGCCAATCTTTTGACGGACGGCTCGCTGGTGGCGCGCATCTTTCCGCCTGAACAGCAGGTGCTGCTCGCATTCGCCAGTCGTGTTGCCAACGAGATTGTTGGCGAATACATCAACGGTGTCCTTGCAAAGGCGCGCACCATTGACGTGCATGTCTACCTCCAAGCGGCGGCGGCCACATTTTCGCAGGCGCTCAAGATTGCCGATGAGCTGCAGAAGATCGAGCCACGGCATCCGGAGCACGTCACTCCAGGAAGATGTCGTGCCATCGTGCTGGGCATGTTCGAGGCTCATCTCGACGAGTATCTGCAAGAAGAGCGAGACTGGGTGCGCAATATCATGATGGACTTGTGTCATGAGGGTGGCGTTGGATCAAGCTCGGGCAGCAAGTCCACCGCCATTGGTCGTGTCAAGCCGGTAAAGTCGATGGACACGGCTTTTCTGGCGAGCGACAACCCGGCGCAGGTCAAGCGGAACGTGCTCAGCAGCTTCAAGGATGTACTTCTCATGCCGGTGACCGTGGTGCCTCGAGCGGCGGGGGCAGTGGGAGGCGCGGTCATTAGGACAGCGGGCACAGGGCTGAGCCAGCTCAACCCGCTCAAGTGGCAGCAGAGCTCAACAGCGGCTACACGCAACGTCGGCGGCATCGGCTCGGCCCCCACTACCCCGTCAAAGGTCACTACGCCCACCGCGGGTGGGGCAGCAAACAACGGTTACGTCGACTTCAGCAAGGAGGTTCTAGGCGGACCGGAGGGACATGTGATCGGGGACGACGATAGCGACGAGGAGGAACTGCAGCTGGGGTCATCGGCGAGCGAGAAGATGGCGGATTTTGGCGGCTTCGCCGACGCGATCGCGGTAGATGGCTGGAACGAAAAGGGTGGCGATCACGGAAATGCCTGGGGTAGCTTGAGTGCGGATGCCAATGTCGAGGCGGGAGGATGGAGCGCCTCCAACACCAAGCAGGTGGCGCGAACGAGCTTACCTCCAGCAGCGAAGGCGACGGCTATTGTCGAGTCCAACGACGTTCCGCAAGTGAGAGCGTCCACAGAGATAAACGGTGGCAAGTTCGCGCGGCTACAATTGCTGCTCTCGCTTGACACAGCCTTGGCGTTGATCCAGGTCAACCGCGAATCGCTCAAACGCATGGAGGCGTTCATGGTGTACCCTGCCTCGACGGCACATGGACGGCGTGTCAAGGAAGAGATGGAAGAAGTATGCCTGTCGCTCTTCCAAGTCCTCGGCGATCAGCATATCGCCCCCGGGTTCACCAAAGCAACCGAGCAGATCAAGGAGTGGAATCCGCTTTCGGATAATAAGCCCTCAAAGGGCGAGAAGAACACTGACGAAGGTGGTGAAGACGCAAGCGAGGTCGTACCGCTGGTGCAGTTCTTCGAACTCACCCACATTGCGGATACCATCTCGCAGCTGTGCTCAGTGTACTTCTCGCAGACGCTCAAACCGGTGGTTAAGCTGGATACCGACGATTTTCTGAACCCGGTGGTCCGGGCGAAGAAGGCTTTCGAGGGGACGCTTGACGAGTTCGTCGCCTCTGGCCTGTCTGTATCTGTCGATCTGCTGATGAAGCGGGCCGAATGGATCTTGTTCTCGCAGCGCGATGCGATGGACTACGCTTCCACCTCGATCGCCGACCTGGGCAACCCGACTCGGGCCACACGCTCTACTCTGGCCCTCCTCAGCTTTCACAGCAAGCTGCTGGTGGGCGCAACGGACCGGGAGATCCTCGACCTGTTCTACACCGAAATCGCCCTGCGTCTCTTTACCATCCTCACCAAACATCTCAAGTCGCTACCCATCACAACAACGGGCGCTTTCCAATTGATATCGGACCTCAACGCCGTCGCCACCTTCATCGCCAGCCTGCGCATCAAGGACCCGCACATCGCCACGCTCTACAACTCGCTCAAGGCGCTGGCCAACTACTACATTGTCGACGGCAAGGAACTTATTGCGCTGCTCAAGGCAAAGGGCGAGACTGGACGAGCGGAGAGAGAAGACGGATTCGTGTTCGGTCAGGAAGAGCTCTACGAGTTCTTGAAGAGTAGAAGCGACTTCAGAGCGATAGAGAAGCAAGTCGATCACGAGATCTTCGGTTTCAAGGTGTCAGAGGACTGCATTGTTTGTTAGAACACACGGAGACGCAATCACATCGAGGATCAGAAACGGTATCTGTGTGCATTACAATGAAACATGTGTGAAAAGACTAGTTCTTGCCGTTGGCGGCCACCTCGACTGCCTCTTCGATGACCTTTTCAGGTTTGCTGATGTTGGTAATGGCGGAGAGCACGGCCTTCAGACTTGCCGTGGTGATGTCGACATCAATACCCACGCCCCAATACCCTACACACTTCTTCTCTCCGACCTTGTCCTTCTCCGCCGGGTCAACGAGCTCGACGTAACTCGCCGCCTGGGCCTTGCTTCCGCTTCCACTGCCGTTGGAGCCCGTCTGCAGGGAGGACGACTTGGTGATGGCGTGCTCGCTGTACTCTCGGATCTCGGCTTTGATGCTGAACGTCGATTCGATGGCGTCGAGGAACGCCGAGAGAACACCGTTGCCTGTGCCGGTGAGCTCGTGCGACTTGCCGCCGTGCAGGACTTTGCCGGTGAATCGACGGAGACGAGGAGTCGAGAGACCGCCATCGCCATCCTCGGATGTGATGGAGGACGAAAGGTCGTCCGAGAGCGAGTAGCCACGCAGGGCGAAACGACCTTCGTTGCGACCGGCCTCGAGCGAAGCAAGATGGTACGTCTGGGTGAAGATGCGCGTGATGTCCTCCGAGGTCATCTCCTTGCCCGTGCGATCGGCGACCTCCTGAATGACCTGGTAGAACGAGACCTGCATCCTGCGTGGCAGGTCCAGTCCCAGGCTCTGCGCCACAAGATAAGCAACTCCGCCCTTGCCCGACTGCGAGTTGACACGGATGACCGCCTCGTACGTGCACCCGAGATCGACAGGGTCGATGGGCAGGTAGGGGATCTCCCACGTGTTGTCGCCCTGCTCGATGCGCTTGTTCTGCGCAGCAAAGCCCTTCTTGATCGCATCCTGGTGACTGCCCGAGAAAGCGGTGAAGACGAGGTCGCCGGCATACGGGTGTCGCGGGTGGACAGGGATGTCATTGCACCCGCTCACGACGTCCACGACGGACTGGATGTCCGACAGGTCGAGCTCGCCCGGCTGGATGCCCTGTGAGAACAGGTTGAGCGCCAGCGTCACAATGTCGACATTACCAGTCCTCTCGCCGTTGCCGAACAGGCAGCCCTCGACACGATCTCCACCGGCGAGCATGCCCAGCTCCGTCGCGGCCACCGCACACCCGCGGTCGTTGTGGGGATGCAGCGAAACGATGACCGAGGGTCGGTCGGTGATGTTGGTGCAGAAGTACTCGATCTGGTCGGCATAGTGGTTCGGGGGTCCCACCTCGACCGTCGCGGGCAGGTTGAAGATGATTGGGTTCTCGGCGCTGGCCTTGCCCCAAGCTTTGCGCACCTCCTCGCAGATTGTGACGGCAAAGTCCATCTCGGTCTGGGTGAAAGTCTCGGGCGAGTACTCGTACTTGAAGTTGGTGCCTCCGTTTTCAGGTTTCGAGTATTCGTCGACGAGTTCGCGGACAATCTTGGTGTGTCGCACCGCCAGATCGACGGTCTGCTCCTGCGAGTTCTGGAAGACGACGTTGCGGAAGAGCGGAGAGGAGGCGTTGTACATGTGGAGGATGACGTTCTTGGCGCCCTTGATGGACTCGAAGGTACGTCGGATGAGCTCTTCACGGGCAGGAGTGAGGACCTGGATGTAGACGTCGTCGGGGATCATATTGTTCTCGATGATGTGACGGACGAAACCAAAGTCGGTGTCCGAGGCCGAGGGGAAGGCCACCTCGATCTCCTTGAAGCCGACCTCGACGAGCTTTTGGTAGAACTTGAGCTTCTGCTCGCCCGACATGGGGTTGATGAGGGCCTGGTTGCCATCGCGCAGATCGACCGAGGTCCAGATGGGCGTCTTTGTGGGAACCTTCGCCGGCCATGCTCGGTTGGGCAGGTCAATAGGCGTGTAGGGTTTGTATTTGTCGCCGGGGATCATGGGCGCCATGATGGAAAGGATGTGGCTCTGGGCGAGCAGTAAGAGGGGATTGAGAGGGTATGCAGCGCAGTAGTTTGAGGCGAAAAAAAAAGAGATGGACGCTGTTGCTGAGCAGAAAGAAGCGTGCTAGTGATGCAAAGCGAAGAAGCGCAAGTGATATGATGGCAAGAAGAAATGAAGGAAAGGCGGGGTCGAAGGCAGCTTTCTTTCTCTGCGCTCACCGGCTAAGTCGCCTTCCTTCTCTGCCTGCCTGCCTGCCAGTGCGTGTGTCATGTGCACTCTCGCAGCTTCCATGAAATTGGCCCGTGACTCGAGACTAGCTTTCTGCCGCCCAGAAGAACAGCCAGCCAGAAGGGGATTTCTTTTGGCGATGCAGAACTGAACCTAACAGTACGAGCTTTTTTTGACCACCTCAGGGTCCAAGTCTTTGGAGGAAGCTTTCCTCTCACCCGCAGCATGGCTCCCGCCGACGATGCCAACGGCGACACTCGAATCATGTCAAAGGCGACGGCAGCGCAAGCGATTGGCACGCAAGAGGTCAACAGCGTGCTGAACAAGGCAGTCGATGCCGCGCACTTGCCTGCTCCAAGCTCGACGTCGAGATTCAACGCCGAAGCTCAAGAATGGTGGAGATCGGCCATCGACACGAGAGGGTCCAAACTCAAGCAGACATGGGCGCAAACGATGTCAGAGGAAGCCATAGAGGTGCCTTCAGGATGGCCGCAGGGTGTCGTCTACATCACGCAAAACATGGTTGCAACTTCCGTAACAGACACGGTCGCGGAAAGATACGTCCTGTCCCCGGCCTCCTCATCAAACAGCGAGCCGGTCGCAGGGTCGAGTAGCCGGAAGGATCTTCCTCGAGCCACGCACAACGAAGGACGTCCAGAAACCCTCTACACGACATCAATACAGGAGCAAGTGCCTCTAGTGATCCATAGGATCGATCAGCAGACGGCCTGGTGTCCCGAATCATTCCATTCGACCAGCCGCAATCTCACCTGTCACCCTGCAGCTGGCTCCTTCGGTCTCTTTGCCGCAGCAGACATGCCATCCGACACGTTTATTCGACCGTACCTTGGCGTGCTCCACACAAAGGCCGATGCGGACTTCTACTCGACCTACGACCTGAGCCTGTGCCACGACTCAAGGCTGCACTCCCTCTCGCCTCGACCGGACACCACACCTCGTCCGGATGCCGAGCGAATCGCTGAGCAAGTCGAGAGCCTGTCAATAGACCAAGAGCCGAAAGATCCAACAGCGTTGTATCTAGACAGCCGGTACTGGGGCAACGAATCGAGGTTCGTCAACGACTACCGCGGTATCGCTCTCAAGGCCAATGTCGAATTCCGCTCCTTTGTCCAGCTTTCGGAGGATGAGGAGAGGTATCAAATGGGCCTGTTTGCCGTCCGACCCATCCGAAAGGGGCAGGAGCTGGTCATCAACTACGGTAAGAGCTTTTGGGTTCACTACGAACAGCTGGCCGAGCTCAAACGTGGCAAAACTGCAAAGGAGTCGATACAGTCTGTGCCTGATCGGGAACAGCGTCGTCCGGCAGTGGCGAATGCCTCCAGTGCTCAGGCTGCAGCAGGTGCCAAGCTGGACCCGATCCAAGCCATGCTACAGCGAAGCCGGATGCGCGTTTTCCGAACAGCACCAACCTCACGTCCACCCCACCAACCGCCATCACGCACATGATCACATCTGTCTCACACTGCACAGCCTCTCGCAATCTCTGTAACACCAATCATACTATTTACACAACCGTACAATTCAACGACGCTTCCTACTCTTATCCCCCTTACCCGTGTACGAGACATGATCGTCGTTCTTGGCCTTCTTACCAGCGACCTGGCTAAGCGGCACATACGCGTACGGGCTCTTACCGTTCCGAATAACGTCACCACCGCCGCGCTTGGCCCTGAACTCCTTGCCGATGGTCTCCTTGCCACGTCTCTTCTTGTCCGCGTGGGCTGGTCTACCACCCTGGACCTGGCGCGCGCGATCCTGGGCGTCTTCCACAGCCATCTGCTCGAGCTCCATCTCGCGCTCCGCCTCACGCGTGCGTTTGTTGTTCTTGTTAAACTTGATCGCTCCACCTCGGACCTGGGTCGTGCCGTCGACGCCACGGGCTTGGTTGATGTACGCGGTGCCGGCACCGTCCACGTCCACGGGGGCGTCGGTGGCGGGCGCAAAGGCGACGCGCTTCTTGCTGGACGGGTTTTCCTCGTCGTCAATGAGCATCCGCCCGGTGGCCTCATCCAGGGCGAACTTGCTCGCTTCTTGACCCGGTTGACGCTTCTTGTTGCGGCCATTGGTGGCGTTCGGGTTGCTGAGGGCGATACGGGCAGTGGCGCTGCGGTCAAGCAGATCCATCGGCACGTCATCGTCATCGTCCATCTCGATGTACGCTTCGTCCTGCTGCTTGGCGCGGCGGCGATCCCTTCGGCCGCCCTTTTCTTCGGCGTCGCCGCCGTTCTTGCGATTGCGGTTGCGAGCCAGGGCAGCGGCAGTACCACCCTTGCGTCCGTCCGTCTCACCGTCGTCATCAGCGTCATCGTCCGAATCGGAAATGTCCGACTCCGAACCGTAGACCACCTCCTCGAACGCATCGTTGCCGCCCTTGGTCTTGAGGATCCTCGGCGCGAGACCCGGCTCGTCGTCGTCCTCAGCCACACCAGCTTCCCGGTCAGCAGCCGCGTCGGCACGCTTGCGCTTGGCCCGCTCCTTGCGCTTGCGAATGTTGTTGATCAGCTTGCGGTTGTCCTCGTCCGTCAGCTGGTAGATGCGCTCGAAGCCGAATCGGCGCAGCAGACGTTCAAAGATGTGGCGGACCTTGACTTTGAAGTGCTGTTTGTGCTCCGTGGACCATCCAAGCAGGGCAGGGATGAGCTTGGGCAGGTGCGCGTCGATGAGCGCCGAGTTGAACTCGACAATGGCCACCTTGACGAAGCCGATAGCGGATTTGACAATCTCGCGGTTGGCAGATTGGAGGTACACCTCAATGGTGCTCAGCAGCTCATCTAGGACGGGCTGCTCGAGCGTCTCTTTGAACTCGTACACGAGTCGGGAGAGTGCAGTAATGGTGGCGCTGATCATGTGAGGCGTGGTACCGGCAAGCCCGGCGGCGACCATGGTGAGGTACTCGCCGATCGAGGCGGAGACAACGCCGGCGTCAGCCATCTCGCTGTCGTCTGCGTCCTCGTCCTCAGCGGCAGGGGCGGCAGCGGCAGCACCGTCCACGAGAGCACGGTTGATCGAACCGCCCTGCTCCATCTTGTAGCCCATCTGGACGAGCAACTCGTACGCGTTCTGACGCGTCACAGCGTTGACCTCCTTTGTGGCCAGCACCGCCTCCGGGATGATGCTGGGCAGGTGATGCAGCTCGTCGGACGGAATGTTGGGCACAAGTGTGGCGAGCAGCAGTACACGATCACGCTTGGCACCAAGTGCAACGCTGGCGGTCGACTCGCGGAGCTTCTCGAGCAGATCTCCGACGCGGTTGCCGCTCTTGCCCTCGACCAACAGGATCTGCTTGCCCGCATCGCCCTCGAGCAGTCTGCTGAGAATGCGGTAGCTCTTCTTCTGCACAGTCGAGTCGTGCGAGCGCAGCACATTGTCCTGGCAGATGAGCGTAAAGAGGTCGGCGGCCGAACCCTGCGCGCTCTTGTCGAGATGCGGGATGAGCGCCGAGAGCAGGTCGAGCATCGTATACGGAACGGGAGGTGGTGTGTTGGGCGACTCCTTCTGATTGCGCTTTTGCTTGGTGGACAGCGTGGGCAGGGCCTGCTCGAGCGTCGTCTTGACTTTGTTGTACGTGTTGAGCACGTCCTGAGGCGACATGACGCGCAAGTAGGCAGCGATGGTGTCGTAGACAAAGCCACGACCTTCACCCGGCGACTGCGAGAATACGTTGAAAAGCACGGCCAGGAGGTTGGGGGCGATCGCGGAGAGGTGAGCAATATTGGCCTTGCCGTCCGCCTGGTCGAGTCCAAAGGCGTGCTTGAGCGAGTCGGAGGGAGCACCCGAAGACACGAGCGCTTCGTTGCGGTAGACGAGCGCCTGAAGACCTCGGCAGATCGAGGGGCGCAGGTTGGGCTGCGTGTAGAGGACGTTGGTGAGCAGCTCTGCAAACTGACGTGTGAACGCAGCGACGAGGTCGCGCGGCATGGCGCAGTAGGCAGGGAACAGCGCCCAGATCTGCTCGGTGAGCGCCTCGTACATCTTTGCCTCGACGGGACGGCCATCGCTCTCGGCTTCCTGTCGCTTGTTGAAGATCTTCTCCGAGAGCGACACGAGATCGCCTGTGAAGTGGCTGAGCTCGGTGTTGTTGATCTTGGTACGGATGAGGGGAAGCAGCCACGCGCGTCCAGGCCCTTCTGCCTCGCCAAAAAGGTTGAGAGGCAGGGCTTCGAGGAGCAGACGCGGACCGCAGACCTCGACAGCCGCACCAATGACAGTGTCGGCATACTCGCGGTGCTCGAAAGTAGGCTCCTGGCGCAGCTCGGCGATGGTCTGGACGATGTGCATGGTGAGCGAGGCAGCAGCTGGGTGCGGTGGCTGCGTGTTGGGTACGTAGTGGTAACGCAATCGCGCAATGAGCGAAGCGAGCACGGAGAGGATCTCTGCACGTGAGTGCATGTACTGGAGCGAGTCCTTGCCGAGAGCATCCTCGATCGACTGAATCATGTCGAGCAGCGGAGCGGCGCCGGCCTTCTTCTTGGAGAAAGAGGCCTTGATCGAGTTGGCGACGGCTGCGTCAGGGACACAGTAGCGGAGGAGCGCGATCAAGGTGTCGCGACCAGCAGCGCGAACGGCAGGGGCGGTACGCGAAGCATCCGACTTGGCGGACATGGATATCTCAAAGACGTCGGACCAGACCTCGGGAGCCAGACGCCACGCTAGCGCGCCGTTCTCGAAACGCGAGAAGGCGGACATGGCGTGTTCGAGAGCTCGCAGGTAGGCAGGAAGGAGTTGCACGTCGGAGGTGGAAGGAACAAATGCCGGAGATCGGAGCGATTCCAAGAGGCTAGAAAGCGTCTTTTCGCCGATGCTGCTGAAAGTCGAAGTGACGTGAGACTGGATGAGAAGAGCATCTGCCTGCGCAACGCCCGACGAGATGCTGGGTCGACATGTCTTGAGGAAGGCTTCGAACACATCAAAGGCGGCCACAGTAAGGAAAGGATTTTGCAGACCTGGCAAGCGGAGGAGAGCAGCAACGAGGTCGTCCACCTGCGCAATGGGCAGAAGGTTGATCGTCTGCTTGGCAAAGCCACAGACCCAGATACCGACAGAGGCGGTGTCGCCTTGGTTTTGTCGGAGAGCGGCTGCTGCTGGTGCTTGCTTGGCCGTGCCCGACTTCTTGTCGTATTTGGCGTGCAATGCGTCCTCCTTCTTCTTGGAATGCAATGGCGCCTTCTTATTCTTCTTGTTCGACTTGTTGTCCTTGGAAGAGGAGGCCGAGACAGAGCCAGCGTCAGCGACATGGGTCAAACTCGAAATGATCCAGTCAAAAGTGAGCTTGAGGTAGGGATGGTATGGCTTAACGGAGGCGGCTGCTGTAGTGGGGAGGATGGAGGTGACGAGAAGCTGCGCCCGTCTTCGGACCTTTGGGCGAGTGTCTGCGCAGAGGTTGAGTGTCGCCGACCAACACGACCGCAATGGCCCGTCTTTTTCGAGCGTGGCTACGTCGCTTTCAAAGGCAGTATAGATGGCTTGGAGGATGGCGAGGGCCGACTTGAGTGCCGAAGCGTAATTTTCCGCAGCCGAGGCGTCGTTGACATTGAAGGTGGTTGGGTGTGGGTTGCTGAGGAGCTTGCCGAGTGCGGGCACGATCGACGCGAGCTTCGCACGGATGATGCCTGCAGAGACATGAGGCGCTACGATGGAGAGAAGATAGAAGACGTTGTTGAGAAGCGAGGGAGGCGACGAGGGCGATCTGGCGAGCTCAAGCATCGACTCGAGAGCGAGAAAGTATTCCGCAGGCGCTCGCTGGACAAAGGCATGCTTGGAGGCTCCTGCACCAGATGCGGAGGTGGAGCCGTTGGAGGAGTCCTGCTCGCCGAGGGTAGCTTCCACAGCGACGAGAAGCTGAGCCGGACCCTTTTGGTTTTCGAGCTTGGAGTTGGTGTGGTGGCGGATCTTGGAGAGGGCGCTGTGCAAGCTGTCGAGACTCGCGGCCGCTGCCGAAGCATCCATATCGAGTGATGCCATGCTGAGCCTCAAAAGCAGCTCGTAGGTGCTGCTGCGAAGCTGAGAGGATGGTGAGGCCGTCAAAAAGATGAGCTGAGGGTCGAGGATGCACTCAGCTCGTTCGTTTGGAAGAAAATGTCACGCACTCCAAAAATTTCAGACCCTTGTCTGAGAAGGCTGTCTGCATGAAGCTGTCGGCACAGGGCTGACAAAGCATTATTAATACATAGTCCTGACCGGACCGCTAAAAGCCTGTCGTCATTCTGCACGTTGAGCTTGGCTTGATGCAGCACAGACACCGTAGCAAACAACTCGAGCTTCTGTGCGACTTTCCGTGCAACTCGATTCTTCTCATCGATGCGACCCGCTGCAGTCTTGTCGATTGCTCCTTCTCTCCATTCCATCGATCGATTCTCCGCTCGCTCTTCGACATTCATATCGTCCTTCCGTTCCAGAGCCCCACTTCAGCTCCACACGACTTCACGTCTTCCGGTCCCACGCATCTCCTCGCCCGTCCAGCTTCGCACTCGCAACATGGCTACAACCGACTCTGCCAGCGCGGCCAAGGCTGCCAACTCCAATTCGTCCGCCTTCAAGAGCACAGAGCTTCCACACTTGTCCGGCGTCGAGGCTGCTAAGCGTGCTGCTGCTTACGCTGCTGTAGACAACCACGTCAAGCCTCAGCACGAGATCATCGGTATTGGCTCTGGTGAGTAACCTTCTCGTTCTCGTCTTTTTGCAACATTCTATATCGCTGACACCTTTGTGAACTTTTGAATGCTTTCGGTGCACCAGGCTCCACCGTGCCATATGTCGTCGAGCGAATCGCACAACAAGGCGAGGCGGTCAACGCCAAACGTTGGTTCGTGCCCACGGGCTTCCAATCGCGCGAGCTCATCATCCACGCCGGTCTTCGTCTCGGTGACGTCGACAGCTTCCCCAGCATCGACGTGACCATCGATGGCGCTGACGAAGTCGACAACGCGCTCAACTGCATCAAGGGTGGTGGCGCTTGTCATCTCCGCGAAAAGGTGCTCGCCGAAGCCGCCAACGAATTCGTCGTCGTCGCCGACTACCGCAAGAACGGCTCCCAACTCGGCACCAAGTGGTTGCAAGGTGTCCCCATCGAAGTCGCCCCTTTCGCCTACGCCAAGGTGCTGCAGAACCTGAAGAAGATGGGATCCGAAAAGGCAGTGCTGAGAATGGGCAAGGCAAAGGCTGGACCGGTCGTAACGGACAATGGCAACTTCTGCATCGACGCCCCCTTCCCAGAGGCACAGATGAAGGACCCCTCGGATCTGCTCATGCGCATCAAGCTGTTGACGGGTGTGCTAGAGGTCGGACTCTTCTGCAACATCTGCAAATCCGCTTACTTTGGTAACGAGGATGGCACGATTACTATCAAGACGGCAGACGGGAAGGTGCAGGAGGGCGTTAACTTTGATGTCACCAAGCCTCCCGCGACGGCATGATCTGACCCAACCCTGGACCTCCAGCAAAGCTCTGATCACTCTGTACATAGCCATCGAGCAATTCTAGCCTCACACTCAGCGTCGACAGGCGTACCTCTGCGACCGACCCTTTAGCACATGTTGAGAAGTGCTTTTCATTGAACCCTAAGACCCAGTGCTAGCTTTCTGCAAATCTTGCGACGCCGAGCCACTATCGAACATATCCACCAACAGACACCTGTCCACATCCTCCAAGTCGATCTCGGCGTTGCTGTAGTTGCCCTCGAAGGCGGTCTGGGAGATGCTGTGGAGGAAGGGGAGCAGTTCACCGACCGAGCTGATGGAGCGGAGGCGCAGGCGCAATCTTCTCTTTGATCCGACGTCGGACCTGCGTGCGTGGTGGGTCGGATGTCGGCTGTTCTTCTCGAACGTGGCGGAGAGCTGGTCGAGCAGTGTTTCCGATTGAAAGTCGTCGAGCGGATAGACGGCGTCGATGGTGTCAGTGATGAAGAGCCACTCGTTGATCTGGAAGTCCTCCGGCTGAATCAGCACGAGTAGGTCGAGCAGTTTCAGCGTGGACAAGAGCAGATTGCGACCATCGACCGTCTGCTGGATGCCCTCGGGCTCGGTGGCTACTTGATCGTACAGCCGCATCAGCTCGGTCATGAGCACAGGCCAGAAGCTCGTCAAGTTTCTCGCCGAGAATCGCACCAGCAGCACCCGCAGGCACAGATACACCTCAGCATGCAACACTTCCGACACCGACGACCGGAGCAGATCAACGAGCTTCTCCTGGATCAGCGGCAGCTGTGTGAGGAAGGTATCCTGCTCACCGGCAAAAATGGCGAACGAAAGACGACGCAAATTCAGCGCGCGGGAGAGCATCTCGAGCTCGCGATTGGCAAAGATGTTGGTCGCTGCTGCCGACGCACTGACGCGAGTGAGAAGATCCGAGATGCGCTCCTTGTCTTGGGTCATGAGCGCCAAGACGATCGGCTTCCATCGTTCAGCCGTGACGAGAGGCATGCTGAAGAAGCGCGCGTCGCCAAAGATGTCGGCGACGGTGACGCGCCATGCCTTGACGGTGCCTGGCGTGCGAGCGAGCTCCGAGATGACAGCGACGACGCTCGCATCGATCTCGAATGTGTTCGACCTCGTGCGTGCGGCAGGAGCGACAATGTAGTACACGGCATTCGAAACGATGGTCTGGATTCGATCCGCGTCCATCTGGATCTTGCGGAGTGCCGCGAGGCCGCGCGTCGCAAGGAAGTGGTTAATGGCGTCGATGACCGCATTGCTTGCGGATGCTTCTGCGTGGAAGACGTCGGCGCGCTTCTCGTCTTCGAGAGAGTGAAATTGCACGGCAAAGTCGGCGGCCTCCTTGTCCAAGTCTTCCCCCTCGCGGCCGGAACGACGAATCCACGTCGATGGATCGAACGACTTGCCAGAGATGAGGATGCACGAGTCGATGAGCTTGGCAATGTGATCTTGCAGATCGCGCTTGGTCCGTCGCTCCTCGATGGCGGTGGTCAAGCAGATCTTCTCGCCGAACGCGGTCACAAGGCGCAGCATCGGGTAGACGTGGACCTTGCGCGACATGGTGTGGGCGATGAAGTCCTTGAAAAAGTTGTTGAGGACCGGCCAGACTTGCACGGCCTCTTGCGGCTGCATCCTTGCCAGCAGAGCCTCAAAGAAGAGAAACAGGGTGGCGTTGGATACGATGGTGGCCGTACTAGAGGAAGGACTGTTCTTGCGAGCTCTGTCCACATCTGGCTTCGCGATGCGGGCGCCCAGCACGTCGCACAAGAAGGTGACGAGGATCTGCACACTGGGAGTGACCACATCGAGAATCTCAACGACGGCTCTCGTTGCGGTTTCGTCCCGAGCGTGGCCAGCTTGGACGCTTGCTTGCCAGCAGTGTATCAGCGACTCCACCGTGTCTGCAGGGCGGGCGCGGTAGATGCGCTCAAACGCGCGACGGCATCGCAGCTTGACCTTCGAGGTCATGGCATCGAGAGAGAGGGACTTTGCATCCGTGTGGGACAGCTCTGTGCTGCAAAAGGTCCACAGGCGATGCAGTGTTCGAACGGTGAGGTGAAGGTTGCGATCGCGCCCATCTAGGCTCGTGTCTGCCTTCTCGTCCCCTGTCGTGTCGGATGAAAAGACGTTGGAGACGAGTCCGAGCAGGCCCGGAGCCTCCTGCTCTTGCGATACCTTCTCGTTGCTGATGATGGGCGAGGCTGCCGTCGTAGAGCTTTCCTTCGTGCCGCTTCGAGCAGTTGATAGGTTGTGCGCCTCAACGTGGGGGCTACTCGCAGCGAGCATCCATGTCCGTTCGGCAAGATGGATGAGCAGCAGTAGGTCCGACTCGAGGAAGGAACAGGGCGTGTCCTGCGGCTGCACCACCAGCTCGGCACCAAAAGTGGGTCTGCTAGCGCCTGGCACAAAAGAGGCACCGAGTTCGAGCGTTGCTTTGGCTATCAACTCGCAGGTCGTCCTGTTGAGCGGCAGGAGCAAGGTGAGGGAGCTGCTACGGTAGAGCTGTGTTGTCGTGAGGAGGAAGTCGGACCAATGCGGGAGGACCGTTCGATTGGAGGCGGTCATCAGTCCGCGCTGGACTAGAGGCAGCAGAAGGCGGTGGGGCTGCTTTGGCGGCGGCGACGTCGTCGATGGCGGTGCTGGCTTCTGCATCACAATGACCGGAGACCCTGTGCTGACGTCGACCTCGCTGCGGCCGAGAGAGTCGCCACGTTTGTGGACGCTTTGCGACTCGGAGGTGCTTGACATGCGTCGCTGGGTCAAGTCAGGGCGATTCGAAGGGCTCGTCGTGGTGACAAGGATGGCTTGCAGAGTTGGGAGCATCCTTGTTTGGACTTCGGTGGCATTGTGTTGGACTGCCATCAGCAGAGCTTCGATCAGCAGCGACTCTAGCTCGTCAGTGCGTTTCGGGTGAGGCGGTCCTCGCTGAACGAAGCAGTGCACGAGGTCAACGGCAGCAAGCCGCGTTGTTGCTAGAGCGGTGTCGTAGCTGGACTGGAGCTGCGACGAGGGGTATGCCCGAATCCACGTGGTGCATTCGTTAAGCAGGGCATCCAAGTACGAGGAAGAGGCAGCCACCGTCTCGTTCTTGATCAGCTGCTTTGTTGCTGTGCTCTGCGAAATGGTGAGGGACACCGTAGCCAGTGCCTTTGTGAGATTGAGCCCGCCAAAGCGCACAAAGGAAGAAAGCGTTCGGAGCGCGTAGTCGACAAGGTGCTGATTGAAAGGCTCCTGCACTTGAGTGAAGGCCACGCTGATGCCATCGATGTCTTGCGTTGCGGACGCTGATCGAACGGCTCGATTGCTCACAAGCATGTGCAGCAGCGGATCAATGACTTTCGTGTACGATCTCAGGTTGGCTCGCAGCCAGACTTCTGCCTGCTGTCGTTCGTCCACCTCTTGGGATTGCAGCTTGTCAAGCACGACGAGCAGTGGGGTGCGCAGCTCATCGGTCGAGACGTCCTCGGACAAGCGCCAGAAGGTGCCGAAAGCGGTGAGAGCGGCCGCTTTGGCCGTGCCAGTACCGCGACTGAGCTGCTGAGTAACGGCGGTCTCGAGACGAGATCGTTGCGTGACTTTATACGTAGCCCACAAAAGTTCGACGGCGCGCACGTGGTAGGGAGACATCGAAGGCGCCAGATAACGCATGAGCGAGACAACGATGCGGTCGAGGATGTGCGGCGGATCGAGCTGGATCGGCCTTTCGAGCGCGCGACATATGCGGCACGAGATGAGCACTTCGACGATGCGCTCGACCTCTGCGAAGGTGTTGACGTGGTCCAGGTACGGTAGGAGGGATGCTGCCCAGGATGTAGCGTCCCACGGCAACTTTGAGGTGGACGCTGGTTCGGTTCCGGCGGGCGCGGTAGTGACGAGAGCGATCTCTTCGGCAGCTTCAGAGCCGTCGACCACGCGCATGAGGTCGGCGAAAACATCGAGCGCGCGAACAAAGGCTTCTGTGCCTGTCGAAGCGTCTTTGGCCCGTCGACCGCTCTCGAGGCATACGGCTCCCAGGAGCTCGACGAGTGACGTGGCGGGTCCGCTGTCCTGAAAGCTCGGAAAGTTGCGAGCTGCTTGTTGGCTGTCCGTCTCGCTAGAAGCATAGAAGGTACGCGCTCGCTGTACGAAGTCTTGCGCGCTGGAAGCAGGTGCGGTCTCGGATTCAGAGGCAGTGGATGCGATGCGGACGAATACACGGGACGGCATCACGGTCACGAGCAACTTGAGCAGCTCGAGCGCGTCGAGCGCTCTCAACGCTGCCGCATCGTCCTGAGCCTGGCTTTGCTGCAGCTGCTGGAGCAGAAGCTGGCAGACAGCAGCAAAGAGGAGCGGGACGTGGATCTGCTTTGTCTCTTCGTCGTGAATGTGAAAGGCTTTCAAGACAAAGCAGAGGAGTGCCAGCGGCGACTGCGCCTCGGTCGGCCTCGACATAGTCACTGCGGCTGTGGAGACCATGGCCTCTGTCGACGCCGACGATGCTGCGTCTGGCTGGAATTGACGAAGGATCGCCTCGAGAAAGCGACCGTATAGCAGGAAGGGATCGACAATCTCGAATAGCATCTTGGCCGTGGTCATGAGCTCCTCTTCCTGACCTCTTGCCACGGCCAGGCTGATGGCGTGGAATGCATCGAGAGCAAGCACACCCGTGAGCGACTGGCCGATTTCCCATTTGTCGAGCAGCGAGACGAAGATGCGGTACGGCTTTTGGCGATCCGCTGCGTTCGAAGTGTTCTTCTCGAAATCCTGCTTGAGACCAGCGTGAAGCAAGTCGAGGCCATGTTGACGCAGGAAAGAGATTTGACTCTCGGGTGATTCGTCGGAGCCAAGGAGCCATGTATAGAGGCGACGGTTGAGACTGAGGTCCTTGCGCAGGACGACGTTGAGTGCGGAGCGAAGGAGAATGATCTGGTCTGGACGCTTGATAAAGGACTTGAACATGGGCTTGTCGATTTGTACGTAGGTGACGAGAATCTCGAGAGCATTTCGACGCACCAAGAGCACGTCGTCGTCGAGCGCATGCGCCAGGCCGCGTACCAGCAGACCCAGGTCTTTGCCAACGAGCGCAGTAGGATCCTTGGCGTCTTGAACTGGCGGCATTCTGCGTGTGAGGTAGTTGAGAGCGGCGAGACGGACGGAAGGGGTGGTGATGAGGGTGAGCCACAGGTTCTGCAGGAAAAACGGCAGAGTGACGGCCTCCGAGACGCCATCGAGGAGGCGCAATGTTCGCTCGTAGTATTCGCTCGTCTCTTCCTCCAGTCCGGGCAACAAAGCCATCTGAAGCGCCTTTGTGAGTGGATGAAGGTCCTCTTGCAGTGGCAGATAGTAAGACTCGTAGATAGTGATGAGCGTGGGTTTGACCGAGGTGGACGCGTACTGGAAGAAGGGCAAGAGGCCGCTGGTCCAGACGTGCAGGTCTCTGCGTAGACCGTCGGGCCCGATCACGCCCAAGATGTGAAGATAGACATCGAGGGCACGCTGATGGACACCGGAGGGAAGCGCTGGATTGAGACACTGAGCTAGTCGTTTGGCTACGATGAGTTTGCGTGGGATGGCGTTGTAGTTGGGATATGCCTGCATCGCCTTGTGAAGCCGCGCGAGAAAGGAGATAAAGTCGGCCCATTCGCTGACATTGTCAAAGGAAGCGAGGACCGTCTCGATGATCTTGATGTACTTTTTGAACTTGACATCCGAGTAGAGCGCGCGTTCTGTCTGTATCGCCCACTCCTTCTCGGCACGCTTGGCGGCGCTCGTCTTCCATAACTGGCTCGACTCGATGATGCTGGTTCTTGGCCGAGCCTTTGTTGGTATTGTAGCGGCGGGTCCGGAAGGTTGAATGGCAGGAAGCACGGATTTGGGCCTGTCATTGTGCGTGCTACTCCGAGAGGAGGAGGCTGCATGCGGCTGGGAAGAGGCTGAGCTCAAGTCGACTTGGACTTCGGCGGAGGATGGCTTGAGCGTAGGTGGTTGGGCGAAGCGGGACGGCAAGGAGCTGAGAGAAGTGCTGCTGCTAGCCTTCCTCGGCGCGCGCAGTGAGCCACCCTCGTTACTGGACGTGCGCTCTAGTGGGCTGGACATGTTGGCCAGGTCAGCATTGTGCTGCGGGTGATGGTGGAAAGGCATCAGTCGTGAAGTGTTGGACTTCACGCTAAAGTTGGCTCGAGACCACGTGTCGTCAGGGTCTAACAAAGCTCAGCCAGCCGAAAAACCCCACGCTCGGCCTTTCCGCGGTGACCACCACAGTGACAGCGTGATGGCTCTCATCCACTCTCGTCCATCACATTCCTATCACAGCCATCAACACACGTCGCCGACCACATCGAGCGGCATGGCGGACAACGCACAGGCGCAGAATAGCGCTTCTGCTGCTTCTTCTGCCGAAGCTTACCTCTCGAGACCAGCTACAGCCGCGAATACGTCTGCAGCTTTCATTGCCCCGACCTCGAAGAGCAACAGCAAACACGAGACTCGACTCTACGTCGGTAACCTGCACACGACCGTAGACGAATACACTCTGATCCAGACGTTCAGCAAGTTTGGCAAGATCTCGAAGCTGGACTTTCTCTTTCACAAGAGCGGACCGCAGCGAGGGCAACCACGCGGATACGCCTTCGTCGAGTATGCATCTCCGCAGGAAGCAATGCAAGCCGTGGTTGGAGCGCACGACAAGACGCTGAGAGGCAGGAGGATATCGGTCACCTTTGCGAGTAAGAGCACGGAAGGTACTGGGGATGCTGGCGGAGTGGGTCCACATCGACGCGATCGCAGAGCAGGTGAGACGGAGGCGGTAAAGACGACACAGCTAAGCTTGGCGAAGAACGCGAAACAGCCGCAGGGGTACGTAGTCGCATGTATTAACGGGACATGCCTATTCGGTGTATACTGACACGCTCCTTGATATGACCTTGACAGTACGAACGCCAAGATCGCTGCCATGGAGGCCAAGCTGGCCAAGTTGCGGCAGGTCAAGACGCCTCCGGCTTCCGCTTCATCGTCAGCTCCGACTCAAGCACGCTCTGGCCTCGCATCGCTGCCCGCGAAACCAACATTCAGGTCGCCGGACACTCCACAGAGACCGGCAACACAGGCGCGGCAACATCAACGCTAAGACATTCTGTGATTTCTGCTCACATTCTAGCACTGCGTGACCTCAATGATACCCATTCTTGCAGCCAGGCTCGCGTGTATCGCATGGCCAACAAGCCGATGGCAGACAGTGCGACACTTGACCAGATTCGATTGCGTTGAGCTTCGAGGGCAACTGGGCGCTCGTGAGAGATCAGCACGCGGGAAGAAAGGGGAAGGGAACAGGGAGAAGGGTCGAGGAAAAATGTCCCAGAACAGTTTGGCTCCATCGTCCCATCTGGTACACGAAACGACGGATTCCTATAGCGTTCTGAGATATCACAATGTTCTCGTCCACCACGGCTCTGCAATCCGTAGAAAGCAAAGCCCTGGCACCCGAATGACCTCGCCAGGCACCTTGTTTTACCAAGGCAGTCGCGAGTGGGTGTGGCTGGCAGCTGTAGCAATCGCGAAGCGGTGCATGAAAGCGCGAAGAAGAGTCAGCGATGCCGTTGCGATGAGCCGACGGGGTCAAAGCTATGGGTCAGGTACGTACACTTGTTTTTGATCGAAGAGAAGAAGAGAGTTGAATCTCGAGCGTCTGGCTTACTTATACTTCTCAACCAACTTTTTCATCCTTCTCAGACGTGGACGCTCGAAAATTGTGCTGCGGGCTGCCGCGTTTCTTCCAATCAAGACCCTTGACTGCAGCTGAGTCTATCGCGCGATAAGAATTTCAGCTGGTGAGAAGAAAAGGAAAATCGCCTTCCGCGTGACATGATCCAGCTCTCCTGAACATCATCATCACTTCCGCACTCACATCGATTCTAACGCTCCAGCACACAGCCAATTTGCTATACATCGCACAAGATGACGGCAAGTCTCACAGCTTCTTGCTCGAGATCCGTCTCGGCGGCGCTCAACCTCTCCTCGCTCTCGGCCGCCCTCCCATCGACCTCGTACGGCCTCTCGCATCTTCAAAGTCTTGGTCAAATCCAACACCAGCAGCGTTCCGGCTTTGCAACCTCGTCCATCCTCTCTGAATCGCGCAAGAAGCGCACCGCTCGCTTGAAACGCAAGACCAATCTCGAGCAGCGCTTCCTCAAAGTACGAATGCTCGAATCGTCCAAGCCCGACGTCGTGCTCGGTCACCAGACCACCCCAACAGGCAGCAAAGTGTGGGAGGACAGCGAGCTGGCCAAGATCGTGCTCAACAAGGAAGCCGTTTGGGGTGTCAAGGAGGACCGTCGGGGCAATCTTGTGTCAATTTCTGCGCAGGAGCAGGCGGCGGCGGCGACCAATGCCTTCGATACAGCAGCAGCCAAGGAGGCGACCAAAAATGGCGGGCCGCTTCGACTCAACTTTGGTCTCGATGGAAAGGACAGGCAGCTGCTCTTCCAGGATCTGCCACAGGTGATGGTCAAGGATCGCATTCTGGATTCGTGGAATTTGGGATCGCTCATTCGCGGCACCGCAACCCAGGCCGACGTATCCGCGTTCGAGGACGAGTACTCCAAGGTGCAATCGGAGGAATCGACCAACAAAGAGGGTCTCGCTAGGATCCTCGATCTCAGGAACGCAAGCGGAAAAGGCATTCAGGTGGAGAACATCCGTCGCATCATTGCGCACTTTGGTGGTCGCACCCAGGACACGGGCTCGCCCGAGGTCCAGGCCGCCGTCCTGACCTACCGCATCCGAAATCTGCACGAGCATCTCGCTGCCAACCGCCACGACAACTCCAACCGAAGATCCATGTCCCTCCTCACACACCAGAGGGCCAAAATTCTCAAGTACCTCAAGAGGAAGAGCCCGCAGAGGTATCACACCATCTTGCCCAGGATCGGCATCGAGGCGAGAGCAGTCGAGGGAGAGATCGTCGTTCCGGGCAAGCCAAAGATTGCTCGTGCCTAGACTTTCACTTGCGTTTATCCTCTTGGTCAATCGATTTGCATTCAGCGCTGAGGTCAATTGACATGAAGTACAGACTGACGACGAAGTTCTTGAGCCGAAGCGACCTGTGCTCTTTTCGCTTCTCGTTCGCGCGTGGTCTGCTCGCCCTCCATACCGATCCTGCTGGACCGTGTTAGAACGAGTTTCGGAATCACCGGTGGTGCCGGCTCCTGTGCTGACTTCTGCACCTCCTCGACACTCACCGATCCCGGTTCCGGCTCCAGTAGCTGTTCCAACAAGAAAGTGAAATCCAATCCAACATCCCTTAGCTGTCCGGCCAATCTCAGACTGATCTCCTTCATCTCCCTCACCATCTCCCCCCTCGTCTCGTCCTCACTCCCATACACCTGGCGTCGGAACAACACGCCGTACTCCTCCACCCTCTCCCACGCCCACTGAACAAACCCACTTGCCATCCTCCCATCCTTAAACGCAGCCATGTACCACTCGCTCGTATTCTTCACCAATGTAAAGTGGACCATGGCCAGCTCGCTCACGTACACCCCTGGATCGCCTTCAAATTTGATCTGCCTCGTGCGTCGTTTCAACAGCTCGGTCCGCGCGTCGAGGAAGAGCTGACGTGCCTTTTCGCCCTGATCTAGCCGAAGGAGGAAGGACGCATTGCGCAGCACCGCCGACTTTTTGAGGTGCGGTTTGGAAAAGTCGCCTGAGATGGCGGCGACGAGCTCTGCGGTGCGCAGGGCGAGCTTGGCCGACAGGTCGAGAGAGGAGGCGTCCGTGGCGGTGTACGTGGAGAGCACACCGCGACCCTTTTCGATGAGCGAGACGGCTTGGTCCCAGTCCCGATGAGCGATGCAGACCGAGAGCTCGTCGGCAAAGTCGTTGTTCCAGCGGCCGGGGTCTTTGCGTTCCGAAGCAGCGGAAGCAGCTGCAGCTGCCATGACAGACGAACTGCTAGTTGGGTCGCTGTCCTCGCCAATCGGCGTTAGGAGTCCACCGTCGGTGCGGCCCGAGGTGGAGCCGAGTCGTAAAGCGTCAAATGGATGCTGTGCGATCGGGGGCGAGGAGAGCAGGGTCGATTCGCGCTTGCGTGCGGTGGCGACGGCACCGTACTCGGACTCGTTGCGACGCTTCTTGGCGAGCTCCTCGGCGACACGACGAAAGGCGTTGAGCAGCGCGCGCTTGTCTTGGGCGCGATCGGTGCGGTAGACGTAGGTCTCGCGGGCCCGCTTGATTTTGAGCGCGTTGGTGAGATCGCCTCCGTCTTTGAGGTCGATGACGACGATCTCGGCGAGACTGAAGCAGCGCTCGGCAACGAGACGCACCTTGCTGCTCATCTGACGTTTTCGCCGTGTGGCGATGAGGAGCAGGTCATCCAGCAGAAAGAGAGCGACGCTTTGTTGGGGTTTGTAAGTGGCCGCATTGAGCTCGGTGAAGCTGCTCGCTTCGGCGATGAGGTGTCGTCCGGGAACATAGGGCAAGAACTTTTGCGACCCCTCGATGCCCTCCCACAGCGAGGTGATTTGGGCTCGGTAGATGGACTGCAGATCGAGCGTGCTGTTGCGATTGGCTTTGCCGGACGCCTTTGCGCGCGAGAACGAGTCGGAGAAGGAGGCAGTGCTGGACGAGTCGTCGAGCTCGAGCGCTTGGGGCAGCTGCTTCCACTCGGACAGCAGCTCTTTGAGTTCGAGCATGTCGTTTTCGAGCGTCGCAATCTCTTTGCTGATGGTGATGAATTCCGAGTAGTGGGTAAAGACCTGGCGTTTGATGTCGTCGTTGGCAGCCTGCTTGGCCGTAGCAAGGGACGCTTTGAAAGTGCGCAGGCTCGACTCGGTCTGCTGCGAGAGCTTGGCGCGGAGGTAGGCTTGTGGGTCAAAGTCGGACTGGCTGAGAAGCTGTGTGTCGACGTTGGGATCGCTGTCGAAGGTGTCGATGCGGGAACGTTGGGTGTCGGACGACTTGCGGATGGCGTTGAGCTCATTGTCGTCGGGATCGTAGGCGGCGTCGCTGGCCGACTCGCCGATAGCTGGCAGGTACGGGTCGTCGATGAGGTGATGCGGTCGATCGTCAATGTGGATCTCTGGCATAGGTGGGAGAGCGGGAACGGCAGGGATGGCGCTGAAGCCACCAGGACCGAGCTGCGTGGGTTCGGCATATCGCATGGAGAGACGATTTTTGAGGGTGCTGCCGACTTGAGAGGCCTTCTTTTTGGACTTTTTGAGGACATTGGTGCTGCTGGAGGAGGAGCCATCTTGACGGGCTTGGCGCAGGGAGCTCTGTCGTTGTGAGGACGATGGGTTGTAGGGATATGCTGTGGAGGAAGAAGACGAAGAGGCAGCCGCTGCTGACGATGATGGCAGAGGAGGGATGACGGGCTGTTGACCGTCCTGGGCGTAAAGCGTCATAGGACGCGTACGCAGCGACCTCGACATGGCGAATGGAGGTTGGTCGCTGCTGTCGCTAGGACAGAGCGAGAGGGAGGGACGACTTGGACAGTGATGAGAGAGAGAGGAAAGGAAAGGGAGGAGCGAGCAGAGGTGTTGCTCTCTCCGCACTTGGCAAGCGTGCACGGACTGAGCCGCCGACCAAATTCCAAGCTGTTAGGGCCTGTTGGCTGACAATCATCAACTTTTACCCCCTGAGCACGTTCGGTCTCTGCTTTGTCCATCTGTCACATCTCGGCAAAATGAAAGAAAGGGTCTTTTTGCCAGTCACAGTCACTTATTTTTAGGCTGCTCAAGTCGGCCCGAACCTTTCATGCTTCGAAACATCATCATCCTCGGCGGTCGCTTCGTCATTGCTGCTCGAGATACCGCCCTACTCACCGGGACCGACATCGCCTTCGGTCCGAACCGAACGACAGCGCTTATCTGCGCATGATTCTTGGCATCTTCACAACCGCAGCCGCCCTCTGAAACGCGGACCGCTCTTGGCGCTTGCTCGTCCCACCTTGGCATCATTTCATATCACAGACTCGATCGTCGACATCGACATGACATTTCTCGTCGCTCCATTTGCTCGAAGCTGAGCCATCGCTCCAACTTGCCTTGACCACAGCGAACTCGCGCCGCTGAAGCCATTCCATCGCCATGAAGTTTGCTCGCTACCTCGACGAAAACACGGTCCCCGAATGGCGAAAGGTCTACATCGAGTACCGTGGCCTCAAAAAGCTCATCAAGCGCGTCGCAGAACACAGAGAAGCGCGACTCCGTCTCGAGGCTGAGCAGAATCTCGCTGGCCATCAGTCGAGCTCGACCGCGGTCGCTCCTGCCACTCCATCAGGCTCAGCCGATCCGTTCCTTCGTCGACGGAATCCGGCCGCCAACCACCTCGACCATGAAGCGCAGACTACGCTCGCTTCCAGTGCCGGCTACACACAGCGCAATGACTATGGCGGGACACGAACACCTGCTGCACCTCAACCATCCATACCGCCCGTGAGCCTTCAAGGCACAGGTCTCCGCCTCTCCTCCGAAAGCCCGTCCTATGATGGCTCCATCTCGCAATATAGGTCGAACGGGCTCGAGCGGCATCCAGACTCGGATCTAGAAGCTCAAACCGCGGATCGGCCATCCACACAAGCAGACGAGACTTCCCGTCAGCACCGCACCGATCCTTCGCTAGACGCCAAAGCCAGCATCGACTCCGCTGCCTCTTCCAAGCAGGACACCACGGATGCTCGTCCACCCGGCACCAGCACCGTACGATACACGGACGACGCTGAACCACCAACACGCTCTACTGGACCACGACCTCAAGCGGACCGCAAAGCTAACAGCTCCTTCGGCTCCAGTCGACAACGCCTCCTCGCTCGCTCCGCTTCCTCAGGAAACGCCTCGAATCGCTCTCTCAAAGATGAAGCGCCGCAATCCCTCCAACAACTCATCGTGGCCCACTTTGACGACCAGGAGGCCAAATTCTTCTCCGTTTGCGACGCCGAGCTTGAACGCATCGTCAAATTTTACGAGGTACAGGAGCATCAGGCGGCGACCAAGTATGCGCAGCTAGCGCGCCAGCTGAAGGAGCTTGCCGAGCATCGACGCGAGTACCGCGCCAAGTACAACATCAGCGATCAGGATCGCACGGGGGCGGGATCGCGGCGGCATCGCATGTCGCAACTTTTGTCAAATCTGCCTGGGTCCAAGATGATGATGGCCGACGAGGTGGCATCACGGGTGAAATCGATACCTGCACTGTCGACGCTCAAGTCGCGCGAACCGACGTCCGGTGGTCAGCCGTCGTTGACAGCGCCACGCTTCTCGACCGAGCTGAACTCGAAGCAACGCGGGGACAGCAGCGACGACGACGCGGGCGATCGACGTCGAGCAGTCGCCCTCGCGCAGATGCAAGCCTCTGTCCGAGGCTGGGACGATGACACCGATCGCGCCATCCGCGAAGCCAACAAAGCCGCCGCCATGAGCCACGACCCCGAAGCCTACGCCGCAGCCCGCAAGAAACTCAAAGCCGCCGTGCTGGACTACTATAAGTTCCTCGACACGCTCACCAACTACAAGATCCTCAACCGTACGGGGTTTGCCAAAGTCATGAAGAAGTTTTCCAAGACCGTCGGCGTGCCGTGCACCGATCTGTACTACAAGGACCGGGTCGCGCCTACGCAGCTGGTCACCTCGGATCGGATCGAGAAGCTGCGCAAGGCGACGGAGGATATCTACACCGCGTATTTCGAGCATGGCAATCGGAAGCAGGCGTTGAATCGGCTGAGGGCGCGGGAGGATCACACGACGCACCACTACAGTGTGTTTCGTAGTGGATTCTACCTGGGCATATCGCTGTGTGCGATCGTCGCAGGGTTGATCGAGGCGATGAAGCCAAGCAAGCAGGCGACGATCCCGCAATGGGCAGCATTGTTGCGGGTCTACGGCGCCGAATTCATCCCTACCCTCTTCGCTCTGCTCTTCGGCCTCAACCTCGCTTGGTGGCACGCGCTTCGCATCAACACCGTCTTCATCTTTGAATGGGACGTCCGAACCACCATGGACCACCGCCAGTTCTTCGAGATCCCGGCGTTGCTCATGCTGTTCCTCTCGTGCTGCTTCTGGGTGTCCTTCGTCAACCCCTTCCCTTCGGCGATTGCGCCGACGACCTGGCCCACTGTGTGGCTGGTCATCACCGCTTTGCTTCTACTCAATCCGTTGCCGATTCTGCTCCCCGCCAGTCGATGGTGGTTCCTCAAGAGTCTGCTACGCGTCTTCACCGCCGGATGGAAACGCGTTGAATTCCGCGACTTCTTCCTCGGTGACGAGCTCAATTCCATCGCCTGGACCATCTCCAACTTCTGGTACCTCGGTTGCGAATACCATCACAACTGGGCCCATCCGGATCGCTGTTCGCCCAACGACACGTATTGGACGGCTGTGCTGCTTTCCGTCCCTGCCTGGTTGCGTTTGGGCCAGTGCATCCGGCGTTGGGTGGACAGCGACTACCGGACGCACCTGCATCTCGTCAATGCCGGCAAGTACGGTAGTGCGGTGCTCAACAACTTTTTCTATCTTCACTATCGACGGGGTGGCTCGCGACCAGGAACGGATCTCGCACTTTGGGTTCTTTTTGCGACGATCTATTCCGTCTGGCACATCGGATGGGATCTGTTGATGGATTGGTCAGTACTCAAACCGCGGGCGAGGTACTTCCTGCTCCGAAACGAAATCTCCTTCCCCCAGAGCGTATACTACCTCTTCATGGTGTTCGATGTCATCGGCCGCTCAGTTTGGGTCATCTACCTGATTCCGGGGAGAGCAAGTGTGACGCTGCGCTCGTTCCTCGCCGCTTTGGTCGAAATGGGCAGAAGGGTCTGCTGGAACAACCTTCGAGTGGAAAACGAACAGATCGGCAACACGGATTCGTTCAAGATCATGCGCGATCTCCCCCTTCCCTATCGTCAAAAGTTGCTCGAGGATGCAGGGGAGTTGGAGAATGGGGCGATGCACAAGACGGGCATTTTTGCCAGTGTCAAGCTGGCGGGGTTGAGGAAGAAGTGTTCGCCGACGAGCGGGATGCATCCGCACGCGAGCGAGGAGGGGGTTCGTACACCGGACGCTAGCCAGGGTGGAGGCACACGCAGGGCTTCGCTGATTAATGGGTTGAGGCAGAAGTTAGTCCCCGATCCAACGGGCGAGCATTACGGGAAACAGCTCGACGAGAGGGCGGCGACCAAGGGGCAAAGTGGAAGGGACTATACTCCGAGACGACAGGAGAGCATGCCTGGATATGTGGATGTGGATAGCGACGAGGAGGAGGCGACGACGGAACCGGATGCGAGCGAGAGCAACGATGATGCGGATCAGCAGGAGACGAGGTTGCCGCAGTCGCCACCAAGAGCCATGGCGAGGGATGGGAGAGGGGCGAGCGTCGCAGAGACGAGAACGGATGTTGGGCGAGACGCCACGGCTTAAGCGATGTTACAGTAGACACGATGCCCTGTGAACAAGAGACGTGTGACGCTGCGTAGAGGGAGGATGATGGTGTGAGTCTGAGGACGATCGGGGATGACCGCGATCCGATCCGCTTCGATGGGACGATCCGAGCTCGAAGGCAAACCTACGCATGGGCTAGCACAGGTCTCGCGGCGAAGCTAGCTCAGCAGCACGAGCTAGCGGCCACCCGTGCCGTCAACACATGTCTCTTGCAGCGCCCGCTGGTGACTTCAGGCTAGCGCATGAGAGGCGGGGAGCCTTGGGCACGATCCAAGCGAGAGCCCAGCAATTCGGTGCGTTGCTCTGTAGGCTAACGGGATGCGGCTGGTTTCGCTTGGGGGCATCCGAAGACGCCCAAGGGGGAAAAAGGATCAGGTGTTGGCGCGCATGAAAGAATGTCGCTGCGGCATGAGCATAATCGTTCGATAAGAGTCCATATCGTTGGCACGGTGGGGGTGGATATCGATGCAGTATGACAACAAGGCGCGAGCTCATTACCCCGCACGCCATCAAGTGTGACACAAGTGGCAACGTGATCAGCCAAGGTTGGGTTAGGCGATCACGAGTTGGTATCGGCAAGGAGAGGGAACAGTGGCGAGACTTGAGTTTGGCGAGACAGGCAGAGTAGTGAGTATCGCATGTGAGCCGCAAGCCGAGGGCTAAGCGCCGTTGTAGGCCTGTTGGCAGCCGGAACGGCTGAGAGAGCAGTCTCGCTTACAATGGTATGGCTCGGCAGTTTGCTAGGCGACAGAACAGGGGGTTGCAACCACTGAGGTCGCTAGCAAAGGCCGCAGAGTTTCCACTACTTTGGGTTGGCCGGCTTCGTGTCTCTCTATCTTATCACTCGTCATCATCGCGGTTGAGACTGGAAATGCCATCGAGACCGGATGTGAGATCTGGCGCAAATGCCGACGCTGCCAAGGCTTGTCGGGGCTGCGGATGGGATCGAGGGAGAGAGTAAGGCCTGGACGGGAGTCTCGCCTAGAGTCGCCCCTGTGTGGGGCAAAGGTCGAGCTCCTGTCTCGAGGCTGATCTAAGCGAGCCTTGTTCGCCCTATTTCTGCCTATGCGAGACCTGCGTTTGGTCATGCCTTGCAGAGCCGCGCTTCACCTTTGCAGGTGCTTGCATCATTGATGCACTCACAAGCTTCACGGAGTCGGACAGGTTCCGATGCGGTGGGTGGGTCGTGCCAAAACCGAGCATCCATCGGCAACCAACGCCGAACCTCTTATCGCAATGTTCCCACGCCCAGAAACGGTTGCAACACAGGTACACTCAGCCGGCTTCTATTGCGGCGACAGGGTGCCGAGCGGGGCGGTGCTGCTCGGCCGACTCCGATACGCAGCCCAAAACGTGGCCACCTACGTCAAACGCTGCGTCCGCTGCTACGGGACGCTGCGCGAATCAATGGTACCACTGGCTTTGGTGGTAATTCGACGATCGCGCACTGTACCTTTCCCATTGTTCTCGTTGAAACGTATCGAGGGTAAGGCGGCGTCGCAGCCACAGATCAGCCAGAGCATAAGCCGACCTTCCGATCCAAGAGGAGCTTGAACCGATGAGACATGCCGTGCGACGCCAATTTCCAAAAAGACGACAGCAGCAGAGCCGGGGCGAATTTCGATATTGAGTGCGAAAAGAGTGTGCAGCTGATGCGGCTCGCTTTTCGCTTCTGCAATGCGCAGATCCCATGCTGACAGCGGATGCGGAGCGAGCGAGGCATTTTTATCCTCCCAATTTCTGAGTCCGCCGGTGGGTTTTGAGGCTTGAAGCACGGTCTTGGGTGGGAACAATTGGGGGGAAGATGGGAAAAATTTCTTTATCCGCTTGCGGACGCGTTGGCTCGCCCCCCTTTCCTGGCATTTCGAATTTCTGCCTGTCGCTAGCCTAGCCTGGATGACGCTGCAGAAGACAGAGACAGAGGCTCGACTTTGGTACTCACTCACCAGACCTGCCTGGACCCTGGCCTAAACCGGCAAATTGGATCGACTTGTTGAAAAAGCGCAGGTGCAGAGCCTGTCTGTTGGAAATCGCAGTTGGCCCAACGTCATCGAACCTGTCTGTACCTGCACGAGCGAGACGTTTCTCCCTCAAAAACAATCTGGAAGCCGTCTCATGAAGCAAACAGTTCAAGACCATTGTACCTAGCCTCGGTGCAATCTCGGACCGCCTCCTTTGCGTTCTCTTGGTCGAAAATGGTTCTCTAGACAGAGACAGGGAGTTTCGATTGAAGGGCTTGCATCGCGAGGGTCAAGCAGGATCACCGGCAATGACGCCAGGACGGAAGGCTCGCTGGAGGCTCTGAAACGGTGGAGGCACGCAGACGGCACCGAGCAAGCCACACCTACACCTGCGTACCACCATGCTTGCAGCCGGCGCTGTCCTGGGGATGGCATGGTTGCCGCTGGCAAAGACCCCCCCCCCCCCCCCC